TCGATAACTTTTACTTTGTTGGACAAGCCTCTGTGTCGTCTTGGGCATACGATACAGGCGATGGTCTGGTTGTGATCGATTCCCTCGACTCCTCCGATGAGATAAAGGCAATCATGCTTCCGGCCCTCGAGAAATTCGGCTTCAGTGGGAACGACATTAAACATGTCATTGTTACACACGAGCATCTGGATCACTACGGTGGGGCCAAGTATCTCAAAGAGACATACAACTCAACAATCTACGCCTCTGAGGTCGCTTGGCAAGAAATGGCAACGTATACGTACCCTCCTGATTCAACATCTCTTCCTCCAAGCAAGGATAAGACGCTGGTGGACGGTCAGATCCTCAAGGTCGGAAATGTATCTTTCGAGATTATCCTTACACCTGGTCATACCCCTGGTACTCTGTCGCTCATCTTCCCCTTGACTGCTAAAAATGGCACCAAGCACCATAGGGCAGGCCTAAACGGAGGTACAGGTATCCCGCAGTCTGCTACCGACCGCACGGCCAAAGTACTGTCACACTATCGTCTTGCAGGTATTGCATACAGACGAGGGGTCGACACGCTCATCTCGAATCACCAGGTTGCTGACCACGCGCTGTTCAATTCGGACTTGCTTGCTCACTCAACTACGGACATTCCTAATCCGTTCGTGATCGGCAGAGGCAATTATTACAATTACTTGCGCATCTTAGGGCTATGCACAAAGGTATACGCGGCGAGGCAGGGTATGGATCTTTTGGCTTAAGCTTCGATGAGAAAATTATAGTAGTTCTGTATTTTTAGGCTCTACGACGAAAGTGCTAATTCTACGTGCCTATACCTCTCGGTGGAGGTATTAATAAAACTACATGAATGCCGTTTTAGAGCAGGCATAAGCAGAAAGATATTTAGCACTTCCTCCGTAAAGTCGACTTCCGATACTGATGATGGTTCCTATACCTTGCTGCAGTATGCAAGGCAAGAGGGTACGGGCTAAGACGACGGGGCCGAGTAGGTTAACTTCTATTACTCGCCACTAATCTTGCACGTCTACATTTTCGACTTGGTCGAATTGTATGATGCCAGCATTGTTGACTAGGACGTCAACGCAACCATACCGTGTTTCTATCTCCTGCGTAACACTTACGACTCGGGCTATATCTGAAATATCAGCAGCCCAGGTCTCAACGCCAATATTGTAGTCGCGGATCAACTCTTGCGCCAGGGCTTCCAGCTCTGGTGCTGATCTGGCAATGAGACAGAGCGTTGACCCCGTCTTTGCAAAGGAATGTGCAATTGATACTCCGATGCCTCTGCTCGCTCCAGTGATGACCACGGCTGAGTCGTTGCGATTCGCGGTAGTCGACACTGTAGTGCTAAGTATGGACACGATTTTCCGGCAATGCGAGGAAGACTCACTCGTCTGTTTGGCAATGATGTGTTTGGATGAGGACTGAACTCTCGGCCACCTTTCTGCTTCATCTTCTGCCTATGCCGACCGGAGACATTATTGCTCCGATTTGGAAATCGGTCCCACTTACCTTGCCCTGCCAAGCACTAACAAGCATTTAGCTGCCGATCCCTGAACGACTTAGCTCCATGCAAGTCACGCGAGTGTAGGTTCGGATGAAGCAGCAAGACCCATCATCATCTAGTGAATTATGATTACATGGTCAAACACGGCCCGTCGTGCCATGCATGTACACTACTAGCATGAATACGGGAGAGCGCCATCATTGAGATAAGACCTGAAATCCCGGTAGAGCAGCCTGCAGTCGTGACGCGTAACAAAGTCACAACGACGCCATCGACGACCCTGCATCGATTTCAAACCCCAATCCAAGCCACAAAAGGACGATCATTAAACTCTGACTCCGTTAAAGTCCGGCTCGAGCGGAGTTCTGGCAGTAGTTAATACAGTATGTGCGCCCGCGACTAGGATCCGGACGAGTAACCCCGCTACCTAACCTGCAGCCAGCGGGAAACATTCTCACTTTCACCAAGCTTTAGGGGCCTAATTGACGCATACAACAAACTTAACAACATACCTCCTCGAAGGCGGGAACTGGGTTATTATTGTGGCTCCTTAATTTGGCACCTAACTTTGCAATCCACCTGCTACATTACCTCCAGTGCGCAGGTGTACGCACGTGTATGTATCTCCTACGTATAGGCACCGTATGACCATTGAGTGGATCTGATTGCCTATTCTATTGAATAATGACTCTAATTCTCTCTTCTCTCGAGAATCCCCGTTTTAATTGAAAAGCCACTTCCAATCCTACTCATGACAGAAGCTACAAGGTGATTATTCCGTTCCCCATTTTTCTTTCTCTCATTCTTTCTCGGACATTTCCGTACTTCGATGCCAGTCTCTAGATAGTATACATCCAAAGTCCTCCGTAGAGGTTGACTCGGCATATTTGCGGTGAAGGTGGCGGTCAATCATTTAGATAAGGGGAATTGCTCTATTTGTTAGTTAGCGTCTCCCGTGGTAGGGTAGCATTCAGCAGTCACCATTCACCATTCAGATGTTTCATAGGCTTTTTCCCCCGGTCGCGCTGAGAGTCTTTTGAAGTTTTTACCCCCTGAAGCCCCTGCAATATTCACTCTCTCACCTATGTGGACATGTGTTCACAAGGATGACTGCCAGTCCTGCCCCTGAGGATGAAGTTGATACGGCGGACGTGGCTGAGGCCACTATAACCCAAGTTCAAGAATCGGAAGAGACGTCTCGGTATCTGAAGCTCCCAAGTGTGATCTTGATCTCCATTGTACTCTGCTTGGCAACTTTTTGTGTAGCAGTCGACAATACGATCATTTCGACCGCCGTGCCCCGGATTACCAAGAGTTTTGACTGTATTGACGATGTGGGCTGGTATGCATCGTACGTGTCTCCCATAATCTGCCAATTTTGAGAGGACAAATGGCGCACGAATTGACAGATCACCGAACAGAATCGATCCATTGACGTCCTGTGCATTTCAACCATCCTATGGAAAGATCTATTCGATCTTCTCTAGCAAATATGTTTTCCTAGCAGCCTTACTCATTTTCGAGATTGGGAGTGTGGTTTGTGCGACCGCGTCGAGTTCTCATGCTTTCATTGGGGGACGGGCATTGGCAGGCCTCGGGTCGGCTGGCATACAAGCAGGCACCACCCTCATTCTTGCGGAGAGTGTGCCACTACGCCAGCGACCGACATGGAACAGCATCATCGGCAGTATGTTTGCAGTTGGAAGTGTAGCTGGACCGTTACTGGTATGAGCAGATACCCCCGATTAGCAAACAATTCCGGGCAATGATTGACACCTGGTGCAGGGAGGAGCCTTTTCGGATTCAACAACATGGCGGTGGTGTTTCTACATCAATATCCCCATCGGAGGCGCAGTCATGACCTTCATCATCATTTTCTATACTGGAAGTCGCGGTACCGACAAATCTTCAAGGCCGATCGGGCTCCGCGGCCAGATCGAGCGCTTCGACCTGGCCGGTACCTGCATTTTTGTGGCAGCAACAGTCTGTCTTCTCTTAGCACTATCATGGGGCGGCACCACGTATGCATGGGACAACGCCCGCATCGTCGTCCTGCTAACCGCCGCGGGTGTTTTGTTCTGCTCGTTCTACGGCATCGAACGCTGGAAGAAGGATAACGCCATTATTCCTTTACGTTTACTCCATAGGCGAAGCATAGGTGCAGCTATCTTGTTTGGCATTTGCCTCGGAGGCGTGTTCTTTGTATGTAATCCCAACACAGAATTCGCATTAGATCCTGCTAACCATGACATTACAATCGTTTTAGATCAATGTTTACTACATACGTGAGTACCGAATGGATAACGATTGCAGAATCATTTCTAATCAAGACTCTAAGCGCTGTGGTTCCAACTGGTCAATGGTGTCTCTGCCGTTGAATCCGCGATCCTATTTATCCCATTTATGCTCAGTGTTGTCGGCGGATTCATGTTCGCTGGCTTTGGGACCGCTGCAACGGGATACTACACACCTTTCGTCTACGCCGGCTCAATTCTCATGTCGATCGGCACTGGCCTGCTTACAACTGTCCAGCCTCATCTGACCTCGCGGGCTAAATGGATCGGATTCCAGATGTTGTGTGGAGTCGGAATCGGCTTCGGAGAGGAACAGGGAATCTATATGGTGCAAACAACCCTTCCCGAAGAGGACGTAGCAATTGGCGTTGGCATCGTCTTCTTCGCACAAACATTTGGTGGGGCCCTGTTTGTGTCAGTGGCGCAGACTGTCTTCCTAGAAAACATCAGCAAAGCGCTGAAAACGATGGCCCCGAACCTGGATCCTCACAGTGTTCTCAATAACGCTTCTGCAGGCTCTGCTCAGACATCACCAGAATTACAGGCAGTGTTCGCCCCAGCAATCAAAAACGCTCTCCGGGTTGGTATAATATTAGCAACTGTCTCGAGCTTAGGTGCCTTGCTGTATGATTGGAAAAGTTTAAAGGCGAAGAACGATGATGGAAATCATGGACCTAGCAGGGACCGTGGGGCAGAGCAGGGGGCACAAGTTCGAACAGAGGGGAAGAAGGAGTAAGAAGTTAACTGGTGCAATAGGACCAATATGCGCATTGCATAGAAATTTATTTCACGATCCAGACTATGCCGTAAAACACTAGATGACTACCCCAGTTTAAGGTACCGTCGGCCTATCGTTTAACGATAGAGACTCGGAGACAGGAGATACTGCAGTGGGTTATAGTTATCCTCCTTTGCTAGTTATTTAAGCATGTCCATCAAAATACCAGTAAGGGCCTTGGTAGCAATTCAGAGCAGTCGATATGATATTAGTATACCAGTAGGACCAGTATCAAATGTTTGGATTCATAATTCATGCATGGTATACACCGAAGCTAGTGCAACGACCTAATGATTCTCTACACCCAAGTGGCGCTAGTCCATATTAGGGAAGTTTCAGAGTTATGCTCGGCATAAAAGTTTCCCGAGATTCTCGCCCTTTAGAAGTAGAAGCCGATCAATTTCGGGAAGTAAAACGGAAGCCCCGAACATTCTTTTGAATCCTCACTCTTCCTTGCTCATTTCCTTGCCATCGAGCATTTCCGGTTTCACCTCACCATGCCAACTGAAAATAAGAAGCTCCAGATTGTGAGCCTGGGAAGTTCATTTGCTGCTGGTCCGGGCGTCCCGCCGCAAATCGAACCACGCGCAGCGATGCGATCAGGGCAGAATTACCCTCATCTCCTAGCGCAGCAGTTGAACGCTGAGCTCACCGACCTGACTGTTTCTGGGGCAACTCTTCTCAACATAACAGTCGAGCCCCAAACCGTTCCGTTCTACAAAGAAACCTTCCCGCCCCAGATCTCCAATCTGCCGGAAGATGCGGATATAGTCACCATTACTGCCGGTGGCAACGACATTAACTACATCGGTGGTATGATTTCGGACGCTTGGGATGCCACTTTACCGGGAACAATCATCAATACTGTTGTTCAAGGTGTAAAGGCGTTAAAATCGGCCGTTTCGTCCCAAGCGCCAGCACAAACGTCTCACCTGTTATCTCCAAGTGAGTTAGCTGAAAGACTAGGCTTGGTCCTCGATGAGATACACGGACGAGCTCCAAGAGCTCGTGTTTTTGTTGTCGAATATCTCGCTGTTCTCGGACCTGACACACGACCTGGTCAGGACATTCCTTTCAATCAAGAAAAACTGGACCATCATCGCGGAGTCGCCTCTGCACTACAACAAGCATATACAGTTGCAGTGCAAAGTAGGGAAAACTGGTGTGAGAGAGTACCAGTCCACGAGCTCAGCCTGGGACATGCACTTGGCAGCAAAGAACCATGGGTCGGAGGATTTGACCTTGCATCAGTAGTTCGACGCGGTCCCGTCCTTCACCCTAATCTCGATGGAATGAAGGCAGTATCAAGTCTTCTACTCGCAAGGGTCCAAAATGATAGAACCTAGTTGATGGAGGGATTGAGTTATCCGGGGTGTCATTGCAGAGAAATTGTACTGGTCGAAACGATTTGTGGTGTATGGACGTTTCCAACTGTCGCAAATCCTGTGGAGCTATTTTGATCTTGCCCTGGATATATATCACTGCATTTGTCGTTCGAGAGCTGTTGATTAGCTGTATTTGCTTCATATAAAGGTGAACTTTCAGGGCAGACCCTCGCTACACGAGGGTCCGGAAAAAATGACAATTCTGTAAGGATCACTACTCGCTAGAGCATTGCTTGTTTTACACCCTGACCATCTCAATCTTCTAGACATTCTTAGCCACAAAGAGCCCCCTAGTTCAAAAAGTTGATTTGAGCAACCTTGGTGACCAGTAATTAGGTAAGACACCTAATGTACGATAAATTGGACGACTTTCCATCCATCACAACGCATGTTCATCAGCAAGTCTTCCTTGTCACATCTTTCCCAGATCATGGTAATGGGTCAATAGTCAACAACCATTGAGCACCAGGCGCTTAAATCATGTATCTTTTTCCTTCTCTGTCATAAGCCGGGGTTCGAAAGTAAAGAAAAATGCATACTAACCGCAGCTTTTGGTCCCACGAAGGACTCTCATGACGACAAGTGTGTTTCCAATCAAGATCGCCCCCTTTCCCAGTCCCCAGGATCCTTGTCACAAGCACCTCAAATTCCTCGCCCTCTAAATTTGTCTTGGGAACAGCGGACCTACATCTCGAGCAACGCCAGAAGCATCTGCGGTATCCAGTGTACCCATCCCCAACATCCTTGAAGAAAGACTGGAGCCATTTGGAAGTTTTCTCATGCGGACATATTGATGGATAATTTCTTGCTGAAAGGCAAGTCGTCGACACGAAGCTTTTGAATCGATATTGATTCTTCAAAACTAAGCGATCTTCCGAAGCCAAATAGATTGTAGTGAGAATCACAGCTTTCGCTTTAGGATGGTCCGTGATTTCGCAACTATGAATTAGTCTTGTGGATGATTGGTTACTGGGATCAACAAGAGAGAGCACATTTTCATAGTATTTTCCTCCGTCATAGTTGCGGCTTTGCCTTAGCGATTTGATAGATTCAATCAAACGACGTTGATCCCGGTATGTAATGGTGAGACAAGGGCATATATCAACGACGCCCGTATCCAGCGCGCACCGCCCTCCGTACAGTACATGGCAATCGTGGCAGTGATGCTTCCACGGTAGATAATTTTTAGGTCGCGGATGTAGCTTCCAACACTCGAGACATAGTTTCCATCGGGAATTCTCGAGGCGCCGGAGGAAACGCACTGGAAGTCTTTTCTCTGCGTTTGGGCATAGAACAGGCTTCTTGTTTGCGACGGGGCGTCGGGTGCGAAGCTCCTGGGCTTTGTGGACTGAACAATAGCGGAAAAAGAGAAATTTGCAAGTCAGAGCTAAACAAGCACGATCTTCTATTGCAAGCCACTCTATAATCTCCTCTATTATTTCGAGTGGCATCTCCAGCAATAAAAGCTTATCAGGCAGGGGAGGCAGGAGCCTCTGGAGTACAGATAGCATTTCTGCGCAGTGGACTCGGTCGGTTTTGGGTAAATGTGCTGGGTATTCATTGGAATTTATCACAATAGTGATGAGACTATTTCCATTCTGCGATTATGCTGGTCGGCGTCATCCATTACCACGAAAGGTAGTCATGATGGTTTCCGTCGCCAAATACAGCAGTCCACCCTTTTGAAGGTGCGAAGGATCTAACTTAGCCTGTCATAGAGGTGAATTTGCCATCAAGTAACCACATTATTAACACAATGTACAGTATTTCCGGAAATCGGTGTCATCCCCGCACTCTTTCATTGTTCCCCGAACCCTAAATGCTATGATATGCTATACTACTTTCGAAGAAGCTATGTCAGCCTCATTTGTTTTGAGGATGTACCGTAAAATACCGGATTATCATGTTAGCTGTGAAAATGTTTATGACCTGTAAGACAAGAAGCTGCAACCTGAATGCCCCACGTCAACTTCCCCAGCCTCCTCGCTTAAATATCTTAGTCAACACTTCCACACGAATAGTAGAGAGTCAAAGCGCGCATCCTCGTTAAGATTATCTACGATAAGTGATAGGTATCTCTGAGACAGGTCGTTTGATCCAAGGGCACTGGGTTCCTAGGAATATTGAATGTGATCAGAGATGCTCAAGTAAAGAGCTTAGGTAATTATATTGGAATGCATACTTAAGATAAGCTTCACCCCTCCTTTTCTGTAGATGTCCTTAGCCAGAAGCAATCCCCTAGTCTGCTCAATGAAATGCTACAGTATCCTTGATGAAAATTGTTCGTGTTGCTTCCGTAAGGATGTTATGTGTCTTTCGATCAAGGATATTGCCTCGTTAGCCCCCAAACGATGAATAACTAACTAAGTTAAGGGTCGCTGAAATTACGTAATTGAATAACACTCAGCATTTAAACCTAGCGGTGTAAGCTGGGCAAAAGATATCAAGTTCGCGTTGAAACTTTGCCGACTATGAGACTAGTGGGTGACTTCTGTAGATTGGAAGTCTTGTTTGTAAAAGCGGGGGTTGTTGCTGATAAGCTCGCTGCTGACTTCGACTTGTTTCCAAAAGGAAGCCATATTGAATTTAATGCAGCTGGGTTCCTTGGCTGAAAGTAGCAATAGACCTCGCACGTTCACCGATCGGGGTAATGTTCCTTCTTGATCTGATATTGCATTTCAAAGAGGGATATAAAGCATCCAAATAACTGTGCTGCATAGACTAAGAGCATAGACTAAGAGCATAGACTAAGATAGATTAAATGACTAGATGCATTCAATTGTTAATAACTGTTCAACAAGTATCGTTTGCCCCTTCCCTCTCAAATTTGTTTTCTGGGGAAGAAGTCGTCATAATGTGAAGGTATAACTGAATTTGAAAACTTTTGTAGAAAAGATACGATATTTTAATTTCCTACTGGGGTCAATACGTTGTGACTCTAAAAAGGATCATGTTTTATTACATGGCACCGGGGCTCGAAAGGAGAAAAGCAACGTTCAAGGCGGAAGCTGAGTTTCCTACTATAGCCCGATCCGGGAGACTTAGACGATATGGACAAAAGGCAGCTCCCAAGGATGAAGCAAGTAGTTATATCCTGTTTATCTACTCGGAATCGGAATCGGATCCGTCGTTGATGTCATCATTCATATCAGCAACCCAGTCAGCGAGATCGTCCATCGCGCGCTCGTACTCATAGTGCCAATCCGTAATGCTGTCCGAAGAAAATCCAGATCGTCTTTGCTTTAATCCTTCAATTGTGTTGTCCTTCCATTCAACAAGCATGGCCTCTGCCTTGTCAGCGAAAGGTTTGATCTGGCGTTCTTTCTCCTCATCATAATCGTGAGATGCCAGACGAACCTTCCACTGCTCGCGGAAGTCGAACATACATTGGACATTAAGATTGTGTTCTAATGTCGAGATATCCTTTTCCAGTCGTTCGTCCCAGTTGATTGCGTCATTTCTTCGATGTTCATACGCATATCTGCCCAGGCTATCTTTCGTCTCGTTGCTATAGGCCAAGAGCCGATTTGTTGCTTGAACTGTCAAGTCCTTAAGGCCATCCCTAGCACCTAACCAGGGCATCTATCAGATATTAGTAGGGCAATAATCGCAAAAGTAATATTGGTAGGACTATACTTTTCGTGATGAAGGAAAATGCGGTTGTTTCCTCTGAAGCGAGACAATAAGAAGGAGGGGCAAATAGATGAAAGAAGAGCGATCAGGTTACTGTATAAATCCTTGAAGTACTGCACAATCAAGGGCCGAAAGTGGCGGTCAGCAAAGGCGGGTCATAGACTTCTGCTGTGCCGCTTTACTCGTATCTGCCATACATACAAAAGCACGTGGTATGTAACTCAGCTCCGTAAGTATCCGTATTAAAAAAAAAACCGGAAAATTACTTCTTGCTTAAGATCTAGAGTATCCCGGCATTAAGGGTTCGGAGAACAATGGAGGAGTGCGGGGGTACGGTGGCCGAGGACAGCCAGATCGTGCAAGTGGCGTTCTTAATAATTCCAATGGCAGAATCCCTATTTCAGCCACATACTGCCTATATACCTGAAAAATTAGGCCATCTACGGCCACCAGGAAATAAAGATATGGATTACATCCGAAAACACCCACCAAACCTCCCTTCCCTTCACTTGCACGATTTGGCCGTCCTCGGCCGCCATACGGGGGGTGACACCGATTCCCGGAAATACTGTATGGCTAGCCACATTCTAAATACTTGGAGCTTTTCTGTCGACTTCAGTTGCCTCAAGAGAAGATACCAATATGGACGAAATGCCTTCGAAAACACAGAATACCGACGCTGGAGATGCACACGACCGGGTACGATGACACAAGCGAGATCAGATACACTCTTCAACTCGGAGTGTAAGGATAATCTTAGAAACGTTTGCGACAAGCAACAAGCGAACATCGCCAAGACATCTCGAAAGTAACTAAACATAACTGAAAATGCCCTAAAGAACAATACGAACAGCAATATCACAGCGAAGAACCTAAAGCGACCTATGAAACCGAACTAAAGATGGACCTAACTCGCAAATTCTCACCAAATTCGCATTGAAGCAAGCAAAGACCACCTAAATCTCCGAAATAGACCCTTTCCCCAGGGTCACCTACTCTATACGATGATCGGCAACGCTAAACGACGCTTATCCTTTCCTGCAAGTTCTATTTTTAGGAGCCACCCGTATCGATCCCAGTACCTGAATGGGTGTGGCTATCCCAGGAACACGAACCATACGAGGTCACCTCCAGCACAAGCACATTTAAAGTTGACTCTATGGCAAAGAAAGATCGTTGTCACTTGCAGATGTGGATGGGGTCCGTTGAAGTGGTGCTATAATTGACCCACAATGCGGGATTTGGCCCCATGAGATAATTATTCCGAGTATACGAGAAATGGTGATCGGCTTCAGGTTGCCCTGTTCTGGGCTTGCGCGGATACGAAGTAGGGTGGTATCCTGCGAGGAATCGTTGAAGCTTTGACGATGTATACGGGTTTTCTGGGCAGGCGAGGTGAAAAGAGTCAATAATAGGATCGAATGAATAGGTATAAGAGAGTCTTGAATTCCTTCCAAATTCAGATCATCAGCTCAACAACAATCTCAATCATCAAGACAGCCTCCAGTCAAGACTAGTATCTTTCTCTCAACTCTTACGTTTTCTATCATTCTATACATTCACTCTTCATTATGCACTTCTCGCTCCTCGCTCTTACCGCAGCCATTGCTCTGCCTCTGGCCAGCGCTTACCCCGTCAACGCCGATGATCTCCACTGTCGCTCTGGCCCCGGTACTAATCACGGTATCGTCAAGACCTATAAGCGCGGCACCGACCTCACCATCACCTGCCAAGCCGCCGGCGACGACATCAACGGCGACAAGCTCTGGGACAAGACCTCCGACGGCTGCTATGTGGCCGATTACTACGTCAAGACCGGCAGCAGCGGCTACGTGACCAAACACTGTGATGGCGGCAGCACCGGCGGTGGCAGCGGTGGCTCCGGTTCCGGCGCATCCATCGTCAACGCCGCAGAGAAGGAGAAGGGTCTCCCTTACGTCTGGGGTGGCGGTGGCTGCAACGGACCTTCCGGCGGCGGCTTCGACTGCTCCGGTCTCACTCAGTTCTCGCTTTGCAAGGCTCTGAACAAGAAGATCCCCCGAACTGCGCAGACCCAGTACGATGCTACCAGCCAAGGCAAGCGTATTCCTCGTGCTGAGGCGAAGGAGGGTGATTTGCTCTTCTGGGGTGAGAACGGAAACTGCAAGACTGGTGTTTCTCACGTTGGCATCTTCATTCGCGATGGATGGATGATCAATGCTGCACACACTGGTACCCCTGTCCGTGAGCAGGCTATTTGGACTTCTTATGGTGGCGAGAGCATTTGCCCTTACGTTATGAGGTATGATATCGACGATTTCCTAGAGTAAGAGATCATTGGCTGACACGTATTCGCAGATTCTGGTAAATCCAAGCTTGTGCGGGAAAGGCTTTGCATAGATAGGAAGATTTTTTGCTGTTTCATTCTTGTTTTTGTATTTCACCAATCTGGAAGAGTTGGCATCTGAAAGCCTGTGTTATTGAGCGCCGAAATAGAATCATTAGTTGATTTTCCTTCGTCTGTCAAATCATCAATCCAATTTTAATCTATTTCAATCGGTCATCGAGTAAAGGATCTGGAATCTGGCAACAATCTTCATTCCTTGCAAAGATCCTCCAGTAATCCGAGCATGCGTCGCTGTAGATTCGCATGTTCAAGTTTGGTCAATTTCGATGAGGGTACATCCCCAGGACCATCTGTGTTGAAATTTGGTGACACGTCCTCTGGCGTGTCTGAATCTTGAATCAGGCTTTTCTGGAGCCCGAAAAAGGGAATCTTCATCCCGCGCAGCTCTGCAATGAGCGCCTCGGCCATTTGTGCAGAGGCCTTGTATACTTTTCTGTCGTATTCATCCAGCTCAGTTTGCTCTGAGTTCTCATCCTGCATAATATCAGTAGTCATAGATATCTTGGAGAATGAGGTCTTGGCATACTGTTGTCGTTTTCGAGTCAATGGGTGCACCGATCGAGCGTCTGACTCGAGATTGGTTAGTCTACATCAAGAAGCATGTTCAAAGACCTCGTTCAATGGGTTCTCAGTAGTATAGCAAGATTTGGGAAGGAATCTCCAAGGCAGTACTCACAATACAGCGTCGAGCTCTTTCTTCTTGTCGCCACGCGCTTGTTGTCTCTCAAGCAGGGCTTCACGGCCTTTCCACCACTGTCGCTCATGGTTATGCTGGCTACGGATCAGCCCGCGAATACGAAGCTGAGTCTCTTCATTCTGGCCGACAGTGCGCATTACATATCGGAGCGCTGCAGGCCATGTCGTGATAGTAGATGGATCGACGGCCGATGAATCTGATTGTCTCTTTTGCGTACTGGGAGCCGACTCTCGCGGTGTATAAGCTCGCTCCCGGCGAGCCTGACGAGGGTCCGGAGTCCCAGCCTGACTTGAAGAAGCGCTTCGAGATGTAGTACCCGGTGCCGTCAAGCTAGACAGCGTGTGGAGGACTGAACTCAGATCCGAAGCATTGTAAGGGTTCTCTGCCATCTCGAACCAGCCGATATGCAGAGGTGAAGTATGAAAAGAAAGAATAAATCAAGAGTTTTAAAAAAACAAGAGAATCTGATCCTTTTCAGAACAGACTGCAGGCCCGTGGGGGATCACAAGTCAGAAGCGGCGGAAGTACACGATAAGCCGCCCATGAAGCTGTTGGAATTGAATGTCTTGGCGCCATTCTCCGGCCGCTGAAAATTTACCTAATCTTCCCACCCTCAAAACCTCCAGTTCTTCCACGCCGCCACCAGCAACACCCGCTACGCTGTCAATCGAGGGGTACTCTCACTAGTCGCATACTCTACAATCGACATTTCTCCCTATACCATCGCTGCCGCAACAACACACCCACACAATGTCCCGATCTGCGGCGGACGCAACGCGGTTCACGGCCACGGGGCCCTACGCCAGCTCCAAGCCCAACGGCGCACCTTACGAGCTTCCCAACTTCATGCAATCAAAGGACAACGCGAAGCCAGCTAAGCCAAGTGCACCACAGACCGGTCCTGATGGCCAGCCCGAGACGCCGAAGCAGAAGGTTGAGCGCCTACGGGCACAGGCACGGGCTGCCCGGATGGCTCAGCAGAGCTCGGGAGTGGATCGATGGATTGAGTCTGGGCGGAAGTTTGCGAATCGCGCGCACAAGGGCATGGTTTATTCGTTAATTGTTGCGTCGGGTACGTACCGTGCTTTTCTTGGTTGAGGTGTTCGGGGTGATCATACGGTCTTCCCCGGGATGGGAAGGGGTTGGTTCATCACCAAAGATGATTCCGTCTGACCCTAATTTGAATGTGGCTACGATTACTGGGGTATTCAAGAACATGACTGACATGAATTTTCTTATTCTAGGTGTCTGCGGTGTCCTCACAGTCTACTCTATGGTCTCGCTGACCCTTTACAACCGCCGCCAACGTACACTCTGGATCGAGAAGGAGGTTGAGAACTTGAAGCAAGCACGCATCGCCCAGGCCAGTGGAACTGCCACCGCCGAGCAACTAGAGCTCATCGAGAAGGAGGAAATTGGCGAGATTTACAAGCGCAAGCGCGCCGAGGAGAAGGCACAGCGACCATGGGCCAAGGCCAAGCGGTTCCTGTTCGAAAAGATGAATGCAGAGGACGCCGGTGCTTCCGCCGCGGCTGCTTCTACGGCCGCAGTGGCTACCGAGGCTTCCCAGCCTAGCGTCGTTGAGGCTGTTCAGGCCCAGCAGGCATTTGATGCGGCCAAGGCGAAGACCGGGGCCCCAATGCCCGGGCAGCTGGACGTTCTGGCGGAGAATGCGGAACTGGCGGCAAAGAAGACCACACGCAGCTGGACAAGTTGGTTGACTGGTCGGTAGAGATTGTGATCATTAATATTGACCTGGGGAAACAACTACCAAAAAAACCATCACTTGGGCTTGGGATGAAAGATGGTATGAAAGAGGTCGTCTCCACTCTCCTCCCCATTTCGACCCTCGTCACATCTCCCATTTAGCTTCTCCCCATCTAATCGGGGGTGTCGCCAATTCCAGTGCCAGTCCCAGTCTAGCCAGTGCTATATGAAGTGTTTTTATCTTGCATGGCGTGTGGCGAGGTACCTCTCCTCGCAGCATGCATTCATCGTGACAGGGGGTTTCCGGCGTTGCATCATGTTTTGACTCTTTCTGTTCCCTTCTTTCCTCCTATCTAGGGCTGTGTTGCTAAACTGCTTGGAGATGTTTGGGCCAAAGTCAGTCTGTTAGAAGACAGATGAAGATGGCCGTGTATATTGTGTACAGTACATAGAAAATCTGCTCCTTTCTCCACCCACCAATCATTCGTCCCGCTATGCTTGCATTAAACATACAGCTGTAGATCTTTTGCAATTTACTAGTACTAGCCTGGGGCTCTATCTTTCCAATACCAAGCTGCTTGTTACGTCTACCAATTGAACAGCCAATGACAGTCTTGCCATACTTGACTCCCGCTAGTCCCCCTCCACCTTCACAGTCTCGAAGCCGGAATCAAACCTACAACCCTCTTCGCCCTCCAATATCCTATAAGAAACAGTCAGACTACGTATTCTCAGCTCCTAACCAAACCCATCATCGCTCTTCTCAGTTCACATATAACACAATACCAAACAAAACTCGCCGCGTCCCACTATCTCTCTTCTCCCCCTACCCATACCCATATCCACACTCACAAGCACCACCAACTACAAACCACCACCACCACCCTCAATTTCCAAATCACTCTCTTTGAGTGCAAATACCCACCACCCTACAGCACCACTTACGCCAAAAGGAGAAAAAAAACCCACCCAAACCCCCCTCCAATGCACAGAAATCCACCCTGGAAAAGCGGTCCCCCGATTCCACCAGCCACGCTATACCCGATCCAGTCATCCCGAACCCTCCGGCAGAGCGCTTTGCCCGCGACTCTTTTTTTTTCCCAACCACAACACCACCCACGGCCATAGATCGATCTGCACACGGTGGAGTAGAGATCCTGTGGGACTTGATCAGAGCTTAGATGCCGTTTCTGGAGGAGGGGGTGGTGTGGGGCGTCTGGGGTAGGTACTTTCTTTTGATGGGAGCTTTCCCCGGACTTAAATAGGTTGGCCTTGAGGGAATTGTGGACTTGGGTTAAGTAAGTTGGAGATTGCACAAGGGAGTTCGGGTATAAATACTGTATCTATCCTTCTTGTGTCTGGTCAAGGTCACAATCTTACTCTCACTTTGTACATGTCGTTGCCTTCGAACAGCTTTTACAAGGGATGCGTGTTGAAAACCGGAAAAGGAAAATCATCATATTCACGGCCGAGCCCATCATATCAGAAGACAAGAAATAAAAGAAACGCTCGTCCGCATGGCAGCATAAAAAACTAGGTATCTATGTCAAAACCACACACTTTTTTTAAATACCCAGGAGATCCGTTGCACTCCTCATCGTGGGAGGAAAAAAAAAAATAAACTTCCATTACACTCCTCCCTTAGTGCGAGCCATTGGCCTTGCTCGCATTCAGAGCACGGCGTGCACGAACACCGTCCGCAAGATCGTTCAGCACCTCGACGGTCATCTCCCAGTTGATGCAAGCATCGGTGATACTGACGCCCTTGAGGAGAGCGGCAGGTCCCTCGGGGGGCACCTTCTGGTTACCCTCGTAGATATTGGACTCAATCATGACACCGACGATGGCGGACTCGCCCTCGCGCAGCTGATCGGCGACCTCCTTGGCGACGACCGGCTGGTTAAGGTGGTTCTTCCTGGAGTTACCGTGGGAGCAGTCCACCATGAGGACCTCACGCTGCTTCTTGGCGCGGAGGGCCTCGCGCGCACCGCGGATGCTCTCGCGGTCGTAGTTGGTACCCTTGTTACCGCCGCGCAGAATGACGAAACCGTGCTCGTTACCGGCGGTCTTGGTGATCGCCGCAAGACCCTGCTTGGTCACACCGAGGAAGCGGTGGGGGTGGGCAGCGGCACCAATAGCGTCGATGGCAACGCCCAAGTTACCGTCCGTGCCGTTCTTGTAGCCGATGGGGAAGGAGAGACCGGAGGCCAGCTCGCGGTGGAGCTGGGACTCGGTGGTGCGGGCGCCGATAGCGCCGAGGGAGATGAGATCGGCAAGGAACTGTGGGGAGATGGTGTCGAGCATCTCGGAGGCGATGGGGAGACCGGTGCTGGTGAGGTCGACGTAGAGCTTACGGGAGACGCGCAGACCCTTGTTAATGTTGTAGGACTCGTCGATATCGGGGTCGTTGATCAGACCCTTCCAGCCGACGGTCGTGCGGGGCTTCTCGAGGTAGGCGCGCATGATGATGCACAGGTCCTTGGACAGCTTGTTGGCGACCTCCTTCAGGCGACGGGCGTATTCGAGCGCGGTGTCTGGGTCGTGGATCGAGCAGGGACCGACCATGACGAGCAGGCGGTCATCGCGCTGCTCGATAATCTCAATGGCTTCATTACGGCCGGCGCGGACAGTGAGAATGGCACGCTCAGGCTAGACGAGAGAAGATGGATTAGTTGTGGAACTTTGCGAGTTTGACTTGAATGCTATTTTGTTTGTTTCGGCGAAATCATAAGGCCATTGATCTGGTATTCAAGGGCGGGGTGGGCAAAAAAAATGACTCACCGCAGGGATCTCAGTCTGAAGGAACTGGGGCGACAACAGAGGGTCGTAGCCAAGGACTGAAGCAGGAAAGAAGAGAAATTAGCTGGTTCTCGTCAAGAAATTGAATTGTTAATTGAGCAAGGACGAGGAGGAATACGTACCACGAGTGTCCTCGTTGATTTCGGTGGTGTTGACGAGGGGCATGGCGGAGATCGTCAATACTGGAAGCGAATGAGTATACTGATGAGCGCTATGAGAGATATAGGGAAGAAGGCAGTCTGATAAATGCGGAATTGCAGATTGAAGAATCCAAAAATGCAGAAACCAGACTTGCGCAAGGCTCACCTTTTTTTTTCTTTCTGTATTCACGGGTGTCGAGGAGAAGAGAGTGTGGACGAGGTAAAAAAAAGGCCGATGGCAAAAAGTGGGGCGCGATTGATTCCACGGGTGGATTTCGGCGAGAGAGTGGCTCCCTTAGGTTTGGGTTGTCCGAGGGAGGTAGTCGCGAGGAGAAAGCAGCCTATAAGTTATCTCTCTATTACAGAATCCTAGAGACAGAAAGTTTTGGATCAGCAGAAAAACCAGAGCAGAAATCGACTTAAGAGTCATACATTTCTCGTATGATCAGTCAGATGCCTCTCCCAAACATCCACACAATAAATCTGCAAGGCCGTCCGATATCGTCCTCCACGCCTCGGATGCATCCAGCCAATCACAACGCCCCCATTGCACTCGTTGCAGACCAAAACTCCTCTCCCTTCGGCCGTGCAACCGTCAGATCAGTCAGATCAGAATCTTGCGGAGAGTACTACTACTGGTTCCGATGGTCCATCACGCAGATCAAGTCGACCAAACTTGGTTTATTAGTCGAGCTGACCCGGTTCTTTCCTGCCACGCTCTACTTCCGGCCCCGGTCTACGTGTAACTATGAGACGCTCCCCGAGCCACACGAGAGGCACATTGAGAGACAGTCGTACGGTCTGAGGGGCTCGGAGCCTCTATCTGGGCTAGAACCGTCACCTCATTGATCAGAGTGTGGTGTGTAGATGTCAAATATAGGGCGCAGGGTCGGTGGAGCAGGATTAGCATTGGTCGCTGCTTAGTGGCTAGATGGGACGAAGTTGGGTATACTCCGTTGGGATGTTCAAAGCATAAAGGGAGGGTTGAGTGATCACGACAGGGATCTTTCTGTCAATGGTCATCCTTACGGGCGCCATGGGTGAAGTAGGATGTACTTTGCGTCAGATCATAAGGACCTTTACGGTACACTGGCTGAAGGTAATGTAAAAATGCATAGTATACGGAAGCACCGAAAGAAACATACTAAATAGCAAACCAAACCCCAATTAAGAAAGTCTGCTGGATGCAGTGAAACGAACCTCGGTACGTCTCGGAGGTGAGCCAAACTTGAGAAATTGTAGATTGTCATTGGATGAGGGATAGGCCTTTTCCTCCGAACATCCTGTACTGTAGACCTGACGAGATCTCTATACTTGGCAAGTCACATCAATGTGATTGTTACCGAGACTCAAGATGATGGTGACCTCCTTCGTAAATCACAGTACACGGATGAAACCCCCAGCCACCTCCACCAGGGGCAACGGTCGATCCGCCCTGACGGCAAGTGCCGAGTTCAGCTCTCCACCTTTTTTATTTAGTGATCCCCGTCCCCTTACTTCCCCAGACATTCCCATCTCCGCTTCCCTCTCCGATTGCTTCCTCTCCAGCTAGCCTTTCGGGGCCCATCTTCCTTCCCACGTCCACCCATCATGTTCGCGCAGTCCCTCAAGCGCCCTCGCGACGAGGATCTGGAGTTTCTCAACGCCAATGAGTCTAAGGTATGTCCTACCTAGCCCCATGAGCACGTCACATCACGTCGCGTCGCGTCTGACAGCATCCAATGCACCCATTTGCATTCGCATTTCACCCCTTTCCACTCCTCACCATCATGCTCTTACTGAAAACTTACCCAACATCTTCAGAGACTCTGCCCGCCATGGCTCTCCGGGCCCGAGTTGCGCCCCGAATCCGCAACCGACAGCGACCAGTCGCGGCGCTTTCAAGCACCCACTTTGACCCCCATCGACTCCTCGGATGATGAAGGGAACTTTGAGATACAAGGTGCACTCGGCCTAGGCGCTGGTCGTTTGGGCAAGCCCAAGCTGGCGCATGGACAACGGCCTCCCATGCTGCACCTCGGCGCCGACGTGACCACAGCAGAGCATCTGCGATCCGTTCTGGCCAGCGGTGACAATCTATCTCCATGGCTGACAGGCTCACAACTGGGCAGTGTCCAGTCCTCGCCAATCCCACATCAACTAGTGAACCAGTCCCTAACCATCAACGGCGTACCGACTACCACGCCCACCCATGGCTACTTCCCAGCCGTGGCATCGCCCATCGCACCCTCAGCCCAGCAGGATCTACCCATGACGGGGGATACGACATTCAATGCCGTGGCCCTTCCGCCTGCCATCCGCCTACCCAGTCCGATCAGCGACAACGGCGACGCAGTCATGGCTACACAAACCGGTGACGCAGACGCGGACGCCGAAATGAGCGACTACTCGGTGCCCAGCTTCACCCAGACAGCGTCGCCCACACCCTCAGCCGACTATTCAGCCGTGTATCAACAGACACCGCCCGTCATGGCTAATAGTCATCATACCTCTGCATGTACCGCAGCCCCGCGCCGACGATCTCCCCTCGTCATGGGCTATCGTGCAGACTGCAATAAGTGTCAATGCAAGGTACCCGGGCACTATAGTCATATTCGACGCGCTTAATACGTGACTCGGAATTTCGAGTCAGCAAGATATGTTGAGGGCTGCTCCTCGATCTCCTGCTTCATATTCCGCTCCTGCAATCGTGTACAACATCTTTTTTTTCGCTTGCATACTCATGCCTCTCGGCCTTGAGTGAGGCATATGATTCTGCGAGTGTGGCGTTTTTTTTTTCCTCTTCCTCGGGTGATGGAGGTTGGTGGCTTGCAATGCATGGAGTTTGGGTTGCTTTTTCTCTTCTGGTCGGTTTGTTACTGGGGCTGGTTAGGGTTAGGTAGGAGATGAGCAATGGCAGGTCCACACCCAGGGACCCCCTTCATATCAAGTTCAATCATGTATAGTCGGTATTACACGATTCGAGAATGGATGATATGGTCACAATTAATTATGATTCAAGTCTAGTCGAGGAAATAATTATTAATCCTTCCAATAATTTTACAAGTCTGAGTAGGTGTTCCGCGTTGCTCTATCTATCCCAGAGCGGATATATATCTTAGTTTCTTCCCATGGAGGTTCACCACCACCTTGTATGGCAATTCAGGCCTACCTAGGGCCGTGTATCAGAAGACTTCTCAAAAAACTCAGAGAAGGAAATTTACCGCGACTTGATTTTTTCAATCTCAATTCATTTATCGACCAAGCTTTTTGGTTACGACACTGCCCAGCATCACTTTACATAACTCCCTTGGTGGGCCGCCCTAAAGTGGCCGCGGATGCATGAAGAAAGATAATGTCAACAACGATACCTTGGAAATTCGACGAAAAAGAATTCAAGATCACATTCAAACCCAAGTACATAATATAGCTTAAATTGTCTCATTTGAATTAATGGTGAGGGTCGACTATTGGGGGGTTAAAAATAAAAATGCAAAAAGAAATGCTCACTGCCAGATTTGAACTAGCGACTTCGTGATTACTAGTCACGCACTCTACCAACTGAGTTAAGCGAGCTGGTATGATTGGTTGGTAAATTTTGGAAATATAAATCAGAACTTCAGCAATAGTGTAGATCAATAGTTTGACTACTTGACTTTGTTTTCCATGGTTGCAAATAAGCACATTTCTTCCCCCTCCCCCTATTATCGGGGGAAGCTACTGGAGTTGCCAATGCAGGAAACAACATTACATTCATCTGCAACTGCAAACAAATCCCTTCGAAAGTATCAAAGGGGGCATTGGAGGTGACATCGATGCCACGTCCCAGTTTCGAATCCTTTTTTCCAATGACAATGAAACTGGCCCAAAGTGCTCATGGACTAAGACAGAAGTGGTATTTGAGCCTTGGCGGGTCGAAGAGATCGTGACATTGTGCACCACTCTGTCTCCGCATGGCAATTCCAAGTTGCATCACTTCAAGAAACAAAAAGTTCAGTTTAGATATCCCTGTTGAAAAAGCACCGCCGGCAGATATGAATCGACAGGCTCTATCTATTCCGCCAATCCAAGACATTTGTTCATCTCTCCATATCGCCGAAACGTACATTGGGCGGTAGGAGCCTATAGGTTCTATATCAGACGAGTTGCACACCTCTGTTCGATATATGATGCATACCGAGACGAAACACTCCCAAAAAGTTCCTCAACTATCTCTCCATGAGGTACTTTCGCGCATCAGTCGGCGGGACCGTCTTCACATTGCCACTGGTCTAGCATGTGGTGTGATCCAATTTTGTGGCAATTGGCTGAAGACCTCGTGGGACAGCTCTGACGTTCACTTGGCCGCTGACCGCGACGGCATTAATGTTCTAGTCGATAATCTATATCTATCATGGCCTCTTTCCAAAACCACGGGCAAAAGGAAAGTGGACCATGAAGGGGCCAAGAATAATCGTTTATTGCCACTGGGGCTTGCACTGGTGGGGCTGTCGCTTGGAAAGTCTGTACGCACCTTATTGAATCCGGAGGATGAAGGTGGGGACATACTTGTAACAAGGTTAGAAACCGCATCTCGTCTTGTTAAGATGGTTTACATGGAGAGTGGTACAACAGAAGCAGTCAATAGCTGCCTGTGCTGGTCTGGCCTATGTCTTGATATAAAATTCGAGGAACGGGTGTTCGACACTATCGTTTCTCCGTTGCTGAAAGACCTGGTCAATTTTGAGGGCTTAGCTTGATACAAGACAGACATGATTATTTGTTTGAATAGTTTGGCCTGGTTACATTATCTGATACTGGCGCAAGGTGATAGAATTAGAGAAAGAAGGAGGACTCTCCAGGCTGGTCAGATCGTTTTATGTAGCTAGATCTAACGAGAGAAAACCAAAGAGGCCAAAAGAGAAGAATGACATGAAAATAAGGAAAACTTCGATCGTTCATCGTACTTCCGGCCATTGAATAATAAAGTATTCACAATATCTCATTGTTTCAGGATTCTAGATTATTCGAAATATTGGGGCAGGGGTGACCCTTTGTTCTGCTTTCAAAGAGTCAAACGCGGAGTTGGTGATGTCTTTGTTTGGGCCCTTCACTTTTTCAACGGGCAACATCCAAACGAAAATTATTCCTGCCATTAACTCTCTCCCTCTTCTTAATCTATCCTGCTCCCCTCCCTCTGACTTTCCCCTCTCCACTTCTTGCTCTACCTTTATCTGAAACATCCACCTTCAACACCACCCTTATCTACTCATCAACATGCAGCGTGCTGTGATGAAGCGACAGAAGAAGCGCAAGGACAAGCCAGTCCCACCTCTAGATCCGGTTCCAGTAAGTCTGCACTTACAACAGAGGATTCCACAAGGGAGCTATTGGAGAGCTTAACCTGCCCGCTTCTCTCACTTCATCCTCCCCCCTCCCGGAGATTCTCACTCCCACCTCCCCAGGATCACCCCCGCTATACCCGCAACAGTGACCCATCATACCATAAACAGATGGCTAACCAAGAATCCCAGGAGTATCTAGAGAGTCAGGGCCACAGAGAGGCATGTCACCCCCCCGAGCACCTGGGCGCTGGTGAAGACAACAACCCACCTGCCAACGTTGCTGCTGCTCGAACATTCCCAGCCGAGCTGTACAGCCACGGCGTCATCAGGATTGAAGAAATTGAAGCCTGCGATGGCCGCTGGGTATTCGTTTCATGTCCCCAGTCTACCGCAAAATGCCCGCACTGCATGAATCATGTCTATCACATCGGATGTCTGATAGTTTCCATCAGCGGCAGACTCTCAACCTCCGGCACCAAACCGCGTTCCTCAATCGGGATCTTCTTCGGCCGCCAGAATAAGAAGAACCTCTTCGCCGAACTAGACGGTGAAAAGCATACGGCGCAGACCGCCGAGCTCAAGGCTTGTCTGGAAGCTCTTACTCGCGCTTTCGTCCTCCACGCCAACTGGCAGGTTGAGCCACCCAAGAACGAGGCGTGTTACCCACTGCATACGCTCGTCATCAAGTCGGACTCGGAATATGTGGTCAAAGGGGCGACCGAGTGGCTGCCGAAATGGAAGGAGAATGGCTGGAAGAAGAGCAGTGGTCAGGTTGTTGCGAATGCGGAGCTGTGGCGGATTATTGATGCGATGCTCAAACAGCTCGAGTACGATATCAAGGTCCAGTTCTGGCTTGTTCCGCGGGATATGAATCGGGTTGCAAGTGCGATGGCCCAGCAAGCGCTCGGAAAGACCTAGGCCGCAGGATGTTTCGGCATCTTCAACGGATTCTTCAGCTTTAGGATATGCTTTATGCGTTTATTACTTAACTTCCTAGTTCTAGGCCTTGGGCGTGGGCGGCATTCGTTCGGCATTTTTTCGGGAAACCTGCTTATTCAACGGATAGGCACGGATCAGCGAAAGGCCTTTGTCATCTATGGTTACGAGAACGAACTGCAATGAAAGGAAACTCGGGTTCTTCAAACCTTCAAATCAAATTCTATTCCCTCGGAAATATTAGACGAGGTGTTGTTCTGGGCCCCGGTCCCCGACCGAGCGAACAGTTGCCAGCTTTAGGGATAGCATCAACCAATCGCATTCTCGGGAGCACAGCCTCATCGACGTCAACACGAAGGATTAAAGTTAGTCCTTCGTGGCCACGCAATGTACACCAGATGACCATCTAGTTGATTCATATAAGAAGATGAAGATGTCAGCCCACTCATGTAGACCTCCGCCCTTCGTGTATCCTACTTGAAGATAACACCACAGACTCTCAAGATGCAGAAGTCAACAACTTTGCGCGGTCCGCTGAGTGCGCGAGACGTCGAGTTAGCGCATATGCCGTGCTATGTACGGTGCGAGTATTTAAACACTGGTACGCCACACTTGGCTTAGATCATGATTCTCTTTCCCCTTCGACGTGTACAGTTAGACTGATTCGTCTTATTTTGAACAGATATATCCTTCCCCACCGAATGTGATCTATGCTTTGATGATATGGAGGCTTCCTCCATGTTTCGCCAGCTACCATGCGGCCATCTATTTCACAAACCATGCATAGATCTATGGATCCTTTCGCGTGATGCAAGCTGTCCTCTCTGCAGGAAGACCTTTTATGATCTACGGGTCTCCAAATTACCGCGGACTGGGACGGCGAATTGTGAGCGAATAAGCCATCATCATTCACATCACACTTGGCATATTCCTCGTTGGATTAAGTGGGGAATATCGGGGTAGCTGCCATCTGTATGGCATTTATATTAAAGTTATTAAGTGATTGGACTGCCTTTTGGGGAGTTTTGGTGTATCGTTCTTTTTCAGTCCTTGAGCGTCGTGGGAGCCAGGATCATCTTTACTAGACGGAGTGCGCGTGAATTCGTCTATTTCATGTCTTTCACCAATGAAGAGCTTGAATGATTATGAACCACAAGACTGCTCATCTCATCAAGGGTAAGGCCGTCTTTAGGGAAACACTCTCATGCATACTATTATTCAACCACATTTAAATCTCTGGCTCGGCCATATCCACTATACCCAATACCTCTTAAATTCCACGGAGAATGCTCTCGCTCCTGCGAGTTAGACTTTGCATCCGTAGCACAGCTCAAAATATCCCTGTGTATGCCAGGGGTTATTTTGACGTTCGCAGTCCATAAAACCCAACACCACTTCATATTCTCATCCGAGCCCTCTAATTGGGCATCGACCCACGAGTTCCCACCATCTCCTGATACTCGAACACGAGTTACAGGTCCGTCTGCGCCCTGTGGGATGGCATACCCTTTTACTTCCACCGTAGAAGTCGAAGACAACGTCACAGTCGCTCCATCTGCAGGCACAGCTATGGCAGAATTGATCGGCATATCGTACATAGGTGGGGTACTTTGCCAGTATTTTTCTGCAGATTTGCTATCGACTGCATCTGGGGGTAGCACTTTGTAATCACGTTGTTGGTAGACGTTGGGTGACTCGTGGTTTTGAATTATGATACGATCGATCCATTTCACCCATCGGACACCCACGATGCCGGGGAGAACGACTCGAACGGGGTATCCGTGGTTATTTGTGAGTGGAGAATCATTCACCTATAGCATTTATTAGTCCCTCTGATATTAGATATTGATCAGGCTAGCGCGAGAAGGGACTGAGAAACTTACTTCAAGGGCTAAAATGGCCTCCCTTTCCGTCGGCAAACACATCTTCAGCGGAACACTGGCCTCAAACCACTCGTCCTCTTGACATTTGGCCTGATAAGAAGCAAAAGCTACATGCAACTCGCTCTCTTGATCGGCGGTCTCCACACACAAACCCGCACGAAGAAGAACATCTCGTAGACTAGGCCCCTTCCATTTACAGTTCATAATCGCCGCATCGGCCCAGTCAATTCCCTGAACTTCTTTCATGAGCGTGCGCATCGTGTGTCGTCTATTACCGGCACATTCCAGTGCACAGGTCACTTCATGTTGAGCGAAGTCGGACCGTAGCTGGTCTATGGTGAGTGATAACGGGTTCTTGACAAGACCGTCCACGCGGACAGAGTGGGTCTCGCCGTTTATGTGGGGTATTTGGCCATGGTTGCGGTCGTAACTGGTGTCTTGAGGGGTGAGAAATCTGGATTTTATAGATCAGCTGGGTGCTATTGATGATATGATGAGACCTAGTTTGCACTTGGTATGACTATGCTGAGACGTTGAACGTACTGACTAACCAGGGTCTTGGCTGGAGGCTCCCGGTTTAGAGGCTCTTGTCCAGATGGATCCATACTCTTGTTTGCCTCTAGACTGGTGTTGAGCAAGTTCGACTTCGGCTGTAATTCTTCGACTCTTCGTACTTGGTGTGGTCTACGGATGTCCATGATTGTTTGCCCATAATGAAGGTTTTATTTCTGACGTCATCCAGGATGATAGTGCCAGTAATAGGTCATTGCCGCAAAAAAATAATAATTCTTGTTTTACAACGATTATGTCCATTCTTATCTATGTCTTCATATATCTCATCTCAAACTGAAAATCTCGAGCTTCTTTTATGAACCCGTACGGCTTGTTACATATTAAGGCTTATTGCAGCGGAGTTGACATTCTCTTGGTTTGACGATCGGAACAGCTGGAGACTACACGTGAGAAGCATTTCCCGATACCCAATATTGCAACCAATGTCTTCATACCATCGTATTTTGCCACAGGAGGCAGTGAAGGGGCTCAAGTTTTCGAGAACCCCAGATTGAGGCTGTGCGGTATAGATGCCAGCACGTGACTTTACCCACTCAGGCAACTCCTCCACAGATCAACAGCCTACAGCAACACCTTTGGATCCGCGCAGTGACCATGTTGATATCTATTGAGATTTCATAGAAGGAGATTCTAGAATGCACCCTGGGTACTCCGTACAGTATTGATCCACGACCTCGAGAGTGACCCGACCCTTTCGGCTCAGGTCCCGAGCTCCCGATCCGAAGCGGACATAAGCAACCAAATCGGCTCGCAGTGGGGGAAAGACGGGAGATGCAAATAACCAGTCGGATAGGTCTTCTTTATGAATAAAATATAATTCAGTGTCAAATTGTAGATGATTCTAAATAGAGGTTGATTTAATAACATCAGTATAATAACTTCTCCATATATGTTGCCCTTGTATTACTCCCTTGACGCTCGGCAGAGCCCTTAACCGAGAATCGATGCCGGGCCCGCTGGCAGGTCAACGACGGGAGTGGCCAACTCGCTCTACATCCGAAACCCGGGGTTGCGTCCGGCATTTCCCTTAAGATCCGCTTGCCGCGGAGGAGGATTGGGGATTTTTTGGTTGATTGAATTGCGTTTTATCTTTTGAGATCCTTTCTTTCTTCTTTCTCCATCCTCACGGTCATTCTCTTCGTACAGAACAAGTCCCGGACGCTCGACAGCATCGCAATTGACAACAGCGACCGGCCACCGAGAATCCACCGAGTAGACCACCAGCTAGCTCGGCGATATCTACAGATCTCACCGAAAACTTGAGAACCAACTTCGCAGCCATGGCTTCGCCTATCCCCCGCGGTATCAAGCAGGTGCTCCAGAAGACGCCCAACGACATTGTCATTCTGTCCTCCCTGCGAACTCCCGTCACCCGCGCCAAGAAGGGCGGCTTCAAGGATGCCTACCCCGAAGAGCTACTCTCCCATGTACTCCGCGCTACATTGAAGGCCAACCCCAACCTCGACCCTGCTCTGATCGACGATGTCACCATCGGCTCCGTGCTGCAGGAGCTCGGTGGCGCCAAGGCTGGCCGTATGGCCCAGGTTCACGCCGGTTTCCCTCACTCCGTGCCCTTCAACACCATCAACCGCCAGTGCTCGTCCGGTCTGGCCGCTATCACGGCCGTTTCCTACGGCATTCGCGCCGGCGCCATCAATGTCGGTGTCGGTGGTGGTATGGAGTCTATGACCCGCAACTACGGCTCTCGCGCTATCCCTACCGTCCTCTGGCCCGAGCTGAAGGATTCCCCCTCCAAGGATGCTCGCGACTGCATCATGCCCATGGGTATTACTTCTGAGAACGTCGCTTCGCGCTACGGCATCTCCCGCGCTGACCAGGACGAGTTTGCCGCTGCGTCACACCACAAGGCCTCCGCCGCCCAGAAGGCTGGCCGCTTCGATAGCGAGATCGTCCCCGTCACCACCAGGTCCTACGCCGCCGAGAACCCCGATGCTGCCCCCGAGGAGATCACCGTGACCCAGGACGACGGTATCCGCCACAACATCTCCGTCGAGAAGATGGCTTCTCTCAAGCCCGCCTTCTCCGCTGACGGTGCTAGCACCGCCGGTAACAGCTCCCAGGTCAGCGACGGTGCCGCCGCCGCTCTGCTGATGCGCCGTTCTACTGCCGAGGAGCTCGGTCTGTCCGGATCTATCAAGGGTCGCTGGGTCGCTACCGCCATTGCAGGCTGTGCCCCCGATGAGATGGGTGTTGGTCCCGCCGTTGCTATCCCCAAGTTGCTCGAGACCACTGGCCTGAGCGTCGCCGATGTCGGTGTCTGGGAGATCAACGAGGCCTTCGCCTCCCAGGCTCTGTACAGCATCCGCAAGTTGGGAATTGACCAGGCCAAGGTTAACCCCAATGGTGGTGCTATTGCTATCGGTCACCCTCTCGGTGCTACCGGTGCCCGCCAGCTGGCTGATCTGCTGCCCGAGCTGGAGCGCAGCGGCCAGGATATCGGTGTTGTCAGCATGTGCATTGGTACTGGCATGGGTATGGCCGGTATGTTTGTTCGCGAGTAAAAAAATGCCTCTTTCTGGTGCTGGGGTCCTGTTCTATATTCCATTTTTTATGTTATAGTATGATATGAGCGATGCATGTCTATATACATTTCGCGTACAATGATTGTTTTCAGCTTCTTAATCTTGTTCCTTCGACCGACTCTGGTTGTAATACGTCCCTATCTATCACTGAACCTCGCGACTACTCGGAGCCTCGCGGCCATGTCTTTCATCCACTTGAATTGGAGGCGCCCTAGTTCTATCTTCACGCCTTATATATCGTTACGCAAATTAATGATTTTTGTTATACAATTACCATAGAAAACTCCAGAACACCAGCTCTACACCAGAGGGTAACATTTTTCTCTTTCTACTCTTCCTCTCCCGCCCTCACTCCGAATCTGACAATCACAAAAAAGATTTTGGACTGTAAAATCTAAACACTGTCGACCTACGGAGTTTTAGACTCTCGCCAGATCTCGAGCCTACTATTCGTCCCCACCCCGACAGCGGAGGCTCCCTGAAATTCAAATACCAAGTGGGATTACTTTATGGACTTCTGTGGATTGTACGAACTCGTCATTGTCTGTCTCGCGAGAGGCTGAGTCTGGGATCAACATTGCTTGAGTTGTGCTAGTAAGGGAATTTCTGGCCAACCAACTGCTCACTCAGTACCCAGAGCTTTTCGGCTTCGAGAGCATTCGTTGCCCATGGCTTGACAATGTTTTCCATTGGATCCGCGATATGCGAGTCGACCAGATGCGCCCCATTATGTGCTGTATTTCCGAGTTAGCATCCCTGGGTCTCACGAATACCAACAATGTAATATACCTTTTAGAGTAGGATCAAATGAAGCATATATATGAGTCGCAGTACCCTGATCAAGTGTCTTGAGAGTAAATCCCTGATCTTGCCAGCCTTCTCTCTCGCCTAGCTGTCGGTAGACGAACACTATATAGAGTGAGTAATAACCCCTGTCGTGTGCACAGTGTAACAACTTACAAAGATCCTGCATATCAACATTCCAATCGAGATGCGAACCCAGATTCGTCATGATTTGCCCTGGATGCAATGAGTATGCTTGCAAGCCATACTTGACTCCAAGCTTTTTCGCCAACGACAGCGCCATCAACATATTCGCCGTCTTGGATTGGCCATAGCCAACCCACTTGTTGTAGGTTTTGCCTCCCTGAGGAAAATATCAGCATGGGATTTTGTAACCAGTGATACTGCTAGCACAGCGTACATCGAAATTGTAATCGTAGAATCGAATAGGGCTCAATCTGTGCCCGTCACTTGACACAATGACTATTCGGGGATTTCTCCCATTGAGAACCTTCTTCATAATGAGATTCGTGAAGAGAAATGGACCCAGGTGATTCGTAGCGAAATGTGACTCGAATCCATCTATCGAGAGCTTGTACTCCACCGCCATGATGCCGGCGTTGTTGACTAGTACATCGATAAAGGGGACGTCCTCCCAGCCGTTGACTTGATCTGCAGCTTTACGAACACTTTCCAATGAGCCCAAATCAATTTCCAAAGTTTTGATACGGACGTTCGAGCTTTCAGCATGTATACGTCTGGCGCATTGCTCGAGCTTCCCAGCACTGCGGCCGGCAAGTATGAGACAGGCAGGCCTAGCTTTTGCGATGGATTTTACGTAGAAGTCACCAAGTGACCCTGGAGAGACACCGGTAACGAGGATAGTTTTTCCCATGATGAAAGGAGCATAGTCGAGAACTAGATGAGTGGCTGTTGAAGTGTGGTGGTATGGCATTGTTGGAGGTGCAAATACTGGTGAAGAGTGAAGCGGGGTCGGGAAATAGAGAGTAAGACCATCAGGTACTAGATGAGAGATCTGTCTTTTATAGGTATGGAATAACTTCTGGCTCGAATGAAAACTAACTAACTTAGAGATTCTGTATCATGTCAGCAAACTTTTCTTCGTCCTTGCCTGAATACATGACGTGTTCACCGTTCATGATGAGTGGGGGCCGCGAAGCTGTCCGGGTCCCCCGAAATTATTCGCACTGTCTATGGATGATGATCATGTCCGGAGTTAGGACTTATTGCCCGCTTGGGCCTGTCATCATGGCTACTGCTATAAGATTCTCGCCAGGCGTATTTGTACCCAGGTTAGGAAGCTGAATTTTCGAGAAGACATCCGCTCAAATCAATTTGGGTAGAGTCGAACTAGGTACGGTTAGTTTCAAAATCAGAATTAGTGTAGATATTTGTCGCAACATATTTCGGGCATTTTACCCCGAAACCAAAATGCTCCATGAGCAACATCCTTATTCTATACGGCCAGTTAGGTATTGTTCTGACAATATACAGCCAGTCTCATGATAAACGAAGGGGACAACAGAGTATCGTTTCTGTCCATATTGTCTTCCTCTCTACGAGCTTCTGACTAGTCCGAGTTCATGGATGCACCAAAGAGGAAATCTCGACCATTATTCCTTATAAGAAGCCTCCAATTAGTCTGTAACTATTGGGACCCAATTTAAGTAAGCTGAAGACTGCATACTCTACAATAGACCCTATCCCTCGACTTGCTGTAGAAGCTATAAGTTAAGGGGGGTACGAGCGGTTCAACTGGTCAAGCTCACGTGACCGTTATCCAAAGATTTGTTCTCGCCGCGCAAAAGTTGCCGGGGACTCGAAGCCTCAACAGCACGCACACCACTACAATGCGACCCGCCATGCGTCTGCCTCTCCGAGAGGCACTTTATGTCTGCTCCAACTGCAGACAGGAAGTTGCACCACGAGGCCTCTCCCCCCTCGCCCGCCAATTCCGCCGCTACGCATCCTCCGATTCCCCGTCCTTCCTCGAGCGCACCCGCAGCAAGCTCTGGAACACAGAGAAGCCGCCTGGCCCGGCAGACCCATATACTGGCGAGTCACAACTCGCGCGTGATGCTGAGCCTGAGCAGGGACTGGCCAAGGGGGAGACCAACAAATCAGAGGTTCTCGCAACGGCGGATTACGTGCAAGCGGAGTCCTGGGATGGACTCCAGGCCATCGGTTATCTTCAGAAGGACAAATGGATTCAGGAAGGTACACGCAAGGCTGATAAATACGCTCCGTACGTTTTTCCTGGCGCGGCACTCGAATTTCCAGGACTCAATCCCTGTCGAATCCCGCGATTCTTGTCCATATCCTCGACTGAATTCTAACCTATTGATCTCTGTAGTTACGGCGCCGATGTGAGGTCTCGATCCGTCCTTTACGCTCTTCACCAAACCACCGTGGAACTATGCTTAATGAGCATGCTGGGCAAGCCTCTGCTGAGCATTTGCGATGTTCCCCGCCACAACCCCCAGATCCTGCAGATGCTTGATTCCTGCTACGTGGATGGATCGAACCCCCAGCAGTGGAACAGTGCTCTTCGATTCTCGAGCCAACAGAACATGGAAGCCCTCCTCTTTGTTTTCAACCAGATCGGCGGAGAGTCCACAGTCAAGGTCGAGCCGTCGGAAACCCTGGTCACCGACAAGTCTAGCAAGGAGGATACACACCGTGATCTGTCGCTCGCCGACACCGAGGTCAAGTTTGCCGTACGTCTCTTTTCTCTCAAAGCTATGAAAGCATTCTGCTAATCTCCCGCCTCCTATAGTTCATCAAGCGACTCTCCCAGCTTCTCGGTCGCCGTATCTCCGACAAGGCTATCACCGCATCCTGGACCGTCGGTGACATTCTCTCCGGAATGGCAACTCAATTGAAGGAGAAGCCTATCCAGGTTACCAAGGTTTTGGGCAAGAAGGCAGCCAAGGGGCAACTCCCGGCCAACATCAAATTCAGCCCCAAGCGTCTGACCAAGAGCCAGGTCGATGAGGACCACGGCCGGAAGAAGGCCATTGTCTCCGAGTTTTACCGCAGAGGATTGAACGTTCGCGGTGCGAGCAATAGCGGCTTCCGATTTGAGAAATGACGATGCTAAGAGAGAGATAACTGCGTCATTTGGCGGATGATTAATATTTTCAGCCGTGGGCGTTATTTTTGTGTAAAGATGTGGAGGAATGGAGCTTTCGTGGCCCTTGATTTGGGACACTTTGTTTTTATAGCAAGACATTCTTCGTGTATACTAGAAACACTTATTCAATTGCATTTGGGATTATAGTTCAAACAGCTGATTGGATTCTTCAAATCTGAAACAGTTCCTGAACAGTATACTGTGGACTGTGTTAGATTGTATGGCAGGAGACGAAGACTAAGGCTTGAATTTGAACGTTAAGACAGAAGGTATTTGAATTGTACAGTGCTAGATGAGCATGCGTCGTGGCTATCATGTAAGTGTCCTCCAAACGGGTAAAATGAATCAAGCTGCTCCATAAACTCCAGACGCAAACAGAGCGAAACCCCCAAGACCAAACTATCTCCTTGCCGAAGCTGGAATAGAGAATCCACGAGTCATAAAGTCAGCCTTTGCGCCATCCTTCTTATCCTTCGTGAACAAACTATCAATATTCTCGTTATTTATCTTTCGCTTCTTTTTTTTTTCATTCTCTTCATTCAGCACACGCGCAGTGAGCGAAGCCGTCGCAGAGTTCTTAATACCATTGCCAGCGCCATTTGATTTGGTTGCTGACGTAGAAGTGGCCACTGCCGTGGTACCCTTGGTCGCATCCGCCGAGCTTTCGGCATGCTTCTTGCGCTTCTTCGAGCCGGGGGCTTTCTTAAGAGAGTGGGTGAGGCCTTGCTCGGCGAGTTTGACACCGCGTGCTATGAGGCGCTCTTTGTCGGCCTCTTTTGTAGGGAGAATGGGGATGATGTTGTCTTCGGTGTAGGACTCGTTACACTATAACCATGTTAGATACCTCGTGCCTAATACATTCATTCTGGTAGACCGGAAAACTCACCTGCAAGCATTTGTCCCCCTTCAGTTGCCGGATAGCCTCCTCGGCAAAGACATGGCCGCATGGCACAAGGTAGACAGACTTCACGCTGGGACCCAACGGCTTCGCAGTGATCGGGCAGATCCAACCTTCGCGGCGCAGGTGACGGTGGGCATTGGCGCGGTCCGAGGGGTGCTCACTCAGTTCGGTATCGATTTCAAAATGCAGCTCGACAACATCCCGTAGACCTTTCACTCGTCCACACAGAACCTCCTCACAGTCGGATTTGGAGCTAATGCCCTCGCCGTCGTCGCCGGGGAGTAAGAATTGTAGCACGGCGTCTTTATTGTATAAGTTTCCAACACTGTCGGAGACTACCGGGCGTGCTAGAGCTTTGTGCGACAGCGGGCATGTCGTCCAGCTATGCTCTTGCTGTTCGCGCTGGGCTTCTTTGATTTGCGCTGTGGTGGGAGCGCGGGCGGCTTCGCGGACTAGCTCGCGGCGAGTTGGAATACTGGCGTTGAGAGCTTGAGTTAGTTCGACTGAAAGAGTGATAGGGTCAGAGCTGTAATGTGAGGGTTTACCTTCCACCGTCATTACCCATGGTGACTGCTTGGTTGAAAGATGGTGTCGCAGATGATCAGATTATTGCCACCACCGGCGATAAGTTGAAGATAAAGCGCTGACTCAGCGTCCGATTAGATCCCGCATATCAACAGCTGGCCGGAAGCTCTCCAGTCTCCACACTCCCCAGCTCAATGCCTCAATCATGAGACTTCCCCAGTCGCTTCTTCTGCTGGCTGTGGCCGGGTCTGGAGCCCGAGCTAGCAGCGATAAAACTGCTCGCCCCCGGGGTGTGGCCCCAGAATGTAAGTGACTATTGTTGCCGAATGGATATCTCCACCCCCGGACAACGAGGTGTCCACACCTAGTGGGCAATCAATGTGATATAACATCACTGGCTTTAACTTGCGCATATTTATCCTTGATGTACTAACTATGGGGCTTGAAAGTTGTCAAGTACTATCAGGACTCGAACACGTTCACTTGTATCTCGAATCCCTCTGTCCAGATCCCGTTCTCCGCCGTCAACGATGACTTCTGTGATTGCCCCGATGGCAGTGACGAGCCTGGCACTTCAGCTTGCTCGCATCTCTCGCGCAACTCTCCCCTAACGGTTGCTGATCGACGTGGGAATAACGAGGAAGAAATCGTGGCTGCATTGCCCGGCTTCTACTGTAAAAACAAGGGCCACCGACCATCATTCGTGCCGTTCCAACGTGTTAACGATGGGATCTGTGATTATGAGCAGTGCTGTGACGGGAGTGACGAATGGGCTCGTGTGGGAGGTATCAAGTGCGAGGATCGCTGCAAGGAAATCGGAAAGCAATGGCGGAAGCAAGAGGAGCAGCGCCAAAAGTCCATGACTGCTGCGCTGAAGAAGAAGAAGGCCCTTCTGGTTGATGCTGGGCGTCAACAACAGGAAATCGAGGACCACATTATCCGCCTGGAGGCTGAAATTAAGGGTGCCGAGGTCAAGGTAGAGGCACTCGAGGCCGAACTTAAATCCGTCGAGGCTGCGGAGCGCAAGGTCATCCGGTCCAGCGGCAAGGGCAAGGGCAAGGTCAATGCTCTTGCCGGTATTGCAAAGGCTCGGGTTGATGAGCTGCGCGATGCGCTGCTGGAGGTTCGTCAGCAGAGAGACGAGACCCAATTGCGGTTGAAGGAGCTCGAGGATATCCTTTCCAAGTTCAAGATTGAATATAACCCCAACTTCAACGATGAAGGTGTCAAGCGCGCTGTGCGCAGCTGGGAGGACTATGCCGCTCGTGAAGTGACCGAGGGTATCAATGAAGCGCGGGACCGTGATTTGGAAGAGATTGCCAAGGCTGATAGCGAGAGCTCTGGGATCAACTGGGAGCACTGGGAGAATGAAGAGGATGGTTGCAATGATGCCGATTTGGGTAAGCCTCCAATCCGCCTTTCTTCTGGGGTCGATTGAGCTAACAAAAATAGTTTACAAACTCGCAGCCTATCTTCCCCCGTCTCTAGTCGAGTTCATTGAGGAAAAAGTACTTTCTCTGCGATCCTTCCTGGAGTCCAGCGGCATTCTGGCCAAACACGACAGCGACTCCCCCTCAGAATCCAAGGCTGTGACCCAGGCACGCGACGCTCTCAAGTCCCAGGAAGACACTCTGAGAGACCTGAAAAACAAGCTCCGTGACCAACGGGCCGATCTCGAGAAGCAATATGGCCCCGGAGGCATCTTCCGTGCCCTCAAGGGCCAGTGTATCTCCAAGGATGCGGGCGAGTACACCTATGAGCACTGCTTCTTGGAAGATACAAAGCAGGTTTCCAAGAAGGGCGGCTCTTCCACCTCCATGGGCAAGTTCACACGTATCAGCTCTACGGTCGTTGAAGAGCTGAACGAGGCTGGCGAGATCGTTACCATCGAGAAGATTGCGATCGAGTATGACCGAGGCCAGCACTGCTGGAACGGACCCAACCGGTCTACCAAGGTCGTTTTGGAGTGCGGCGAGGAGAATGAGATTCTGAAGACGGCCGAGGATGAGAAGTGCGTCTATTCGATGCTTGTGACTACCCCAGCTGTTTGTCCCGGTGGCGAAGGGGATGGTAATGCTCCTCGTTCGAAGGATGAGTTGTAACGTTGTGAATCTGATATAAGGTGGCTTTGTATTCAGGCCTACTGTTTTATTCTTTGTTCAATCTTCACATACTCCGTACCTGGAGTTTATGTGCTTATCAGCGTACATCTAGAGGTTTTTCCCAATAAATTCAAGCGAACTGTTGTCTTATCCAAGCCACATTTGATACAGCTCGTCGCCTTCACCCCAAGCTCCCTATTCACCGCTTGGAATATAGCGACGTTTCTCGCAAACTACATCAAACGTGTGAAAAGATGTCACTGTGTATCAGAAGACAAGGCAAGTTGTTATTCATATAGGTATTCTCGCATGGCACAAAGCCCTAAAAAAAACAAGACATACACTCGGGCACAGCAATAAGAAGAACTGAAACCCTACCCCTTCCCAAAACCCCCAACGTTCTCACCCATACAGTACAAACAGGTAGACATCTTGACGACAAAGTAGCAGGCACACTTGACAAAACGGCTCTCCAGGCCCCCGAAGCTATCCTAGTTCGACAGCAGCGGGATACCGGGCCTCGTATGTGTAGTCGTGTTGGAGGAGGGCGGTGGTGAAGGTGTATGAGCCGGCTTAGTGCTGGTAGAAACATATCAGAAGGGTTTCCAGGTGGGTAAAGCTAGGACGACCTTGTGATAGATAGGGACACTTACACCGCAGGCAGTGCAGGAGCAGCCGTTGCAGTCATTGCTGCAGGAGCAAGTGGAGCAGGAGCAGGGAGACATGTTGAGGTTGGTTTGGTGGTGAACGAAAGGGGGATTGTTAGATTGTTTGTTTTGTATTCAAAGTGCTTGATGACTTTATTCTATTCAAGCGAGAGGCAGGGCGGACGGTCTGCTTTTATACTTGCTCTCCCACGAGCCTCTCTCCTCTTCCCCTCTTCCGGTCCTGATGTATACATGGACATCCGCCAATGACATTTGCACAGTTTGCTTTTTCCCTTTGAAGTATATCTTGCTCCATGCTATGCCTTGTGCACCCTATCAGAGCTACCGGACGCGCATCAGCATCGCGTGGTCGAGTCAAATGCACCCAGGACCCATGTAACTATACGCTCTGCCCCTCTCAGCTCCGACAATCTCCACTCCTTTTTCTCACGCGCTACCCGCCCCGACCACGAGGGCCGACTCTGAAGCCCTTGCCCAGTCAAACGGGGGTTTCGTTTTGCTGCACCCTTGGGCCAATAAGCGAGGTCTCTTTGCCTGGGTCTGGTGGGTGGGGACAACGAGGAGGAGGAGGCGGGGTTATAGGCACTGGCAGTTACGGACAGTACGGATGCCTCCAGGTAGTATGCCCGTATATCCTGATCTGGATTCTTGCGGATTTCGGACAGGACTGCGGTGCAGATCTGATCCGTTGGCGATGCTCGGAGTTGGTAAGGTTCGTGTGGATCGATGATGTGGGCGATTTTGGCAGCTGGGGTTTCGGGGCTTGTTTAGTTAGGGATAGTGCTTCACTTTAGCCGATCGGAGCGAAGCGTCTAAACCTTTGACTACGGTATTGCAAGGGAAGTATATCGGCAGCGTGGTTTTGGCATACTCGTGGGGGCGTGGGTCTCCGCTGCGTTATTTACTGCGGCTAGCCTGGATGGAGCTTACCCGGGCGAGATGTTGGGCATGTATTTTGACGCCCAGGCTGTTCTCCGGTCTTACGATTATGGAGCTGCCCGGGTTTTCATGGAATCTCGGGGTTTGTTTTTTTCCAATGGGGAAGTTACTGTAGGGCGAAAGTATCACGATCACGATTGGGGCGAGTACGGAGAGGAGTTGCCTACGTCGACAACGACATATGTCCAATGAATACTTCGTACTGGGCTTCGCCTCAAATATAGCCGATCTATGTACGTACTACCAGTCATGCCACAACGACCAGCAACCACAATTCGGAAGCCCTGTGTCGATCTGCCTTCCGCACTGGACTTTGCCAGATCCACTCTTCGGAACGGGCCTGCCTTACCTTATTACCTCATGGGTACAGTCATACATATGTACTCCGTATTATACGCAGACATGTACATATTGAACCAGCGGTAGAAGTGAGTGATCTCCCCACGCAGTAGGTGGAAAAGACATTCCAGAAGGGAATAATTTTCGGCGCCAGCAGCGGTGCAGATTCCGTCGAGGCAGCCTATTAGGGTGCGGGTGTCTTGACCCTCTTGGGGGCAGATTGAGGACCTTGGAGGGGGGCTGCTGTGAGGGCTAATTGGTAGCTCACTGCGTCCTGGAACTTGAGGTGCATATTCGTTTCCATTCGCCGGGGTGGGGTCGAGTACCGGTATTTGATCATGTTTACGTTTGTGGAGAGGTTTTGCTTGGTGGTCCAGTGTACAGGGCCAGTCACTCTTATATTGGAGGTAACATATCAAGACGAAATTATATGAAGACGAGATACTACCGAGCGATGATAGGAACGGTTATTATAGGATCAGACATGAGTGTATTTAAGTGACAAAACCGGAAGGGTTTCAGTAGAATCTCCCGCCCATGCTGGCAGAGATCTGATAACACGAGATTGACGACCGCGTTCACCGGGGACCTCAATGCAAAGCATAGGTACAGTACAAGATAGGGACTGGGCGTTGCGGTCCACTCCCTAACGCGGAATAGATCTTCAACCGGTCACTTCCAAGACTTTACTACTATGTATCCCGTACTGTACGAAGCATACTACTCCCAGGACTTACTTCAAGGCAGGGCAGCGTTCCCAAATTTGGGTGGCCAGATTGGATTCCAGCTACGGGATAGCTCGAAGCTACCGGAGCATATCATACCCTGTCTGTGCCACGGACCCTCCCGATATGCAGGTTGTATGATTATAATTGGTTGGAAGGCGATCAGATTCCACGCCGCCCAGACTGTAAGTTCCTATGCGTTATTTCCCTGGGTTCGTGGCCTTTTTGATCGTTTGCTATGCAAGAAATATGGAAGACCGCTTAGAGCGGTCGTGGGCATGTACATGGAGGACAGGGAAATTGGTCTTGCCGGAGCATGAGTCTAGGATACTGGGAAGAATGTTTTCAAGCTCCGTCAAAATATGACCACAAGCGGGTAAACTATAGGTGATCTCAGGTTCCCTCGAGTAGACGCTACATCCTCACAGCCTGAAAGTTGTCTTCATGTGACCTGTTCAGGATTCACATCTATCTCGATACCACGAAAGGCAAGACGAGGGGGAAATGTGTACACCAGAATCCTTTTCACCTTTCTAGCCCTTCTATAAGTAGTCGTACTTCTCCTATTCCGACTTGATAGTGATTCAAATTTCTCCAGGCACAGATCTCCCCACCACGGTCCATCTATAGCCTGCGTTTTAGAAGTTTGACCTAAGAATATTCGGACGAAGTGATGGCACACATCGTTGTTCCCACGCTGATTTTAGTACAACGCGAATGACCGAGATCATCAACAACGCTTTTATACGTCGGGATCAGTGATCATCTGGGCTCTGGAGCGACTATATAGACCAGGATAGGTCATATACCGATGCAGTGCTATTGTGGCAATCTCCGTTTTGATAGTTGATGGCGATTCTACCACCCCGTCCGTCATCTACAACACTACGGTTGGGCCCGTGGCAACCCCACCAAATCCAGAGACCCAAAGATCGGGAACCCAATGCCCACAAGGTACCCTAGACAAGAAGGATAAAAGTATTTCAGTAACCACTGATAGCCAGAATTGACCTCAGTCGATCAACCCAAGTTTGATTCTCTTGATAACTTCCTGGAGGCACAAAAAAGCAAGATAGCCACAGCAGAAACCTCGGGATCATATCCCCCACCGAGTTCTCACATCATCCAATCCGCATATCCGCCGCATTACAACTCGATCGAAAAGAAGAAATTCAACTCAAGCGATTTGCAATTTGCCCTCTGGTACTTAAAAAGTATCATTGGGGGTTGGAAGTGGATGGTTTATTTCTGCACCCTTGAGTTAGCCAACGGGGCAAATCGATAACGCGATGGGATCAGGCGAGGAAGGGAAGGGATATCACATACGGGGCACTGGCAAGCGCCGGCAGGGCACTGGCACGAAGCACCGCAGCTGCAAGTGTGGTCGGGACCTGGGTTTCTTGGTCAGCATCGAAAGGAACACTCGAGAGACTTGGGAAATACGAGGGGAGGGGGTTGAAAATGGGAACCCCGCCATGACCCCGCCATGAGCCACAGCCATAGGCCAGGGTCGGGGGGAAGGGAGTGCAGGGTGCAGACTTTCAAGGCAGACACGGTAGGTCAGATGGGGGTGGTTCTACTTACCCATTTTGATTTTGAGAGGGGTGAAGGAGTTGAAAGAGCTGAAGGCTTGGATGTTGGTCGTGGAGGGGGTTGTGGGAGGGAGGAAAAGTAGTGGTGTGATTGATGGTGGGGGGGGAATTACTTTTGGGCCCGACAGCTCTTATAGACGGCGGGCCGCCCGTGACTTCCCGGATGGCAGTCCCTTCCCCAAGGCCCTCTAGGTTACTGGCCTTGACGGGCCCTGAGAGGGCCCATGTTGCAAACAACGAGCACATTTCTGCAATCCTTACCCCGCCTGAGCACATATCTGACGCATGGATGACTTACTAACAGAGCTTGTGTGACCACCGTCAACCACAGCCACCTCTCTTTTTATGAAGGATACGTGTATCAGCATTCAGTCAAAGAAGCACCGTGATTTCACGCCTCAATGACTACTACCTCGGTCACTTGTCTATGTGGACATATAGCATTGTCCATCCAGCTAGACCCTGCCACCGACCACACTCAGCTCCAGCTATGTCATTGCCACGACTGCCGGGCAGTGACGGGCTTGCTCTGCTCATCGTATTATCTCTTGCAGGAAAGGCCTCCTGCCTTGGATACTCTCCAGGAGTACCAGGAATCCCCACACGTGAGCCGCTTCTTCTGTAGGACCTGCGGTGCGCATGTCTTTGCCCAGTCCAAGCCCAGTGGGCGATATCTGGTTGCTTCTGGTGTGTTAGTAGATGCAGATACACCAGAAGTGCACTCCATCCAGCACTGGAAGACTGGGGACACGGGAGATGGTGGGCTAAGTGCATATCTCCCCCAATGGCCATCCACAGACATAAGCTGTAGACTGGAGGCAGAACCAGTTCCGATCGAATCTTCCGAACAAGGAAAGTCTGCTATATCACAGACGCCACCGGCATCCTGGAGTAGTATGCAGGACGTGCACAATCTGCAGGCACGATGCCACTGTGGAGGCATTGACTTCTTCGTCACACCTCCGGATGAATCGTCCACTCAGGCTTGGTCTCAGTGGCCTGATCTCCTGGTCCCCTTCAACTCAGAATATGCTGATCTAGACAACGGAGCCAATGTGACATGGTTCCTGCGAAAGGGAAATACCAAATATTTGGCTGGGACCTGTGCCTGTGCTTCCTGTCGACTGCACAGTGGCTTTCCCATTCAGGTCTGGGCCTTTATTCCCAAATCCAACCTCTTCAATGCAGATGGATCTCCTCTGACATTTGGCTCTGGCACCATGAAACAATACAAGAGTTCACCGGGAGTCTATCGGGAATTCTGCGATCGTTGTGGTGCCACGGTCTTCTGGCATAATGATGGACGGCCAACCGTCATTGATGTAAGTGCAGGATTGATCCGAGGGAAGAATGCCCGATCGGAAGAGTTGTTGGACTGGGCTACCGGGCGTGTCAGTTTTGCCGAATTGGCTGTACAGAACGATTTGGTAAAGATGCTGGAAGAAGGCTTGCAACAGTATGCAAAGCAGCATGAGAATGATTAGCCATGTCTATACGCAGTAGTGGAAAAGCCAATCAGAGTGGAATATTGTCTGTCCGCCTTTGCGTGGTGTGGATTCTGCCAGAGACACTTTCTTTTTTTCGTTCGGGGAAACTTCAATCCAGATCAAATCGACTCGCTTCTTCCTCTTCCTGGGCTTTGGCGCTCTCGTTTTGAGTCTATAATTAGGCGTGATTGCCACGTTTGTCATATATACACTCCCATTCCGGACCTTCTCTTGCGTACCCAAGACCTTTGCCAAATTTGCGCTCGTCGCGTCCCCCGGCATCTCACCATCGAGTGTGCGCGTTCGGCAATGCCTCCTCCGTTTCAGTTTCGAGGGAACGGCCCTCCAAGAGGCCCTCGTGGCCAACACTCCAAACCAGAGTTTACCTTTCGTCCCCCACCCCGTCCGACATCAGAGCGGCCCTTGTTACGAGGCATGAGGGAGGCTACTCCGGAGCTACTGTTCCCTGAAACGGGACCTAAGCCGGCCCCGAAGTTCGCGTCGCTCGATGCACTGAGCGACAGCGAAGAAGCAGAAATGGATCTATCCGACGATGAGGAGTCGGACTCCGAGGCGCGTCCGCGGAAGAAGCGCATTCTTTCCCTGGACGGCAACGTCGAATCTACTCAGCCCATACTCGCTGCTATCCCCGCGCCCGCACCTCCTCAGCCGAAGTGGTCCAACCCTGATCCATACACGGCACTCCCTCCTCCCGATGAGAGTCAGCACAAGCGTGTTGACGTGGTGAAGTTGATCCGCAAAGCACGACTGGCTGCCGTGCAGCCAAAGGCAAACGACGCGGTGGTCGACAATCTGGACTTTATCTCGCTCGGCGCAATTGGTGCCAACGACGTCAAACCGGAGAACGAGCCGCCCAAGAATGCACCCAAGGGACCCAAGGGGATGGAAATTAAGGAATCTGCTGCTGCATCTCGTAAGCGTACTCGTGATGAACAGCCAAAGCCGTTGACCCCCAAGACTGGAAAACCCTTGCGACGGTTTAAGATGGATGCCTCGATTCTTGATGATTGGATGCCTCTGAAGGACCAACATCCCACACCCTGGTGTGATTCGGTGACGTCTTTGAATGTCGCGACCAGGTAAGCTCTTACCCTGTGCCCCAGCTCGTAGTTATCATGCTTACACCTGCTCAGATTTCATAACGAGATCCTGTCTTTCTACCACTGGGTGAAGCCCCATCAATTCGAGCAGATTGTCCGCCAGGATCTTGTAGATCGACTGGAACGAGCTTTCCAGAAGCGTTACTCCGGTGTTCAAATCCACGCATTCGGTTCCTTTGCATCTGGGTTGTATCTTCCCACCGCCGATATCGATCTCGTCCTTCTCTCGACCTCGTTTATGAAGACAGGTATCCGGGCATTCGGTGAAAGGAAGGGTCAGATTTACGCGTTTGCTGGCTTTGTCAAGACCTCGGGTCTTGCTGTGGATGGCACCGTCGAGGCCATTGCAGGCGCGCGAGTGCCCATCCTGAAATGGGTTGATAGGTTGACTGGCCTGCGTGTCGACTTGTCGTTTGACAATGATAGCGGTCTTCTTGCGAACAAAACTTTCCAATATTGGAAGGAACAATACCCTGCGATGCCCGTCATTGTTTCGGTCATCAAGCAGTTCTTGCTTCTTCGAGGCTTGAATGAAGTCCCTACCGGTGGTCTCGGTGGATTCTCAATCACCTGTATCGTGACAAGTCTGTTTCAACATATGCCCAGAAGCCAGGAGCGCAACATTGGGAGTCTCTTGCTGGAATTTTTCCACTTTTACGGAAAGGTCTTCAACTTTGAGAAGACTGGAATTCGCATGAATCCTCCAGGATTCTACAACAAGGTAAGTTTGCTTTTATGACGCAAGTTCAGTGGACAATCCCGCTCATATCGCTTTTACAGGTCTTCGAGAATAGGGATCGCTTGTCGATTGAGGATCCGAACAATTCCGCCAACGATATCTCCGGTGGTACTAAAGAGATTGGTTTAATCTTCAGAGCTTTCCGCCACGCCTATTGGAACCTCAAGGACCGCATCGATCTGGTGAACGATAACGGTAACCGGGATGCCAGTATCTTGGGAGCCATCATTGCGGCCAACTACGATGAGTACATTGATCAGCGAGAACAGCTCCGCCATGTCTTCGATACGGCTCCCCAGTTTGCGAAGCATCGACAGCCTCCTCCTCCGCCGCCGCCTCTTCCCGTTGGTGAGTCTCCACCGCCACCTCCTCCCAGCGGGCCTCGAAGCATGCGCTCCGCACCAGGCATGCGAGCCTAAACACGAAGCGTTGCACCGGCGTGCGGGAGTCTTTATGACCTCGACGAGTTCTCTTCCATCTGTGCTCTTTTCACTCTCGGTTATGCGTTCGATACCCTCTTAGTTTTTTGATTGAGTCAGGAGATGGTGGAAGCATTTACATTGGTTGGTGTTGGCGGGCGGTGTCTTATCTGTGGCCTTGACGTTTTCACGTCCGTGGTCTGCTTTTGTTGTTTTTCTCCCTCAATCAGCAATGGGACATAAGTACCCCTTAATTCCCCAAGGGGTGTTTTTTTATTACTTACATCTAGGGTATTAGAAGTGTCGCCATGAATTCGGATTGCGGTTGGCTTATCATGTTATGCCAACATCAAATCTGCCAGCTGGAAATGAAGACCTGACGACTTAACTTTGGTATTACGAGCCGAATCTATCTGTCCCTTCGTGCCGCTCAAACTGATGCTCGAGGAGACGTTGATAAGGTATTTACTGCTCTTTGTTTAGTGACCCAAATGGAACTGGCCCAGCTATGGGATCGTCTCCGCGGCCCCGGCTGGCTTTAAATGCTGCTGCTTCTTTGCTCTCCCCCTCCCCCTTTCCCTTTTCCTCCTTTCTCATCAAGAGAGTGCTATATGCAATTTCTTGGAGAGGATCTGGAGGGTTTGAAGGTTGGGAAATGTTTGTTTGGTGGAGAATAGCCGAGGCAAGTACGACCGAGGTTTCTTGGAACGACAGATCGGCAGTCTTATACGAACTTGATACAAGAAAGCATTATTGATGTATTGGGAGTTCCATGTATTCCCAATCAAAAGATAATTCTTGTATAAAACCCTCGCGCCTAGCCGTGGAATTTAAATTAAGGCCACCCGCCAAGAGAGAATCTTCTATAGCTTTTAGCTTTATCAACACCTACTCCAACCGTGCTTCCGCTTCCAGCGGCGGCGTCAACATAGCCTCATCTTGAATCGACTCCGCAGGAGAAGCCAGCGCCATGTTGCCCGCTGCCTCTTCATCCTCGAGGATCCTCAAAGCGGTGACATGTTCATCCGGGAGGGTATTCTTAAAGTCTTCCGGCGGACTCGCCCACACATAATCCACCCACTCGGCACCGAGCACGTTGCGGACTTCCTTGGAGAGCTGTAGGATTTTCGCGCGGCGTGTTTGAGACCATGCGCGATCTGTGATGAGGCCTTCAGAGGGTGTGAGAATGTTAGGCGCATGCGTCGCGGACGAGGCAACAGTGCCGTCGGTCTTTTCAGTCGGCGTGGAGATACCAGCTGACCGCATGGTATCTTCGTCATCGACGTTGAAGTCAAACGCATCATCATCATCGTCCCAGCTCTCCAGTCCATCCAGGATACTGTGCCACACGCGCAACGTCTCGTCTAGCTCGGCGATATTACTAACTCCCATCACACTCACGCCAAGTCTCCGACCAACCCCGAGATAAGCTACGGACAAAAAGCCCGGATCTGCGTCCGCGGACCGAGCAAGCGGTGCGCCGAGGGCGCCTGCCTTCGAGCCCGCGCGTAGCCATGATTCCAGTGCAAAGCGGATCGCGACGACTTCGAGTTTCTCGCCGTTTTGCGCGGTGCATTCGGCCGCGGCGTGGATGGCGGTGCGCAGTTCGTTGGGTGCGGGGTGGAAGTCGCCCATTGAGCCGATGGGTACTCCGTCCCGACGGAGAAGGCCCATTCCGAGTGGGGAGGCGTTGGGGACGACGTCTACGCCTGCGGCGAGGAGACGCGGTAGAGCCAGCGTGCGCAGACGGGTATTCTGCAATGTGTAGTTGGCGTAGGACATGACGATGTCCAATGGTTCGCCCGTCTCGCGGAGGATCATTTCCGCCAGAGAGCTGAGCACGTCGACTGGGTAGCCCGAGATCCCGACGTACCGCAGGATACCCTCTTCATCGCGAAGACGGCGCAGTTCCTGCACGGCGATCAGGACTTCCTCTGGCGAAACGAATTCCACGTCGTGGCAGTATACGACATCGAGATAACTGGTGTGTAGACGGCGGAGACTGCGGCGGACACTGTGACTAATCCAGGTGGGCGAGTAATCGAACGAAGCGCCTGCGATGCGACCGACTTTCGTCAGGAGTCTGTAGGAGTCGCGGGGGAAATTGGTTTGCACGAAGTCGGTGGCTAGGGCGCGCCCGAGGAGTTCTTCGGCGGGGCCGTAGTAGGGGGACGTATCGAAGGCGCGGATGCCGCGGGAGAGGGCACGGTGGACAAGTTCGGTTGTTGGCAGAGCGAAGGGGTCTGCGTTGTATTGCGAGTTGAATGTTGCGGTGCCCATGATCAGCGGGGGCAGGTCCGCGGATAGCGGGGTGGAGGGCCGCATTTTTTGTGTTCGGGAGAAGTGGGGGAGGGTGCGTGTAAGGAGTCGGATGGTAAGTTGGGAGGAAGAGATTGGGAGAAGGTGAGGAAGAAGATTGATTCTCGAGGGAAGTTAAGATCAATTCATCGTTGGCGGCGCGGTGGTGACCAAGTAGGTTTCCTTAACCCCGAGATCGAAATCGAGATCGGAATCGAGAAGTTCTCCCGGGCTCCGCTCCGGATGGCGCCATGGCTGCAACCGATGGTACCCCGTGGCCAGATGAGCCTATCCTAGACATCTCTGGGTGTATGGAGATCGGATGGTTGATGATGATGGAGGAGATCTTGTAGGACGCACCTTCAGACATGTTCCTGGAAGTCAATGCGACTGTTGATAATGTTGGTGAACCGGCGGTGGCAAAAAAAGCAAATCATTGCTTGGCAGGACCGGGAGACTGCAGGACATACTACAGTCTGGTAGATGAAGAAGAAGAATAGAATCAAGTAAATCGGCCATTCAAACATGTGCAAGTATACAGCTATAGTACAGGATTTTCCTTTCCGGGTCCAGAGCAGAGTGGAGAAGGGGGAGGTTTCGAGAGATAATGGAAACAAGACTCGCAGATGGTATACACAGTGAGACCCGAAGGCCGGAAGGGAAGGCGAGAAGTCGTACGACGACTCCCTGTGCCAAAGAGGAAAAAGGACCCTGGAGAATCAACGAGAAATCCTCCACTCTAATGGAATAAGACCTCTTTCCCGCAAGAACCCAATAAACGCCATGCTATGCCAAATCAAAAAAAGACCAGAGGAATCCGCGATGGCGGTGGTTGTGGTTGCCGCAAAGATTCCGATCAATCGCACACGTAAAGATTGTCTGATGCCAGGAAGGAGAAGCGTGCGCTTAGAATAAGCAGATCAGATCGAAGTTGTCCGCAAATTTCGAATATCCGCCACTTCACCGGTCCTTGTAGACCTTGGGGTTCCAGCCTTCGCGCAACTCCTTCTCCGAAGCAGCCTTGCGCTCCGCCTCGCGAACCTCCATCTCTATGCGCTCTCGCGCTCGCAGAATCTTGCTCTGAAGGTAGAAACTGCCGCCCTTCTGGGGGTCGTTCAGGTCAAACAGCTTCTTGAACCGCTCCATAACATGCTCGATGTTGGTTTCGCCGCCGGCCGGGGGCTTGACGTTGAGGATCTTGCAGGCCTCGTCGAGGGACAGACCCGAAGAGGTGAAAGCGCTACCTCCATTCTTCTTCTGCGCAGCATATTTGCCAGAGGCCTGGGCTTGCTTGTAGGCTTCGGCGAAGGCGCGGCCGAAGACCCGGGCTCCGGTGACGACGACTTGGGTGACGATGCGATGAGCCTGGGGGAGGACGGGAATTAGAATTTTTTTTTTCAGGGAAGAATGCTTGGAGGAAGAGAGTTGAAGTTTGGAGGGATCTTACCATGTCGACGGGGGGATGTGGAGGTGTCCAAAGGCGATGATCACAAGGAGGTGGAAAGAGGAAGAAAGGGAAAATTTCGGCGGCGCGTTTTAGCGTCGGGAGTCGGCGAGCTGCAAGTATGCATTCGATGCCGAAACCCCAACATCAGCCATTTCCGGGGTTGACTGGAAGTTGATTTCTGCCTACTTTGTATTGATATAGAAGAAGAAAGGCTTGAAAGATCTATTCATATTCTTATAAGAACCCTTCGAGGCCATTCTTATAAAATTGTGGGTGTGTTTGTATGTCTTGACTGTACCCAGTCCATACCAGGGAGTATACGACAAGGGTATTGTGAGAACACTCGACATAGTAATATTAATAGTAGACAGGTATTATCGATGTTCTTTAAAGAATTATGATGAAATCCAACATTCTAGGACTAATGAAAAAGAGTACATCCCATTCTACTCGGCATCGCACCCACGCCTAGGTACTTCACGGAGAGTCACATGTCCTCCCCCGATCATCCCCGCAGATCACCTTTTGTACCGAGACGAACCTCTCATCAGCTCGCTTAAGGGTCCAGCTATTTATATGAAATGCCCACCCACCAGCCTTATGAGCTGACATCGCACCCTATGACGTCCTTATAATTGGATGGCAGCTCTCGGTATGTTCTCTTCCTCTCTCTGACTGATCCTTCGAGCTCGTGCTCATGCTCGAAACAGAAGATCTCCCGTGGATGTCCATGGCACCCGCATCGCAGCCGCAGGATGGCCTGGCCGACTCCTCGCAACCTCCGACGATCGCAGCCTTCTCTCCTTCCACGATCGCAGGCTCGGCCTTGTCCTCGCGGCAGCGTTCCAGTGTGATCGTACATCGCAAATCACCCCTGCTGGTGGCAACCCCGCCGGCCATCACCAGGGCCCTCGCATATTCCCATCCATTCCTTCTCCCTTTGAATAAGTTGGTTGGTCTTCTCACATGGACAACGGGGGACCCCTGGCAGAGCTTCTTGCTCGTGGCCACCTTTTGGACGGTGGTCCTCTATAGCGAGGCGATCATTCTCTGGGCTGGTCCGATACTCGTCGTGGTTGGGTTGATCCTTGGCATGTATGGCCGTCGCTATTCGCCTTTGTCGTCGACTACATCAACTGGTGAAAAGCATCGGCGCAATCATTCGGCAGACGTTACTCGTCACCAAAAGAGCTTAGATGATATCGTGGAGACGTTGCGCAATTTTACAACCCGGTGCAATATTTTGCTTGAACCTTTGCTCGATTTGACCGATTTCCTATCAACCCAGCGAACGCCTACGTCGGCGACCACTCGTCCGGCCTTAACGGTGCTCTTCATTCGCATCCTTTTGATTACCCCCGTTTGGATCATCCTGACCCTCCCTCCCTTCTACATAATCACTACCCGGCGCGTTGTTATGTTCGTCGGAACTATTATCCTCACCTACCACTCGAGGCCAGCCCGCGTTTCGCGTGTCATTCTATGGCGCTCGCGAGCTGTGCGCCGACTCGTCTCGATTATAACAGGCCTGTCAGTCGCAGACGGCCCTAATTCTAGCCAGAAACCCGCGGTTCAAGACACGGGGTTGAATATCTCAACTCGGCGACAGGGAAGTGCAGACGGTGTGAGATTCACATTCGTTGTGTACGAAAACCAGCGCCGATGGCTCGGTATTGGCTGGACCTACTCGCTGTTTCCAGCCGAGCGTGACCCCTGGACAGATGAGCATCTCAACCCCGTTCCGCCCAAGGACAAGTTTGAGCTGCCTGATGTGCAGACTGGAGATGCTAAATGGCGCTGGGTTGAGGGCAGCGAGTGGCGGGTTGAAGGGGGCGATAAATCGGGTAATGGGAAATCAGATCCCAAGGCCTCGAGTGAGGGATGGATCTACTATGACAACAAGGTAGGTCTCTCTCTAGGATTTTTGACTTCTGTGCCCATACTAACAACTGTCAGTGGAACGATGGCCGCCGTGGACAAGATGGATGGGACCGGTACACACGCCGGCGCAAGTGGTATCGTGATGCCGAGCTGGTAGACCTCCAGCAGGATGGCCCTTCGGAAGCCGTCTCCAGTCTCACCCAAGCACTAGAGCGAGAAAAAGAGCGAGAAAAAGACAAAAAAGAGTCCGATCTCGAGACAAACAGTCTCTCTCCTCACACACCCCTGAAAACCCGTCGTCGACGCTGGTTCGGCAGCAAAGACGGTAGCAAAGAGGGAAGCTCAGAGGGGAGTAAAGAGGGGAGCAAAGACCGCACCAGCAGCGTTAGCTCCTCCATCGACGCCGGCCGAACAACCGGCGCCAGTTTTACAGAAGCTACTGGTGCTGCGACTGCAAGTGGTCGAGGCACGCCCGCACGACCTATCAGTATCCAGCATTCTCGCAAGCCATCACAGTACAGTGTTCGGGAAGGAAGTATGGCAACGAGTGATAGTGCTAGTACACGCGAGAAGGATATAGCTAATTCACACGATCGGCACGATAAATGGAGTACTCGGGCTGCGGGGGGAACGGAACGCGCAGAGAGGGAAATGGGATTAAGTGATGAAGTGCAAATGGCTTTGAGTTGACAATGACCGCTATTGGCGAATTTTGCTGTTACGCTCATACCCCCTCCTTTTTTCAAGTGTATTGTTCGAACTCCTATCTTCGATTATATTTTGGGATTGAGTCCCTTCTTTTGTCTTCGTTGAATAGGGCCATTCGATGATTTCAAATACCCTCGGACGTCTCTCATTGCGTTTGTATCAGGTATAACACAACAAATCTACAAGTACAATTCATCTATGTCATAAAACAGGGAGGGGGTATAGGAGTGTTATGCAAGAGTCAACTCCCATTGTAGCTCCTCAAGAATGTCCATCCAATGGGGTTTCAGTGACGAATCCTGAGAAGCAGCATCTCGTCTCGCCCAGAGAATACGAAGGACATCCCTAGCACGTAACGTATTCCCAATGCCGAAATTCTCCTGCAATTTACCGAGGGACTCGAGCACAAGGTCCCGATGCTCGAAAACGTCACTCTCAGCACCGGCAATGAACAACGGAAAGGTCAGTGCCGAGTACTCGCAGTTATCGTCTAACGGGAAAGATTGGATGCGGGCGAGGAGGCGATCAATGGCGATTTGTTTGGGTGTGGAGATTAGAGATAACCATTCGCTTATGGGGTATGGTGTTTGAGGCGTGGCGTTGTATGTAGGTGAAGTATCCCGACTCATGTGTTCGAGAACAGAGTGTAGATAGACGAAACCAGCATCGCGGAAACATTCAGCGACGAGCTTGAGGCGGACGAGGGTAGATTGTGTGAGGTCTTGGGGGATGTTTAGGCGCGTTGATGAAGGGGTCCAAGTGAGGAGTGATTCGTTTCTGTAGTAAGTCAGTATAGCTTTGGGTGTATGATCCTGAAGGATAATAGCGTACGTAGATGCAATGGCCAGGCGTAGTGAAACGTCATCACCTTGCAGTGATGGTAACTCTGCGACACAGGCACATATTTTGAGGATATCTTCGGTGAATCCTAGGTATATACTGAGCCTGGGGGCCTCCATGTCGGTATCAGCGAGAATGAGATTCCCGAGAATCTTTTTTCGGTTGCTGATCTGTCCCATGCTATATGCATACACATATCTGCCAAAACCGGTCAGTATTGGTTCAAGACCCTAGGCATACAGAAAACATACAATCCACGTAGGAAATGTGCCGCCTCGGGATCCATCGAGCCTAGCCCACCACGAGATGCAAGGAGCCGATGCAGCGCGGTAAGATGGACAACCCATTGCTTCACACTGCCGCGGACGACTTCGTATTTACACATCATGCCCACAGCTAGCATGGCATCGTCTGGCACGCCATCCGTTACAGACTGCGCCATGACTGAACGCAGCCCTCTCAGAGTTCGCCCATAAAAGTCAATCGCCGCAGTTTTCGCATCGAGACTATCTGTCCGATTCGATAGATGCATTGCCGAAATAGCACATACTGCCTTCATCAAAAGCGGAGAAGACATGGCTCGGGGAATGAGGAATGATCGGAGTGGATTATGCGCGCTTTCGAGATTTGCAAGGCGCTGAGATGCCATGGCTTCATGGTATTGCAAATAATGAGCCTCATGGCCGGATAAGTGGCTCAAGAAGCCCTGTGGTTTCAGGATCAAGGAATGACAGTCCCGACCCTCTGAATTTTGCTCTTGGCTGGATTCCTCCACATCGAGGTCTATGACTCGATATTGCGGAGACGATGGAACAGAGCAGCCTGGCGTGACCGGCTGGGATGATTGCTCTAAGTCCTGCCATGGATCGCTTGAAGACGGCGACGGCGACGGCGATAGTGGTTGCGACGTTGATGAAGAATTAAGTCGCCGTCTTTTTGGTCCCTTGGTCGACTTAAAGACTGGCGCCGAGGGTCCCAATGGTGCCACCCAGAGGTCATCATATCCCTCACAGATCCGGCCAAGCTTCAGACAATTATTACAGCTGGGTACTGTCAGTCTTATCCATCTCGGACAGGCTTATCGGATGGGGTTAACTTACCTCGGGGTTGCTCTATCACAACCGCCCTTCCGCCGGGATTTACAGGTAATGCATCCACCACGAGTCCATGGTGTACCTGATCGCCGACTCCGGCCCTTTTTCTGGGTAGAGACTGTATTGGAGGCCATGATGTGTGCGACATTCGTGATCACTTCCCCGCGATTGATAGCAAATCGGGGGTTGCTATTCCTGATTGGGAAAAACTTGCGCGTCCAGTCACATGACACGACTGGACCCTGGATTTACCCGTGACTTTGTACTACTTTAGGCAGGTACTGGCAAGGCTATTTACGTGAATGGAAGACCAATCCAATCAATGAATCAATACTTGACATTGCCCTTTTAGAAATCTCATTTTATTTCCCCAGAACAATTTGTCTAGCCCTCTTGTAGTAACTTGATGTGTATAGTGGCACTGCGGAAATTAAATACGAAATGCTTGAGATTGACTGAATAATAGCAGTTTCTTTCCCGAGGATCCGGATGTTTCAAATGTTATATGTGGCAGTCATACGGCTATTACATCTCTTCGTTTTGATTTAACAATATGTCTAAGCTTATGATATATACATCAAAGCAGAATTTCAAGTCAATTTTCTCCCCTCCCCCAGGTGACCATGATAGTGTAGAAGAGGGTTCGCGCTCTAGTGAGACCGCGACTCAACCGACGTCGAAACATTGACCGTCCGAGTGATCCCAATACCGCCAACGGTAGAGGCATGCGAGAATCCTCGTTCCTCGGCATCACCATATATCGTCGTTTGTGTCGGATTGCTCTGTGCGTTGGACACTAGCATATCCTCATCTGACTCAGCCTCCTGTACGGTTACCTGTTTTCTGCTCCGCTCTGTCTTTGTCTGATTGTTCATGGAGGTGAGCTTGTATTCCGATTCGTAGGTTTGTTTGTCGCTGGAGTATTCGTTGAAGACACGCTTAACAAGGGCAGAAAGGGCGGGAAGACAGGTGCAAATAACTCCGATTGCGACTTCGGCGTTTCTATTCCAGACGCACGTGGTTAGCATATTGATGTCTGTGGTTAGAGGGCAATATACGGTTTCGTAACATACCCAAGCATATTGATCCTCATGAAGGCCAGAGTTGCATCCTTGGATTGACCAGTCAACACGATGAGAACTAGCCGAATGATACTGGCCGCGACAGCTATTCCACCCGCACCAAGGATGGCGATAACTCTCATTTTCTTTTTCTTTGACATTTGGAGAGTCATAGTCAATGGCAGAGGTAGAAACAGAATAATGAGATCGCTAACAGAACTGACGACTGCATCAGCAAGGATGATGGAAGTTTCGTCCAGACATGTCCCTTCAACTTTGACGTCCCAGAAAAGAGAAATCGGATCGCAGATTCGGATCTTCACAATGACGGCCGGGATATAGTAGGCTAGCATGAGCGCCATGAAGCCATAGATGAACAAGACGGCTTTGCGGAAAGGGGTAAAAACTCGAGCCATGATCCATAGGAGCAGGACTTTGGTCACATAGGCCGTCGGTCCGTACATCACCATTGTCACATAAACGGTCTAATCTGTTAGAATATCATTTATGTAAGTTCAATGGGCGTTGGAGGAGAGACCTTTTGAAATGAGATTCGATCGTTGGGCGGAACGTCAGAATAATGCAAACCTCCTCCATATTGTCCCACTGTAGTCGAGGAATTAGCCAGCATCAATATGACTCGTGCATGCCACTTACTGATTAGAGCGATGATAGAATAGCAAACCCCGAGGAACCATGCTGCTAAGCATACCCCTGCGAAAGGATTAGACAAGTCCTCGCTGTGGGCTGGGCATAGTATGCTCACAATCCTCTTTTCCAAAACCACTGAGAATAAAACAACGTGTATAGACTCGGAGCCCAAAGAAAAGGGTCATTCCGATGATACATAGTGACTGGCACACATAGTTCCATGTCTGCACACTGCGGTCAATCGATGCATCTCTGGCATCAAGTAGTCCTAAGCTCGGGGGCAAATGCATGTTGGCATATCTTCGTAACGATATTGAGTCTGTCATGGAAATGCCAGGCCTAGAGTCACAGGAAAGGGAGTCTGGCCTTTTGAGGAAAATCACTCAAGCGAAATGCCCCCGAAAACCCTCATCCGTGACTAGTAGAAGGATTGTCGCGACTTTGATCTCACAAATCCCTGTCTTAGGATCAGCCCTCTCACTGCCGAGATTTAGGAAGGTTCGGTCTATGAGAAACTTCCGATCAGCGCTCCTAGAACGTGTGAAAGGCTAACGGCACCGGTGGGCACGAATCACCAGGATGTATCCCGTGCAGGATTCGTTGAAAATTTCCAGGAAATTATATTTTTGATGCATGGTGCTTTCGCTACGTAATTCGCTGGTCCAATATTCCTGAATTTGACCATACTGTCGATCTCGCTCTGTACATGCTTTTGATTTTTGACTTGTCGGTATTCTAAACACTTAATTTAACGCTAATAGCCTTCAGCGATAGCAAGGCACCGTCATATAACTACTGGAATCAAAATATCTCTCGCAAGAGCCAACTGGCTAAGACTCGTACAAATTGGGCTTCTTTGGTGACTCCAAAGAAACCAATATAGGGTCGGGTGACATAGTTAGCCGGTCTTCCGTCGTCACCGGTGCAAACGAAAATACCATTACTACCCCAATTGCCGATGGTCTCGATCCTGCTTTCAATAATCTTAATCAGAGTCCTCGGTGGGTTGGCCCCCAAATGGACAGACCAGGGTTCGGTAGAGGACTCCACTCTCCGTGGGAAGAAGCGGGTTGTGGGTATTGACGTCCCCGTACGTAGCTATCGTACCATTCGAGGCGCTGAGAGGTTCTTTCCCCATTCGTAGTGGCACGGACAGGAATAGCCAGAGGTAAACATTTCCAGGGGCATGTCCATAAGTAGTAATAACATGGAGGACATGAGTGGGGGCAAGTCGTGTAAAAGAGGATAACTTTCGCGCCAAAGTCTAAATACTATGAGTCCAAACCCTGACGATTTCAGAAAAGTCTTGAAGAGAACTGACGAGTTGAGTATATCTTAATGCCAAACTCGTGCTAGCACACTGATACAATAGGTAGTGAGCCGTTGCAGCTCAAACGCCTTTCTTGCCTTTCCCCCGCTGCAACTCATGGACCCTGACATCGGAGTCTTTCCGAGTCTTCTTGAAGGATGCAGGTCTAGTGCATCCTTCGTTCCTCATCAAGTGGGGCCTGGATCGTTTTGAAATATTTATTACGGCGCCACCCGGTGTCGATCAATGTTTCCTACGATGTACGGAGTATACAGTCTTGATAGAATTTTGAAAAGCTTTGGCCATGGACCGGAATTCTGGCATGCGAAGTATTGAAAGCTATTGATCGCTAGTCAAAGTCCAACAGACTGAATGATATGTCTCTAGAATATCGCCAAACAATTTGGAGGAGAGGAAACCCCGCCCGGCATGTTCAACGGCACTGAAGTCACAAAGAAGGTCCACCGTCCAAGCTCCTGACAGACTTGTGCCAATGCTTCTAGATCAAATAGTTCTCCTAAAGGATATCCACGTTAGCTGCCAGACTTTCGGAAGGGACAAGGGCTTTATGCTCAATCAACTGACCGATTGGGCATCCCCAGCCTGCCAAAATAAACTCATGCAAAAAGATGTCAGGGGATTGAGGCGGGTAGACCTGTGGTGAATCAGTTGGGATACACGGCGAATTTAGAGCAGACTTTCATTTGAACCTTACCTCCCAGCTAATAGCGTCACTTGCAATTGCTGCGAAGCCAGTATTCCAGAGCCATCGAAGGACATCCGTGGTTGCCTCGACTCCTGCGTGCTCAGGTCGGGGGTTGTTGGAATAATCTCTCTTTTGAGCATCCGTCATGATGGTATCCCATTCCTTCGTCACTCCAATTCGGACGAAGAGGATATCACCTTTCTGGAAAGTGATGTTGCTCTCCTTGGCAATCTCGAGGATATCCTGAAGGCGCACCTGATGTGTCGAGAAGGTGCTATACTTGATGCCTTTGTTTTCGGCCCATGTCGCATAGTCAATCAATACCCCACGGCCTGCGAACTACTGTTCAGTATTTGAACTCTGTCTAGATTATCAGTTGTGTATATAGAGGAAACCTTACCTGCAATTCCCTCCTTGGCCCAATGTTGAAGACCAATGCGATCATTCTGACGGTCGTTGATCTCCTCGACAGTTGTACCTCCATAGAAGACGCGGTCGGTTTGCCCAGGCACAGTCTGGCTGAAATGCCTCAATCCATCCCACTGACTGCTTTGCTCTATGCACATCCACCGGATTAAAATGTCAATTGCTGATGACAAGATCGGTAAGGCTAGCTACCAGATTCCGAACTTACGAGGATTAAAACTGTAAACATCATCAAATGCTACTCCTCCCAGCAGAGGCACGATCTGGTGGTTGCAGGGTTGACGGTTGAGATTAGGGTAGTCCAGCTTCGTCATCTCCCAGTTCATCGTCACAAGGCGACCGCATTTGATCTCACTAGCAGCTGCATTTGCAACCACTTCGGGGGTGAGAATAGCTAGTTTCCCGAGACCTTCTTCATGGCTACCAGGCTTTCCCACCCAAACCTGCTTAGGGTTGGGCAGCTCATCGAATGGTGTGTCAAATAGAGATCGTGTCATGATCTTCTGACTTGTTCACCTGATCACGGTAGAAAGAATAAATGGAAGAACATGTACGGAGTATAGGGAATTAATTAGGCGCGATAAGACAATAATTTCCTGACTCGTTGAACTAATATCATCCGTGCTTTTGTACTCCAAACAGAAAAATACCCCTCGCACGAACGTGGGGGCTTCGGGCAGACTTTCCAACTCCGAGAAGCTATTGTATTGGCTGACTATGGCTGCAAGCGGGCAATGTCTTGTGGAGTGTCTATTGGATAGTATTATTTTACAGCAAAAATGACGAGCAGGAAACCATCTCTAATAGCTTGGCCCCTAATACGATCCACGGGGGAACACAACCTATAGGTTCGTGTAAACCCCTCCTAGATGCACAGATCGGCATCAATAGAGGGAGGAAAGTAGAGACAGAGTGATGAGAAATCTTTTTTCTTGTCAAATATGTAGCGAGTCGTACCACGTCGTACATGAATAAAAACAGTCTTGGCTGCATACCGGGTTATGATCGGCAAAGGAGTTACTTTACTTCTCCTCACCACCAAAGTTTGCCCATAACATTTAAGTGGAGCTGAGGACTCCACCTGCTTGTCAATGGGCTGAATCCTTTACATCCCCTGCTGTCTGAGCGCAGGAAGAGCTTGTTCATTCCTTTTCCATCTGTATGTACTCACAGAGTTGGTCATATCTAGTGGGTGCTTGCAGCTTTCTCTGGATCTTTCTTAACCACTGTGCACAGAGGTCTTTCTTTACGGAGGGAAATCCGATCAGAATCAACATGACCAAGTTCGGGTCACAGACCAGTACCTACAATAGGCTGGTAACTGTCTTTGTAGCCATTGGTTCTATGGTAAGTCTGCAGAAAGTCTTTTCGCATTTGGATCGAAAGACCTAACGTCCTGTTCATGACCAGACCTATGGCTACTGTGCTTCCATCATTGGTAGTACTATCGGTCAGCCAGGATGGTATTCTTACTTTAACTTGCCTGCAGAGGGAGAGCCTGGCTACGCTGCAATCACTACACCCGCCATCTCGACGGCAAATGGTGTCTTCAGTGGTGGTGGTGCGGTCGGCACTCTCTTCATGATGTGGGCGTGCGACCAATTTGGTCGGAAGGTCTGTATTCAATTGGGCGCGTTCTTCGCAATGTTTGGTGGAGCGCTTCAAGCTGGCGCAAATTCGCTTGAGTATTTATCCAAACCCGTTAAGATGTCCGAGTCTTGCATCTAACCGATAGTCATATAGTATGTTCCAAGCCGGGCGATTCTTGTGCGGTCTCGGTATCGGCATTCTTGTCACTGTTTGTCCGATGTACCTTTCGGAGATGTCGAGCCCCCTGCGTCGAGGCTGGTTGGTCGGACACCATGCGATATTCTTGGTATTTGGATATATGCTTTCGGGGTGGGTAGGCTTCGCATGCTACTACGCTGAGAATATTCCTGCGTTTGGCTGGCGATTCCCTCTGGCTCTCCAATGCCTCCCACCCTTGGTTTTGCTTGCCGGTTCTCCATGGCTTCCTCGCTCACCTCGTTGGTTGATCTCAAAAGGAAAACTTGACGAGGCCCAGCATGTGCTTCAGCGTCTGCGGGAGTCCCCCGATGACCCTGACAACCTTGCGGCCAAAGAAGAGTTTTTCCAGACCAAGGAACAGATCAGACTCGAAGCTGAGAAGATGACCGAGTATGGGAGTCCATGGATTGCTGTCATCAAGAAAAAATCCTACCGCAAGCGCATGATTATTGGATTCCTTACACAGTGGGGAGCGGAGTTTGGTGGCCCTCTTATCATCGTCAGTTGAAAACTTGCTAGCTTTCTGGGACGTGACTAACCACACACCAGAACAACTACGCAGTTCTTTTGTACACCAACCTTGGTATGAAGGATGGCATGCCTTTGCTGCTGAGTGCTATCTGGCTGACAACAGCCGGTAAGCCTGAAAGAATATTCAATCACGTTACTAAACTGCTAACCCGAAAACAGGTCTAATTTACAATCCTCTCGGTGCTTGGCTCCACGATCGAGTTAATTCTCGCCGAGGCATGTACATCACTGGCTTTATCGGGATTATTGTTACCACATCATGCCTTGCTGCGATGACAGCTGAGTATGCCGGAACAACCAACCGGGTTGGAAATGGCTTTGGCATTCTATTCATCTATCTTTACTTGGCTTTCCAAGGGTCAGTCTGTGATTCTACATTCTCTAATGTGTATGCTAATCTTTGCGAAGCACGTTCTGTGACACGACAATGTATCTTTACGTCTCAGAGATCTTCCCAACCGAGATCCGCCCAATTGGCATGGGCTTCTCACTGTTTGGCCAGTTTGCTGGTGAGTTCGCACGATACATATTGCTGTATCGGATTATACTAACCAAGGACAGCTACGCTCATTCTCCTCGAGACCGCCCCCATGGGCTTCAACAATGCTGGTTGGAAATACTACCTTGTCATCATCTGCTGGTCGGTAGTTTTTATTCCAAGTAAGTTTCAAGCGCCTTCAACCCCTCTTGAGTAATAAACTGACATTGAAACCAGTCATTTACTTCTTCTTCCCGGAAACTGCTCGTTTGACCCTGGAGGAAATCGCCCAAAGCTTCGGCGAAGAAGTTGCGGTTCATCTCACCGATGCCACTGATGAAGAGAAGGCTCAACTCGATGAGAAGCTTGCTCATTCCAGTGGTGCAATGCTCGAACCCTCTGAGACATTAGGCTCTCCCCATGGCAAGGAGGAGGCAGTGACAAATCCGGTATCCAAAGCTTAGAGCAAACTCTACAAGGCAGTCTGATTGCAATTAATGTGAAGTGTTCAGCATGCTTCTTGTGGCAATGTTGGATATCTTGCACGTTTGAAGACAATGATCATGATTATACACACTTCAAGGGAAAGCCCGTGAATATGGAATTCGGACATCAAGACAGCGTATAGATAATTTATTAGGTTAAATTCTTTGACACCACCCGCTATCTCGTTTATTCCAGTAAACCGTTTGAATCTGATCTGTGATACTCTGATCTGGTCAATTACACAACTTACCGAGGACTCTAGGGGGCAGGTGGCCATACCTCTAAGCCAGCAAGTGTTCAACCAACAGAATCCCGTTTCGGGGCATCCTTTGTCCCATAAGAGCTGTGAATTTTCACATATTGTCTGCTGAGTGCTATTTGCCACAGGAACTACATTGAAATTGATTCAAATTCACTGACCAATGAGACTACTCGAACCGAAATGTAGATACGATCTGTCCTCTGATGTTGCATCTTCTTACGGCCCTACTTATTCACCAAATCCTATCAATCCTAAGATTCCAATTGACATTGAAATCGAGTCCTCGGCGGGGATACCATCAAACTAGTGTCTAAATAACCTGCCGTCGGCGTCGATTTATAGCTGCAGTATCCCGCTGCAGCTGCATATAAGTGGCTTACGGTGGATACCCCTTCAGACTTTCTGGCTCACTTTTCAGATATGCTCCTGCTGTGGCTCTCGGGATTCGATTTTACCGAATTGATCTACAGTATTGTTTTCCTAAGAACAGCTGAGAAGAAACTGCGCCAAAAGCACATCTTTTATATTCGCGCCCCATGATCCTCCTGACTTGGAGACATAATATCCGAGAGGAGTTGGGTCTCCCGCGCATCGCTTTAAGGGATTTTGTTCGATCGTCTATATCGAATTATTCTAGTTCTATCCCACAAATCGGTTGTAGAACGAGGTAGGATAGTCAGCGACACTGGTATAGAGTCTGGGTTCCAACCCTGAGAGCAGCTACCAATGGCCTTGCTTCCGTAGTGAGCTTCGAGGGTCTACGGACAAATCAACCAACATTTTGGGCATGAGAGTGCACGAGTCACGCATGCGTGTCTTCATACGTAAGATGTCATTAGCTATGCATGTTTTGAGATGATCAATACAAGCTAAGGTCTATGACAATTCCATAACATGACATGAGTATCTAATCCAGACCAGATACAGGCCACCGCCGGGGCATAAGCATATATCACATATCGGGATCGATCCGGCTCAACCATACTCCGATCTCGACCATTTACCAAACCCCCTCTTACATTCATCTTCAACGCTTTTGTTCGTCGATCTATTCTCTTCGAATCATACTCGTAGCGGGCGTGACCTGATAAGTTTTATGTTCACAGCCAGGCTGTGTAATTAATAGGGCACACCGCATCATTTCCGATACACCGCGTTCCTTGGAAGCTCCAGTGATCCACCGCGAGTGGGTTGAAGCTCGGAGGGAAAGAGATGCCAAGCGGATCGAGCCTTTACAGGTCCTTCTTAATGACGTGGGCCTTGGGGAGGGTGCCGTTGGCACGCTCGATGGCGGCCTCGCGGGCACCGGTAAGACCAAACTGGGTCTTGATACCATCAACACGGTGGGTAGAGTTGATGTTCTTGACGAGGGTGAGCTGCCAGCAGGTGGCACCACCCTGGCGGGAGGTGATGGTGGAAGAAGCAAGGAAGTACTCCCAGATCTATGGAAATGAAGTTAGTAAATGAGAAGCCTATAGACTCTAATGCAATGAGGCAAACTTACGCGGAACCATCTCTTGCCGTACTTAGCCTCAACCTTGTCCTTGTTACCCATCCAGTTCCGGTACCAGCGCCAGAGGGTGGCAGAGTAGTGGACACCGATGGTATCAACGGCCTTGATCTCGAAGCCGGCACCCTCAAGGCGGTCAACCACGAAGCCAAGAGGAGTAGAGGCATCGGCACCGGGGAAGATGTACTTGTTCATGAACAGACCCCAGATGAGGTCCTCGTACTGCCAAGACTTGCGGAGACCAGCGATCTGCAGGAAGAAGACACCATCGTCTTCGAGCATGTCGTAGACCTGGGACAAGAAGGTAGAGAAGTGGCGGACACCGACGTGCTCGGCCATTTCCAGGCAGGTAATCTTCTGGTAGCCACCCTCAACGCGGGGAGAATCACGGTAGTCGGAGCAGACGATGCGGCTCTGAGACTCCTCAATGCCAGCCTTGCGGAGACCGTTGTTACCCCAAGCAGTCTGGTTACGACCAAGGGTAATACCGGTGACCTGAGCACCGTAGTGAACAGAGGCGTACTTGGCGAGGGTACCCCAGCCACAGCCAAGGTCAAGCATCTTGTCACCGGGCTGGATGCCGATCTTCTCACAGACGACGGCCAGCTTGTTGTCCTGCAGCTCCTCCAGAGTCTCCTCCTTGTTGATGTCGCTGATAATACCGGAAGTGTAGATCATGCGGGGACCAAGGAACCAAGCGTAGAAGTCGTCACCGCGGTCGTAGTGATCACGTACCTGCTCCTCGTCTGCAAGTTGCAGAATTAGTACAACATTGATGCAATTGAAGCGAAAATGAGGGTTTAGAACCTACCCTGGGAACGAGTGTGCATCAGCATCTCAGGGATGAAGCCAAACAGGAAGTGCTTGAAGAGACCCGTAGTGAACTTGAAGTTGGCCCAATCGTGACGGTACTCGAGAGCCTCCAGAGCATCACCCTTGAAGTCGACCTCGCCGTTGAAATACTTCTCGTAGAAGACCTCCATGGGGATCTTGCTCTTGCCGCGGTAGGTGGCACGGTCATGCTCGCTGTGGAAGTCCAGGTAGTACTCGACGGGGCGGCCGCAGTACTTGGCCTTCTCGGTCTTGCGGGGGGAGATAGAGGAAGAGATGGACCAGAAGGCCACCAGGACGGGGACAGTGGTGAAGATAGCGAAGAAGATGGTGGTGTAGAAGCCACCACCAACTTGGCGGGCCAGGTACCACGGCACCACGATCATCAGGAAGATCATCAAGCCATTGGAGAAGCTGTCGCTACCGGGCGAGTCGGCAGGGACGGGGGCATTCTTGATGGCCGGATACTAGACACAATTGATTTAGCTACATTGGTCTTGGAAGCAATTTCGGGGTAGGGAGGGGGAAGCTTGGTGGGAGCTCGGGCGCTAGCTCAACCACATACCAGCGTGGTCGGAACACCACAATCAAAGGCGGGCTTGGACTGTTGCGGAGCTTCCGGAGTCTGAATGAACTCGAAGTCCTCGGTGGACTCCGGGTGGCGGGTCGTCATGGCGGCGAGGGGTGAATTGAGAGGGATGAGAGAGTTGAAAAGGAGAGTCCAGGGAGTAAATAATATCGTGGCAGTTCCACGGGGGGCGGTGAAGTGGAGGTTGCTCGTGCCTGTGCCTGTGCCCGTGGCTCCGTGCTTTGGGCTGCGTGGCTGCTGAGCCGACGCGGCTTCTAGGGATAGGGACGGTCTGGGCCTACAAGACGGCACCTCTACTACGGAAGCTAATTATAAAGGTCACTACAATTCGTTTTCATCAAAACGGAGTAAATGTAGGTCTCTATCACTACCTGATCTGCGATATATTGTGTGTAATTGCTCACCAAGGGCTCGTGTTGTCCGCGCTTATCTGGCCTTGGCTCTCCGAGCGATCTTCACAAGGAGTGGGGATTCCTGAAACAGTGCGATCCGCGGTTGAAAAAGCCCCGACTGAAGAAGACATTCATTTCCATATGATACGCCAATAATAGTTCTCCTGAACAACCCATTTCCCCAATTGCACTCCCGGGAATCGATGTCATATCCAACCAGACCGAGCCAGAAATAAAAGGTAAACAGCAATAATAAACAGAAGGAATCGACCCTGGATTCAATGATAATTCCTTATTCCAATGTAATAATGTGACATGGCGGTGAGTCTGTGAGGCAAGCAAGCCGATCACAGCGTAAGCTGGAAGTTGTCCGCCTCTTCATCTTCTTCAAACGTCGGTAGCTGTTCTTCAAGTTCTTGATAGCCGACATTCTCTTCGTCAAAGCAGCCAGCAGCCTTGCAACGGAGCCACATCTCGGAGTCCAGAGGTGGCTTGCCGTATAGCTGCATAAATGTCTCAGGAGACAGCAAAGCCTCCGAGAAGGCGGCTTTCTGTGCGGAGGCAGTCTCGCGGAGGGTCGACGAGACACTGCGACCCTTGGAGTATCCGACAGTGCTGTTGGAAGTGACCGTGGCAGCAGTGCTGCGCATGGAAGAGGGATTGGTTGGCGTTCGTGATTTCTTCTGAGGCATCAAAACAGATGCAGCAGAGGCAACTCGGGACTTGGGGACGGCGACGGTTCGGACTGGTGCTGAGCTGGGCCTCGGGGCTGCAAGTGCCGCGGCGGCCTCACGAGACCGAATGGTAGGAATTTGTCGAGTAGGGCGCACGCTGGTGGAAGGAGCCCTGCGGTGGGTGGATTGCAGGCGTGACTTCGGGATGCTGGCTGCCGCATCTTCGGTGCGCTCGCTGAAGCTAATGTTGTTCAATTGCTTCATGATCGTCTCATTGATCATTTTGTCGCACTTGACGGAGTCCTCCTGGAACTTGCGCTGTCTCTTAGTCAAGCCATCACTGCCAATTTCCTGCTTCCCATAGACACTCTCCAAGCCAAGAGCACGGTTCTGAGGTTTGAATTGAGGGAATGTAGTATCGTATGTGACATCATCGGGTTCATCCGAGAGAGCTATGAGCTGTCAGCAAGCTGCCGCCAATTGCTTTCGGTGTATTATCTGAACCATACCTGTAGCCTTCGGTGGCATGTACTCAATGTCCGGCACCTCATCATGAGCAGCCTCGATATACACTTTGGCCTGGGCCTGCTGGGTGACGGGAGCTGCCTTCTTGATTCTCTGCGCAGTCGAGGTTCGTCGGTTGTTTGTCTTCTCGGGCTTGGATGTCCCTCCGAAGGGGCCCGGGGTCTTGAACGCATTGGTCTTGAGATTGGTGGTCTTGTTGCCCAGAACAGCACGGTGCTTCGTCTCTATACAAGGAATCCATTAGTCTCACTCGAAAGCTTCGCGTATCTTGACCCAAAGGAGCTCGCGTACCACCAGGCGTCACGAACGCGTTCAATGCTGGTTTTCCATTCTCCTGACGACTCTTATTTCCCTTGATAGTCCCCTTTCCGAAAGCGCGAGGGTTATTCTCGTCGTTGAGTGGCACTGACTTGCCCGGAGTCTTCGGCGGTATTTTGTTGATACCCTGATTCAAGGGTTTGGCTGCGGCGGCAGTCTGGTGGGTGTTTACCAGGTTCTCCTGGTCACGAAGAGCCAGCATGGTGGCGAGTATAGGTGATGGTTGCGCATGCACAGATAGGAAATCGATTGTAGCCGTAGCAGACAACGAACGGTGAGTGTAATCCTGTGAGGCGTCAGGTCGTGAGCTCGTATGATCCAAACGAGTCTAGAGTGTTGTCGAGGCGGTTGCCCGTGGAGACGTGACGATCGGAGCCGTGTGATTGGGGCAGGGCTCGGTGGGGCTGGCTGTGTACGGTACACGGCAGGTACCGTGGCAGGAGTCACTAAGCCACCTTGAGCTGACTAGCATTACACAAAAAGTTCCCGGTACTTTGCGGTCGGCGGCTCTGGTCACCGCTCGGCGGGTATTCAGTACACCGATAGTCAGCAATTCCTCCTCTTGCCCAAACACTCCAAACTCCCCACGACCTAATCCCTCCACTCCATCCCACTCCCGGCTCGCTGAGCGAAAGCCTACTACTTCTCTTCATTCATACATATTACTCTTCATAAATCCCCTCTTCTTTCAATCATTCCATCATGGACAAGATCAAGGAGGTATGTCTGCCTACCGCCCCCCCTGTTTTTGGCGGGGTAGCTTGGACAAGCTGTCTCTTTTACCCTTTCTGCCTGCCCCTCGCTGTGCATGCCATGCCTATGCATACCATCTTACATCCGCCTGCCAGTCTGAACTAACATCATGCTAACGTTGCTCTCGCTAGCGTATGAACGCCCTCCGTTTGGAGGCCGACGAGGCCCACGAACAGGTTGAGGAGCTCAAGACCAAGGTCAAGACCCTGGAGCAGGAGAACCTGTCCAAGGAGCAGGAGATCACATCCCTCAACCACCGCAACCAGCTCCTTGAGGAGGAGGTCGAGAAGCTCGAGTCTTCCGTCAAGGAAGCCAAGAGTGCCGCCGACCAGAGTGCCCAGCACGATACCCAGAACGAGGCCCTCCAGCGGCGTGTGCAGCTCCTCGAAGAGGAGGCCGAGGAGAACGACCGGACTCTCCGTGAGACAAACGAGAAGTATGGCGCATTTCCATGGCATTTGTCTGATCGCCGTTTGTATCGGAGAACCTTGCTAACACGCTCGCTTCCCTAGGCTCCGTCAAACCGACGTCAAGGCCGGCCACTACGAGCGCAAAGTGCAGGCTCTCGAAACGGAGCGTGACCAGTGGGAGGCCAAGTACGAGGAGATGGCCAAGAAGCACGCCGAGTTGCAGAAGGATCTGCACGAGCTCGAGGTTTCCATCAGCAACGTCTAAACTGGCGGACCGAGGGTATCGGTGTAGGGTGTCGGGGGACGTTGGGGTTGGATGCAGGCTACTTCCCTTTCCAATTGTCTGCTTGTTTCATTTTGTAACCAGATTTGCGTTACTTCCCCTACCGCGCTGTTGGAGACCGCGTCCCCAATAGCTCATATGCGATGTGCAACCAAGGTGCCCGTTTTTGTCTTGCAAATTAATTACCGCTCTTCTATCGCCAGCGTTGGTCTCGTGAATCATAGATCTGATTAAGCACCAAGATTTTTGGGGCCCTGAAGTAGTTCCTAGATGGTATAACACATGTGCATATATATCGCCTCGCTGCGAGAGGCACTTCCTCGCGCTTAACATTGAACATCCCCTCATTTCTCCCTCCGGGCCTTGGCTTTCTTTGACTTTGACAAGCGCTGCTTAGCTGCGGCAAGTTTGCGATCCTGCTTGCTTTCGTACCGGAACTGCTTCTTCTTCTTCTTGGGCTTGTCGGTCGTCGCTTTCCTCTTTTTAGCCGCCAGGGCTTCTTCCTCTGCCTTCTTTTTCGCCCCTTCTTCTGCTTTGGCCTTAGCCTTCTCCAGCTCCTCTAAATCTTCTCCAAGAATCGACTTGCGTAGACCCTCTCGAGAATTGTCTATCTCTTCCACGGTGACTGTAGTGTACTTGTCTTCGTCGATGTATTCGGCTTCGTAGTCCACCGCGGGCGGTTCCTCAATACCTTCCCACTCGTCGTCGCTCTCTTCTTCGGCATCTGATTCGCCATTGTCGCTGGTATCCTCCTCCTTAAGACGCTTCAGCTGTAATTTGTGTTCTTCCATCGCTCGCTTGAACTCTGCCGCTCGCTCTTCGCGAAGCTAAACACGCCGTATTAGTTATGAGATGGCCCCGGAGGACTAAAAAATCCGAATCAATTCGACTCGTACCTTTTGGCGATCCTGCCGCTTCTCTTCTTTCGCCCTCTTAATCGCGATCTCTTGCGCATGCTTGATACGCTGCTGCTTGCGCTTCCGGAACCCAGTCAAGAATTCTTCGCGGGCGGCTGGGTCGAAACTGACTTCTTCGACCTTGTCGATCTTGCCGACCTTACGACGTTTGAAAGGTGGACCCATGATGTGAGAAAAGTATCTGAGTAAAAAGTAGAATAAAACTGTGCAAAAGACACCCAGTGCCTGATCGTGGGATGTGGTTCTGTCGAACCAGAAAAAAAAAGTCCAAGTCCAAAGCTCAGACGCCGCAGCGGGCCCGGACTCTGGGCGACCGCCTCCGAGGCCAAGTCGGACCTCCCGTTGGCATCATCATCATCCTCCACACCAGCAACTCCTCCACAAAACACAATGCATCTGAGCAGGTTTGGGCTGCTTGCCCTCGGGGCAGCTGCAGTCGATGCCTTCCGTGATACTTCTCCATTTTTCCTCGCGTCGACCTCCGAGTACGTGGCTTGAGTCCATCTTGAAACTATGGCCAGCTAACCAGCTCCTCCTGCATGTAGGATCCTAGCGAACTCTGCGCACATCAAGACCAGCACCTCACTGTTCGGTGATCTTTCATCCGCTCTCGGTTCTTGCCCGTCGGAATACTATGTTCTTGTCAACCAGCCTGGTGTGCATAGCTCGGACTTTGCGACCCGCAAGTCGGCACCCCGCCTCGGCGCGAAGATGCTAGGCAAGGATAAGGCTATTCGATCAAAGATGAGCGTCAATGAAGTGGCGGGCCTTTTGGAGGTCAAGCAACTCAAGGATCTGCTGCAGGAGAAGTGCCAGGCTCAGACTACCGTCATCGACGGCTCCTGTGAGTTGCTATGGCCCCGGCTTCGATCGTGGCAGGTGGAGCTTCGAACCTGGGACTAACGATCGAATCTAGCCGGATCGTACCCATCATACTTTGAGTCGGGCCCTCGGATTATCGATGTCGAGTTCCCTATGCTCTCGCTTGGATCGGACCGTGCTGACCAGCTCTCCAACAACGGTACGTGGAGCCTGACCGTCGCCGAGTTCTTCGCCTAACATTTTCTAGATGGTCTGGTCGCCGATATCATTGAGCGAATTCCTTCTTCCTCCCAGTATACTCTTCTCTACATTACCTCGCCGAGGGAGTTCCCCGAGACCGATTCCATCATCTACGAGACCGAGGACGCCTATCCTGACTCGGTCCGCATGGAACTCAAGCGCGACTACTCCTCCCACTCCTCCTACTCCAGCGCCTCCGAGTCCGGTCGCAACACATCTCTATTTGACGAATACCAATTCTTTACCCCAGGTTTGTGACCCCGCCTCGTAATGCGTGTGGCCCCGTCCTATTCTGACTCCTCGACAGGACTTTTCATGGGATTCATGGCTACTTTCCTGTGCCTGATCATCCTGTACATTGCCATCAGTGCTGTCAGCAGTCTCCAGGTGCCCTACGCTGCCTTTGAGAAGGATACTTCGTCTGCTGTGCAGAAGAAGCAACAGTAAGTTGGGATGGGCACTTTTTGGGTGACAAGCCTCGAGTAAGGGGCCATACCTTGCTCAATGCACGCTACAATTGAGTTACTCGCGTTCTTTTTCAGTATCAAGGGCACGATCTTTTTTCGTATTATTGTATGATAAATCACACTGCGAATTTCTGGGTAGAATTCAAGCCATCATCATGTGACACCCCCTCAAGCCGCACGGCTCAGGCCTCAGGCTTCAGGCACTTAATTTAGCGCAGTAACCTGGCGTCGTTTGGTCTTCTTCGTGTTCTCGCTTACACAAGACGACCCTTTCCCCCTCTCGAAACCCTCAAACACTCGTTTCATTTTGTTGAGAGACAGTCACTCGTTTTACTTGGCGATTTCAATGGTGCATTTCTGAGTCGGAATCTGTCAAAAGTGTGGAGCCCCCCAGATTCTGTCGGGAGAACTGCATCGATCAGACATTCCGCGCACCGAAAGGGATTGCGACCCAATTATTGAGAAATCCTCCACTCGAGACCAGCGCTCAAGAGTTCGCTGATATCGACTTGACAAAGTTCTCTGTCTCTACTCTACACCCTCGCTGCTCACCACCAACTACCCCGGCTGACCCGCTGTGGAGAACCACCTGATTCCATTTACATATTGGACAACTGGGCAAGAAGACCGAGAACACCATGAGACTCTCACGGCGCGGGCTCGGGACGGCCCAACCGTCATTCATCTTCCTCTTGGTGGTGCTGCTAGCCATTGCTGCTCGTGTGGTTGCGGACCCGGCGAACGATGCGACGACCTCCGCTACAACGGATGCCGCCCAGACCACCGCTGATCCCTCCACCACTGATAGCACCTCTAGCGCGAGCACCACTTCGTCCTCCTCTTCATCGACGTCGACATCGAAGTCCACCTCTAGCACAACTTCCTCTACGTCTACGACATCTACAACCATGTCATCTACAACGACGACCTCCTCTTCGTCGTCGTCTTCTTCCACCTCCACCTCCACCTCCAGCGACAGCACATCAACAACGTCGTCCGTTTCCACAACAACGGACTCAACCTCCTCGTCTTCAACCTCCACATCCGGCGCGGTCGTAACCGTCCCCCCTACCGCAAATGCGCCGTACATGCAAACCACGAATGTGCCCGAGGGCACGGTATTTATCGCCGTCGGTGCAATCCTAGGCCTGATCGGGCTGGCGGTTCTCGCCTGGCGCGGCATGGTCGCATGGTCTGTGAACCGCTCAGTGCGGCGCGCAGCCTTAGCACAAACCTCCGATAAGAAGCGACTGTCGCGTCGTGGCGGTGGTAGGAAGCGATCACACGGTGTCTACTCCGCCGCACCGGGCAACGATGTATCCCTCGATAAGCTCGGTGCAGCCACTCGCGCAAGCTACAAGCCCTCGAAGCAGGTTCCCAGCACGAACAGCGGCTTGTTCTTTTCCCCTACTGCTGGTGGTGCTGGATCGCATCATAGTCTCAATAATGCGGGTAACCGTGGTTCGAGTTACCTCCCCGCCGGGTACTATGCTGCCGCCGGGACATCCACGCCTGTAAGGGATGCAAGCGCGTCCCAAACCAACATTTATTCTCCTACTGCTGGTCTATCCTCGCCTACGGGATTCCACGCAGGTTCTTCCCCGTCCTTGCCCGCGGTCGGTGGCTACCCCGACATGCCTCATACTCGTCACTCGCATCTTGGCGCCTCCACCAGCTCGCTGAACCTCAACCAAGCGCCGCAGGGTCGTGCGCCGAGTGCATACTTGGAGGATCTTTTCGAAAGCCATACCTCACCTCGTCATTCCGAGTCTGGTCTAGGTCGTCAACCTGACTCTGGTCGGCGATGATAAGATAGTCTCGAGTCCGTAATGACCAGGATGGTGTAGGCTGCACATCTCTGACTCCGATCTATTTTTGGTTTCTTTGTGCCATATTCTCGAATTATTTCCCTTTATTATTGTCCGTCTTCTAACGCGCCGGCGTTTTCGGGAGCTTTTGTACCCTTTGTGCACTGCCACTTTTGTATTTACTTTCATCTACAGCAGGTCTCGGTTCATGTTCATGAGAGCGAGCTGCGATTTGATAATACTTTTTCTATTTCTCGCAATTTCCTGGGATATTGAAAGTGACCGATAAAATGGCTGATGCCATGCCCCCACGTTCTCTTGAATAGCAAAGCCCTTAATTCACAAAATGCCATATCCCTATGTGCATGCTCAATAATTTACGATACTCACACTCACAAGCTTAAAGCTTCAAAGTAGAAACCAGTTCTGACAGTCCCCTTGCTCACTATTCACGATTGAGCCAAGGGTCCGTCCGAAATTCCCTTGAAATCTGTCTGTCCTCGGGCGACACTGCAGCATCTTTCGTAGAATTGCTAAGAAGAGGTCTTTATCATCCCGCTCGAGCCAACTCACTTCTTCCTCCAGGCTTCGATCAGAAATCTCATAATCCTCAATTTTCCAATTTCCTGGATATCAGCTAGCACCAGAGGTAACTAGGCTTCAAGTACTGAAGATGACTCACCATTTTTGTCAAAGAACTTGGAACTTCGCTTCCAACTTTTGACGGAGTCTGCTGGGGATGGTCCCAAAAGCCCAATAGCTTCTGCCAGATGAGTCCTGGTATGCATCGACCTTCCAGATTTTGATAGCATAAATTCAGTCGGCCTTCGTTATCATCTTGAGGATCTGTAGGCGTCTGCCTGGGCAACATAGGTTTGAACCTCCTCCACAAAACAGATGCACCGAAGTCACTCTGCACAGATACACCATACATTCAGGCCAGGGTTAGTAGATAGCCCTTCTGGCTAAGAATTTTTGAGAGGAAGGGCCAGTTTGCTCACCCCGTCGGAAATGGGGGAAGACCTCTTCCTCAGGCCAGCAGCGGGCAGGCAGGTAAAATAGGAGATCCTCTGGTCGTGGATTTGGTTTTAATCATAATTTCGATTTCTGTGGTTCCCTGACGACTTTGACCCCTTCACCGAGATCTTCGGTCAACGCTGCGAGCATTCAGCAACTGGTAGGTAGCCTGCTTAGCTATTTCTGGGCTAGCTACTTACGGGGATCGTATCCACTGGGATATACGGTGTCATTGGTATATTCATGATAAAGAATGACATAGATACAATCAGTCTCGAGCTTTCTATGTGCATAGCTTTATCATACTGAAGTCAACATGATTCAGGGCATTATCGGTCATGTGACTGATATCACAGAATGACAAAACGGCGGTTTGAAACATTCTGGACACTCCAACTTTTCTTCTACATTTTGATCGTTCTGCTTTGTGCTTATCTTGTATATACTTTCAACTGCTGTCCTCTCATCTTCGGACTCTTGGTCGTTGAGAGAGTGGATGAGTGTGCACTGGTACGGTTTTGATTACTCGTTGACCAAGAAGGATGAGACTAAAAGGCATCCAAGCATGTTACCTCCCAGCATTCTCTCGAATACATGAGAAGGCAAAAGATGTTTTGTACACATGACGACTGGCATTTGCTTAGCGTTCGACTAATGTAATTTTAGTGGAGGACGCAGTCAACGCTACTGGGGTTATAGACTCGTCCATTCAAACAGTAGACTTTCCAAAGATCGCTTTCGAGAACAACAGATAAATGAAGTGACGAAAGACAGTATATGTACATGAAAGCGCTAAAGACTTGTATGAATAGCTCCACCAATTCAGGCGTAACCGAATCAAGATCAAACTTGAGCAAGCCAGGGCAAATATAGACATTACTCCGAGAAAATGAGACAATTAGAAAAGAAACTTCAGTACCAGATAGAGGCAGAGTGCTTATACAACACTCAAATCAATCAAGGAAGTAGAACACGAAGATAAGCATACAAGCTGAATATATGTACTTTCCTTACACCGGGAGAAAGGTCGCGTGTCTATAACTGTTCTAATTGTAATGGGTGGATTGACGTAGGTAGACATCCGAGAATGTGGGAAACATGTGTTGCTTCCAGAGAGAGGGCGTTGTGGAGGAGTCGGAAACTGAGATTCTGAGTCGCATACTCGTTCCCAGGTGATGAGTTTGAACGGAACCGCTTCAAAAAAGAGAAAAGAGAGTGCAAAGAATTGCCCCATCGCACGGGATGACATAGTGGTTTCTGTTTAATCTGCGTCGAACTTGTGGTTGAAGTCGCCAAGCAGAATATCGTCGGGGCCGGGGCCTTGGGTGTTGCGAACTGTTACACAAGAAATAAGTTGGTCAGCAATTGGCCCAAAGAAATCAAAGCTGCAGTGGTCGGGACAAATCTGTCTGGCGGACGGCTTGTTGCAGAACAGGTGAGACAGGTAGTACTTACTCCATTCGGCTTCAACCCGGAAAAAGACCCACATCCAACGACGGGCGACTTCGAGGAACATCAGCAGGAACAGGCCAGATTCGGTTTCAGGAAGCCATGCGAGACCCGGGATCACGCGCCACAGCCATGAGAATCGGAGGGCAAGATCCGCGATGATGACGTAGTGGTACAACCGGTCGGAAGAAAAGTTACGGTGTCGGCGTAGACCGTATGGATGATCACGGTTCAGGCGGTTGGGGGAGAAGAGTGTGAAGTCCCAATCCTTCACAACGTCCCACCAGAACGAGTAACCGGAGTTGATACATGAGAAAATGAACCTGAAAGAAAGGGCTATCAGAAAGTGGTCCGATATTGCGGCTGAGGAAAGAGAGCTGACTTACAAGAGACGCATAATGGTCACCTCGCTGAAACCGTGGAAGTCAAGCGGGTTATAGTTGCGCAGCTTGGCTGTCAAATAAATGACCGGAAACGCGGTAGAATACTTCAAGGCGTTGGCCAAGTGCTGATTTGCCTTACTCGCGTCCCGCCGGGAGGATGTGTTGCGCGATCGCACATATTCCGTCAGACACTGGCGCAATCGAATCACGCTCGGCACCGCGATAATAATGGGCACGATAAAGTCCGTTCCACAGGCACGGTTAGGCTTGGAGGTCGCGGACAGTCCGTCGGTGAAGAACATGCAGAAACTGATATAAAGGTCTCCCAAGACCCGTGCATAACTAGTCAGGGCATCCGCCAGCAGGACATCGCCAAACTTGCCATCCTGCGACTCCGCAAGACCCCCGATGGCGACCCGTTTCAGTGTCAGAAGGAGGCGGATGCGGCCTGCCCGAGAGGCCCGGTTGAATGGCCAGATTAGGATCAGGAGGAGGATGATGAAGACGGATTGCGGAATATAGTCGAAGCGACCCACGAGCTCAAACTGGCAATGTGTGACGATCCAGAAAACGATCAACCAGAGGGTGAGTGGGATGGTGAAGATGGTGGCTAGTCGGTAGGCGGAGGCATGGTGAGACCGTTGAGCGGAGGATGGGTATCGGATCAGTGCCGGGACATCCTAGACGAGGAGAAACACGAGTTAGTCCTTGAATCAAATGTGTCGACCTGGTGTGAGGTGTTCCGGGACCCGCGACGTACAATATTGGCCTTGGCCAGGAAGTGTAGGTTGATCGCCCATCCCCAAAACCCTGTCTATGAGTTAGCCAACGACCTCCCAAGCTTGGATAGAAGCACGACAAAATCAAAGACGGCCGATCACATACCGGCAACTAAAAGGGTAGCGACCCTGATAGGGAATGGGAAGGTCAACCCAAAGCCATCTATTTGCGGCTGTTGATCCGGCCCCATTATTCCATGGATCGATCGGGGAAGAGGAGGGAGGAGGAGGAGGCGGAGGGTGGGATGGAGGGGCGAGAGGACGCTGGACACACGGTAGACACCCCGTGGGGGAAAAGAGAAAGAAAAGGAATGACTAGGGGTGAGGATCTGGATTTTCCCTGGAGAATAGTTTGTTCGATGGAGTCGCAACTTTCGAGACTGGCCGCTTTCAGGCTCCGTTAATAAGCACAAGACCCTCTCAGGAGTTACGCGCCTTGCGGTCTTGCAGGCGTGTGGACTCGGCAGTGGGGGGGAAGATGTGGAATTTCAGTGGACTTTCCAGGGGGTTTGACTGGTCTTCAGTGGGCTTTGAAGGCCTGGAACTCCACCCAGGCCCTCTGGTGTTTCTTCGTTTGGGGTTTGGAGGCTTGGGAGCTGGATATTAATTGGGTGAAAGGGGGGACCGTACTGGCAGCAGTCCGATGCTCTCATAGGCTCAGAGGGCAACTGCAGAGTTGTATAATTAGCAGTCCCCGAACATGATTCAATTTCATTCCTAACAGAACACTGAAGACTGAAGATCTTCTTGCGATCGACGGTCAGGGGGGAGCCCTCTCAGACTGTTCTCGCTGCGCTCGTTCGTTCTCTACTCGCCTGGTGGAATCCACTATGGCATCATGGTGATCCCTGCACCCACTCACTTACGCAGCCCCCAGCACCTGGTGCCCTATATTGAAACAACTGACCAAATTTGCCTTGTTTATTTGTTACCACTCCGGAGCCACATTGTCTATATCATGACCCTGATTAGCCACCAGCGCTGGAAGGGTCTTCTTTTTGTGGCTGCAAACATGATCAGGGGGAAGTATGAAATTATGTAAGCTCTTATTTTTAGATTTTCAATCTATTATGTAAGCGGCACTCAAAACGGGATACTTATCATGTGATCTCAAGGCTCGGTCTTGGGTCACCTGACCTGAGCCGAGGCAGTCCGGGGAATCAGCCGAAGCATCGCTCATCGCCGTGGGGAAAGCCATCTCGGGCCCCGTCCATCACCGGGGATGCTCCCATTGCCACCAATACACCATTCTTGATCTTGACAGCCCTTGACAAGCTCCTTGTGCATTTCTCATATATAGCGATTTATCATGGCCGATGACGACCCCCATCTGTCACTGGCCACCCCGGACGCCTCGGTCGGTTCACCCGCCTCACACTTCTTCCCCTTCGCGACATCCCCAGACATCATCCGCTCGCATGAAAAAGACGTCTTCCTCACCGGTGGACTGGTCCAACAAGCCCAATCTATCGTGCGCGCTCTCCGTGGCGCCCGCTACGCTCACACCCACTCCGATGCCATCAAGCACCTCACCGAGCTCCTCTACTTCTCCCTCACCACCGCCATCGGCAACCGCACCCTCGGCGAAGAATACTGTGACCTCGTCCAGCTGGAAGATGACACCCTCCGCTTACCCGCCATCACCAGGCGCGTCGGCTACATCCTCAGCAGCATCCTAGTGCCCTGGTCACTACAGCGATTGCTTCCCGCGTTGCGGCAGCGCGTACGGAACAAGCTCGAGCGAAGTATCGCCAAGCAACAGCTCCGCGCGACACAGCAGGCTGGCCTGCTCAATTTCAATAAACCTCCGTCCAGTGCAGCGAGCAAACAGCAGAAGCCATTCGTCACGAAACTTCGTATTCAGCAGTATATCCTCGAACACCTTGACTCGATTACCTCCGTCTCGCCGATCTATGCGCTCAGCATTGCGACGTTCTATTTCTCCGGCTCATACTATCATCTTTCCAAACGGATTTGGCGCTTGCGATACGTCTTTACCAAGAAGCTTGAGGAGAATGAGCAGCGTATTGGATACGAGGTGCTCGGCGTATTGATGGTGCTGCAGATCGCCGTGCAGGGGTTCCTACATGTACGCAAGATTGGCGCGAGTATGAACGAGGACCAAGAGGAGTCTTCGGGAGCCGGTGAGAATCGCTCAGAAGCTGGGGGACTCATCCCATCCATCCAGAACCCCCTTGCAGTACCCCTGCTTCCCGCGTCGACGGCCCGGTACGACCTTGATGAAGATCCTGGGGCGGTGGCGTGGATTCCGGACGGTCAACAGCGGAAGTGTACATTATGCTTGGAGGCCTTCAAGGACCCCAGCGTAACGACTTGTGGACATGTATTCTGCTGGGTTTGTGTAAGGGATTGGGTCAGGGAAAAGCCCGAGTGTCCTCTTTGTCGGCAGGAAGTGCTATTGTCGAAAGTACTTCCTTTGAGAGGGTAGCCTTGTGATGTGTTGGCCTTCTCATGTTTCAATACCCGACTCTGCATACTAGATGTATATACTGGATTTGGATGAATATATACCCCCACTTTCTCTTCACCATTTCAGAACCTCCACCTATAGTATACGGCCGCTAGAGATAAGCTGTTGACCGCTGGGTTTTCGGGTAATGCTATTGTATCTCTAGTAAGGTATATTCCTTGCATCGTCAAGGCAGGTGTTTGATGATTCGTATTTCGTGAAGTAAAAGCTTAGATTAAGCATGCCTACTTAGGTATGCTTAGCTAGTGCCTACTGAAGGCCTCAATATATATCCAACCTAGTATACGCTCCAGTCTACGCTACACAATTATTGACCCGTCTCCGTCCGTCCACCATGCCACCAGAACAGAGTGAATGTACAAAATAAATTTGAAATTCTTCTTGACATGGACAATGCATATCTGGATATCTAGCCAACGAAACACCGAACCAACCAAGAAACGCATCAAATGCAACAAGAAACACGGTACCCAATAAAAAAGGAAGATGCCGCTGTCTATGGATATCTTGATATCGGGGCCACACATATGCAAAAAAAAAAAGATTGGGAGATGAATCGTCTCATGAGCGATCAATTACATCGCCATCAACTATACCAGGGACAGCAGTCCTATCCGCAAAGTTCACTGCTTCTCCGGCGGGACAAATAATGGGCAAGTTGAGTTCTGCATGTGCAGGACGAGGGGGAACGGGGTTCATCGCTTGTCTCTTCTGCTCCATGATATTGAACAGGCTAATGCAAGCATATGGATCCGTAGCGGCATCTAGTAACGACTGTTAGTCCGACGTATCATTGATGAGATGTTTCGGTATATTTCCGCAAAAGAACTTACATTGAACCTGGCGATAATTCAACGATCTCGCCCAATCGCCACAACGCACGTCCTCGGTCTTTTCAAGCGGTAATCCTAAATGCTCTTCAACCTGGTCGCTCAGGTTTACGGTCCTCTTGTTGACAAGCTTGGGCTGCGCCTGACCGTATTTCACCAATTTATACAGATGGCTCAACTCGAAGATAGACCGGGCCTCGACTCCGAGATACTTGCGTAGTCGGGTCGAATCCGCCTTGATAGAGACGCCGACTTTGGTAATGTCAGGCGACTCAATGATGCGCTTAAGAGAAGGTGCCACAAAGTCTTCCAGCGAGCGGGCGGGCTTGAACAGAGCGATCTGAAAGAGGGCGATGCGCTCTTCGTTTGCGAGCTGGACGAGCGACAGATTATTCTGGATGCTGTCTGTGGCGGAGGCCTGTGCTTTCCATTCCATATCAAAACCGAGAACCTTGCTGTCCAAAAAGTGCCGTGCAACGGACTCGGTGCTCTCGAGAGATCTACAGTAGTGCACAATAGGCCTCTGCCCACTGGGAGCTCGCTGATCACTGTGACTCCAGAAAAGCGGGGCCTCCTCGGTCGAGGTGATTTCAATATCGAGGTGATATGCGTCTTCTGCGGAAATGGGGAGCTCAGAATCCGTGTTTGGAGTAGGTCGTATAGCAAAACGAGGCGCAGATTCGGGTAAATCAGGATGATTACAGTTCAGGGCATGATCGCTCCACACGGTGGAACTTGTGCTATAGGATCTTCCCCTTGGCCTCTGGAACGGATCACCAGGACTGACAACCGGATTTGGTTCCCAGAAGTTGCGCTTAGGACTCTTCAGTGGCTTCTCTACCGGATGAGGCTTTCTTTTTGTGGATGCATCATGCTTGGTCTTCTCCGACTTTTCGGGATGCCGCTCTTTGGGGACAGAGGCCTTCCCACCTGGTGAGGAGAGCGGCTTTGGCGCTGGCGGTCGTTCCACCACACTTATTTTCGTCTTGGGCTTGTCAGGAGTGCGTTGGGATCCCGCGTCATCTTTCATGGACATTGCTCGGAGAAACCGGGTCTTCGCATCCACGGGCGCTGGCTGGGGTGTTGGTTTTTTCGCTTGGCCCAGGTGATCCGATACAGAACCGGGGCCGAGCCTGCTTCGAGCTGCTTTTCGCTTCCGCGGGGATGACCTCTTTTGCGAATTCGCATCCGGAGTAGGTAGTGAGGATCGAGACTCCTTCTCATCCACTAGTACCTTCGAGGATCTGGGCTTCGAGGACCCGGAGGAAAGCCCATCTGTAAGCCTGGGCTTCCAGTGAGACTTCGTTGTCTCTTTTGTGGAAGGCTTGGAGGCAAGCTCTGAGCGCACGCTCCGTGCAGTTTTTCGTCGTAGGTTCTTTGATTTCGTAAAGCGAGAAACCTTGGCTCTCTTCTGCGAGACTCCTCTCCGACGGACTCTCACGGAGCCCAAGTCCAGGATCTGGGATTTTCTTTCGGCCGCTTCCTTACGGAACCTATCCATCATTTCCAACCAGGTATCCAAGCCATTGGGATCCCTGATCATGCGGAAGGCCATCTCGGATATCCAACCGTCTGAGCGGATATCAACCATCTTGTGAACCCATTGGTTGAAGCGCCCCATATCTTGGCTCAGTGGCTTGCTAGGGACGAATAGTTTCTGGGCTTGAATCAGGTTAGGCACGCCCAGCTTCCCCAGTTTTTCCTCCAGTCCGAGTCGATACCAGTTGATGTATCTGTACATCTCCAATTCTCCTAAGAACTCTTTCTGTGATTTTCTGTATCTCATGTACCAGTCGCTTAGATTAGCTTGGTTTGTTTTACGATCATGATCGTCAAGGCCTTCCCACATGGGTCCGAACCCTCCCTGGATTGTCGGGACCAGGTGCAACACTTCTTTCGAGAGCTGTGTGATGTACATGCGATGGAGATCAAAGGGCGCAAGCACGTCGAGCTGCCGCCAATACTTGTTTAGTTCAGGAGACCAGGTGGGTTTTGGCCCTCTCCATTTCTGCAGATAGGGTCTTCGAATGTGATCGGCAAGTCGGCGGTCTTTCTTTGCCATAAGTGCTTTGATTTTTTGATGCTCTTTATCATCGAACATAACGGCTGATATGACCTTTGACGGTAAAAGGTTTGCTGAGGCCACCGTAAGAGACTCAATGAGATTTGAAGACTCGAGTAAGAATGCGTCGCTAAGCGGATTTTGAAATCTCCTCGACGTGCGCCATCTCCAGCGGTGTTCGTGTGAGCTCAAAGCAAATTCACTAGCAATTGAATGATTCGAATCTATCAGAGATCTGTAAAGAGGCTCTTTCCGCGAATCCAGGTACAAAAGTGAACGCAAAAGCGTTGAGATGGCGTGAAGCCCATTGATCACGGCGGTACCCTTGGCCTGCAAGTCGTTGTATTGACCGGCTGCGGTCTCTGCATGAACGAGTAATCGATCAATTCGGGACCTGGCAGCATTCCGAGCCTTGAGATACTCCCTGTCAAGAAGGGCATGGAGATCGTTGATGAACTGCAGCGAAATGTCTACCGATTGGGAAAACACCGCGACCTGCAAATTCTTGATTTCCCGAGCCGATGTTGACAATTGCTCCTTCAAAAATCCGAGAGGACGGAACGCAATTTCACAATACTCGTGTTCCAGATACTGGCTTTTTTGGTGCATCTGCTCAACCCGGCTTTCCAAACGTGAAACATACGTCGAGACCTGACTGTCGCACTGGAGCTGGGCCTCGCTGATCACTTTGGCGGACTGTGAAAGGCAATGCTCAACGTGGGCGTACTTCAGTTGCAGGAATTCATCACACAGTTTGTAGTAATCCTCAAGCACTCGAGCCTTCTTTTCGATATTTTTGAGTTTTTTGCGATCCAGAGGCCTTGTTGCCCGTTCTTTGGCCTGCACCTTCAACCGAGATTCTCGTGTCCGAATCAAGTCATTGATATTTTCATGTACAGCGCCGGTTACATTCACACGTCGTTGTCCGGTTTGGGGTGGAGACGGCACTTCTACCTCCTCCTCATCGTCGATGATTATGATTCGTGCGCGCGGAGTACCGGAGAACGTTCGTCTGGGCTCCCATCTGGTGGTTTGTAGACGGTGAACGCGGTGAAGTTGGTTCCTGGGGGCTCTATGGCGACCAAGCGAGCGGGGGGAAGAATTGGCGCCACTTTGGAATGTCAACAATCAGACGTTGAAGCTGTATAGTAAATACATTGCGAGCTTACCACTGATACGTGAGCCAGCGGACCCCAAAGCTCAATTTTCCATGCCTAGGCAAGTCGCCATGAGCAGTCGTGACTAAAGACGGATACCTCAGACCTGCTGGAAGGGTTGCCCATCCCCGCATTCTGTGTACTGCGCATAGTGCACTGCCCGCGAGATAGCCAGCTTGGCGAAACAAAAATTGTGACGCTCCTCAAGCCACTTGTTAACCTTCGATATGCGAACGAAACGCTCTGTGAGAATTGCAAGATGTGTAAAACGATCCGATTGTAGGCGGACATCTGGTTCAAACCAATTGTCCGGGGTCGTCGCACTATACCTAATATGGACTAGTCTATCGGCCCGGAGAAAACCATGTTCCTGGAGGCCAGAGATCGCAGCTCTGCTTTGTATATCGCATTCTGCTCGTCCTAAATCTCGTTTACGACGCACAAAACATAGCTAGAGCGATTTCTCAGATCTGCTAGATTCACGACATACCAGACATAATGGCCTCTCAGCTTCTCCCCCTTGGTGCTTTCGCGAAGTTCCCGCTCACCGCGTGACCCCGCTAACCCTTCGATAGAGCTTATCGACAAGTGTGTTGGCTCCCGGATCTGGGTTGTCATGAAGGGTGACAAGGGTGAGTCTGGATATCCAGAGGGCGAGAAATTTTGGGTGTACTAACATGGACTGAAGAGTTCTCCGGAACCCTCCTCGGCTTCGACGACTACGTCAGTAAGTACCCCTTCTCCATTCGGTCATCTGTATGTTACAATATGCTGATAATGGCCTTAGACATGGTTCTGGAGGATGTTACTGAATTGTGAGTGCTATCTCTACGCCTCATCTATAAGGACGCGCCTTGGCTGTCAAGGATATCACGTCTTGGCAGTGACCATCTCGGCGTTCATGATGGCAATCTTGATGCCCAACCACCTCCACGACTTTAGTCGAGAGACTAATCTTCTCCTAGCGATTACACTGGTGCCCAGATTAAGCTTCCCAAGCTTCTCCTTAACGGCAACAACATCTGCATGGTAAGTATCCTTTCCTGCGTCCCTGACTGAGCTCTAACAATTCGACCCAGTTGATCCCTGGCGGAGAGGGCCCTGGAAGCGCATGAGTCGTGTCTAGGTTAATGGAAATACGATGAGAAGAAAGCTCTGCGTTAATGATACCGAATGCGACGACATGAAAAAACCTATAGATTGAATCAATCCCATTAATATTGGGGCATATCATTTTCACATACCAAATTTGCAGTCTATGAGAGAGGTGGAAGTCTTCATACTCATGCTCTACTCATGGGGAAGCAGGATTGAATACTATTTTCACGCTTACAACCTGCATGCCGGTGAAATGTCCTTCCCTATCGACCGGAACTTCAAGCTTACTGTGCGCGTTTCGAGTGTCATGCAGAGGAAATTCTCAAACCCCGAGAGAATGTGCCGTTAACCCTCGCTCTACCACAATAACGCGATGAACAATTTCGAGCACTGTGCTCTACTAAACCATTGGCGCCCTGTTCGACCCAATTACTCAATTGAAATTTCAAGCTCAAACCCCCTCACGAGCGGACAATGACCATTACAATCTAACAAACGCAGCGATCATGCAATGACATATTCAAGCGTCACAGATCTATACGAGTCCATTAGTGTCCTATCAATTTCAATTACGCAAACGACACCTCCATCTAATCCCTCATAAGCGGACAATTAACCGATACCTATCACCAAAGCTTGCCAATGCTTCTGGACCACCGTCTCAATGCAGACAGACCGGTCCCCTCCAATCGCTACCTTACCCCTCTACACGCCGAGGCACGACTAGCCTCGATAACCAAACGCAAAATGCCAGCAGACGCCACGCCACCCGACCCTGACTTCTCTGAATTAAGTGAACTCAAGGACATACTCTCGCCGAGCCGCGCACTACTGTCCAGCTTACCGCCGGCTATAGCCGGTGCACTACGGTGAAGTACCGGGTATTCTGGGGCGCATTGGGTACCTGCTGTGGAGTACGTGCTGAATCCTTTCTCATCCATTACTCCGTCGAACCAGTGAGTATGAGAGAATGTGGAACGGACTGGGACATGGGGGGCCGTGTGGGTTTCTGGGGTAGTTGCGGAATACAGGATGCTATGGGTCTATGATGCGGATGTCGATCCTTCCCCAGAGTATCTGGTTATGGTATGGTGGATATTGCCATATACTCCTATCCAAATCCGGTGATGTACATGTAGAAGTCTAATTGAATTGCAAATCCTTTGATACGCCATGCTATAAGGGGGTAGACCTGATTGACGATGCGGGTAGATATGCTTCTACAGGACGCAAGTGCCCGCGATCGTCGAATCGGGACTTGGACCGGTACGTACGGAGTAGATGTGATAGACTGGCTGCTCGGAATGAAAAGCAGAGATAGGGGGCCTTCTGAACCTTCCCCGGCCCGGGCGGTGAAACCCCCAGGCCGCAATCGTGGTCGAACTTGCTCGGAGGGAAGCTCGAGCCGCACCGAGTTCCATTTTGGGGAGACGAAATGATGCCGCACTGGAGAATGGCGGCCGTTAGTTTCACTACACCATCATTAGTGTATTTTTACGCTGCGGATATCAGGCAAATCAAGAATTGGCCCGAAGAATCCGCCACTTCGACTCATATCCAGTTGCTCCGTACAAACGAAACCCACCCAATCAACCCGCCACAGTTAACCGAGATAATATGAATCATGGACATCATCATTCACCGTCATTTGCTGCTAGTCAAGCTCACAGCCCGGAGTGTGGATTGCTAGCTCTTACCCCAGACTTAGCCCGGGGGTCTGGTGTGGAAACTGTTACCTAACAGCATTCGATTCCCCCGCATTTAACATGGGGAAACTGGATCAACCCTGTCGGCCGGTGGGACAACTCTAAAGAGACCCAGCTGGGGTTGAATGTAGGCAGGATTAGATGGTGGAAAGAGGCGAGGGTGTTGGAAATCTTGTATTGAGCGATTTTTTTCCTGGAGTGGACTGAATGAGTAGTAATTTGAGGTTAAAGTTGAAGTGGGCGCTTCGGTCGGCCTCTGTGGCGCGAAGTGAGTCGCCGCAAAAGTGGCGTATCGTTTTTAGGGGACCACGACTCTTTCTACTAGGCGACTTGAACTAAGGAACATAAATCAAAACTATTGGCAGCTATGGTACTAATAGCTATTTCTAGGAATGTCTTTCTTTTCTAGCTAATTAAGGGCCATTTCCATCTCCATTTCCAATTCCGTGTCTGTTTCCAACGACATGCTAGATCTCCCCATCGTCCTGTAACAGCTCTCGCGTCACATTTCAAACCGGGCAACCAACGTAGCCAAGCTCCACCATACGTCCCTTTCAGAGGCAAGAACTAAATGCTCAGCCTCGGAATCACAGACGTGCCAACCCTTGCGCGATGCTACCATGGCTCGAGGGGTGCCAGTCAGAAGCAGCCATTCACAAGCCGAGCTGAACGCCATCAAGCACATGTGGCGGGCCTAGCGGGGATCGGGGATCAAAAGGCAGTCATGCAGCGCCGCGCAGAGCTACAAAGACAAAGGTGGTGTGCACATGGCCCGTTCTTGCGTTTGTATATCTGTATAGAACGGGAATCAAAAAAGTTCCGAGATACAGACTATATGTCTTGGGTTACTTATTTCAAGATGTTCTAGATCGATGGTCGCTGATTGTTTCTCTTGGCTCAAAGGCAGCACGGTGTCGCGATGATTTTACTTGGCGATGTTCTGGAAAGCCCCGATGGACAATGCTAGGTATCTACATATACAGTACCTTGTTACTTGGGAGGCAAAATCCCATCTCTTTTAGACTTATTGGATTCAGCCGCCCTCCAGGGTTCGAGAAGGTTTCGATTTTCGAAAGGGGTCTTATGATCGGTCGCCTATGTTTGGGATCGCAACAGCCAGAAACTCTACCCCAGGCTTTTTGTCTCTCCCCATCGCGCCACGAGGGCCTTTCCGCAGAGACGGCGTTGTCTTCCAATTAGCGAATGCAACCGAGCTATTTCGTATACGAGCCTCGAGTCGAATCATGGGCGCGTTAGCCAGTCGCACGATCGAGGATGATCATCACGGACTCAGCATGCTGCACTGCGTGATGCATCTAGCTTGGCATACCATACGCACCCTTCGCAAGGGGAAAGGGGCTTTTTTTTTTTTGTCTTTTTGGGTGTGAACTCAAAGCCACGCTTCCCACTGGTCCGCGTGGTAGTTTTTCTCCCGTGCTTCCATGCATATGTGGCAGACCGCCATGAGCCACCCCGAACGCCCCAGAACGAATCAGGGTCTGTGCCCGAAACTCAAGGGGGTGAAGGCGGATTTATGGTTCCATTCGCGTAGAAATTGCCTCGGGGCTGGGGAAGAAAAGCCTAGGAGTCCAGTTGCCCCCCCTTCTTCCAGGACTAGTGCTAATCCGGATGAGCACGGCGAAGCCGATGGCAAAGTGAGAAAGACAGTCGGCGCTTGTGAAATCTACGGCGGGCCAAGCCATTCGTTCCCGATGTCAGGTCATGGCGGTCATCAGCGATGAGATGATGTCTTGCACCGACTAGCCTCGGGTAGAGGGTCTAAAGGTTCCGCCAGGTTCGCGACAGAAGCCATCGCTTCATGCCGGGGCTTTTGCAGGGTAATAGTATCCTTGCCAATGGCAAGTCTAGTTAGTAGGTTGACTTGAACTAGTGAGGACATCAGGCCGTTTCGGCTGGAGCGCAGCTGCCACGGACTCTGTCGGGAAGATTTCCCATAGGCAAGGGGCCTGGGGTGTGGAAAGGATAATCGAGCCCATCCCTGCTCCCGTCCCTCTTGACCCCGGCAAGCCACACAGATCCTTGTTTGCGGGCGCAAGCCCAAAGCCTAGGAGGCGTTCAGGATAATTTCGGATAGAAGTTAGCAGAACCTCACGGGCGGCAGAGTTCAAATTCGATCACTTATTCCCCTTCAATCCTTGAACAAGATAATTGCGACCATGGGTTTGTTGCAACAGGCGGTACGGGCTCTTGCTTGGCGGAACGACTTCTTATCTCGACAGACGTTCTTGGAAGATGCTGATTGGCCAAGAGGTATCGGGAATGCGGAGAGCGGACGGATTGGGGGTAAGTGGGGCTCCATGCTGCCGTGGTTGCTGGCGCACCGGTGCCTCCGTAGTGATTGAGAGTTTCCCGAGTTGCCTCGGGGATTTTCGTGGTTGTGATGGTCCTCGAAGCTTGGCTTTTACCTTTCTCGTTCTTCTCTCCGTGTGCTCGTCTTTTGTGTGTTCGGAATGACCGTTGAATTTGACGCAGGGTCGCACCGCGATAGGCAACGCCTGGCCGGGCTTGCCCATGGGCCAGAACGGTAAGCAATAGGACATCAGAGGGAGGCAATATGATGGATCCAAAGGCTAATCGGTTAGGTCAACAGGGAAAAGGGAGGTCCCGCTCTGACAGGCTCACGAGATGACTTGCGTGGCGTGGCCCGTGAAGAGGTCCCCCACTGGGCAGGATGAAACACTTTGCGAGTCCGGCTGCTGCTCGGAGCTAGGTGGTACAGTTGGTACTCACGATACTGTCGTAGGCAGAAAGCCCATACTCCAGAAGGATGGGACAGCTGGTGGTGGTGGAAATCCTGTGGTCACGGTTTGCGGTTATCGGTATCCAGCCTATCTTGCGCCCCATAATTATCAGCATCGTTATCAACAACTATGGGGCAACATACGGGTGGGACGACTCTTATCTGGCCAAGGATTTAGGGGCCACAGGAAGTCTTGCGTGCTCCCCCCAGTGCCTATGTGCCTATGAGGCTACGTACTTTACTGATAGAAGAATGTCCACATTGGGTGGTAGGACCGTTTGCGGCTACCCTCCTCCAGTGCAACAGTCGGAAAACATAACAAAAAGCTCAATGGTCAATACATTAACTAGTCAGCTACAGTCAAAGAGGCTCGGAAAGAGACTCGGTACTCCAACACACAAAAAGTGAAATAAAACCGTGCGCTAACTTGCCTCTGGGAAAACTGGGGTAGCCATCATACTCTCCGTACTCTACTGAGCTAAATAGCCAAGGCTGACTTAGTGCTCTGACTACGAAGTTACTTTATCAGGCAATGGGACACCAAAGTACAGTAGACACTAGGAGAATTAAGTTAGAGCCCGACCAGTCCCCGCCAATTCTAAACTATGTTAAACCGACCTGCCCAACTCGATCGACCTGAAAGCAGGCCGAAAGCCAAGAAAGTCAAAATCCCAAAGGAGTCCTAACCCCTCCCCAGTGGCCCAGCCTACTTCCCAAGTGGTCTAAGCACACCCGGTTCAGTGCGCGCGGGCGGTCATCTCGATTGGTTGATGCCATGCAGACCCAGTCAACCCCGGCCAAGAATCACGTTCTGATATGCTGTAGACCCGGCCCTGTAGCGTACCAGGCCTGTAACGTAGTGTGCGCCAGAAGCTAAATAATTCATTATTTATTATAAGGGAATTAAATTATCATAATTCCGATATTCCATTCTAAGTCTATTACAGTTCGGGATTATCAATTGACTATGACTATCACCTAATGGATATTCACGGCCCTGGTCCATATTTAAACGTTCGGCCTCCCCCCAGCTGCCTCGCTCTCCTTCCGCGTGTCAAGTCAAGTCGAGTCTCGACCATTTCCCTCTTCTTTATCTTCCTCACTTTCTTCCCGTAGAGGTCCCCGGCGGAATTCTCTCATCCCGGAAGTTCACTCGACTTTTTGGAAACCCTACCTCAACCTTGCCTTACCTACTCCCTCCCGGTTCATTGTAACCCGAACCCTCTCTGAAACGTTAACGCACTAAAGGAACAAAGAACTGGTCGCAATCATGGATGAGAAGAACTACGACTCTGGGTCCAAAGGGGCCCAGGCCACCGGCGACTCACTGCCGTCCTACGGAGACTCCGAGCTCACCAAGGGCAGCATCGGCCAGAGAATTATTGATAGCTTCAAGCGGGATCCCAATGCGCACGTTAACGGCGGTCACTCTGCTGGTGCCGATGGCTCTGGTTTCGATGCCGAACAAGCCGCGCACAACACCGCGCATTCGCCGCTTCAGCGTCGCTTGAAGGGTCGTCACTTGCAGATGATCGCCATTGGTGGTTCAATCGGTACGAAGGCTTCGTCCTAACCCCGAATTCCGATATCATACCTCGGAGCATACGGTTGGCTAACGCTCAAATTGTAGGTACCGGTCTCTTTGTTGGTTCTGGATCCGTCCTCGCTGCCGGTGGTCCGGCCTCGGTTCTGATCGCCTACGTTCTCATTGGTGTCATGCTTTACTGCACTGTCCACGCGCTGGGCGAGATGGCTGTGCTGTACCCCGTTGCTGGTTCTTTCGCTCACTACTCGACCCGTTTCGTTGACCCGGCCTGGGGTTTCGCTATGGGTTGGAACTATGCGCTTCAGTGGCTGATTGTCTTGCCCTTGGAAATCGTCGCTGCCTCGATCACGATAGACTACTGGAGTCCCGGTGTTTCGAATGCAGTGTGGGTTGCTATTTTCTGGGTGATGATCGTCTCTATCAACTTGTTCGGCGTCCGTGGTTACGGTGAGGCCGAATTTGTGTTTTCAGCCATCAAGGTCGTTGCCGTTATTGGATTCATGTATGTGGTTACATTTTCACCCTGCTTTTGGATTGGCATGGTGCCGATTTATCGTGTGGATTCATCCTGACTAACTTTCTCATAGTATCCTCGGAATTGTTCTGAACTGCGGTGGTGGCCCCGAAGGTGGTTACATCGGTGGACGCTACTGGCACAACCCGGGTGCGTTCAACAACGGCTTTAAGGGTCTTTGCAGTGTCTTCGTCAATGCTGCCTTTGCCTTCGCCGGTACCGAGCTGGTTGGTCTGGCCGCGGCCGAGACTGCCAATCCCCGCAAGTCGCTCCCCGGTGCCATCAAGCAGGTGTTCTGGCGTATTGCCATCTTTTACGTGGTCTCCCTTACCCTGGTTGGCCTCCTCGTCCCCTACGACACCGAGCGTCTCGTCACCGGTAGCTCGTCGGCCGATGCCCACGCATCTCCCTTCGTCATTGCCATTGAGAACGCCGGGATCAAGGGTCTGCCCTCCGTCATGAACGTCGTCATCATGATTGCGGTGCTCTCCGTCGGTAACTCCTCCGTCTACGGTTCTTCGCGTACCCTTGCTGCTCTCGCCGAGCAGGGCCAAGCTCCTCGCTTCCTCGCCTACATCGACCGCAAGGGTCGTCCTCTCTGGTCGATTTTTGTCGCCTCCGTCATTGGTCTGCTTTGCTTCTTGGCTGCCTCGGACAAGCAGACTGTCGCCTTCACATGGATGATGGCTATCTCCGGTCTCTCGTCCATCTTCACCTGGGGCTCCGTCTGCTTCGCTCACATTCGGTTCCGCAGCGCCTGGAAGGCTCAGGGCCACACCCTGGATGAGCTGGCGTTCCGCTCTCAGCCCGGTGTCATCGGTTCCTGGATCGGCTTCATTTTCAACTGCCTCGTGCTGATCACCCAGTTCTGGATTGGTTTCGCCCCCGTTGGCTACAAGGAGAAGACTGCCTCGGAGCTGGTGTATTCCTTCTTCTCTAGTTACCTGGCCGCTCCCGTCATTTTGGCCTTTTACCTCCCTTACAAGTTCTGGTATCGTACCAAGTTTGTTAGATCTCATGAGGTCGACCTCGACACTGGTCGCCGCGACTTAGACATTGGGCACTTGCTTGAACAGGAGCGGGCAGAGCAGGCTGCTTGGCCCAGGTGGAAGAAGATCTACAAGATCTTCTGCTAGAAAGTGGAAGAAGCTGGTCTCAATTTCTTTTCATGTTGTGCTGGTGGATCTTTCTGTGAAAAATCCTCCGCCTTGATGTACTACCTTAGTCTTGTCATCTCTCTATCCTCGATGTCTCTATGAATCCTGCCCTATGCTGATGATTACGGGTACCATAATCAAGAAACGTTATTGTTCTATCATTTCATTCGCTCAAATTCTAGTCATTGTTTTGCCGTAGATCTTTCCTAGCTGGGGATTAAAAAAAGACAATGTCTCACATTGGTTCCAACGACCTTAACCTGGGCTTGCTAACTATGTACTCCGTATTTACTCCTCATTCGCCCTGCTTATGTGTTTTCTACGGGAGAAGCGCTCCCACAGCATACTTATAAGGGGAACTGCCTTAGGGTTTTCAAACAAATAGGCTAAATGATTCATCTGGAATGTGCTTTTACTGGGTCTGACGTCGCCAGTCAACGGCCTTGCCGATCACGTCGAAACTCTAGGCCTGGGGTACCGTAATTACCAAATTACGAACCCCAACAGTCAGTGCCATGTTGGACCTTTTCAAAGTATCACATGTACGACTCGGGCCCCCGATGAACTTATTCAACCAATTGTCCCTCGAGCTCTAGAGCAAAGGAAGCATTGAACTTCTCGCAGCTCCCATTCACCTTTGTCCTTTGATTGACTGGGAGGCGTAATTCTAATTCCCGGCTCAACGGCTCTCCCCTACAGTCCAAAAATAGCACTCTGCTAATTCTGTACTGCGTACTCGTACTGAACCACTGGTGCTGGTAATGTAGCGCGGTGGAGTCGACCTGGATTATACTCGTCCGTACAGGCCGCCCGGTAAGATTACAAGCCACCTGACGAACACTCAATGTTCCCAGAAACTCATCAGCATCATTAGCCATTCCTCTTTTTTCCCACCCCTATTCCTGCATTCCTTCTGAATCTTGTCACTACTCTGTGTGGCTTCTATCGCATCATAGTTTGCTCAATCGCCATCCGACCGGCTTTCCTCCGCTCCTTTTCGCGCTTTGCTCTCCCTCGTGTTCTCGCTCTTAGCCCGCAGCTTGGGCGCTTACACTGCCGCGCAACCTCTCACTTTCCCCCGGACCGATCTCTGCACGATTCAGGCACACTATCTCGCTCTGCTGCTGCTCTCCCACTTGATGCGCCTGACCGGCCAGTGCTGATTTCCTCTCTCGTCACTTGAATTTCTCGTCATTCAACCTTTGGCATATACGGGCTCAACTCTGGTGCCTAACACCGGACAGACTCTTCAATTTCGCGGAGGGCTGTGCCATCTCCGTCCTCCTCCCAGAGTTTGCATCGGTTCCTGCATCTCCTGCATCGAGATTTAGCGATCATTTTCCTCCTCGTTCCCCGCTTCCGATCTTCAACATCTTCCGTTCTCTCTTGCCTAGCTCCGAATCCTCTGCCTATCGGTCACTGTCACAATGCCTGGTTTCTCGGACTCCTTCTGGACGCCTGACTATGCTACGGGCTTGGGAGTGCTCTATGGGAAGTTGCAACAGGGCGTGGTAGAGAATAGGCAGATTCTCACCATTGCGTCTATGCGCGCCGATGCGGAGGAGCAGTACGGTCTCCGCATGGGCGACATCGCACCCAATGTCGATCGCATGTCTGCCGCGGGTTTCGGCAAGGACGATGGTGCGAGTGTCAGGAAGGTAAGCTCGCAGTGCAACAGGAACCCGGAAGACGGACTCCCGCTGATGTCGCATTTCGCGAATTCCAACAGGCATACGAAGGTGTTCGCACTGAGATGATTGAGGCCGCCCGCAACCACCAGAAAATTGCCAGCAACATTCGAGAACTCGTCGTGGCGCCCTTTCGACGCTGGAGCGATCAGCATGACTACCGGGTCCAGACCTCTCACGACAACCTCCAGTTGCGGATCAAGGAACATACCAAGCAGGTTGAGCTGGTCAAGAAGCTGCGCAGTCAGTACTTCAACAAGTGCCGGGTGGTAGAGGATTTGGAAGAGGAGAACAAGCTCGCCTTCCAGGATCCTGACAACAGTCCCAAAATCAAGCCAACGCCGAAGATCGTCCTGCCCACCCCCGAGGAAGAGCCCGAGGAGGATCCGTATGAGATCGGAGATCGAATCTATCCCCCAGAGGAGGTCAAGAGACTTTTGCTGCACATGCTGGACAACATCAGGCTTGGAGAGGCCAAGGTTCCTATTATCGGTACTTATCAGAATACCTCGTCTGGTGCAGAGATTGTGGAGTACATCCAAAACAACATGGGTGCGACCAATCTCGCCCAGGCAGAGCGAATCGGCCAGGATCTTGTGGATAATGGATTCCTCCGTCTGATCGGCAATATGGGCAGCACTTTTGCCAATAGCTCCAAGATGAACTATCAGTGGCGTCCCAAGGTGTTCCAGATCACCGGTGTCCCCGAAAAGAAGAAGCCTCTGATGCGCGTAACTTCTGTGGCCTCCAGCGAGGATGGCAGCGGCAACGAGTCGCCCATCACGTCCGTCCAGGAAATCCTGTCTGGTTGGAACCCTCTCAACAACCCTTATCCCAACGAGACCCCCTCGGAGAAGCTGCGCCGAGAGGCTTTCGAGGCCGATGAGAAGTACAAGGCTGGCGTTCGGAGACTGGATCAGATCAGGTGTCGCCTGGAGGAAGAGGTTATTGAGAACTTGCGGTTCATGGAGCAGTGCGAGCTTGATCGTCTCAAGGCTATCAAGGCCGTGGTCCTCGATTTCTCTGGTGCCATCAGCAACGTGATTCCCAATCTCCAGAGCACCGTCGATCACATGATGCTGTACCAAGAGACAATCCAGCCTCTGGGTGATCTGCGATACCTGCTTGAGAACTACCGCACTGGTGGCTTTGTTCCTCGAGTGCAGGCATACGAGAACTACTACGGTTCCGTTGAGGAGCAAAATTTCGGCGTTGATCTCGAAGCCCGCGCTCGGGTTGACCGCAAGCGTGTTCCGATATTGGTGACCACCATTCTGACTTATTTGGACAACGCCTATCCCGAGCTGGAGGGTGACGAGGCGCGACGTGCCATCTGGCTCCACAATCCTCCTCTTACCCAAACACATCAATTGCGGAATGCCTTGAATAACAGCAAGGTTGATTACCGTGAAGTCCTCCCCAAATTTAAGATACCCATTGTTGCCAGCGTTTTGAAATTGTACCTTCTTGAATTGCCAGGTTTGTTCATCCCTTCTGCCACTCTCGCTCTCTGCATCCTTGCTCACAGATTACCAGACTCCCTTGTTTCTTCGCAAGTCTACGAAATCGTGAAAACGATCTACTCGACCACCGCTCACGAGACCACGGAAGAGGGACGGATCAAGGTCCTGCAAAGCACTCTCGGACAGCTCCGCCTCGTCAATATTGCTACGCTTGATGCCATCATGACCCATTTCACCCGCCTGATTGACTTGACTTCGGCTGAAGAACAATACATCGCTACTTTGGCCCAGACTCTGTCTCCCTGCGTTCTCCGTCCTCGTACAGAGAGCAGCCTTACTATGGATGAGCGCCACAGCTACCGGTTGATTCGTGATCTATTCGCCCACAAGGACGCCATTTTCGGTGAGCTGAAGCGCCAGTCGAGCGCACTGGGCATCTCTACCTCTAGCCGTCCCCGTGCCATCAGCACGGACGAGAGCAACCGCCGGGCAGCCATGGAAGCTCGTCAACGCGCTATTGTCAACCGCAGCCGGGCTACCAGTCCTGCCCCTGGGGCTCGCCACCGCCGTGATCGATCCAGCGGTGCCTCGGCATCTACTCGCTTCCCTATCAACGTGACTAGCCCACAAGACCGCTCACGGACTGCCGCTCGCGTCAGCCTGGATGTTCCCCCGAAGAGTGATTCGCCAACTCCGGCCGAGCATTCCCCTACAGTGAACACTCACGTTACTGAAGCTGAAGCTGCCACCAATGGTACTTCCATCGAATCTCCCGCTTCTGCCGCTCCCAGTGTTTCCTCTGGCACATCAAGCCCCCCTCCACCCCCCGAGTCTGCCTCGGACGGCTCTCCAACCCCCACCCCCACTCCTGCTCCCACATCCAGTGAGTTCGAAAAGCGCAGCTCCATTCCTCGGACTGTCGGTTCTCGATACACCCGCAAGCCCGGTCTTGGTAGCATCTCCAGCTTCCCTGTCGGTGCCGGGGCCTCCGAGTCGGACAGCAAACGAAGCAGTCTCGCCGAGAGCGAGCCCAAAGGTGTGACGCTGGAGGATAAGCCTATGGATGATTGAAGAGAGGTGATGGTTTGACGTTTTTCTGATCATGTGTATTCCCCATAGTTTTGTATAGATCAAAAACATATGCTATAGCCTACTCTGCTAGGCATTTATTCCCTTCTTGATTCTGATGCTTTCAATTGTCGTCTTCATGGTTTCAATCAGTATTGTATCGCCTGTATAACCCCTTGAGTCTTCCATTTTTTTCCTGTTGCACTTGGGTTTGGTTCAAATGACTACCACCATGTAGTCAGCTATACATATTCCATTCTGTTCTCCGTGCCCATCTTCCTACCTTCGATCTCTTACAACCGTTAAGCCCACGCGTCTTCAGATACCTCCACGTTCACCCTATCGATAAGAATCCCTAGGCAGCGTCCGATTCCCAACTAGGCAATCGTGAGTCCAAACGCGTCTCGTCGATATAAATATGGCTCTTGTCTTTTCCCAGCACGCGTTCTTGTCAACAGACTCCCATCATCGATCCCCGCGGGCATCCCAACTCCCATTCATCATTCTCATTTCCCTTCGTCCCCATACCAGCCCAACCGTGCTCTGTGCATACTTGCATATCGACATCTCAAGATGGCCGCTCGCTCCCCCGGTTATCTTCCCACGTACACGGGTCTCCCGTTTAACAATTTCGGCATCACCGACGGGAAGATCCTCACTGTGGCTGCCGCTTGTCGCGCTTATCGATCAGCCCCCTCCTTGCTTACTGATGTTGGATGGCTTCCGTTCTTAAGCTATCAATATGCGTACTGGCCCGTCCAGTATGAGGACGGTCTGAGGGTCTTTGTCAAAGTCCCGGTGCTCAATAACGTGATCCCCGATTATAACACAATGACCTACAACCTCATGGTACGTGAATGCGCGATGCTGGTGTTCCTGGAGAATCGGGGTTTCCAATGGTCGCCTCGCCTGCTCTACCACACCATGGAGCTCGATAGTCTTCTGGGACTTCCGTACATGATCGAAACCATGCTTCCCGGAAAGCGGCTGGACTGGACCAACACGGCCCCCACCGACAAGGCGAACCGGGAGAAAGTCCTGAGCCAAGTTGCGAAGATCATCTTTGAGTTTGCTCGGGTCGACCCAAAGGATGGCGGTATGAATACCCACTGTCTAACAAACCTCTGATGATGCCAAGAAGTGCAGTTGTTGACTAATATCCTATCCAGGTTCTGGGGGTCTTCGGCATTATTTCGACAGGGAAATAGACCAGAGATTGTTTCGCCTGATTAGAGGTCTGGATCGAGATTACAAGTATTCCCTCTACTCATGTTTCGTCCTGCGTGCCCTTGCCCGCAAATCCGCAGAGGGAAAGGATACCAACACGGTCTGGGTCAACTCGCATGAAAACCTCAGGGCTCACAATATTTTCGTTGACGACGACTTCAACGTGACTGGGTAAGTAGCGTCTCCCTCGCCTCTCTCTCTCCCTTTAAATTACCCTACCCCGACACACAAGTAACATGTCCATCAGTTTCGTCGAATGGGGGCTCGTCAACACGATGCCTGCCCGCTTGGCCTTCCGCTTCCCTACCTTCCTACAACTCAAGAGCAAAGTATTTCCGAGAGTCATGCCTTCAGATCCGCGTGCATACACCAAGGAGTTTCTCGAGGTCCCAGCACTCATGAAGGTTGATCGTGAGTGCTTCGTTGCCCGCATGCAATACGAACATGCAACACAAGCCAGCCGATCTGCTATCGGTCATCTCTCACCTAAAGGGTGGGAAATGATGTGTTGGGACCTCGAAAGCGTGGATTGGAGCCACATGATTTTCGATGCAGTCTTGAGCCGCAACACCCACCAGCTCATGTCAGCACGACATTTCTTCATCAGTTGCCTCCCAGAGTTCACGCCCGAGAGAATCCAGGAACTTTACAAACATGATACGTTCCATCTCGAGGCCTTAAAGTTCTACTTCCGGAATCTTAATCTGGCAAACCCATGGGCGAACGGGATTCGGACGACTAATCTGCTGCACATGGCAGCTTGCAGACGGTTCCCCTGGGAGTTTATCGAGATAGTGCTGAAAGATGCATTTGGTCGGTACGAGGGTTGGGTAGACCAGCGTGTTTGTCTTCGCTAAGTTGTTGATTCATCGACAAGAGCAGCACCGGTGACGCGCGCATGTCGCTTGTTCTGGTCGTTGGTGTCTTCAGATTGTCGATTTGCTTTGCTCGGCGGTCGTTTTCTGAAAGTATTCGGGCGCTCAGCGTTGCCTTTTTCCGTGTTTGTCGTTCCTTTCTTGTATGATTATCTCACTGCCATCGGCACATAATTCAATTTGTTGTAGCCTGGATTTTTCTTTGTGGTTTGCTCGTATATCGCATTCTAGTGTCTCATTTACTGCCTCACTGCATCAACATTCTTTTTTGGCAATCCACCCATAGAGGGATCTGCCTTCAATTCTCAGTCGCGCACTGCTACCAGCTTTGTCCTTCCTGGAAACATATCACAAATCGCATATCAAATCAAAATTTGGTTACAACATGCTAACCAAGCAAATAGAAAAGCCCTTCCTCACCCAGAGTTAGTATCACCATCAGCCCCAGTATGCACCACAATCGTTCCATCTGCTTTCAAAACCCCAGCCCGATCAATCAACGCCCTCGCTCGAATATACGGGTCTAACTTCCAATAATTCTGCTTGAATTCCTCAATGATACCGTTCCGCCGTATCTTCAACTCTTCCACCTTGCTTTTATCCTCTGGACCCCCCGAATAATCAGTCGCCGAGATCCAGGCCGCAGTGGCAGCCAACATTCGCAGACCGATCATCATACGCTCGTACATGAGGGAGTCGCGCGTGGCTGTATCCTGCATGATCTCATTCTCATTGTCTTCTGGCTGGATGTATTTGTATTCCCACTCTTCGTCACCGGCAAGTTCGCGGGGGATCTGGTCGCGGGAGATGAATTTGTCGAGGTCGTTGACGGAGCGGGTGAAGTGTACTTTGGAGGCGACGACGGGGTCCATCCAGCCGTGGATAAGTCTCCAGATACCTATGGTAGGATTATTGAGTTGGGAATCTGGTGCTGGTACAGTATATTGAAGCTGGCAGAGACATACCAGAGAAAATCCACGGTGCGTTGTGGATGAGAAGTAGGCCTAGAGATTCGGGGTAGTTGGCTTCGAAGCATTTGATGATGAATTTAACTGGTTGGTATTCCTGTAGGGAAGAGATAATTGATTAGCCATTCTACTTGACTGCCGTGTAAGTAGAAGTGTGTTGAGTCTTTCGTTCCTTCGTACCATATTGGACAATGAGAATCCAGTCATGTCAAACACAATCGTCTGCCAGGGTAATCAGTATAAAACATTCTCCTGCTGCATTGCAGAAAATACTCACGCCAGTTTCAATCGGAGGAACAACGATCAGCCTCGTCGTCTCAATAATATGCACAATATACCTCTCCAACGCTTCCTCACTCTGGGCCCCCGGTTTATGAATCTTCACTCGCACATAATTCACCGGTCGTCCCTGTCTATCAAACCCATGTAAAAAGCTCTTCCCAGTCTTCAGCTGCTCAATAAAATCACGCCCTTCTTTCTTCTGCTTCGCCGTAAGTTTCTCGTCGCGAGATTGCTTTAGGGCATACAGTTCTCCCTTGGGAAGAATATCATCGTCAACTTGCACTTCTTTTCTCCATAGGATATTGGTCACCATCATCGTGAATCCCTTGCCAACGTCCCACTTTCTGGCGCGCAGGAACCGGAGCAACAGGCTATCGGGATGCTCTTGTTTGATCATCTTCAGGATGGAAAAACACATTTCCTCGGGTGTCATCTGAGACAGAATCTTCTCCATGGATTTGATCTCTGACTCCTGGACACCCATCTTTCGAAGCTGGGCGAAGAGTGCGGTGAAGTGTTGGGGTGTAACCTTTTTCGTTGCGATTTCCGACATTATATTCTTCTGCGCGTCCTTCTTCATGAGGGCATCCACTTTGTCGAGTGATATCTGTTCTTTATTGTCCCTGTTATGCTCCCCGTTCCCGTCCCCATTGCTTATATTAGCTGAATCAGTAATCTCTGTTGGCTTTCCGTTACTAGCTTCTTCTTTTAGGGCATTGAGAATAGCTTCAACCGTAGGCTCGTTGACTCTGTCCAGGATCTCGAAAAGCTTATTAGGGGATCCCTCTGGGAGGGGGACTTCGTAGACTGCCGAAAGGACAGAAGCTGCGGAGGTAAAAAGGAGAATCCACAGCTCTCGCAGTTTTGCCTCTTGACTGGGCGTGAGGTTAGACACGTATCCGGTCGACGTATCGGGTGCGATAGTCATATTTGCAATCATGAGATTATGTTTAATCAAAAGATAAGTCTTTGGGATGATAATATCAGAAAATCCATAGTGAAGGAAAGTACCATGTAAGACGGCTCTACTATATCCAAACTTGATCAGATATCCACATGAATGCTTGGCTATGGAGGGCTATAGGCTACCTCGGCCACCCCTCTTGAATGAGGGCACGAGCGATTCATGGTCACCGCCTCGGTGGTTGAAACCAGTAGATCATCGTTTATATTAACTTTCATGAGTCGGGGTCGGTTCATTGCCTGCCATTGCGAACCAAACCCCTGGGACGAGAGAGATCCCCCACACTGTGTAGATATTGCAAATTTCCGGGGCCGGATGATCATTTTATGATCGATTGTGGTCTATGGGGTGTTTAAGCAATACAGAATAGGAGACTAGACTGTATTTATGATATCATTAAAGTATAGCCACAAGTCGACGAACCAAAGCATATCGAAAAGGATGGGTCCTTCGCAAACAATATCAACCCCCAATTCCAACAATCCACTAAATAATCACGAATCACATTTACAAATCCCATCCCCCTAATTTCGTCAACTTCAAATGCATGCCCTCAATAGGCTGACTAGTCAACGTCCCTCCAAAAGTAATCTTCTGGCCAGGCTCCTTCAGCTGAAAACGGAACATCCCAAACAGCCCCGCAACGGCACACCGGAACTCGGCTTTCGCAAAGTCCTTCCCAATACACGCCCGTGGCCCATGAAGGAACGTGATCTGCGCAAAATTAGTAGACGCACCACCATGTTTATTTGGTGTCTGTTTTCCCGTCTTCTCGTCCGTGTCAATCCATCGCTCGGGGAGGAATTGGTCTGCCGTCTCACCCCAGAACTCCGGGTTGCGGTTGATGGCTTGTGGGCAGAGTGCAATCGTTGTTCCCTTGGGGATTCTTTTGCCTGCGATGGTCGTTTCGCGAATGGCTTCACGCCCCGTCATCGGGACTGTTGGGTATAGGCGTAGAACTTCTTGGCAGACACCGTTGAGGTAGGGCATTCCTTCGAGGTCCTGCCAGGATACGGTGCCATCAGGGGAGGGGATAGTTGCGTATATCTCTGCGCGTAGTTTGTCTTGGATATCTGGCTCTATGCAGAGATGATAGCAGCACCAGGTGAGTGCCCCTGCAGTAGTTTCATGCTATAATGGAGTTACTTGGTTAGAATTATCATCGCAAAGATGTATCTGCTGAGGACAGACGAAACATACACCAGCGGCGAGGAACGTGAGCATTTGATCAACCAATTCACTATCACTGAACTCTCCGCCTCGCATCATGGTACCCAAAATATCACCTTCAGCAGCTTCTTGCGTGGTCTTCTCCTGGGCAATCTGTTGGCGTTTCTCATGGAGGATATCGGAAAAGAGGTTTCGCAAATAGCCGACCTTTTCGGGCAGTACCAGATTCGCGTTGCATGGAATACGCTTCACAAACCATTGTGGTAGAATGATCGAGACGGCAAAGAGGAGCAGAAGGTCTGCGGATGGCTTGAGAATGGCATTGAAGTTTTGCGAGACAGGGTCGTTCTCGTTTTCCAGCGACTGGAAATCGCGTCCGATCGCGGCAGGTCCAATGATATCCAATGTCAATCGGCTATAAAGTCATTTTGTTAGCGAGAAAATATGTATGATGGGAGAGTCTCGATTACTTGGCCCATCCTTGAATCTCGACAACACCAGCTGATTGACCCTCTTTCCTACCAGGCACGGGATGAAGATCGATCTCTCTCTGTAACTGGCGAAGAAGATGTTGTGTTTTCGACCACATAAGGGGATACATAGCCCTAATATTCTTAATATTGAAAGCAGGCGTGACCGCTTTGCGGGCTGCTCGATGGGCATCACCCTCGGACAAGATGAGTCCATATCCCAGCCCACGAGCCAGGAACTCTCGTCCACCTGGCGGCTTGACAAAGTCGTAGCTGTTCGTATGGAGGACATCCATGAGGGCTCTATGATTGGTGGCAACCACAAAGCTGTAGTTCAAAGCCTCTCGGAAATGAATCAGGCCTTCATTGGGAATAGTTCGTAGCCAGTCCACGATAATGCTTCCTCGAGGTTGGCGCATGAAGACTTTGGCTCCGATTAGGGGACCCTAGTCGGAGGTAAATCAGCACCACTCGTATCTTGGCACCTTAGTCTCTAGAATACATACATGGACGGTCGGTAAATGCCGAAGTGGATTGAAGAAGAATGGCCAGATGAAGATATTCCATAGTGCCAACAAAACGAAGTTGACCGTGAGCGCATAGAGAAATACAGTAGTAGGTCGTTCCGAAGTCATACGTGAGAAAATGATTAAACTCGTTTCAATCACAGTAGGCGGAACCAGAAGAATGAGACGCTCTTTGGCAGTAGACATTTTGTGGATTTCTCGTTTGATAGAATTTTGATGCCACCCATGTTTTCGGTCTTCCACATCCACCATGATCCATATATACATCAGGGCAGCACGAATGCTGACTACTAGTTTCGACTCACATGCTATTCAAACACTACAGCTCAAGACAAAAACGATTTCTAATCCATTCCGTCAAACTCTCATTCCTAATAACCTTTCCCAGTCATTGCTGATTCCAATAGTCACGATATTTCTGGGGTTCACATGAAGGTCGCTAACGTTGGCCGATCAACTAAGGCGCGGGGAACACCTCTAGCGTTCCCCCGCAGTTTCTGCGACTATGAATATAGTTATGGATATGTCATACTGTAGCCTAGAATGGCGGATGCTACTATTCTCCCTAATACGAGGCGAAGAAAATCACATGTTGACGTCGGCTATTTCCCGAACTTCGAGCTTACCATTTTCGGCATGCAGGGCGAGCGAACCAGAGGGTCACTATTAGGCGCATGGACTGTCCAAGGTAGGGAGGAATCATGTTCATCTATACCTGAACGACGATCATTGAGTATTAGGACAAAGCCAAGTCTCGGTGATGGGGGTAATCTTCGGGTTTTCTGGTGATTCCAAGAAGTTATTGAGTCTTGCACATGTCACCTATCCACTGTAAGAGGTTGTTTCTATTCGGTAGCCTGGGGATCTCTCAGCAGGAAGATACTGAGTTTAATCTTGTGAACATTGGGGACCTACACCAAAATTAATTATCGAAGTAATGGGCTCGGCTTTCACATTTGAATTGATTTGTGATCTACACTGACAAAAACAGAAGGACGCCTCGAGACACAAACACCGCAGCTGCGATGGCAAAAAAGATCCGGCGAGATAATGATACAATCCGGAGATAAAAACAGAATAGATGGCGATGTCCAGCAACACCATCGCAGTGCTCATCAAACACGTACATAGACATCAGGTCGTAATCTAACAAGAAGGAGAATCTAACAAGAGATCTCGAGCGAGTTGCTCAGAGCGAGTTGGGCTGGAGCCGTACCAGAATTTCCTCGAGGAAAGCGTCCAGCACGGCATCAACGCCGCCACCCATCTCAACAGGAGCCTCTGTATCCCAGCGGTGAAGGGAGGCGAACGATTGGGCGATGTCATCCGCCATCTGCTCCATACCGCGATGAATATGGACACTGCGCTCCCAGTCACTCTCCTCCTCGGGGGTCAGCTCCCGATCACTCTGGCTTCGTGCGGGATTGTGGCGGGCTAATTGGCGGCCGCGTCGATTCATCGCGGCACGGAGAGCGGGAACAATCACAGAGCCATATGCAGTTGGACGCTCGTTCTCGGCGACAGCCTCTGGGGCATTCGGCGGCTGCTTTGCCCGGTCACTCATGTGAGGGCTTGGGGTCGGGGTTTGCTTCCTCACTTGTCGTTCATCATGTCTGGCTGGTGCAAGCTTGGACTTGAGCCCAGAGGTGGGTTTCGGAGAAGCCGGCGTCCCAGGCTGCTGCTGCAGGCTCGCATGAGACGATGGCCGGTGAAGCCCCGGGTTCAGAGGAGCAACCGGAAGCGGGCGCTGGAGGGGTGCGGGTTTTCTGGCAACCTGACCGGTGGGGGAGCGAGGTGGCCCTGAGAGCGCATTTTTGGTGGGATTTAGGGGCCTCGGAGATCGCGATCCGGCCACCAAGGGGGATGGCTTGTGTCGCCCTGAATCGGTTGAATGGTCCATGATTGCCTGTGTGTACCGCTCGCTGTAGCCTCCGGCGGAGGACTTCTCCTCGGCTAAAGTGAGCTTGGGGAGAGGGCGAGGTTTGCGTGTAGGTGAGGCTGGTAGGTCAGGCTGGGGAGAGGGCGCGGGCTTCAAAGGAGAGGAGGGTGCGGATGGAGGAAGGGGAGTTTTGGACGGAGAAAGTTCAGCTGCAGGATTGGTAGATTTGGCCGGCTGCAGTACGGAGTGAGGTGCGCGAGGCTGCTTGCTAAACTCATCATCTAAATCCCACTCGTTTGTGTCCAGAGTGCGCGAGTTGGCCCCCGAATCATTCAGTGGTTGTAGGGGCGGGGCAGCAGCTCTTCCAGCGGGGCGTACGGTGCCAAAGTCCCATAGATCTTCATTCTCTATGGGCTTCTCGTGCACTGGCTCTTCAAATCTCCCAAGCGTGTCTTGACCATCATCCTGATCGCGACGTGTGGCTTGCCAGCGTTCTGCGCGTTCAATAAGCTCTGTCAGGTATGTGGTTCTCTTAGCACGCTTAACAAATGGATGCTCCAGTAACTCCTTTGCGGAGGGACGTTCCTTAGGGTCCCGGCGCAAGCAGAGCTCCACAAATTGCTTGAATGGTTTGCTGAAGTCACCTTCGAGCGTGGGAGGGGGGTTTTTGGGAATCAAGAATAGCACCTTCATTGGGTGGATTTCTGCATATGGAGGGTCTCCACAGGCCAATTCGATGGCTGTGATACCCAGAGACCATATGTCCGCCTTATAGTCATAGCCTGATTGCTTGATGACTTCTGGAGCCATCCAGAAAGGTGTTCCAACAAAAGTATTCTTCTTGGTCATTGTGGCCGAGAGTTGCCCTGAGACACCAAAGTCGGCCAGCTTGACCTGGCCGTTCGCGCTGAGTAGAACATTTGCAGCTGTCCAAAAAGTCAGTCTCTTTCTTTCCAAAAAGAAGGCAAGGAGCTGATTACCTTTGATATCTCGGTGAAGCTTCTGGTCACTGTGAAGGTATTCTAGCCCTTTTAGAAGCTCCCGCAGGATGATCGCAATGTACTCCTCATGAATTGACCCGGGCAGCAGTAGGCCCTGGCAACTGCCACCGGAGCAGTACTCCATGACAATCCATAGATGGGAGCCCTTCAAATACGATCCATGGTACTTTGTCACATATGGTGACTTCAATTCCGAAAGGATCGCGATTTCCTGGATGATGTCGTCCACCTCATCTTCGGCGTTCTCGACGTCGATGATCTTGATGGCAACGGACTCACCAGTCCGTTTGTCGACACTGATCAAGAGAAAGAGAACAGGTGTTAGCAGCTCCTTTTGCATATCTAGATGGGGCTTCAACTAATTACCCTTTGTAGACCTCACCAAAGCTTCCACCACCTGAGAAGAGGACCATGTCAACAAGTGCTCTACTCTCTGTTTTCTCTGTGATTTCGATGGTCTACAACTCACCAATGCGTCCTTGTTTGGTGTAGATAGCCTCTGGGTCGATGGGGCCCGACATCTTGGCAGCTTATCTTGACTTTGATGAAAGCCAAGAGCCACGACACCCTAAGAATCAATGACCTGGTAGTTAGTAATTGCATTCAGACAGCAACTGCATCCAGCAATCTTGTGGCAAACAAGTTGGCCCTAGAGGGCCGGGCCTAGGGCTATACACGGGAACAAGTTGGTACGCACCGTGGAGCGGGGGTTGATTCAAGAGACGATCAGAATGTACGACGAGGATGAGTATGAGAGTAGGTACGAAGAATTTCAGATAGCAGTTTTGAGAATTGTAGTCCTTCTCGCACGGCAGTCCGCTGTGTTGGCTGATCTTCTGTACGGCAAATGTCCGTTGATGGCTGCAGCTTGGAGCCATGATTAGCGGGACATCAACAAACGCAAGAAGAGGTATCAGGGAAGACAATACGGATTGATGCTCTCAAAACTCACATTTTCAGAACAATACGCACAGTTTATCTCGAAGCTGGGGATGGGGAGGGTGAAGATGAGGAATGGTCGCGCAGGGAGATGGCAAGAAGCTCAATGTCAACACCCTTGCTTGTGTTTATCAACGCGGGGCCCGATTTTGCCTGGCGGTGATTCCCGGCGGTGAGTCTTATCGATGTGGGATTATCTATATGGGTGGCATAAGAGGGTGGCGGTTACCGAGGCGGTGAACAGGGAGGTGATGGTGATATAGTTCTACAAAATATCATGATACACAAGGGGCCAGGCTAGAGAGCACAAGCTTCAAGTCATTTCTTACATCAGACTCTACAATTCAGGCTAATGGTGGTTGGTTCATAAGATTGTTGAATTCTAAGACCGGATAAATCATAGCATAGTCAGGCAAAAAGGGTTCTAATAGATCGTTTCGTATGACCGACTATCCAGGAAGATGGGAAGTCTCATGTCTCATGTATTCTTGCATGGAGCAGGGGGGTTTGGCTGCGAGCTCTGGTTGAAGAACGACTGCCAGTGTGGTGTCCGAATGCCCAGTAAAAAGAGTCAAACTTGGGGCTTGGATGGCACTGAAGCCAGAAGCGAGAGGCGAGAAGCTTGTTCAGTCTTCCAGGTAGCCAATCATGACCGTTCCATTCTTCAGTCCCGCATCCTGGATACTGGTAGTGAGGCTGTCTATGAGATTTTGTCCCATAGCATTCAGCTCAAATTCGACACCAGCCTTGTCTTCCAGAGGCGGGTCCGCCTTGAGCCATTCGTAGATACGTTGGACTGGATCTGAGAGAGCAAAGCGTCGAATCACACGACCCGAGGGATGGCGAAATTGAATGCGGGTAGTAGTGGCAGGGTCGGCTGCGGGCTCAGCGTGAGGTCGGTTGCTGGGAATGGACGAGAACGGAGACACTTCCACTTCTTCGACATCCTCAGGATACGTCTCGGCCATGGCATCATCGTCGTGAACATTAGTAGCCCGACCCTTGCCCTTGACATCTTCGGTACTTCGGGTCAAATCGTCGGGATCTTCCAGCTTCGGCCCAGCCGCAATACCTCCCCCTAAACTGTTATTGATTGCCATCTCCATCATTTCCTCTTCCGTCATTGCGTCCACGGTCTTCTCCTTCTTCTCAGACTTACGTTTCGCAACGGGGTTGCGCACATTATGGTTCAGACTATACCGATCCAGGAACTCGTGGAGCTGCATTAGGAACTCTGCAGGCTTGATGACTGGTGGCCCGGACCACACTTTCATTTGTTCGCCAGTTCGGGGGTCGACAATGGCAATGTGGGGGTAGTTGTCGGAAACGTCGCTTGCTTGGAAGTAATATTGGAGGTACGGCGCGGCTTTGGGGTCATCCTTTGAGAACTGCAGGAAAATGAAATGCTCTCTCACTGTTTCTTGGACAGTCTTGTCCTTCCAGAGATCACGATTCAGAACTTGACAGTCAAAAATTGAAGTGTCTTGTACATTGACCAAGAGCCACTTCTCATTCTCCCGGCCTTCCTCACGGGCCACGTCCCAAGGGACTCGAGACATGATCTCAAATGGAGGTCGGTACATTTCGGCGAGCATATTTGACTTGGACGATGCCTCCGACGCACCTCCCGTAGCCCTTGATAGGCGTTCCTGATGTGTCTCTGCAGAATCGCCGGCCCATATTGATGGTGCAGATCTCTGATTGAAGATGCCCGCACGACCTAAGATGCATCATGTCAGTGATGTCGGTCTCAGATCGACAATCCAAAGCGCGGTCATTCCACTCACCAGAACCACCTCGTTGACGAGCCCGCAGTTGACTGAGAATGTTGGTGTGCATATCCTCCTCGTCGTCAAAATCAAGCCCAGGCCCCACCAGTGTCTCGGTCGTACGCGCCATGGGCGCCCGCACATCCTCATCATTCCCACCAAAACCACCAGCACCAGCACCAGCACCAGCCCCATACATTTCCTCTTGTAGGCGACGGGCCATGGCAGCATCATCTTCAAACGTAGATCCTCCAGTGGTATGTGTGGCAGACTGGCGGGGGGCAGAGGGGTTCTCGTCATCTGTGTCCGAGTCTATATGAACGACGCCGGCTTCATCCTCGAAGCGAGTGCGGGGTGGTGGTGGTGGTGGTTGTGTAGGCTCTTCGGTCAAGGGAGCGCCACCGTTTTCGAAGAATAGCTGCATGGACTGTTCGATGTCGAAGTCGGCGAGCTGCAGGTACTGTGTCGCCAGCTCGGGCGTCGCCCCAGTAATTTCGGCGAACTGGGCCACCAAGTCACTCTCCATGACAGGCAAAGAGTGTATTGGCTGTGGAGAGTTTGCAATCTCTAATCAGGCGAGATAGAGAGGATAAAGAGGAAAAGAGGAGAGAGAGAGAGAGAGAGAGAGAGAGAGAAATATTGCAGAGAGTGCTAAGTTGCAATCCGCCTATTTCGCAGTACAAGTGGGGGAGCAACCTGAGTTGCAAAGAGCTGCAAACTCACAGAATTAACGCGGCGAGTACCCCGCGCAGCCGGTGCTAAAGGGAGATGACATGAAGAGGAATGAAGGAAGATGAAAAATTCAGGCACTCGAAGCTTCGCTGTTGATCGTGTAGAAGAGACGATCATCTGCGACCAGTGACCAGTGACGCAGATGCCAGTCCGGTGACCTTCAAAGACACTAGACGCAACTCTGCACTACTGGTCTTAATGGCTTGTCGTAATTGAATCTTACTGCTTGGGGATCGACTCCGCCGAGGAGATGTGAGCGGCAACGCACAGCGACTAAGCACAGCGCGAATTGGCATTCTTCCCCCCCCTTTATTTGGCGCCGTTGGCCTTTTAAGAGAACCGCGAACCCCAATGAGGCTTACCTTGATTGACGAAGGGAAAGATAGAGAGATAATGAAAAAGAAGGTACGTTATCCTATCGGAGGGACTCCTCTAGCGTAGGAGAACTATACCACGTGACCGTTCCTTAACTAATACTGCGATAGTGTTAGATAACTTTACCTTTGTTTAGCTACTCAATACTTTACTATTTCCGAACTAACTATGCGTCTTAGTTCCCTCTTAAGGGCCTAATATAGTATCTATATAATAGCTACTTATAGAAATCTTATATGTCGGCGAATTTCCCTAGAAAAAGGGTTAATCTAAATAGCCTGTTACCCTTGAAGCCCCCGTAGATCACGTGAGGATCCTTCCTTCTTAGCTAGTTAGACTCAAGTCCAATAAGATACCTTTTGATCCTCCGATCCAGTCACATAGCCGAGTAGATCGGGCATGATCGGTTAAATAAGATCTTATCTTACTTATAAACTCGCGAATTATACCGGTACTAATGATGTCATTTGCTATTACTTTAACTGGAAAGAGAAATAAAATGCGCTACGATATAAATGATTATGAAAACAAAACGGAGTAGTCGGGATAATCGTAAGCGCGTCGAGAATCGACGGAGATCCGGTTATGCGAGACTTCTCCGCACTTGAAACCTAGGCGGCTGCACTAGACGCAAGTCCAATGAGATACCTTTTGATCCTCTGATCCAGTCACATGCGGGCAATAATTATATTAATATGCGATGCATTACAGTGTTTAGGATAGAGTAGGCCAATTTTCGAGTGATCCCAAAGCTCTAGTCTCTACCTTATGTGACTTTAGAATAGGTTATTAGTGCTCCAGGAATTAGCTGGGTCAATTTAGTTATCCCCTATCTTTAATTCCCTGTTTAATTTTGGGGTAGTGTGAGCAGCCGCACCCTTAATATAGCTATTATTAATGCATATTATATTGCAAAGATAGCTAACAGACAGCGAGGTATAAGGGGAATTACTCATCTTAGTTCGGAAAGCTCTCTACAGGGAGCTATTCAAACAGGGCTCAGAGGAATCACTTCAAAAAAAAAGCGAAGACACAGCTCTGTTCAACCGCCAGATAAAGGTCATAAGATTAAACGGATTCACCCTTGCAAATAGTGCCATTTCTGTGTTGTACGTGTCCAAAGAGCAAAGGCTCGAGGCTATGCTGTTCCGAAGCAATTTCACACAGTATTTTACTATAAGGCCTGCAAGGTTTCCTTATGCAGGCCCGGTCTAAGGCCATACTGGGCTGAATTTCATATAACGCGTCTGCCGTTAGGGGAGAAGAATGTAAATTGCTTGTAGATAGCTCACGAATTCATATTTCATAGAATCCATGCCGATAGAAGTGCGTAGTGTTAGATGAGGTAAACGTATTATTTACGGCAGAAAAAGGACGCTAGCGCTGCCGGGCAAGGGGATAGCCGGCTGGAAACCAGAATTAGGTTACCGAATCTGGCTTAGTACGTAGTTACCTAGTATACAGCGCAACGTAGATAATCAAGATGACTTTCCATCCAACTCATCACCTTCCTCACGTTTTACCACTAGCTCCAAGCTCTGCCGATCACCAATCCCTATCCTCCAACTTCAAAGCTCTACCTTCGAAGCTCTCCCCATTCAGTCTATTTCATTTCAAATCCTACACAATGTCTATCCCTCCCTCGACTCCGAATCCAGCTCCTCCATTCCAGATCCCCGAACGGACCTCCTCGCTTCTTGGGGAAACCCGCCTCCAAGCTGTGAGGCAGGTAGGGAGCCGCCATGCGAGCGCAGCATCCAGGGCCTCGAACGTTTCCCTTGAACGACAGCTTCCGACTTCCTGGAAGCTAAGATCAAGCAGCTCATGGAGTATAAATCCTACGCTGAGCTTGTCAGACAAGGCATCCTCGAGGCCCGTGACCAGCAGCGCCTCCCGCCAAGCGAATTTACCGAATTGATCAGCCCCGTGTTGGGAAGACTGACCACGGCAAATTCAACCCTGCGAGTTCTCAAGCGCCAAAGACAGGCTATTACGGATGACCTCGCAGAGGACGTAGCATCCAGGCGCCGGCGACTTGCTGAGCCATCCGACCAAGGCCTTCTAGAGCGAGCATACGCCGACACAATCCTCACTCGCGTGATGAGCACGTGTGCCAAGCAGTCCGCCTTAGTATTTGACAAGAAGCGGTTCAAGAGCGCCGTGAACGATTATTATGGCATCAAATCCCAACGTCCTACCAAGGAATACTCTTGGTGCCATGTCATCGGGGATTGGATAGCGGCCGAATTAACCAAGGCGGCTCACATTGTGCCCCAAAGCCTCCATGAGACCGAAGTTGCCCATATTTTTGGTGACGACGATGAGGTTCTCTCTAATCCTCAAAATGGTGAGTGACATTCAATCCTATCCAGAGCCAGCTTTGGAGCTAACAAGCCGTCGGACCTTAGCGGTATCCCTCCATAAGGGCATCGAACGCCTACTAGACCAAGGCGCCATTGTGATAGTCCCATCGCCCGGGGACTTCACAACTCCGACAACGTGGAGATGCTTAGTGCTGGACCGGTCAATGGACAAGGATATTGTCTTTTACCGCAGTAAGGACTCCATCATTAGAGTCAAGGTCAATCTTCGATATCCAGCAAGCCCTCCGAGCTTCTCGCTTACTTTTAACAGGACCTACATGAGCGACCGTTAATTTTCCTTAGCGATAACCGGCCTCGACGCCGGTATCTTTATTTTCGGTTCGTCATCTCATACCTGAACGCTAAAAGACGTCAGGTAGACGCAATCACAGTTCCTATGGAGACAAAAAAGTTCTGGCCATCTGGAGGTGCATACCTCCACAGCTCGAGCCTAAAAGCGCTAGGTCGCTGTGTCTCTGGCTGCGAAATCCCAGAGCAGATTACGGCAACGCAGACATTTGAGGTAACGAGCCTCGAGGCCCAAGATATTGATGCCAGTACTGCCCTGGCAGCGGGAATTATAGACCTCCAGCCTCCCCAGACAGGCCCACAAAGCAGTCGTATTCGGCAGTATGTGATCGAGTCTGCCCGTTTCATTCCTTCAGAAAGGACGTTTGAGGCTTCGAAAGACCCTTCGCTGTCAGAAATGGCGCCCTCAGAGACCTCCGAAGACCCTCTGGCTCTTTCACGGGAGAATTCGCCGAGCTTACATTCTTGATTAGGGAGGCACAACATGAATCGGGTGTCGGCTCGCCCGGATTAGTGGATGCCCGGAGAAAGGAGATGCGGTGTTGCCCTTCAAGCCCCCATAGCCTGGTTATGTTACCCTTGGAGCCCCCCCATAGCTTAGTTAGATCACGTGAGTATCCTTCCCTCTTAGCCAGAGTTAGATGCAAGTCCAATGAGATACCTTTTGATCCTCTGATCCAGTGACAGATTGGTAGCAAGCCCTAGTTTGCAAGCTCTAAGGGACTCCTTTGGAATTTATTAGTTTCTTTTAAGCGCTAACAAGCTCAACCCTCCGAGTCTTCGAGAGCCTACGAGCCAGCTTCCGGATGGGCCACCGGACGAGCCAGCCAGCGCGACCGCAGCGCGACCCTAAGCCACCCGCTAACCCCTACTATAGCCCCCTAGGAATAAGTAAAGAAAATAGTAGATAGTCTAGACTAATACTAGAATCTAGCCTTGTAAGTTAGGCATCCACTCAATAAGACGGGCAGAATATTAGGACCCACAGTTATTGCCGCCCTGGACTTTATTAGCCCCCATAGCGACGCGTCGCGCTACGCGCCTTGAAGGGCCGTCCCGCGTGAAATGTGGACCACCGGCCTTTTCCAGGAAGGTACTTTCTCACCAGCTCCTTCAACAATCCCGTCTCCTGTGACCAGTGTGAATCATGGCAGCTACGGTCTTAGGCAAGCGCGCACGCAGTGCAGCAGAGCCCGAAGGTAAGAGAGCTTGTGCAGCACTTTCCCTCCTTCCAGATCAATATTGACCGGCCTCGTTCCAGCACTGCCAGTACGCACGGCAAGCAAGCGCCGAACCGTGGCACCTCGTGCCCGACGTGAAGATGCTGCCGTTCCCAAGTCAATTCCCCGAACCCGGTCGCGTGCAAAGCTCGCAGAGCCTTTGGCTGACCAGGAAAATGGCGATATCACCAAGACCGCGGACAAGGCGCTTTCCAAGCACACAATTCATGAGGAGCAGGGTGGGTCACTATCCAAGATCAACTCGCATTTTCGCACCTCGAAGCTTGTGGAGGGTAAGCTGAGAGAGCCGGAAATCTGCGCAAAAGTCATCTGGTCATGCTAACATATTCGTCTAAGCAGAGGAAACACCTACCCCGGTTGAATTTAAGACTCCGCAGAAAGCGCGCTTCCGAGATGCATTGCAACAATCTCCATCTACACCCCGGCATCGTGTTCAAGTCGGCGCGAAGGCTGTCACTCCGAGAACTCCTCGACATGCTAATCTCCCACCTACTCCTCGTCAAAGCGCCACTCCGACCGCCGCACAGTCTGTGTACTCGCAAGCGCGGCAGCTCTTTGCTCGTGGAGCCAACTCTGGACGACTCGTTGGTCGAGATTCGGAACGGGAGAAAGTGGCCACATTTATTGAAGATTGTGTGAAGTCCCAAAAAGGTGGCTGTCTCTACATCAGTGGACCACCCGGGACGGGCAAGAGTGCGATGGTCAATGAAGTGTGCCAAGATATGGACCTGTCGGATGTCAAGGTCTCTCATGTCAACTGTGTGAGCATGCGGAATGCTCGTGATGTCTATAGCAAGCTCATCCAAGATTTCGACGAGGATTCGGACGTCTTCAAGAAGAGCGAAGGAGACCGACTCAAGGACATGTTCGTCCCATCCAAACCCAATGGCCTATTCCTAGTTTCGCTGGACGAAATGGATCACTTGCTTATGGGCGATTCGGGTGTGCTCCAATCACTGTTCGAGTGGTCGCTATCTAACAAGTCAACCCTGATTTTGATCGGCATTGCCAATGCTCTGGATTTGACCGACCGCTCTTTGCCACAGTTAAAGGCGAAGAACTTGAGGCCGATTCTATTGCCATTCTTGCCGTACAACGCAGCTTCAATTGCGAACGTTATCACCAAACGTCTTCGATCCTTGATTCCCGTTGGCATGGACAATGACCCGAAGTTTGTTCCTTTCTTGCAGCCTGCCGCCATCCAGCTTTGTGCCAAGAAGGTCGCATCGCAGACGGGCGATCTTCGAAAAGCTTTTGAGCTCATCAAGCGTGCGGTTGATACCATTGAGCAAGAAACCCAACAGAAACTTGAGAAACAGGCAGCCGAGGCGGAGAGCATTCCGATACTCGCCGAGAATGCGAATCTCTCCTTGTCAGTGAAGGCCGCTCCCGCTCCTCGGCCCACCACCATGTCGAGCTATACGGTCCTGACAGCGCCTCGTGCCAGCATCGCACACATTGCTCGGATCACAACTTCTGCCTTTGGACAAGGTACTGTCCAAAGATTGAAGGGTTTGAATCTGCAGCAGAAAGCTGCCATCTGCGCTTTGATTACACTAGAGCGCAAACGTCGTGAGCTTGACATTATGAGCACACCGTCCAAGTCTCGATGCTCCGCACCAACGGTAAAGCAAGCATTTGACACCTACTGCACGCTTTGCCGGAATGATAACATTCTGCACCCCCTGACTTCCACCGAATTCAAAGATGTCTTGAGCAACCTCGAGACTATGGGCCTCGTAGGCGAATACCAAGGCCGTGGCCGGGGTGGAACTGTCGCTGGCGGCTCTGACACCCGACGCACACCCTCCAAGTCGGGGAGTGTCTATTCAACTCCCCAGAAGGGCATGGATGAGCAGGGCTTGCTTTGCTTCGTTTCCCAGTCAGAAATCGAGGGCCAGATTGCTGGTCCTGGCGAAGGCATCCTCAGACGGCTGCTTCGTGGTGAAGGTCTCTGAAACTGGTTTAGACCTTGACCGTTCTCTCATTTTGCATCATCGGAGTTCTTTTCAAGGCGCATTTTTAGCATGTACACCACTGTCGTTCGCATTTCTGGAGTCAACCCTACATCCATCATGTTTAGCGTCATTTTTATGAGTTTCATTTGTTCGTCATGAACTTTTCTTTTGTGCAATACGCAAACACTAGTGTCACAAGTGACTCGAGTCCTCAAGACGTTTAGAATAATTGAACAAACGTTTCGAATCAAAATTTGATATCATCATGTAAGGAGTTCAATATCATGAAACCATTGGATAGCTACGAGTACCATTGGAGTCAACAAAATTGCATTGAGAGATATGGTGGAACCGGACTTCTTCATCTGCACTAGGTGCTCTCTTTTTCATTCCTCATCCTTGGTCACAATTTTTAATGCTATGTCGCATTCATCAGGCAGCCTCTCACGCATCAAGACTCTTCGGCTTGATAGGCCGCACCAGATCAACATAATCAAACTTAGCCGCAGTATTCTTGAACAAAACATTTCCAGGATGGGCCTCTTTGTTCTCCCCACGGAACAAGAACGTCGCCGGGAACCCAAGGTCAAACTCATAAGCGCTCTCAATCTCTTTAATATCCTCCTCGGTCAACTCCAACCCCAACGCCTCAATATTACCCAGCAAATGCTCGACCTTACGGCCGCCAACAATCGGGAAAACATGAGGCGCTTTGCTGAAGACATATGCCAATGCAATACTAGTAATGGCCGTGTTATGTCGGTTTGCGACACTCTCTAACACCTTTGAGACCGCAACATCGACCTCTCGCGGCTCGACTTGTCGGCCTGGGTTGCCGTTCTTCGCAAGCTCTTCGCGATGTGCGGCTGTTTTGAACGCGCCTCCGCCGATGGAACCCCAGGGGCAGAGACCCATGCCTTCGGCGGCGCACATGGGAATGATTTCCCGCTCGAAGTCGCGCTTAGCCGCGTTCCATTGGCCTTGGTAGACGGAGAACGGGCGCATGCCGTGGTCGCGAGCGTCTGTGTGTTGTCATCAGTGAGGACTTTTTGGAAAGACTGGCAATACGGAGGGTCCACGTACATTGATTTGCGCGGCTGACAATCCATGCGGGTGTATCACTGACTCCAAGGTATAGTACTTTGCCTGCTGTGACCAGCTGGTTGAGCGAAGTCATCACTTCCTCGATGGAAGTGGCAAAGTCCCACCAATGGATGTACAACTAGCCTTGACGTTAGCCTTTCATTCGTTTTAGTGTATAGATAAACAATTAGTCGCCGTCTTACCAGGTCGATATAGTCGGTGCGCAATTTCTTCAGACTAGCGTTGACAGACAATCTCATGCTCTTTGTGTTGTTTCCCACAAAGTTGGCCTGGATCTCGGATTTGTTATAAGTTCGGTAGCCTGAGGTATACTTGGTTGCAAGAACGATCTCGTCCCTCAGGCCACGCTTTTCCATCCATTCGCCCACCCAGGCTTCAGAGTCTTCATTTTGGTAGTTGTTTGCGCTGGGTGAGTTAGCGGGAGGCTTTTGGTGGCTATTGATTCGGGGATCTTACGTATCGATGAAATTGCCGCCATTCTCATAGAAGGTGTCCAGGATCTTGAAGGAGGTCTCCTTGTCGCATTCTCCAAGTCTCTCCTTCCTAGAGTTGACAAGATTAGCCTCAATCCACGAAGTCTGAATTTCAGAACAATTGTAATGAATAGTTCCAAGGGGGTTCTTTCTAGACTTACCACCCTTCCCCAAAGTTCATTGCACCCAGACATAGAGGGCTCACCTTGACACCCGCAGTGGGGGCAAGGATGCGGTATCGGCCGAGGCGAGACTTCGGCGGAGGGGCAGAGGGGAAACCTGACATCGTAGCGTTGTTCAAAGCAAATGATTTGCAGAATCAATCTAGAAGTATGCTTGATCGGTTGATTAGTTACTGTGCCTTTGGATTCGCTTTTTTTTGGTATCTGGTAACGATCAGAATACTTGTTTATGGAGTTGCGGTGTGATCAGTACAGCCCTTTATACTTCTAGGAGCAAGTATCCTGCGGGGAAATGATGTAAACAGGTAAAACCCTGGCATGAAACCCATTATTAATCCTTGTTCTTGTGATACCTCGATAAACCATAACTTCGGAGTTAGAATATCGAGAGACACGATCGAGCCAATCGCTCTTCGTTGTTGCCAATGCTGACTGAGTCGCGGTCTCGTTTTTACGAAGCTTAGCCGGTTTAACTCCGTGTCAAAGTTGGCTAATTCTGGACGGCTACACGGTTAGAGTTACTCACCCGGTTGATTGCCGAGCTTCTCGCTGTGCAGTCTTGGGGATAATGTACTCTTGTTTACTCATAATCGAGGAATGTATGCAATTCTAGCTGTATACTTGGATAGTCTGGGAAATTATAAATTTAAAAAGAGAAAAAACAATGTGAATTGCTCGTAAATATCATAAAAAAACAATCTAGATCGTCCATTGAAACAGACACTTATTTATCTACTTCCTGCGTCTTGCAACAACTTTCTTCGCTGGTGCCTCCGCTTTCTCGGATACCTTCCTCAACTTCTCCCTGTACTTTCGAGCGAATTCCGCCCGCTTCTCCGGATCTGCGGGGACTTCAAGTTCTTTGCCATGTATATCAACGATCGTATCCGGAACATTCCAGCTCTTCTCACCGCTATCGGGTCTCTTTCTCTTGCACGTCCTTGGATGCAGTGGACTTGGGCTCGTAAGTTTACGACAAATCACCACTTTACCATTCTCGACAACAGCATGTTCTTGACGGGCCGCTTTTTCTCTCTCACCTTCTCGAGAGTCTATCGTATCACCGTCATCCCGGGACGACAATTCCCATGAAGAGACGGAGTCGTCATGTACTTCACTTTGGAACTCCTGGGGCATTGGTTCGGACCGCGGTTCGGCCTCGGAGGAGGAGAATGTCTGATCAGTAAAATTCTCCGTATCGGGGGTTGCTGGGCGTGGCGCTTTATTGTGGCATCGAGCACAACGACATGGGCCTCCGAGCAGTCGCATTGCACGTCTCTGGGATTTGATCTCGTGGTTTCGATAGCGGATACGAATTTCTTCTCCTTCGGCGATGTCCTTGGTAGCCCAAACGATGACGCGGTTGGGAACCACCGTGTCATACCCCCAATCTGCATTATGAGAGCCCTCGCAGGAATGATTGAACATGCTCAGTCCAGGGAAGAGGTATAAATTTGCCAAGGACGGATCAAGCTCGTTGAGTGGCTCTTTCTTCTTCATGCGCTGAAATTGGGCCTCTGGGACATACAGCTTTTTATCTCGATCAGTCTTAAATCTGTCGGATACATTGCCCTGACGCCGTGGATCCCAAGGCACGGAGTTGACCAGCAGCTTGCGCAGGATGATCTGAATGACCCATGTATCAAACTCTGGCCGCTGAAAGATATCCACTCCCAGGGCTTCCAGGATGTCGAAAGGAACCTTGATGTTCGCTGCCATGTTGAAGGGGAACCAACTGTCTCTCCAAGACTTGCTATTCCCATCAAGGACGAGGAGCTCATCAATTTCATGCGCATTCAGTCGCATCCCATCATCTGGTTCTTCTTGCCGGCGATGTAGCGTAATCTCAAACACGTTGCGTAGAAGAAGCATAAGCATAGTACCATGTCCTTCATTCGTGTGGGAAATGTACTCTCCGCCATTCCATGTATTAACAACAGGCCGCATCGCATCATACAGCCATTGCCAGTCCCTGCCGCAGCTACTGAAATGATGAAGCTCGCGTGCAATTTCCAAACAGCTCATTTCCGGATTCTTCGATCTTGCGATCGGTTTGCAGAATGCCAGACCGGGGGTTCCTGGCTGGCGCAGCCACTTCTCAGAACATGGGCACTTATTCTTCGTCATTTTCTGTTGTCTCACCATCGCTGGACTGATCTCTTTGAGACAGTTCTCACATCGGTTTTTGTCATGGGCTTTCCCGTGTATGTCTTTGGTTAGACGACGTGGCGGGAGATGCCCTCGAATCGTTGGCTCCTCGACGTGAATGATGGCGCCTGGTTTGATCGTGCTTCTGGCGAAGATACCGATTTCCTGCGTAGCACCAGACTTTGCAGCGTGACAGGATGGTGAATATTTACCCGTTAAGTTGGCGTTCTCGAAAACATTCTGATTGAACTTTTCGAGGAATGACGAGGATGTGCGATCGAGATCCTGATTTTCAAAAGGATAAGGTCGACTGGCTGGAACCGCGCCCGCACTTTGCTCGTGGAAGAAGAGCTTCTTCTTGGACTGAGTTTCGCTACGGTAGACCTTGGCGGCCTTGTCGCTCAAAATTTTGCGAAGCTGTGGCACTCGTACATCGCGATCGGGCATTCCCAGTCTGGTTTCGAGGATTTTCATGTGATCATGGTACTCATTCCATGCATTGAGTCCGGCAAGGCTAAGACTGATGATACCGTGAAGCGACTTTTGGAGAGTAGGCACAAAAACATTGATGCCATTCGCCTTACGCATGCGAGTAATTTCAGGCTTGAGATTTCCAGTACCGTCACGGGGAGCCACCATTAAGTGCGCCTCAATTGCCTCCCAAATTCTCGCGTAGAATCCAGGCCGCCGATTGCGCTCCGATGCTTGTTCAAGCACATCGCAGAGAAGCTGTGCACGGTAGGCGTCACCGATGGCCAGATCGAAGTATCCCAGCTGGTAATGGCAGTAGGCACGACTGACCCAGTAAGTCGGGTTGTAGGGACTGATCTGAATTGCAGCGGTGTACATTTCCAGCGCATTCGCCGTGGGCCTTTTCCAGGGTTCCAGAGTGTACTTCTCGGTTCGTTCAACGCCCCAGTGAGAGATGTCGCTCTTCATTAGCATTCCAGACCACTTTTCCATGGTATCGTTTATGATGCGGTATTTGAGATCAGTTGCTTTTCCGGACGTATCCAGTCCTTTTCTTTTGCATTCTGATTGAAGCTGACGCAGATCAAGATATTCCAAATATCCAAGGCTGCCCGAGTTGATAGCCGCCTGTTTCGTTTGCTGCATATTCTTGGAGAACTCATAGTCTCGGTCAAGGCCTTGCTCTTTGAATTTTTGCTTTCCCTCTGCGTAGGCTATTGGGATGAGAGGATCGCTCATCAAGTGCTCGTACACGTTGTGTGCCAAGACATGAATGTCCACCTCGCTGTCAGGAGGTCGGGGGTATGGACGTTGTTTATTGGCTTCCCATTGCTCCCAGACCCAACCAAGAGTTTTGTCAGGGAGATACCAGGCCATATAAGCATCATGGGCTCTTTCTGGGGTGATGGGCTTTCTCAGAAGCACCTCGTCAAAGACGTCTGGCCGAGGCGGCCAATCCGGGGGAGCGATCATCCCCATCGGAGGTTTCGAAATGAAGCGCGAGCCAAATTTTGAAGATCCTTCGCTCTTCTGGACTATAGCTTTCTTTCCATTTTTATTGTCTGCCATGGTGCTCGCAGGTTGAGCGGGTAGTCGGCGAGGGATAAGGGCGGAAGTCAAAGTACAGAATAGGAAATAACAGGCTGGGGATGCACTCGACGAGGTGAAGCACTGGAGCGATTGTCAAATTTCAAGAGAGAAAAAGTGTCGAATATCTTTGCAATGGTAACAGACCAAGATGGACTAGATAAGAGATTTTCGGGGTGGGCAAGGAGCTCTGCTACAGATGTCCGTTCAAAGAAAATCAAGTGAACAAAGGAAGCCAGTGGTATTGCTAGGTATATAGACATTGAAATTAAACACGGTTGTACGGCAGGAATCAAATCCTTCCAGGAGAGAATCGATCCTCCAGATTAACAAAGAAAACGCATCGAGTCACTCTGTCCGAACACCCTGGCACTCTTCCTGATGCCCGGGGTACCGCAGTACGAAATCAAAGAGCACAAAGAAAGTGCAGTCAGCTCAGCCAGTCTGTTCAGTTCAGACAGGCAATATTCTTCCCGATCATATTGAAAACGTACAATTCGAGGAGGTGGCTTAGCTTTGTGTTTTTATTTCGAAGGTCCGAGAGTTCCACTGGGGGCCAAGCGGCCACCTCGGGGAGATGGGCGGTTTTCTGTCCATGGAGAGTTTGGAACTGGGCAAGGAAGATTTCTTTTCAGTTCTGCTTTTTCGCCTTGCAAAGTTTCGTGGTTTCATGAACGTGTCCTTGATCGTCGTGGAATATCAGCGAACAAAGAATGAGGCCGAGTGCATAACCAAGGTGGAGCCTATACTTCGTGGACGGAGACTTGTACCAGGGATTGTGGTATTCCTCCCATAACGGAGAAAATGCACAGTCGAATGGGCATTTCTATTATTAGAATTCACATATCTAGTACCTCCTTCAGGGTCCTTCTCGGTGATAATCTCCGAAGCTGTAATAACAGCACAGGAGAAGGTTATAGTTCATAGTTGGTGTTCCTAGAGCAGTCGGTGGGGCAGCATGACCCGAGCTCGTGAGACGGCGCGGCCTGATTTGCACTTCGTCCCGCTCCAACCCCAAGACAGCAATCGCCAGGACGCCTTGACCGAAGGCGCTACACTCTTGAAACACTGGCCAGGAGGACTGTGAAGTCGATCGTTACTTTACTCGCCTTTCTCCTGCCTTGCAACTTTCTCACAACCTCTGCGATGCCTGGCCATCATGTACGGACGACCTCATCCAGACCCTCCATCGCAGCCTGAATGGCGAGCGCCGCCGCGACGCACGGTAGGCCAGCAGTCAGAGGGACCTCTTCCTCCTCCACCACCTCGTCCGCAGACAACTGGCTCATATAGTCCAGCAACATACGGCCCGATCTCAAACTCCTCAGCGAATGCAGGCACGTCGCCCGTGACGGGGTCTGGTGGGGATCCGAGGACTTGGGGTGTGCGTTACAACCAACAACAGCATCCGATCTATGCTCCGCCGCCTTTACCGGTATGTGTATAGAGCTCGGTTGAAGCTACCTAGCATTCCACAACTGACCGCCTATGTCTGAATAGCCTCGGCCGTCGAGTACCAACGAGCAACCTTACGCCTATGCGCCGCAAACGCTGTCCCTAAACAACAGCATCTCCCCTCCGCCGCCGACCCATACCGTCGAATCTTTTTCAAGTGCTCAGCCTCCGCCGGCTTCATTCACCACCCCACCACCCTATACAGAGTATGTAGCTCCAGCTCCAGTGCCTGTTACTTCTCCCGTTCCGCCCCCGCCTCCAAAAAAACCGCAAGGATACCAGCCAACCCCGCCGCCCGTTCAGCACCTCCCGGAACGGCCTCCGTTGCTCGCGCAAGGTGCAGGACCGGCGGCGACACAGGGCTCATATGGATTTTCCGGGAATAATCCTATCAATACCAATGCAGCACCAACCGGTCCCTCCGCTCTGGGACTAGGCACACCTTCCGATTGGGAGCATTTGGGCCCCACGCCGGGGGAATTCGATGATGGCCCGTGGTTTCCACCCAGGAGGCCTCCACCTCCACCTCAGCCCGAAACCCCAACTTATAGTCCAAATCAATTACAGAATTCAATCACAACTCCACCGGGATACTCGACTGGAATGCCAAATCCCGTGGCAACCGTTCCAACACACGCACCCCTCCCGCCGCGGGTAGATACAGCGCAGCCACCTCAGATGCAGGGGTATCAAGCGGATCAGACACGGCAGAATGATTCGACGTCGCCTATAAGCCCTGCAAGTACTCAGGGTGCTTCGCAGACTGGTTTCCCTACTCGGGTGGACAGCGTTAGTTCGGGAGTCTCTTCTTTCGGAGGTCGCGCCGACAGCATAGACAATGTTATCGATGCCTGGGTGAAGCCTTTGTCGCCTCCGTCCAAGCCAGTGCAACCGAATCTCCCACCTCAGATCCATCGAGCCCCTCCAGTTGTGGCCGCTCCGCCGGCACAGAGCAGCCCGCCTCCTGCTCAGGATTCGATATTGCCATCAAGTCCTGCGCCGGTACCTGCTCCACCGGAAGTGGCGCGACCAAGTACCGTAGCTCCTAGAGAACCAGATCCGTACGAGGATCTCGACCCGTGGTTCAAGTCTTCTTTGACGCGTTACATCGCGATGCTACGAAAAGAGGCAGTGGCCGACTCGGACGAAGAGCGCTACAAGATCTTCACTGCCTTCACGGCCAAGGAGACCAAGCTTCGTGAGATTCTTTATAACATCGAACATGATTCACAAGCTGCTCATCTAGGCCCTCGTATCTCTGAGATTCCCCCAAAACGGTCTTCCTCTGTCTCGGACAATGGCAAGCCAGCAGTTGAAACTGGGTTGATCCCTGTGGAATTTGAAGAGGTTCAGTCTCCAACTACAACAAATACAGATGACGGAAACGACGTCGACGATACAGCCAGCGAATATAGTGCGGGAGGTCGACCTCTTCTCGCCAAACGAGCACGCCAAGCCTCTCAATGGACACCCAAGCTTTCAGCCCTTCCGTCGGATGAGGTTCCTACCGAACGTCTTATAAGGACTCCTTCAAGGCAGTTCTCGATAGATGAAGCCCTTCAAAAGCAGACAGTTGAGCCGCTCACGACGAATCCCCCGCGACCGATCTATACCCCCTTCCAGTACACCGAAGGTCCCCAGCGTGGCTCAGACAACCTAACTTTTGATCGCCCGGCATATCAAGCCTACTCTGAGCTTCGGCAAGCTTCTGCCGTGAGCGGGCGAATCATGTCAAATGTTCCTCCACCTACACTTCGATCAAGGTCCGACACTCTTCCAACATCTCCGGCTACCGATGAACATAGTGAGACCTTTCTAGGCCTCATTCGTGATAAGAGCAGCGCCTACCAAACATCAGACCGCCGGGCAACCATCACAGCCCCGATGCTTCCAGCGCCTCTTCAGCAAGGGCGACGATCTGATGATTTGGTTGAAGATATTCGTGCCATGATTTTGACTCCCATGGACAAACAATCTGAAAGTTCGTGGCATATCACGACTCGAAAAGAGCTGGAATCATTCTCAGATGACTTTTCGTACATTCAAGAAAGAGTCGATAAATGGGAGAGTTCTGCACAAGAACGCCGGTCTAAACTAGATCGAGAACGCAACTCTCGCCAGGAGGAGTCTGAGGCTCAGATCGATGATCTCTTTAATGGCAAGGAGATTGGGTATGCTGATATCAACACACTAGAAGAGGATTTCCGCCAAAGTGAAGCCCGTATTCAGCTAGATGAGGAGCGAGAAGAGGTCAATGATTTCATCGAGCAAGTCTTCAACCCTCTTGATGAGCGACTAAAGAAGGAAATTTCGGCACTTCGCAAGTCCTACGACTCCGCATTCAATCAACTGGATCGATATCAAAAGGGGAAGAGCTCGCCAGTCGAGCAATGCAGCCCATCGGTGACCATGAACCTGGTCAATGAAATTCACAGCAAGCTCGAGATTCGTTTCCAGAAAAGGCTCGATATTGCCCTGGACTGTGAGCGTCGTCGCAAAAAGGCCGAGCGCCGGCCCCTCGTATTCATGGGAGACATGGCTAGCCTTCGTAAGCTGGACGGGGACTTTGACCGTATGGAGAAGCGGAACATTCTGGAGGCGGCCAAGGATCGCGACGACCGAGCCAATCGGCTGATGGACTCGTTCGATGACGCGATCCTACACGGGCTAGGTATGAATCAGAGCCTCCTGGACGAGCTTGCGACCAAAGCAGCCCGGCTAGACCCCACGATCCTCCGTGCCTCCAATCTCCCGGATTCTGAAGTCGAACAGATTCTCAAGTCCGTGGCGACGTTCGCGACGTCGCTTCACAAAGATTCGGAGGCGATTCTCCGGTGCTCCGCCGTTGCGGAAATAGCCCTCAACGACGCCGACTACAACGTCTCCGTCGCCGAAGCGCGATATGCGAATTCGGAACCGGAAATCTTCCAGCGGCTTGAGATGGAGAAGAAGAAAGAAGATGCCATTCTCCAAGCGGATTTGGAAACCAAGCTGCAGAGCATCCAAAAGGGCCCACAGGAGATTGGGTCTACTGTTAAGCGCTTGCTTGAGGATTTGAAGAAGACTCCTAAGCCGCAGACCCCAGCGACGGCTCCTACACCTGCTCCCGTACGGGTTTCAACCGAGTCTCCAAAGCCACTGGAAGCAATTGAGCCCAAGCAGGCGGTCCCAGTGAATCGGTCAGCTGATATGCTGCCATTGGAACTTCGCCCTGCAACCATCGCGCCCAGTCAGACTCCGACACCAGCTCCGACGAGCCTCCCTGTGGTAGACCCCGAGGCAGAACATAAGGAGAGGCTGCGTAAAGCGCTGGAGGACGCCAAAAAGCGCAATGCAGCCCGAGCCGAGCAATAATTCTTGCTTTTCTCTGTACCGGGGGTTGGTGTGGTTTCTGAAGCTGGGAGTGCAACTCATGAAGCGACGAATTTCCTTGCGTTCGACATACCCTTCGTTCATATCCGCAGGCTTATTTTTGTTCGCGCCATCGCATCTTTCTGCTCTGATAACCCTTCTAGTGCCGTTTTGATCTCAAGTTTACTCTATGGATACCCTCTTGTTATCGTACTTTTGTGTAGTCCCGCGATTTCTGGATCGCCAATTTGATGCGTATTATCATGTCCACTAAACTGTCAGCCATAGCCCTCTTGATACTGAGGGCAGCATTTTTCCTCGGCCATATTGCTGGGGTAACACCTATCCGTAGTGACCCCTGGGCCCATAAGGGCACCGCGTTACAGATAATTTCATGAGTAAGGATGTAGGTGTAACTAAGTGAAGTTGTCGATTAGCAAGCACGAGTGGGCAATGCACAGGCCAACGTCAAGTACAGTTAGTAGCAGAAGTGTCCACCGGAGTACTTTTCCCCACGTTGCACCAAATATTTCAGCTGTTTTATTTACCGTAATTTGCTGTCCTTCAAAGGAGCAGAGTAACATTTCTCAAGGAACCCCAACTACTCGCTTCGAGGCGATGACGAAAACTCGCAGGATGAGGAGCACCAACTTTTTTGATCCTCCAACGGACGAAGCTACCAGTCACGCCACCAACTGAGGGCTACAGCGTTCACCAGTCAAGTGTTTCGACTGCGCGATAAATCGACCGCACGGACAACCTCACTCAAGGACTTCACCAGCCAAAATGACTCGATGTGCTCTTGAGGAAAGTCACCGTTTTTACGCCGCGACGTGTGAAAACGATCCGAAGACTTGCAGACGAGGCACAATTTTTAGGCGCCCGGCCTCAGCGATTGGCGGCCATGGGGCCAACTCGGGCGATTAGACGCCAGATGCCTGTCGATCAGCCCTGCTGCGCACAAAGACTGCTTTGACCACCGCTCAACAGCTGTCATGGGTATCTCTGTCCCCGTCTTCCTCAAAAGTCAAGCGGGGCATGTGGCACCAGTCCTGGATTAGGGTGGAAAGAGTCTCTCTAGGCCAGGAGCTAATTCAAACCCAATGCCGACGCCAGCGGGTCCGTCCTGTGCTACACAGCATTTCCCAAGCGTGCTCGAATTCATCGTCCCCTGAATCAGACGTCCACATTGATCATTTAGAAAAAATGCTAACGGCACATCGGCCGAAGCAGATAGTGCGATCGTGCACAGTTCGCCCGCAGGAGCTTCGCCCACCCCACCTATCCTATCACCCCTCCTTCGTGCTGTGCCACGGCTCCAGATCGGGGGTCCTCTGCCAATAGATTCCGAGCCCATATGCAAGGTGCTCGTATGCATCACCAACTCTTTGTCTTCGATCACAGTGGAGAGATGATCCTGCGACGTCGATGAACTCGTTCCGCGACCTTAACAGAGTACTCCACCTTTTCCCCGTCATGTTGAGATCCTGGCTGCTTCCATGCTCCACGCCTTGTCTCAAGTTGGAAGGAGCTTCGACCACATATCCTTCTTTGAAGATCGATCGATCCCAGGGTGCCCAGAACTTTGTCGCGTGGCCCTACCGCCAGACTCGAGGCATTGACGTCTATACCTTTTTATGTGCCTCACAACTCAGGATGAGAGTGAGTTCAATTGCATTATCCATCCCCTGGAGCAGGTATTGTCGGAATGAGCAATGAAAGATAAACGGCACGATGAGCGGGTCAGGTGTGACGCCATGCTAGTGATCGGAAAGGGGGGGGGAAAGGTTCGATACTCCCGGACCCAGTCGGCGGCGATCGCAGACTAGCAATTTGGGCCTGCGCCTAAGCGGCGGAGAAGAGATCGTCGTCAAGCCAAGTCTGCCTGGTATGCGTATTCTCATGCTATCGACGATAGTGCTTCATTATCGTCGCTCTTTCCACCTATCTGGTGTCAGCATTTTGAGCTGTTTCCCCCCTTTGCCGTACCCGAGTTGAGGCCATGATCTGTTCGCCAGGTTGGCCCAACGGCGCCGACTATGCCCCTCTAGCGTGCAGCCCAACTTGGGGGAAATGTAGAATCGGGACCATTTCCATCGCGAAGAGGGTACAGATGTGCTCATCGAATGGGGGTCAATCCAAGCTACTGGCCTTGCTCGATGACATCCCTCTGCCCATGGAAAGCACCAGTACCAGTATGTCAAGGCTGACCGGCTAGCGTCTTGTCTTGTCATTCTCCTATCCGCTTCTTTCGGAGCCCAAGCCACCAAAGGCCCCAGATCTGTCCATTCCCCAACGACGCTCCTTATTAGCGGGCGTCTGTGCGCTGGGCAGTGATGCTGATCCGTCTCTGTACGAGGCGACAATCAAACGGTTCGGCCTTGTTAAGACATCATCCCTTCGCGGCCATGAATGTGTTCCACTCTATCCTGGTCGCCCTAGACCCTACACTAAGCGCCGTTGGAAAATTCCACAGTTTCTCTGCGTCGAGCTAATGACAATCGATATTCCCCTTGGTGTTTAATTTCCGGCCTGTTGTGGTTGGTTTTATTTTTCTCCTCTCTCCCTCCTTCTATCCTCACGGGACTGCCGTCATGCGCCCATCGCGGGAGCACAGCGAGCACAGGAGCTTGCAGATGCGGCCTCGGATGACGAAAATCATCGTGGGTAAATGGACAGATGATTATGGGCTTGTATTGTAACCTGTCCAGGACCCTCCGCCAGTCTCCTTCAACCTATTTAAGGCGGGAGGGCCGTTCCATGGTTCAGAGTACCCGCTCCCGTCCATGGGTCGGAAGAACTCTCCAGCTTAAGTCGAGTATTTGAGCTTGTGGTTCGAATCCACTGTGCCACTCCGGCAATTACACATCGTGCACCTTTCTCCTCTATTCTGCACCCCCCTGGGTCATTAATGCCTAAATTTTGCTGTCGCCAATTCTCGTCTGCTTCCCCCGGTCTTCTCCTCGTTGGCTTCGATCGGTCATGGCACCCCCGACGAGACAATTTCACAGGCTCTCAATCGGTCAGACTATGCCTGAAACTCGTGCCCAATCGTCCCTAACCCCTCGAGTGGCGGGGCATCCAGACCCTTCCGACAACGATGACGACAGTGATCGTGGGAATCAAGATGGCGATGACTCTCCTGTGGAGAGCTCTAGCGAGGAGGACGAGGATGAGGATGATGACGAAGACGAAGATAGCAGTGAGGAGGAATCTACTCGCGCGTCAACCGTCCGGACGCGATCCGGGATCACTTACGATTTGAGACACTTGGATACCGAATCCGAGGCCAAGGCTATGCTAGGTTTGACGGGCCAATTCGAAGTTGTCAACTGCGGTGCTACATCATCGGGCTATGATTTTCAACTCCTCGATCGACCACGAGTGCACATTGGGTCTGGTCCGCCTACTTGTACCTGCACGACCTTCCAGAGTCGACCGGGGGTGGCTTGTCACCACATCTTCGTAAGTGAGGACGGGGAATTTTGGGACCCGAACCTGACGAGTAGGCCAAGGCCCGGTCACTGATTTCTTCCTGTTTGTAGTGGCTCCTCGATCAGCTCCATGGCTGCTTCCTTCCTGATCCTGCCTCGACGGAGTTAGCTCTTTCCCACGATGGCCGGCCCCGTGTGCGTCCGGGCATTGAGGACCTTCTGAATGGTCAGCTAGAAGCGGTAGCAGACCGTCTCAAATGGCCGTACCTTCGGGTTGAAGGCGATGGGAGAACTACGGGCATGATGCGTGCCGAAAAAGTACGAGACGTCCTCTCTGCATTCAGTCCGAAGGTCCTGCCCGAGGATTTTCGTCAGGATCTGGTCGAAACGACAGCGCAGACGCGGACTCCGGAACAATGCGTAGTTCAAGGTGATTTCGAGGCGACAATTTTTCGGCTCGCGGTTCACGATGACAGCGTTTTCACGAGCATGTGCAAGGCCATGCCCTCCGGGGCATGCGCGGCGATCTATTTTGACAAAGTACAGGAGCAGTCACGTCGACTCTTGGCTGATTTCGACCGCTACTGTGCGACTGGGGAACGCCCTGCACACTCTAGCAGCCCTCTCAAAGGACCGCTCGAGGTAGATGAAGTTGTTCAACAGCTACACCGCTCAGTCTCTCGTATCCACGCGAACATTGCCCTCCGCGCGCCGTACGGTTCCGAAGGTGCCGCGAAAGCCCTCGTCTCTATTCTCGAAGCGATTGCCGCTCGCAACAAGGATGCGTTGGAGGGGAATACCTGGGGCCGGGCCTCCTTCCATGGTGAAGATGAGGATCAGCGCAATCTATATCACTTGCTCATTGGGTCCGATGATATGGATTTAGACCCGGATGCAGAGCTGTTCGTCATCGATGCGCTGTTTGCGCTCCCTCCGACTGATCTTGCACAGCATATTCCCAAGCTGCTGGAAATTCGGAGCAAGATTGAGGTCAATCGGGCGCCGAAGCAGTTCCTGATTCGGCTGGGGGCCTTGATCCGACAAACTGAATCGGCCAGTGCAGGTGCCGCGTCGGGATCGGGTCAAATGGGCTCTGGACAGAAGCGACCGGCGGCTGGGAATTCGAGAGGTTATTCGAAGCGGAGTCGCTAGGCTTGATGCTGTGGTCCTGATCTATCCAAATTTGTCGCGAGCATAGTGTCTTTTCATGTAGCCTTTGCCTACATTGCGCTTTCTTTTCTTATTGTCATGTTTGGGCGGCCATCGTGTTCATTCGTTCCAATACCCCCTGCATTGTTGTCACTAGCCAGTCCAAAAGCTCACCTTGTCAATTATTTCTGTCATGCATTTATGATTGCAACTTGATATTCTTCTCTTATCCTTCAGTTTCGCAGCTACTTGGATATACCTGGATGTCTCGCAGTATCATTTACCCACCGCACTCCTGCCCAGCAATCCCACATTTCTATTCAGGATCTCAGTACTTCTGTAGCCCAAAACCTCGTATCCCTCGATCTGCGATCTGATCTGATCTGGTCACATCTGTGAGATCTATATCCCCATGACACCTGATCATGGCGTCATACCAACCCAGTAATACGGCCTTGGGACCCCACGTCCATGTATTGGTGCACAGCGGGACGTGTCACTTGTCTGCCAAGCGGTGGCAGTAGCTTCATCTGACCATGCAAACCATGGCTCAACCCAGAGCTTTGCCTTGGTTGGACCCACTCGCACATGGTTGGACCCGTCTTTGACGAGGAAACGCGAGACCAAACAGGGGGGGGGGGCCTAAAGCACTATCTTCTATTCTTCAATCTTTAATGAAATCTAAAACATATGTTGATGGAATTGATCTCTCTCGTTAATCATGTAGAAAAACATACGCTTCCTTCGGCTATGCAATTTGGACGCTGTAAAGCTGTGGAGTCTCGGCGGAGCACTTCGGCAATGGACGGAGAAACGCGCGCGCAGGGGGAAGGGAAAAAAAGTTAAACGTAGTCCCCATCGCGCTACTGTTTACCTTACCGCCCCCCTGTCGCCGTTCCCAAGGCATACTGGTCCTTCGTGGTGTCTTAGCAGCCCATCAACTAACTAAAATCTTACAGTACAACAATCCGCCCGTCGCTTTCAATTTAGAGTCCCTAGTGTATGTCATCACGTTCCCCGAAGCAACCATGCACAATCCTTCTCAGGACGCCTGTAACCCTTCCAGCCCTTCGGTGTTTCTGGTTCTGCGTGGACGGGTTCGCTGGGGCTTCGTATCCCATCAACAATGATATTGTTTGGCGGTCGTCAAAGGCGTCAGGTCCGTGCCACGGAGAGGTTCTGACTGGGGTCTTTTGCACATTAAGTGGACCGTGCTTCTTCCCAGACGGGGCTAAGGGCTGATTCGGTGGATTGGCATTGGGGGGCGCTTCTGGGACTGGTCTCGTTAGTTTGGATTTTAGCGGTGGAGATCCTTTTGTGTGAAATCTTCATGATGGGTTCGGCTCTTGTTCCGGGATATTCTCGGTTTTTTTGAGTTTGTGCTGATTTGGAATACTTATGAGGTATTCCGCGGGTCAAATTAAATTGTTGGATTAGATTCACTGTCAGACTATTTCAGAATGATCGTTCATAGATTCTTTTATGCTGAGAACTAGTTGTTCTGCCACCAAGCGTACAGAAAGGTCTGCATGCAAGTTTGTAGTCTCCGATATCATTTAGACTTGCCCCCTTAGTTCTTCCCTTTGTCGAGGAAGGCTGAGAAACGGAGTCCTGTCGAATCAGGGCTGAGAGGTGGGGATTTGCTCGTGCGCTTCGGCCTGTCCGGAGGTATCAAGGATTCAAAGAACTCCCTCTCCCTACGGAAACTATTCTCTCGACCTTGAAGAAGATTCAGGTTTTAGTCAAGTACTAGCTGGTAGATATTGCAATTATCGAACATAATTGTGCAAACCAGATGAACCCCCAAGATTTTGAAGTGCACTCCAGTCTGATTGAAGTTATCCAGTGTCGCACGTGGCGGATGATCAAAGATGCCCGACGGGGTCTTCAACTGCTCTTAAGGCTGGCCGTGCACATCCTAGAGAAGATGTCTGTTATCGGTGGAGATAGTCTCCGCGGTCGTAATAGGATTTTGCCAAGGGCATGTCGCTTCCGTTAGTAGGTAGCCAGGACCGCCTTGTATTTCGTAGCGAGAGAATGGAGGTAGGTGAAATAGGATAATTCGAGATCGCCCAGACACTCGAGCCAAAGATCGGACGGAACAGATTTTAGGCTTCTCTGGTTCTTTCCAAGACTGGTAAGTCTGTCTGCTCTCTTGTTTCTGGGTTGCATTATTCCATGTTTCCGGTCACTTGGCGACTTGTTCAATGTGGCTCTTCCATGAGCGCTAATCGTTGTCTGGCCATGGGAAATCAAAACCAAGTGTATCTTTTTGAAACTTGATATCCCTCTTTTGTGTCATTTGTGGAAAACAGTAGAGGTCTCGTTGAGGCTTTCGAATCGATATTTGTGATGATGTTCAGAGTTGCTGCCTGGATTTATCGGTGTTCTGTCAAAATGTCATGATGAGGTCTTCTACAACCCGTCATATACACGATTCTTGGTCGAAAGTCCCTAAAAGAATTAGGTTTCACACTTTAGCTACGGTACGACCTTTCACATCCTTCGATCATTGATTATCGCCGGGATTTCCGGAGTATGTCTTGACCAAAGATATTAACCAGGTTCCACGGTGTGCGTACAATGCATTCAGCATGATAAAGAACTTGTACCAAAGTACTGCCGTACTTGTGAAATTCATTTGAGTTTCTACAATTTCAAGAACATCTGCAATAGTCATTTGCTGCATATCTCCCATTTCTTTGGTCAACTCCTCCCGTTAAAGCTAGTTACGATCATTCCGCACTGTAAATTCCCCCTCGAATGTACTTTCAGCAGCATACCATCTCAGCAAAAATAAGCAAAAGCTTCGACCAGAGATCATTTTCCCAGAGCTGGAACGCGCCTTCACCACGCGTCTTCACCTTCATCGTCTGAGTGTTCCACTGCTTCGCTGGTCCACGAATCGTCGCAGTTTTCGTCCTCATCTTGGCTCTTACCATCGGCTTCGGTATTGAGCTCCAGCGCTGGGACCCAGGTATCCGCATCTTCTGTATCAAGATCTAAGATTCCGGCTTGCTCAAACCAACTCTGGAACTGGAGAGGCTTCCACATTGTAGCCAGATTCTGAGAATCCATCAAACTCTTTCCGAGAGCTTCCTCTTGAGAGCCTTTCACCAAATTGAGGTCGAGACATTTTTTGAAGAGGACTTTCCAGCGAGTCACATAGTCTTGGATATCAGCGTTTTCTCCCAGCTGCTGGAGTGCGAGCCATTCCGAGGATATCTGATTGATATCTTCAATAGATGGGCTGCTGAAGACCTTGGAGAGTGCCGTCAGTTGGCGATATGGATTCACGCCCGTAATGTATTTTTCGTATTTTGGGGACGCTGAGCGGTCAATGAGCTTCTTGATGGCACCGATAGCGTCTCGTTTCTTGGCGAGTTCAGCCTTCTTTTCCCTGTACTCTATGACCAATAAGTGGGGTTTCTTGAACTCCGCATCATCACGACCAGTGATCGACCATGCATCTTGGCGAACTGCCTTGAAGGTAGGCTCAGAAAGTGTAGCCTTCTTTTCTCGGTATTCCTCTGCTGTGTTGGCTGGGTCGCAATATTCCCAAACGCCACAAATCTTGGCAGTTTTCTCAATGTACTCTTTCCACATCGGCCAGTCGTTACGTGATCGCAGACGAGGGACTGCGATGCCGTTGACGGTCTTGTATGGTAGTTCGTCTCCCGGTGCAGACATTCTGGGTGAGAGTAGAGTATTTTGAGTGAGAACAGAGTATTTGAGTGAGAGTAGAGTATTTGAATGAAAGTAGATTATTGCCAGGTGTAAATTAATGAGCAGTGTTTGAGTGGATGAGAAGAAGATGGTGGGGATGCTACGTGACTTCTTTATATCAGAATCACAGCGTAATTATGAGGTCTTAATTTGAGCCTAGTACACTAAACATGGCATAATGCGTTCCTCATGTGGAAAGGGCTAAGCTTTAAAGGTGGTGCGACTTGGCTTAGTTCGGACCGCGACCAAAGGTAGCCATGTTATCGTCATGATATAGTGACCTACAATCGCCCAATAAAATGAATGGGTGAGCTCTGCGAGGTAAGATATGGCACTCTGTCTATTGCGCTGCAGCACGGCACCAGTGCAACTTTAGTTTCTCACCAACCTTGATACTGAGGGCACTACGTTATCGGTCTTGGGCATGCCGCGGTCTTCTGGCCTGTTTGGCTACCAACCGAGCGCATGTTGTAATGATTTGCAGTCATATGTGTCACCAAAAAGCGGCCACATTACGTAGATAGTACAATAGCAAATCTCTAGTTGTTGGTTTCCTTTTCATTTTTGTTTCTCTTATCAGTCACCAATTCTATTTCTGTACATCGACTCTGACGCATAGAAATCTTTTTCCAATCCTCTTGAGCCCTTACGAGACGGCCAGCATCCATTTTGGGTCTCAGTCTTTCCCTTGGTTGTTAATAACCACTCGCTGAGCCTCGAGGCTGCTGCTGTCTGATTGCTCCTCCTCCACGGTTGTCTCAGACTGATTCCAATTGCCAAACACCGCAAGACATGTGAACGGGATCGTGAAAGCCCACAGAGAGAATCCCAATATCATCTGGTTCAAATTGGACCAGTGGGTTGCACCAACCGCATATGCAATGGTGCTGCCAATAGACTCCCAAGATCTGAGAATACCGGTGGTCCTAGCGATATCACCCTCTCCCTGCGCTCCCTTGATCTCAGCCATCAACCAATAGATGTAAGTCTGCAGCACTTCATAGAAGAATCTGAAGAACATGTAGACAGTGAAAGCCGAGTTGAAAAAGGGGCCATCACCGAGGTCGAAGGCGGGTGGCTCGGCCATGCGGGAGAGTTTCGTTTGAGTAACGGCATTCCATATCCAGGACGCAGTAACGAAGATGAGGACAAAGATGTACACTGCTTTTGACCTGGTCTCTCGAGAAAAGTATTTGAGATCCAGGATTATACCCGTCGTCACATTAGCCATGGCACCGACCACGGCTGTGAGGAAAGATGCGAGAGCTCTAGAGCGAACGGTGAAATATGCTGGCAACTCTGTTAGCTATTCGTTTCATCTGTTATATACAACAAATGGAAAATTCATACTGGTCAAGTAATTCCCTTGGTAAGTTGTACCAAATTGCCCCGCCAGGAAGACGGGAATAAGTAGCAGCATGTACTTATTGGTGAGTTGCTTCCAGATACCGCGCGCCTCAATACTGAGGCTAGTCTTCTTCAGATAAGGTATCTTGGTGCCATTCCGTCGGACCACGTGTTGTGGTTGTGACAGAAGTAATGCAAATGGAGCTCCGAGAGAAGAGATGGCAACAAGTCCCAGGTACGTTGTGTAGGTGACCTTTCCGACATGCGAAGTCTTGATGTTGAGAACAAGCGAGATTGCACCAGCAACGAGCGGTCCCATCTGTCGGATTCCCATCCAAATTGCAACGTAGCTGGTACTCAATTTAGTCGAATAATATCAAAAGCGTCGCCAGGGGTTCCCAGCTTACCGGCCTCGTCTCTCCTCTTCCGGGTATCCGACAGCAATGGCAGCCTCACTGGCCCATAGGAGAGATGCCCCAACACCACATAGAGCGGCACCAAGCAATAGAAACCATTCATTGCCATAACGATTGTTACAGTATAGTCCAGCCGCATAAGGAGTGTAGAATGCGGCTCCCAGGAACAAGGTCCATTTGGCTGTGATTTTATTCGTGACACCGCCAGCGAGGAAACAGCCTACTGACATAAGTCCATAGGTCAGAGCATTTGCCGCATTATTCAAGAAAGGCTGTATAAATTAGTTTAGGAAATTTCCAGCAAGACTTGATTATTCGAATCATCCTTACGCTAGCATTGCCTCCTGCTCCAAGGTTATTTAGGGCAGTCCAGATTCCCGGTTCACAGAAAGCGACCAGCCCCACGATAATGATCTGGAATAGGCATGATCGGTAGAACTGCGCTATCCGATCAAAGACCATGCTGGATATTGGACGCTCTGTCGCGCGTTAGAAGTCAAAAACGTTCAGTCCTAGCCCTTAAATTCAGGGCCAGGTCTGCATCTTTATAACATGAGGATTCTATTGATCGAAAAGAGCACGCCAGGACCCATATTGATCGCGATATTGTAAGCTAGTTTCTTCATATCTTGCTGACGATCTCAAAAGACAACGCGGACTCTGTCCGACAACATCCAGGCTACGCGTGGGGGCTCATTCTGTGAATGCCCAGACTTAGAAGCACGCAATACTCCACTTTTATGATATACTTGATATGCACATACTACTGGACTTGTTGTCTCATTTGACACCCTTCGCGTTGTCCGCATTCTCCCTGAAACCTCAGATTACTTAGAACAAATTTTCTCGTTGTATCGCCTGAAAATCGCTATGATCAGACATTCGTTAATTTCTAGAAGGAGAGCGGACGATCAAGAAAACTAGTCATTGGTCTGAACGAAAAAATATAGAATTCTATAGCTCAAAATTGCATTAGGCTCAGAAGAACTATATTTTATTCACAATCAATACAATGATGACAAGCTATTTATCGACCATATCCCATAGGCAATGGATCTAGAACTGCGGAGGGATTCTTACTTGTACACATTAGGGACCCACACACGCCGAGACCTACTAATTATGCATCCTCTACTACGCCATATTTGAACAGGGAAACTGAACTGCGATCAGTGGTGGGCTAGTGCCGATTTTCTCGGGCGAGAGAAGTCATCCAGATCTCGTGGTACTGACTTGGTCCTTGTGGCCTTTTTCTTGGTTCAGGGTTTTGTCGTCCCATGCCGCGGCGCTAAGTAATGCGGCATATGCTCTAACTGGGCATCTTCCCTCTGAAATTAGAATATTTGTTGGAACATTCTAACGACGGGCCAAATAACGGCCTTATATAAAGTCGTCCCTACCTGCCAGTTCTACGTTGTACTGTCCTAGCATCTACTTCGATCTGGACTACTTCCCGACGCAGTATGGAAGTTCGCAATGATATTCTCAAATTGATTAACAATATATTTTGCTAAGAATGATTTAGCTGCAATTATTCTGCGCATATCTTAATATTCAATTGGAGTTTCTCAAGCCTCATGTAGTGATTGAACAAAGTACAGGTCTGAGAGCAAGATTGACCCACTTGTTTTCAATTTTACCAATCATGAAGCCCCAATAGATGCTTTCCCTAAAACAGGGTAGTACTTCTCTTTTTCATTCCACTCTTCATCTCCGGCCGGCTGGCCCAATGGCAAGGCGCTTGACTACGAATCAAGAGATTGCAGGTTCGACCCCTGCGTCGGTCAATTCTTTTTGTTTTTTTGGCTTTGGCATCTTCTCTCATCCATGGTCAAGAAATACCATGGAATGAATTGTATAGTTTTTGCAGGATTTTTGCTAGTAACAATGAGAAATGAATAGTGTCCAGTAGTATCATTCTGGAAGCTAATTAACTTTGAATGGTCGCATTTGATAGAAGATAATGTAGCTCATGCGCGGGAGATATATATTGTCTCCAATTGGATATGGTGTTAGTGACGAGCTGGACGTCCGGTCGCAGCCTGGAAGATCATTTAACCTGACAAATCCAGAACAACACGACCTTGAAGCTTGCCTTCGGCCATCTCCTCGAACACCGAAGTAAGAGCATCCATCTTCTCAACCCGATAATGAGCCTTAATAATGCCACGGGAAGCAAACCTCAACGTCTCAATCGCCTCCAGACGATTTCCGACCGCAGAGCCAGTCACCGTGTATTGCTTATTGACAAACGAGGTCGGGAACGCTGTCGCAATAGGTTGTGGCTCATGCTCAGGCATTCCAACACAGACAAGTGTGCCATTAAAACGCAGCAGCGGCAAAGCCTGGGCATACGCCGCGTTTGCAGCTGTACATACGATCGCGGCATGGGCGCCTAATCCCTCCGTCAAAGCCTTGACGTGCTCCTGCAGGGCAGCACCATTATCGTCCTTGGGGAACTGTGTAATGTCGACAAAGTGTTCTGCTCCAGAATCCTTGACTAGCTCTGCTTTGCTGCCGTGGTCGATACCAATGACGCGAAGACCCATTCCTTTGCTGGCGAGTTGTACTGCAATATGGCCAAGGCCACCTCCAGCGCCGGAGATGACTACCCACTGGCCAGGGCGGGCATTACTACGCTTCAGGGCTGAATAGACCGTCACACCAGCGCAGAGCATTGGCGCCGCCTCGGCAGAGTCCAGGCCATCGGGAATTGGAGTCACATAGTTAGCTGGCCCGAGGGCATACTGTTGGAATGTTCCCGGGCTGTAGTAGCCAGAGACCTTCTGATTAAAGCACAGTCCATCGGCTCCCGCTCCACAGGGCTCTGCAGTAGCCTGTAGTTAGCTATGACCCCTGGAAAGAACCCGTCATGTGGATACATACGGCAGTTTCCGCAAGCGCTGGCAACCCATTTGATACCGACCCGATCGCCAATCTTCAAACCAGAGGACTCGGTTCCTGCACCGAGCTTGACGATCTTGCCGACACCTTCGTGACCTCCAATCTGACCTGGTTGAGTTGGGTATGGTAGTGTTTTCCACTGAAAGAAATCAGCATTTGGAAAGATATTCAGTTTCACAGTGTCCCATCATACGGTGTTGGTCATGATTCCATAGTCAGAGTGGCATACGCCGGAGTGAGTCCTATAGACAAAATCAGTCAGGCCTCTGAGTTCATGTTGGGTCGCAGAGAGGTTTCTTACAGGTTGATGAGAACCTGGCCGGCACCAGGCTCGGGCACATCAATTTCCACCACCTTGGTCGAGACGGTACCGGGTTGGTCGAAGATAACGGCCTTTTGCTTCGTAGGGATATCGACAGTCGCCATTGTGAGCGAAGGTAATTGACGTGATATAGAGATCTCAAACAGTGGCAAGTCGTAGAAGATGGGTGAATACTCCGAGTCGAGAGATCGTCTCGCGGGCAGCAGGAATACTACTTAAAACCCGCCCGGTTTAAAGAAGAGGGCCAAGGTGGAGAAGGTCGATCGCGGGGTTCGGACCGGATTGATTGGCATGATTATTACATGGTTCCAACGTGTACGTGCCTCGGAACCAGCTCGTAGTTCACTGTGTGAAACTGGTTAGTGCTGAGCTCATATTCTGGGCAGACTTGACACTGGGGTGAGGGGTGCGAGGCGGAGTCGTGATGGACCTCGGTCACCCACACTTGACGATCCCGGGGCATCCGCATGGGAGCATTGCATGGAGCAGCGCAGCTTCATATTTACTTGATAGCTAGCCAGCAGGAAAAACTCTCATGTCTCAGAAGTGGATTTAGAGGCTCTATATATGGATCCTAACGAGTCCGGTCGCTCAAGGTCCTCAACGCTACTCTTCTGTTCCTCGCGGGGCATCTCCATTCCCACCAGCTTACCCCGCATCTCCACAAAGACGATCGGCCACCGTCGATACGAGCTAGAAAAGCCCCATAGACTCAACAAACCGGGGTCTAACTACGACGTCTTAGTGTATAAGTGGGTTTATTATTTCCTTGATCTATCGTCTCGACGAGATTATTTTCATTTCCAATTTCCCTCGGACAGAAATCCTACAAGGTGAACTCCAACAGATTCCCGGCATAATCCCGCGCAAAGAACCGTCGAGGGTATTCCTTCCCTTTCGTGCCTGCCAAGATGAAGCGTTAGTCTCAAGCACTTCAAAAATCTAGTATCGGCCAAAAAGGCTCTTGAGACTGCTAACCGGATCCCTCATCACCCGGCTGATCGGCGGCCATTGGTGCCGCTGGACCCCCGCGTAGGTGGTGGTCGTAGACGGACTTTTTAATTGCTTCTAGCTCATCACGGCCAGGTAGCTTAAAGCAGGGATGTCGAGTTGAGCTGGGGTCAGTAGGACCGCAAGTAACATGAATTTGTTGTCCGCTGGAGCCAATATCGAACCTGTTCGGGTTGGGAGCCTCGATTAATGTCGAGTACTCGGTGATGACGTAGAGATAGACACGACGAACTCACCAGAGAAGCGTTCCAATCTGCAGCTCCGGGACGGGCGCGGAGCTTAGCCCAAGGGTCTCCCCATAGAACTCCTTTGCTTGTTCCAGGGTCCCTGGGTGTACTGTGAGGTTGACGTGGGCGATGCCGGTGATCATGATGGACAGCTTCAATCAAAGATTTTGAGTTTGGTTGCCCAGTAGAAAAGCAATTCACAAGGTTAGGTTCGGTCTGAGCTTGGGAGGAAGCTTGCGACACTTTATTTCTTCCGATCGGAAGCCACCCCCACGTTGGACGGGGATTCGGAATTCAGATCCCGATTCTGATTGGTGACACTCTTAAGGCCCCATAGGAGTGACATGGCTCCCAGGTCGATCTCGACTTCATCGGCTTATGAATGCAATTTTTCTCATTCAAGTTACTTCTTGGTTATAAAGTGGGATATCCTCCCGAATACTGTTTTATTTACATTACGACAAACACAGAAGCGGTTTCTTGTATAACTAGGACATATATCCTAGGGGGAATCTGTATCAATTACTAATCTCTCAACAGCTAGACAATTACACACACATCCACACGGGCGATCTCATCACGGTCGTCGTTGATTTAGAAGATCGAGCGAAGAATTCTCATGGGCGCCGCCTTGAACCACTCTCCCCAAGTGTGGTACACAACCTTGGGAGGCAGGTCAACGTCCAATGCAGTGTCACGCATGTTACTGAAGACATCCATGTCCTGCACCTTCACAAACCACATACCGCGGTCAAGTTTGGGGTCCTTGTTGATCTTGGTATAGATGATCCAGACGAAGAACAGGAGAATGATCAGCGGGCCAGCCAAGTAGTTCATAAAGAAGGTCTCCGCATCCTTGGGAGCAACCGAGACATAGAACTCAGCGACCAGACACATCACGTTGAGACCAAAGCCAATCCAACTTCCGATCACACCGAACGGAGCAGCAAAAGCCAGCTCGCTGACTTGACGGCCGTGGTGCTTCCAGCCAGCGCGGAAGCGGACATGGGCAAGACAGATACTTCCCCAGACGAAGAAGGAGATGGTACCGGAAAGAGCCAGAAGCCAGTTGAAGATGACATCACCCGTGCTCGAAGCCTCGTTGACGAAAGCAAGGAAACCGAAGGCGATCTGGAGGAGGATGCAGTAAATGGGACGACCCTTCTTGTCCACGAATGCGAGAAACTTAGGGGCCATGCCGCGAGAAGCCAGAGCCTGGAGGGTACGGCTAGATCCATAGGTGGCAGAGTTGGCGACACTGATGACGGAGATGGTGATAACGGCGTTCATCACCGACGGCAGGCCACTGATACCGGCATTCTTGATGGACATGACAAAGGGAGAAGCCTTGGTGTTAGCACCGGAGGAGTTGAGCAGGTAGTCGGCAGTGTGGGGGACGATCAGGCCAACGATGAATGTTCCCAGGACATAGAAGACCATGATACGCCAGAAGACCTGTTTCGTGGCCTTGGGGACAGACTTGGCAGGGTTGGCGGCTTCGGCAGCAGCAAGACCGGCTAGCTCAGTCCCGGAGAAGGCAAAGGCAGCCGTCACGAACACCGAGCAGAAGCCCCGGAAGGTGGTGAACGCGCCAGGGTCATGCCAGTAATGGGCACCGATGTATCCACCCTTGGGGGCACCACCACAGTCGATCACGATTCCGAGGATGATAAAGCCAATGACAGCAATGACCTTGATCATACCCAGGGCAAATTCGACTATCGCGATGATTTATTAGCATTCTGACACCTTTGAAATTATAGAAGAGAGGTATATACCTTCACCGTATCCACGGACACCAAAGACTTGGATGAGTGAAAGAACAACTAAGAAGACAGCGATCCATATCCCGACATTGAGATCATCACGCCAATATTGAATGGTGATACCAGCAGCGGTGATTTCGAAGGGTAGAATGATGAGCCAACTGATCGCATAGTCCCAGCCGACAGCGAAGCCCCTGTTGATTGTTTACATGGTCAGTATAAGTAAGCGGCCAAGCGGCCAAGCGAGGGAGATAACTAACCAAGCAGGATTGATGAACCGAACGCAATAAGTGAAGAAAGCACCATTTTCGGGATACACGACGGCCAATTCTCCCAGCGCCTGGATTGTGAGCAGAAGCATAGCACCGACAATCAAATAACAGAGCAGCTGGATACAGTTAGCGCCTACCAGCTACCAGTTTGAGTCCAAAAACACCTACCAGAGCTCCAGGACCTCCCGTACTCAAAGCACTACCAGTACCGACGAACAGACCAGCACCAATGGAACCACCTGAACAAAGCAAACGTCAGTCTTGAGGACCCATCGTGTCAATCTAGAAAGCCTTTACCAATAGCGATCATCTGCATATGACGGCCCTGCAGACTCCTCTTCAGTGGGTTGATCTCTGAGACTTGAACATCTTCATATCCTGGAACAGATTTGTCCCCTCTGGGCTCGACGGCGGTCACGCCCTTCTTCTCAATATCCTCATCTGAGGCAGTCATCTTTGAACCAGGAAATAATGAGATCCTTGAACGGGCTCAAGAGAAAAAGAAAAAAAAAGGGGGGGGGGGTTCACGTCTCTGATCAAGACCGGGGTTCCGATGGCGTTATATACGTGCGGTCCGAGGCTGACAGGTTACAGAAGAGGCCGTGGCGACCAGAAAATACTACTGCAGTAGGTGCTTTTGTACTAACCTCTCAAAAAAGCTTCTTATAGGCCCTGCGCCCAGACGACGCCCGGCCCGGCCATCCTCAACGGGAAGATAAGCCAATTTGATAAATGAGCGCCCCGTGATCTGGTCCAATTAGGGCTCGAACCCATCGTCCAACTCGCGCTTATCGCAAGGATGCAACGGCCCCCCGACTGAAACCGTGAGAGGAAAGTGAAAAACGAGTGATTTCTACCGTGGCTTTCCGCTCGTAAGCCAGTAGAGAGTCTTTATTAAAAGAATGTGGATCCAACCCCGCGTTTTTGAGGCAAAAGCGTGGCGTTGTGGTTGACGGGAGAGGAAGCAGGTAGGTGTGTTACCACCCCATGACCCTAGAGAAGACGCATGAGGGTTCAACAGGGCATGGAGTGTTGAACAGGTATATGGTGTATTCATGATTACTTCTGGAATGTCTATCGAACCACAGATACGTTTCAAGATACTGAGCAGGGGGGTAGGGACTATTGCCAAGCTGAAGGGGGTCCAAGATAACACTTCTCCTGATAATGCTTCATCCACTCTTCGGATTGCAGCATTACGGGTCACCTGGGGTCATCCGTCGGGGCTCCTGGTTGATAAGAAGGTTGCCCCCACCAGTACGAGGGCCCCCGACCGTGGATACCACGCGGGTACGCCGGACGGGGAAACAAGAGCCTGTCCAGCATCGATTGGTCCCCTGGGATCTGACAATCTGAGGCACGAGAGTTGACCTGCACGCAAAGAGTAAGGTTCGACCGTATTACGCGGCATACAACCTTATCAGCCACCAATGGCGAGATCGACAATAATCCTCGCTTCAATCAATCCCAACCGGATTTGGCTTTGAGGCGTTCCAGAAGGAAATTAATGCCGACCAGAAAAAGCAGACCAATCACATTGATAGTCTAGTTTACCTTTCTTGGGAACCTTCTTTTACTCCATGTGATATCATGCATACCATAAATTAGATTAGGGGTGCCTAGGCTCGACCCGAGAAGCCCATCTTGAGGATAAAAAAACCTTCTTTCCAGTTTATTTGACAAACGAACCTGAGCAATCGAAACAGGAGGGACAGCAAAACGCTGGTGGGATTTTCAATTAAAACCCCCACCAGAAATCGGATCAGAACCATCTATCGCAAGGACTCTTACCAAATCATGCCACGCTCAAAGCCGAGATCCGCTGAAATCCGCTTCAACGGTTACCCGTGAGTATCCTGTTTCCTTAAATATCCCGTCAGATGTTGACAGTTGCAAGACATTTAGAAACATTCACTCGTCGGGGAATGACTTACCATGATCGGAGAACGCGAAGAGCAAATGCATAGAAACCTTATGCTTATCCGAAAAAGTGGAGATGCTTGAAATAAGCTTCGTGCCGCGATCATAACCCCTGAGAACTAACGCAACTACTCCACGACCGATAGGAGTCCCCAAAAGCGCTCGATACTCGGACGTCCCGATTTTCCACTCTCGCCGAATAGAGTCGGGCCACTCAAGACCATTCTTTACGGAATAAATCTCCTCGCTGATCAGACGTTCGACAGTCTCGTTCGTGATATCCACGCGGAACACGTACTTCAACGGAGCAGTCTCATATTGTTTATAGACCGCAAGGGCAACATCAGACCAGTGTGGACCTAAGAAGCGCGAGCTGAGCTGGGACACGATCACTCCGGGACCGACTTGGATGATATAATCGCTAAAATCGCTCTCAGCATTGTCCTTGACTAACTTGAACAGTGAGACCGTCTTGTAGACCGGCTTGGTTGAAAGACCAAGTTGCTTCGCTACTGGCAGAATTGACCAAGGAAGGGGTGTCAACGGGGCCATTGCTGGATTCCATCCCCGGGGTCGGCCACTAGCGGGTGGATCACCTTTCCCCCCGATCCGCTTGATGGTCCACCCGGTTTTCACGAAATCCTGGGGTGACCACGGAGGATGACCGGAGAATTGGATTACTTTCGCCTTGATCATATGTGATTCTCCCGGAGAATATGTGAAGCATTTCTGCAGCGTCGCGCCTTCCTTCTCTAACTCACCATATTGGAGCTTTTGCAAGCGAGACCGCTCCTTTATCGGGTCACCACCGTTGGGTTTGGATCTGACAAGTTTGGTAAAATCCATGATGCTGCACTGGGATGAGTAAGCTGCCTGGCTGACACAAGGTAAGAAAAGATAGTCTAGCGGACAGTAGGAAGACGTTATGATATGGCACTCGATCATGGGACCAAGGAATTTATATCGGGTGGACGCTATGAGGAATAGTTTCAATCTTGGGACAGAGGACAATGAATTTGTTTGTCAAAGACGATGAAAGAGGCCAGGAATAGAGTGCCTTGCCGTACTGACAATCGAAAAAAACAAAGAGATTCAAGGGAAGGTGATCAGTGAACAAAGGAGAATGAATGACTAATTGAATAACTTTTGTATCGCTTTTTCTTGTTTTACAAAGTATTCTACAGCCCAAGAAATCTATTTCGACTGTGTTATCCTTGAGACTGATCTGGTTGTAGATGCGCGTCATTCTGCCTATGTATCGCACAGGGTCAATAGCGGCATGCTTTATTCCGACCATTAACGAAAATGATAGTGGAAAATTCAAGAAGCAATCCTCATTTTACAATATGAGTTGATTTAGTGAAGACACCACAATCCTTCAGACCCCTCAAAGCCCACAAAGGCGATGAGAACTCGGCTGAAGTACCTACTTTGTTTGAACATGAACAATCTCTCTCAAAGTCTAAATCAACCTAGGAAGGGTTTTAGGTAATGTAACCTCATTCTAGGCTGGGCTCCAATTTACCTCAAATTTTAAGTCCGTCTAGTTAATTTTAACTTTGGCTCTTAGCTTGTTTAGCATTTAAAATTATGTAATAGCATACTTCTAAATCGACTAATGACTTTTAAGCCTAAATTCGAAAGTAAACTCGCATACTTGGTTGTGAATATGGACGATCGGGATCCCCGACGAACTTGTCAGTAGGAAAAATCAAAGGGCTTTACTGGAGGGTTATCCAGCATGTCGTGGGTGGATGCAGAGTTGCTTGCAGACTGGAGTCTTGCGAGAGTGAATAAATTTAGAAAAGAGAGCAAAAGGATCGAAGAAGAAGCTAAGATGCGTGTAAGAGCATAAAATAGACAATCTATCTGAGAAACGATCAGTATATACAAATCACGTGATATCGAGTCAACATGATCTCTGGTGGAGATTTTCCAGAAATTGATAGGTCGAATCAACATATCATTTTCTTGCGAGTCGTTAGAGCAGGACAATTTGACAGTCGGAGAGGTTTTCGCAACATGATTTGCCGACGCCGGATCATACTATATTTGCGGCTCAACAGGGCAGCCAATCCCAAATCCCCATCCGCCAGTGCACATTGCAGGCAATGATACACATCACATGACTGCAGCGCTGCATATGAAGGAACGCTGCCGCCTGACAGCATATTTTGCGTAGAGTTTGCCTTGAACATTTCCCCCAGATCGTTGAGATAAAATAAGATGGGAACAGAGCGCTTCGGAAGTTCTGCAAAAGACGGAATTATCTTCACGGCCGAGCTCCTGGAGCTCATTCTACTTCAGCTGGACCAACGGACACTTCTTACCGCCGCCCAACGAACTTGTCGATATTGGCACATTCTCATCCGAGAATCGCCCTCGCTACAGAGACAGCTATACTTCAGACCGGATGAGAATGTCTCCAAGTCTTGGAATCCTTTACTGGCAGAAGTGTTTCCTTCTTTCTTTTCCCGGAATGGCGGATCGGCAGCAGGCTTTGGCAGGTTTACCTTTGCCACCTTCGATATGATCCAGTTCCCTGATAAGATAACCGCCTATAATCGGAAAGAAGCAAGCTGGCGGCGGATGCTTGTTCAGCAGCCCCCCATACGGGAATTTGCGTTCTTTGACGTGGTTTCGTCGCGCGTGGTAAGGTACTCACAGTGCGTCATCCGGGTAGGTTTCTGAACCTCTGTCTTCTAGTTCGGAAAAGGGAGTCAGTGACTAACACTTACCACGATCAGCCGAAGCAGCAAGCATGTGCCCAGCTCCATGATGGACTCCGTATGGGAGCACTATTCGAGTTCGTAGTGACCCGAGGACCCCTTCGCTATGAACGCCAAATGTTCCAGCGCGTATTCTGGGCATCGTCAGAAAAAGAGGACCATCCCGTGTGGAAGCGAAACCCAGGACTGGTCGAAGCTTTCCAGCAGGCCAGTGTAAAATTTGATCTGGTGGTTTACCAGATAGCCGCCCGGGGCTGTCTCCAACACAAAGTCCGTATCACCGAAGAAGAAAAGATGAGACGACTTATGTTTTCGTCTTATGCCGAGTTGAACCAGGAGAAGGATGCGGAGACGTATGATGTTGTTGATGTTGAGGAAGAGCCCATGCAAACAAAAGCCCACTGGTGATGTTCACCAATCCTGGTCTGAGAGTTGAGCCGTCAGAGGAGTTTGATACATCTGGCCCAATCTAGAGTAGGGCCCGTCAGCAGAGGACAGCCTCGGACGTTTGATAGCCAACGAGAGTACTTTCTAAAGGGAGGGCCCTGTACTTTTGTAGATTGTCATATCTTGAGTACATCTCCGTTCCTGGGTAAATGATCCTGTCGGGCTGTCCGATGACTTGGCACGGACGTAGTTAGTTTCATTACTGAGACCCTAGAGGATGAGGAACGCCCACGCGTCATGGGGGGGAAGCCCTTATCTCATACCCTATAAAGAATGCGGTCGGTATATAGTCTGATCCCGAGGAGGTGGCTGGACTGGGTACCTCGTTGTGGACTCGGAACGATGTTTGCTGGAGAGGAGGTTGTTGTGGTTGGCCGGAGAATGCCGAAGTGTACGCTAATAAGCCTCTAACAAACCTCTAGCCCGCCTCTAATTGGCTTTGGTCCGGATTGAGTAGTTTTGATTGGACCGCGGGGGATCCTAACTGGCCGTGCCAGTATCCAACAGGCTTTTGCGACGATAACCCACATCTTTACTACATCGGGATTACGGTTCCTGGCTTTTCTTCCATGTCTGTGCCACTTCCGAGCTGGTCCTGAATTGTGCTCTACAATGCGCTTTGTGCTCGACGGGATCCAACTACCTCTATGGGTGCGAATACCAGAAGGAATGTATCAATCACCTGAGTTGGACACCAATTCTACACCTCTCGCTCCCCATTTCCCCCATGCACCATGCCCGCCTCCACATTGTGCGAGGGTCGATGTGGATAGAGTCCGGGGCCGCTGAGTAGTCGCATTGGCCCCAAAGCGGCCAAGCGGGTGGGGAAATGGCTGACTTGGCGGGTGCTTAGCGAAATGTCGCAAATGGCAAGTTGCAGCAAATGGCCTCGGTTGTCAACATTTAAAACCCTCTCCGTCTCGCTTCGCTTCCCGAGTCTCCGATTCCCGACGAATATACTGCTTGGAACAAGGTCTTTTATTTTTGGGAGGAGTTCCGTTTTTCGAATCATGCGCAGATCATAAGCGCGACAGTTCTATTTTTCTCCATCTCCACTTCCTGTTTGGTCCACTCCCAACGGTTGCAGTCGAGTCACCGACATTCCTAACGGGCGGCTCCCAAGAAAATTTCCCGTTCACCATGCATGTCGAAGGTGGCCCCGAGACGAGCGATGATCTCGCTCTGGCTAGACTCGGCAAGAAACCGGTCTTGAAGCGCCGATTCAACTTCATGGCGATCGTCGGTTTTGCTATGGCCGAGCTCATCACCTGGGAGACCGTTCTGACCCTATTCTCCCAGTCATTCGACAATGGCGGTCCCGCGGGTGCTTTCTACGGCTATATTATTGCCTGTCTGTCTACGTTGTCGACGTATACGGTCATCGCTGAATTGGCCTCCATGGCGCCCATTGCCGGAGGGCAGTACTACTGGGTCTACATGCTCGCGCCAATGCGCTGGAAGAAAGTCTGTAGTTACTTGATTGGCTGGCTGACCTCCCTTGCATGGATCGCCACGATCGCGACGGAGACGATCTTCCTCGGCACGATGATCGAGGGACTCATCACCTTGAACAACCCGGATTTTGCCCAGCAGCGCTGGCAGAATACCCTCCTGGCTTGGGCCAGTGTCGCGGCCACCTTTTTCATCAACGTGGTGGTGCCCAACATTCTGCCTCGTTTCGAAATCTTCATGTTGGTCTTGCATCTGGCAGGTTTCATTGCGATCACGGCTGTGCTCCTAGCCATGTCCCCCAAAAAATCGGCAGACTTTGTTTTCCACACAACGTTGAATGAAGGCAATTGGCCCACACAAGGCATTTCATACTGCGTTGGCTTCATTGGCAATATTGCCACCTTTGTCGGCGCTGATGCGAGTGTCCATATGGCCGAAGAAGTCGCCAATGCCGCAGTGGTGATCCCTCAAGCCATCATTGCGGGCATGTCTATCAACAGCGCCCTCGGATTTTCGATGATGCTCACGGTCTTGTTCTGCCTAGGCGATGTCGAATCTGTGCTGAACACTGCGACAGGGTTCCCTTTCATTCAAATTTTCTACGACGTCACCCACTCGCACGCCGGTGCGTCAGTCATGACCACCCTCATCATGGTACTCACTATGGCCTGCTCAACCGGTATCACGGCCACCGCCTCTCGTATGACCTGGTCTTTCGCTCGAGACCAGGGCTTGCCCTTTTCCCACTTTTTGAAGAGTGTGAACCATCGCACCAAAGTCCCCGTCGTATCTGTCACCGTAGTCTGCGGTCTCGCCTGTGCCCTGACGCTCATCTATATTGGATCCACTACGGCCTTCAACGATGTCATTTCCCTTACCGTGACTGGATTCTACAGCACATATTTCCTCCCAAGCGCATTCCTTCTCTACCACCGCATCAAAGGCAATGTCCTGCCCCATGGTACCATAATGGACGGCCTCCCAGATGCCGCCCTCGCTGCCGCTAGCACCTCTGCCAATTCCACGGAGAAAGCGACTACCCCTGCGCGCCTCAAGAGCCCAGTTGACAAGGAGCTCATTAGCCCAGGTCCTTCCCAGAGCCCCGAACGCGACATGACCGAGAAGAGAGGCATCCAGCCTACTGAGTATGACATCGCCCAGGCACCTCTGATCTGGGGCCCATGGAAGGTCCCCGGTATCCTCGGAACTATTAACAATGCGTACGCTTGCGTATATATGCTATTCGTCATCTTCTGGAGCGTTTGGCCCCCAGAAACTCCTGTGGATTATACCACCATGAACTACAGTATTGTCGTCACTGCTGGCGTGTTGATTTTAAGTGGTATCTGGTACTTTGTCCGTGCTAGGAAAGAATACTCCGGTCCCTTGATCGACGAGGAGGTTGCTGAAATTATGCACCTTGCCCCTGCCGCAATTGCTGCGACAGTCCCAAAGACTGAATAAATGCTGAAGCGGATATAAGTGCTCACCGGGGAACAAAAGGGAAGACCAAGAGGAAGAGGTGGAAAATGATCATGTGGAAGTTCACTTGAAGACGAACATGGGATGAGAAATGTATCGATACCCCAGGAACATAAGTCATGTACCTACCTGAAAATACCCCCAAAATATTCAAAAGCAAATAAAAGAATATTTTGAATTACTATCACGATACTTTGGACCCCCTGGACCATCAGCACATGCAAAACTCCCTCGTTAGGGCCTCCTCACTTATGCACGAAGGATAGTTAACGCATTGGCCCGAACAAATGAAGAGCCCCAATCAAACGAACATGTTCATCCGCTAAACACTGTTATGCCCCAATAACAACTAGAAAACTAGATTTAGCAAGATCCACCCCAATTAATAGCACAGCTTGCAATAAAAAAGCCGCGCCCGCCCAACCAGCATGCCGTATGGAAACCTTGCTAGCGGTAAGCTGGCCGCGACTCGGATGATCTACAGGCCAAGGATTATGACGGATGGCGGAGCGTGTGCAGATATTCAAATGTGGTTGGATAGTATCTTACAGCCTCCCGATTCATCTTCAGCTAAGGGATCTCAGCCCCCGCGAACACGACCCTGGTACAAGAGGCTTTTGTTTGCTGATTCTTATAAATATCCATCCGAACCATGGGTCTCACTGGCTGTCATCTTGTCTGGATGACAGTTATCGCGACATACAGGTCGCGACCTACGGACCGAGATGGAATCCCATGAACGGAGGGAGATCTTTGGACCTTTTGTGCAGCCGAAACAGTTTGTGCTTTGTTTTGATGGCACGGGGAATAAATTTGCTGGTGATGGGTCGGATACGAACCTCGTCAAAATTTATCGCGTGAGTCATGCTTTCTCTCCCTCAATTTGACGCGATGCAAACAACTCACCGGTTTAAACATGAATAGATGCTTGATCGCAGCCAAAGCCACCAATACCACTACTACCAACCCGGTATAGGGACCTACGTAACATCACACTCACTCGGCAGCAAAGGGCGGATCGAGCGCATTAAGTCTGCATTCAAGAAAGCCCAGGATGCAGCGCTGGGTTCCTCTTTCGACGAGCACGTTCTTGGGGGATACAAGTTCCTAATGCGATACTATGCCCCCGGCGATGACATATACTTCTTCGGTTTCAGTCGAGGCTCATATACAGCGCGCTTTCTGGCAGAGATGCTCGACTACATCGGTCTACTCCAACCTGGAAACGAGGAATTAGTACGCTTTGCATGGAAAACCTTTGCTAAATGGCAACAACGAAAGAGTGGCACGGAGCAGGACGACAAAGAGAGACATAAGCTGTTCCATTTCATGAAGGCCTTCCGAGAAACGTTCAGTAGGCCCGTGAGTCAGATTAAGTTCATGGGACTATTCGATACGGTGAATAGTGTGGCCATGTTTGAGAATTCTTGGATGGAGAGGAGCAAGTTTCCTTCTACGGCGCAGACGACGGCTCGTGTTGTTCGGCATGCTGTCTCTATTGATGAGCGGCGAGCCAAGTTTCGGCAGGATCTGATATCGGAGGGTCGACCTGCTGTGCATGGTCATTCTCACTCACACCGTTTAAGGCATCTGTTGTCCCAAGAGGATCATGACAAGACTCGAGTTCCTGAGATCGTTCTACCGGAGAACGATGAGGTGGGGCGACAAGGGCGACGCAGGTCTGGATCTGGTCATGGGAAAGATGAATTCAGATACCGTGCCCCGTCGTCGTCGCCAGTGCGCAAAGGAAGTTCTGAAATACCGAGGACCAATGCGTATCTGGCTGAGCATCATTCGATGAAAAGCGCAGTTTCCAGAACATCTCTTCGAGTTCCCAGCTTGAACATCCCCGGTAGCGGTGAAAAAGAACAGGATGAGCAGGATATCTCCGAAGTCTGGTTCCCAGGTCAGCACGGCGATGTCGGTGGAGGTTGGAAGCTCACCCCAGAAGACCCCTGGCCATTGAGTCACATTCCCCTCGTTTGGATGGTCAAAGAAGCACAAGCGGCCGGATTAGAATTTGACACCGAGAAACTGAAACGCTTTAACTGCTACGAGGACCATCACGTTGCTAGTGAAGGATTCGAACAAACTATATTTAATGGCCTGGCAGTACATAACAACGATAACCACCACCAGCGAACGAACACATTTCACGAAACCCTTTCTCACACCATGGACCAGGGCATCGCTCACGACTGTCTCACCCACGGCGGTGGCCTTTCATTCTTCTCTACCATGGCATGGCGATTAATGGAGTATCTACCTTTCCGACGAATGGACCTCCAACCCGACGGAACCTGGAAACCGATTCGCTGGCCTCTTCCTTGCGGAGAGGTGCGTGATATCCCCGAAAACGCACAGATTCATATCTCCGCAATTCATAAACTGCAGATTGACCCGACTTACCGACCGGGGAATTTGATTATCGGAGGGGGTGGGCGTGGAGTGAAAAGGGCACCGGAAAAGTTTGGGATTGGGGAGTGGGAGGTTTGTAGGTATGAGGGTGATTTGGTAAGGCAGACTTTTCTTCGAAAGAGTTTGAGCAAGGATGAGAAGGGCATCTGTCGGGATGATCATGTTGCAGAGAGATAGTGGATCTTGATGGCATTTGCATGACATGAGATAGTATACAAAGCAGTTTGGCAAGTCTAATTGAGACACACCCGTTCGAGAACGTTTTGTTGAATCTTTCAGAAACCTGTCAAAGTAGAACTCTAGATAGATGGGCTTGTAACATAAGAGATTTCTGGGTTTACAACAGAGTGACGCCCGACGTGGAGCTCGATCGACACGATGCATTACAAGACACAGATATTCCATAGGAAGGAGGAGAGTCTGAATTATTAGAACGGACTTACTTTATCCATTGAGAGTGATGCGACGCTCTTGTATACTACTGCGTGCGTGGAAACTGTCGACTTGCTCAAATTTTTGAGTTTCCGATTGACAGTTCCGGAATGGTTCTATCCATCCTTAACCGAGAGGGCATCGATTGGAGCTGTAGAGTCACTGTAAGTTTCCCGCCCAGGAAACAAAGTACCGTGCGTGCTCACAACTACCGGGCGATAGCTTCCTGGGATTTCTGCCAACCCCTTCCAAAAGACTCCAGAATACGTCCATGTCACCAACCATCGCAATCCAGATGACCCATGTTCGCTACTTTCTAATTTATAGTAGTATCAAGGCATACGGGTTTCTTGGCTCTGTCACATCCTGGAGGCTTTGTCTCAATTCAATATCTTTGTGGAAGGACAGCGAGCTGACAGACCGCACTGGGGAGACTGGTTTCCAGCTCAGGAACAGATCTTGAATCATCCTGGTCTGAATGCGAACACCGCACTTCTGGTTAATATTGGGGCCGTTCGCGGTCATGATCTGATCGGATTCAGGATATAATGCCCCGTTTCTCGGAAGAGAGTCTTTCAAAATGATCTCTCTGCTGTCATTGAAGAGGTCCACGCTCTGGAGCGGACTCAACAATGTTGGACCGAGCTCATGACGTCTGTCGGCTTGCGAGCAGTAAATTTCTCGGGTGCATGAGGCCGATCGGCTTTAAGATTGAACTGCCCAAGAGCCCTTGCTAGACGACAGTAAAACCAAAGCTCCAGATTTTGAGTCGAAATAATATCGAATCACATTATTATATAATCAAATAGTCGTCTTGGTGCATTGAGTCGGCATTGTGGGTCTAACCTGAATTAGTGACGCAAAGCAACTCAGACATGCGTGTTGACTCACAAAATCCATCCAAGGAACATTGCTTTGATCATGTTCCGACTGACGAGCTCTTGCTTGCCATACCTTCTCAAGCAATGACTGAGGTGCTGCCCAACCCATCTCAGCTCTGGCTTGAATCTCACTCAGTCGTAACAAGACATAATGTCGTGAGTGAGGAGAAAGGCTATCAGCGCCAGCCATAAACAAAGGCATCACGTTGAGCTCTATCAACGGATTGGTTCCAGGAACATGCGCAAGAGAATCCAGAATTGCCATGACCGATGTCTGTATGCGTGGCGTCGACGCCGATTCGGTAGGATCAAGAAGGCGCCAAGCGCGCAGAATGCAAGTATGTCGAAATGCCTCAGCAACGCACCGCCAGAGGGGGTCTTCGCTGGGGTAGAAGCACCGAGAGCTATCCCAGCTAAAAAGCTTTTGGATCAGTGCTTGGACGTGTGTATGGTACTCGTCTGTGCTTAGACGGTCGGTCGAATGCGCTTTGGCATGCTCGAGAATTTCACCAATGATGAGGGCTAGCTCCCTCGGACAACCATTGACGGCTTCGAATCTCAGGTCACATAGGGATAGTAGTTTCTGGCGAAGTTCCTGTGTAAAGCACAATCTTTCTGGCACAGAAAATGCCCGGATGATATCTAGCCTGTAGCGCAAGGGAATTAGACCGAGTTTAGCGCGGTTAGATCAAGACGACTTACCAGATAAGATTACCCAGAAAAAATACAGTTCTTTCATCTTTGACTGTCAAGCGTTCATCAAGCTTCAACTGGTTACAGATAGACAGTGCGCCTGATATATGCGCGCCGTGCGTCGAGGTGCCAGATTCGCGAATCTATACAGAACGCATATTCAATCAGTTATACGGGCATGTATCTACGTTATAAATTACTCACATCATGAAGTAGTAAGATCTGTATGGTTACAAATACCCCGTCCCGTTCGTTGTCATTGAAACTTCCGGAGCAGACTTGTCTGATGGCTGCGCCGAGTGCAGTGATTGCCTTGACCCGATAATCGACGGCGGTTGTTTCATACAGGTGCTTATCGGATTTCAGATGTCCCAGATGACATGCGGAAAGCCCAAGAACCGCATAAAGAAGTCCAATTTGCTCATACGCTAGAGGAAGCACATAGCGCCGATAGGGATTATCGCTGTTATTCTCATGGGCGATCTGATGGGGACAAATAACGTGATCGTCTGGATGAGAACTCAGTCAAGAAAATTCGCGCACAACGGGTGATTACACAAACAACTTACAGTGTTTCAAAAGCAAGTCGGTCTCATCCAAGCTGAGGACCCTGTCGATTTCTGACTTGTGATTCGATTTCGAGCTTTGAGATACCAGTGCCAGTGCATCGTTGGGAGAATGACTTGATGAAGTATCACTCTGTCCCAACACAATCTTTCTTGATACATTTGTTGACGAAGGAGAGGAGGCTGGGGAGACAGCCTCTGTATCAATGGGGACATCTCGACCCTTCCATTTCCCACGGCTGGCGATCCCGCAAAAACGAAATTTGTCTGGGTACCCACCACATTGCAATCCCTTGCTGATGCAACGTTTACACACGGGCCGCCCCCGATCACATCGACGTGATTTCTGACGACATGTCAGGCAGGCGGCTTCTGATAAAAGAACATACAGTCAGGAAACCGGCTGCAGAGAGGGTGTGAGTGCTACGGACCGGTAGAACGCATGTTCAGCTCTCACTTTACCATGCCTGAAAGTCACTCGCTCAGCGGTCAGCAATGTAATCGTTCATACTCCTGTGTCCGTTTGTCGTTTCCGCTTCACAGGAAACGGGGAAAGGATCCTCGCAGACTCCGACTCGTGAGTCTCGTGAGTCTCGTGGCTTTAAATGTTGACACCTAGGGCATCAACCGATTATATAATCTTGGTCGATGGCCAGCAGTACCATTTACACAGCCCACTACATAGCCCAGGCTTGCATTCGTCTTGCTTTGTCTCATCATTCCTCGAAAAACCACCGGGTTTCCCGGGTATCTGGGATTTTGATACTTCTTTTTCTTGGAAACTACGTATTGACAAACGGACCAGTTAGATGCGCATTTTATAAGACGACCATTTCCTACTGTTCGATGACATTCAATCTTATGTCTCATACTTGTCGGCCTCCTTCGCAATATATCTTGACTGAATACGTACCATGTCAATTTGCTTTAGTCCGCACGAAGATTATGGTGGATGCTTGGGCGAAATTGCCAAAGACCCTGTCACATAGCCCTTAAAGTCAGCATTAATCCCCACATACGGAAAATCACTGGCAGTGGTCATCTCCTTTAAAAGAAGGGACGGGCTCTCTAATTAAACACAGCATCGACACATACCTTGCTATCATCTCTGCCCTGCACGACAGAAATTCGGGGATACTGTGGAGCAATCTCACCCGACCCTCGGCATCGAAGCTCATGAAGAACTCGTGCTGATAATGCCATTTCAATTTCAAGGCTAGGGTGTTTCTGAAACACAATCCCATCAACAACCCCGATAGCTTTCTCCATAACGTCAATCACAGGATTGAGGGAATCACCCTCCACTTCTCGCCAATTCAGATAGGCGTCTAAGTCGTAGGTCTCGAGAGACAGGTACAGATTTCGCAGTGAAGGGAACAGATCCCTAATGACCTCAAGAACCATTTTAAGACCGCCCCACCCTAAATTTGCTGTCTTAGAATGATGATAGGGCCAATTCTCCAGATAGAAATAGCCGAGCAGCTCCAGAGAGCGAATGCGTGCGAGGTGTTCCAATGGAAGTATCACTTTCAAATGGTGAATCATCATGTTGTTGCTAATGTGAAAGATATTAGTCGAGTACAACACATCTGTGGCCTCGGCATGCCTAGTATTGTAGCAAAATTAGCAGTGCCAGTAGCGTGTAAAGCGTGTTCCAGAATACATCACGAACCCTAATCGGCTGCTTAGCAGCCAGCCCATCACCCCAAGTTTACCTGGAGTGCAATGATCGCCGAACGGTGATTGATCGGGCTCGCGCGTACAGATGCCGCCTTGCCATCTCACAGATTTGGAGTCCGACTTGCTGATACTTAAATCTCGAAATTCAGAAGAATTTATGAGTCCAATGTGAAGAGTGTAATTTCCAAACGCGACAGTGAGAATCTTTCGGCGGATTTCTAAAGGCAGCTGATAGAAAGAGCTTTTAGCAACTGCTTCATAGGCTTCCGGCGATGGGGAATCGTGAATCGCTCTGCTCGAGTCGTATTTTCGTAGTCTGGTTTCCAGCCATTTCAGCTCTTCTGATGTCATTTTACTCGTTGAAAACTGAAACTTCGGATTGAAGGTGTTGATTTCCGGCTCGCAGAGGAGAGAAAAGCGCAAGAGAAAACGATACGGGGTTTGCAAGAAGTAATGGGCATCATTTTGGCCGTGGGCCAACTCAGCCTCAGCCACATTTCAACCCCGCCGAGGAGGCGCTCCGTTTTCGCCCAATCTGTATCGCCGCATTTATCATGAGTGTGCATCTGACATTATGCACATCGAAAAATGGAGGCGACTTGATCGGGGCTACCGAGGTTGGCGTACCTACATCATCTACCTGCCTTCCATAGGCGTCATCAAATGACGGGCTCCACAGAGACGAGGCCTAACGTCACGGTGGTACACGGTCCAACTTGCAAGAACGCAGAACTTCGCCATTTAAGCTAGTAACCTGTCATGAGATTTTGAATCTAAAATGGTACTGGAAGACATCGCCAATGTCAACTAAAATAAGGTGCGGTACCGAGCGTAGGGAGTGCGGACTCGTCACACAAAAAGCTTGTCTTTCAAGGCGGTAATCAGATATCTGGCAATCCCTCAAACTATGAGTTGTGAATTCGCAAATGGGCATGCTCGACATTTGAATGCTGGATTTGATCATCATGGCACTCATTGATTGCTTCATGCCCGGTAAAATTAGATTGCAAAAGTACTTTCGGAGGCCACTCACAATGAGCCCGATATCATCATAGCAGAGGAGTAGGAGAGAGAAGAGAATTGCTCTTGGCTGAGAACGTGCTAGAGAACTAAGATTTCAGGATCAATTATCCGATCAAATATCCGAGCAAATATCCGAAACATGTAGAATTGGATCTGTTTTTTAGTCCGGGTGGGTTTAGGATCCTCCCAAGATCCCAGCTCAGGCCCACTTTGGTTCGCTCGGGAAAAAGCCTACCGACAGCGACTACTAGCAATCGAATGCAACCTTTTATTTCCACTCATTACTGTCCATCCTCAATCCTTGATCACTCGTTCTGCTTGGCATACTAGGATTTGCAGGTTCATATACCAGTACATCTGACAAATGCCTCTTTGATTCTTACTAGAAGGTATGAACCATCTCATCCAGTCTTGACCCCGCATCCCCGCGATGTCAACACGCGACAATTGACCGCGAAAATACAGCTCGACGAAAAACAGCCCACGAGAGAGACAAAGAATCGCCATGCCGACTCCAATCGTGGATTCTCACATCCACCTCTTCCCAGCCTCTCATTTACCAACACTAGCCTGGTACAGCCCCGATAGTCCCTTGGGTTCACAGCACAGCGTCGACGAATACCGACACGCGTCATCTTCCCTTTCTACTGAAAGCGACACTCCCAACTCAAAATACCTACGTGGTTTCATCTTCCTTGAGACGGATCGCGTTTCATCCGTGACAGATGATCAGCCAGGTAGCCCTGGGTGGACGCATGCGCTCGACGAGGTGTCCTACTTGACACGCATTGCGCTGGGGGAGCCGGTGGCTGGAGAAGGTCATGACGCAACCCAAAAGGATCTCTGCCTGGTAATTGTCCCCTGGGCACCAGTTCCAGGTGGTCCGGAGGCCTTGTCCTCGTATATGACCAAGGTTAAGGAGCGAACGAAAACGGAGCAAGTCTGGCGCAAGGTGCGCGGAGTGAGATACCTGGTACAGGATAAGCCAGCTGGAGTGATGCTTCAGCCACAATTTGTGGAGGGATTGCGCTGGCTAGGCCAGCAGGGATTCGCATTTGATCTCGGGGTAGATGCCAGACAAGGCGGACTGCATCAATTACGAGAAGCAGTGGAGATGATTGATAGGTTGGGAGATGCCAATGCGGGAGCAATCATTATAAGTGAGTCGCAATTTCAAGATTTGTCTAGCTGTGAACCTAACATATGACATTTAGATCATCTTTGCAAGCCTAACCTACGACTTTCGCTCGACGCAGTTTCTTCTCACCCAGAATTCCTAGAGTGGAAGGAACTGATTACGAAAATGGCTCAGGCGAGCTCAAAAACGTATATGAAGCTGTCGGGCGCATTTTCAGAGCTTCCTCCACTTGGTTCTAATGTCGAGCCTGATATTCCTAATCTTGTCGATCTTCTTCAACCCTGGACGGATGTGGTCTTCGAAGCTTTTGGAGCTACGCGGGTGATGTTCGGCTCGGATTGGCCTGTGTGCAATATTGGTGGCGGAGGTAATAATATTGCATGGAATCGGTGGATAAGGATAGTCGAAGCAGTTCTGGAGAGACGAGGATTGACCGAGAGGCAGAAGCAGGGTGTTTGGGGTCAAGTCGCGTTGGAGGCATACGGTATTAGTATCTGAACCCTCTCGGGACATTGCTGACCCGAAGTGCCGGAGGACCGACCGTAGCAAAATGAAACTGAAGGGTTATTGTTGCAGTGTCTCTTTTGTGCATAACCTTTGTTTTAATATAAAACCAAGATTTTCAGAGAAACCAGCCATCTTCAATCGATCATGGGGGCGTGCATGATATATTTAAACTTTCTCGTCGCTTATCATCATGCCAGGGGAAGCCATTCGGGCTCGGGTTGGTGCAGGATGCTCGTGCCTCGTGCAAGAGGAAAGTGGAGAAACGCGGGGTGCCCCGGTTTCTGCCTGAGGCTCGAATTCGGCCTAGTGACTCCGCGATCCCGAAGTCTTCATCCTCCTCTATTTTCCCCCCCTCAACCCTCGGCCTTGACTTGCCTCTTCATCGGACAATCACCGTGTGCTACTCTCGGCCTAGCTATCCCGAAAACCCACCACGCGTGTCATTCGCCTAGTGCGCGTCATGGTCGATCCTTGATAGAGGGGGACTATCTCGCTATAGCAAAATGCCGAACACTGCAGCAGCACCTCCCGCTCTGCTGCCCCCTTCCTCCAATCAGGGCCCAAGCGGCACTGATAAAGACCTGAGTCCGGGAGAGTACTCGTCCGGTATTGACTCGGATAATGAGCTCCTTGGCCCCAATGGCTCGCGAGCTTTGAAACGAAAACGGCCCCTCACCGTCTCGTAGGTACCCTGAGGTGATCGCGCCATGATCGCAAAAACTTCAAGGCTAATTCTCCCTCAAGGTGTGAACTATGCAAGCAGAGAAAGGTCAAATGTGGTAGGTGATGATGGCCTGTTTGAGTCCAGACCGGGCTGCTAACCTAGAGTCGTTAAACCAGATCGAGTACAGCCCAGCTGTGGCTGGTGTAATCGCAATGGACAGATGTGTGAGTACAAGGAGCGGAAGAAGCCTGGTCTGCGAGCTGGCTATGGAAAGGAGCTAGAGCAGCGACTTGGTTAGTCGAAACTCTACCCTGTCTTGGTTGATACGACGCTCATAAGTGTTTCAGACAGATTGGAGGAAATCATCCAGTCGCAAGCCCGTCTCATTGAGATGCATGTCCTACAGAGTCGACCTCCAATTGGGCATGAGATGGCGCCGACTGGCTCATTCTCCTACAGCTCCCCATCGGAACCCTCGGCTGTTCACGGTCCCAGTCCCCGCGCCGCACTTTACTTCAATGATCCCGCTTCCTCGGTGACCATACCCTCTCGTCGAGCAGATGTTTCGATTACCAGTCCGTCAGATACCTCAGTGAAGAACTTGGTTCAAAAGAGCCTCCAAAATGGAGGATCAGCACCTTCTATGAGCTCGTTACCGTCTGCCCACAACGCACAAACAAATAACGACTATACTGGGAATGAATCCTCATTGGAAGTCCCCGTCAATCTCTTTGGCAATCAAGAGCAGTCATTAGCAGATCCCGGGTTAGATCTGCCACCATATGATCTGCTTTATGCGCTGGTCGATCTGTATTTTGAGCACATCAACACCTGGTGCCCAATTCTCCATCGTCGGTCGACACTAGACACTTTCTTCGGCCCGTCTCCGCTGGAGGAGGCAGATCGAATGGTTTTGTATGCCATCGTGGCAACAACCTTGCGCTTTTCTTCAGATTCCCGACTCAACGATCAGAATCGGAAACGTTATCACGACTCCTCGAAACAGAAGGTTCTTCTCTATGGCTTGGAGAATTCATCTGTGAGAGCTTTGCAAGCCCTCGTTATATTGGCAATAGACTTGGTTGGATCATCTAATGGTCCTCCGGGTTGGAAGCTGCTTGCTCTGATTACAAGATCCGTGGTCCAGCTGGGATTGGCTGTAGAGTCCAAGTCGTCGTTGATCGCTCCCGTGTACCCTTCCATCTATACATTGAGAGCAGTGACACTCTCAGAACCTGACTCCTGGATTGAGGATGAAAGCCGACGGCGCTTGTTCTGGATGGTTTATTTGCTGGACCGATATTCAACGATCGCTACTGCTTTCAACTTTGCACTCGACGATAAGGACATCGACCGCAAGCTTCCCTGTAAGGAAGAATTTTTCATGAAGAACCAGCCTGTCGAGACGAGACGATTCCACTGTTCTAGTGATCGTGCCGATTATCTTAGCCATTCAGAGAATGTTGGGTCTTTCGGACTATACATGGAGATTCTCGGTATCCTGTCCCGCATCCATGTGTTTTTGAAGCGGCCTGTGGATATTGGCTCGCTTTCCGACGTCGAGGAATGGCAGGCTACCTACCGCAAGCTTGATAGTGAGCTCACGTCGTGGGAGTTTAACCTGCCTGTTGAGTATGCGTACGAGAACTCGTCGAGGCTCTTTGCCGCGGGAAAGCAGAGTCGATCTATTCATAGCGACTGGGTCCAGCTCCATGCTACGTACCAAACGTGAGTCTAAACCTATGTCTACAGTCCCTATCTTACGTGCCCTACTGACACTGCTACAGAGCTGTGATCCGCTTACATTCATCTGCCGCGTATCCAACTACCCGTTCGCCCATCTTCACCCCCTCATACAGTGCCAGTCAACGGTGCCTTTTAGCAGTCGACAACATCCTATCGGTGACTCGCTTCGTCGTCGAAAACAACTTGCTCGACAAACTAGGACCACCCTTTGCATTCACCCTCTGGGTCTCAGCCCGCCTCCTCCTCGTCCACGGCTCAACGATCGCCCACACCGTCAGCCACGACATCCTCTTCTTCGTCGACACCCTCGCCCACATGGGACAATACTGGAAAGTCGCCGAACGCTACAGCAACATCCTCCAACGTGTCTTGGACGAATACGGCGAATACCAACAATCCGCCGCCACGGACGGCGAACGCTCAACACCCTCTACTGTCAAAATCCTCGCCGACATGCGCCGCTGTGCATTTGACCTCGACTTCCTGATCTCCCGTCAGCCGCGCGAGTCCCCATCGAGCATGAGTAACGGCGGAACCGAGGCACCCCGCCCTCAAAACCCCGCTATTACCCCGCGAAACTTGGCTCCCAATGAATTGGAATACCTCGACGTCTTTGGGTTCTTCAATGTACCGCGTGTACCGCCTGCACGTGCACCGGATCCGACTTCAACTAATCACGCTGGCCCTGGCCAATTGGATATGTCTGAGTCCGTGCCGAATCCCATGTCTATCCATGGACTTACGGGTACCGGCCCCGTTGCTGATGGGAATACGAATGAGTTTAATATCACCAATTATTTGATTCCCACGCCGGAGACGGATTGGTTGTTCCGGCCAGGTGGATGAAGCGTCTGATTCCATGTCCATTATGTGAACTCACATGTCAATTTGCCATTCGTCTATCATTCTCATTGCCGTATTGAGTATTGAGAGGGTTTGGGCATCGGGTCTCAACCATGCATTCCTTCATCAATTTCATCAGCAGCAAAGCCTCCTTGAAGGCTTCCCTCGCTTCAGTCTCCGGAAAGGAGAACTTTCCAGCGTCCATGGTGGCTGGGAACGCAAGCCCATGATTCACGGCTTCGCGAGCTTGTTTTGAGAACGGTGCCAGAATCGGCGATTCGTTGCTGCCTCTCTCTCAATTTAAAGACTAAATACTCCGATCTGGAAAAGAGGAGTAGTATGATTGATTCGGCGTTTACTACGTCCCCAGTCATTGGAAAGACTTCGGAAATCTGTGAGGGCCAAAATGTATCTCCATCCTGCCAAATCTGAGTTCAAGATGCAATACGCGTCATCCTACCAGGAATAGGTGGCCAGCCCCTAGCACCGCTTGTACTGCTCACACAAATTTAAATTGTTAGCTTCAACGGCATACAATGTTCACGCCTCTCTACGTACCCATATGAAGACCCCAACATATCCATTATATGCATACAAACAGAAAAGAAAAGAAAAGACAGGAGACTCAGATTGTAAAATACATATAAGAAAACAAAAAAGAGACTGCGAGCATCCCATTTACAATAAAGCAGCCCGAGGCCCGAATCAAAAATCGAAGCCCAAGGAGCAGACAACAGGTATAGTGGTATATCCAACCAACACTTTAGTTGAGAACATGGGCAGGCTGCGCAGTGGCACGGACATGACGACCCAATTTCTCCAACTCGCCAATAATACCGCCACCGGACAGACTCCACTTCTCGCCGACCCAGGTCTCATTGACTTCCTCACGCAGCAAGCCGCTGCGGGCAAAGTACTCCAGGTAACCGCGGGCCTCGTCGCGGGTCAGACCACCGAGTGTCTGAAGCTCGAACTGAGGCTCCTTGCCGGTAGTAGGCTTGAACAGCTCCAGAATGCGGGGGTCGGCACCGCTGTAAGCCTCGGGGGCAGGGTAGTCTGGGGACGAAGGGCTGACGCCGGCCTGGCGGGCGGCCAGCTGCTCCAGGGCAACATCGAGGGTGTGGACGGCAGGGTTGTTGGAGGTGGAGGTAGCGTAGAGGACCATACCGCCGTTCTTCAGCGAGGCCTGGCCGTTCTGTAGAAGGGAGAGGAAGTGCTTGACGAAGACGAGGTCGTGCGCGTGTACGGGACTGTAGTCGGAGGCGCGGTAGGCGCTCTCCTTCATCCAATGTGCGATGCCATCAACGGTCACCAGCATGGGAGGACGGGGCTTGAAGTCCTTCTCCATACCGGGGGCCGCGGCGGTGGCAGTCAGCTCCGTCCACAGAGCCTGGAAAACGGGCCAGGCAACGGCCGCATCCTGGAAGCCGAGCTTGGCGAGATCCTCCAGGGTGGAGGAAGCCTTCAGGGACGGCAGGGCAGAGTGTTTCTGTGAAACCTTGAGGCTAGAGAGAACCTGACGATTGGCCTCAACGGTGCGCATCAGAAGGGCGGAGACGGCATTGGGCTGGATGTATTGGGGCGGGTTGGTGCCCTCGATCGGGGAGTAGGTGGTATCACCGGATACGAGGTCTCGGGCTGTAGGAAGAGCAAATTAGCAGCTGCAATTGATCAATTGATACCATAGGCACATTTTTGCAGCACTTACCATCAGGAACTGTGACCACAACCCACTTCTTAAGGAAACCCATGGCCATAGCCTGCAGCAGATGCACAGTCTTGCCAGAGCCCTTCAAACCCGTGATAATCTTCTTAACCACCTTGCCCTTCTCGGCGGAATCACCCTCTCCAGAAATCTTCTCAAACAAGCGAGCCATCTCCAAAGTATCCCGACGCAGAACGGTACCCGGCCGGCGGAATATAGACCAGCCTTGCTTAGGCTGGAAAGCCTGCACAGCTCTCAATTGGTCCAGCATCGGCACCGGCAGACCCAGCACGGAGCCACGCAGACGAGCATCAACCATAGTCTCCAAAGACAGATCCTGCATACCCTCAATCTCAAGGGCATTGGGGTTACTCAAGACAATACGTTTCCGCAAAGCCTTGCGCTCGCCGACGGCCGGAGGACGCGCACGCTCGGTGGTCTTCTTCTTCTTTCGGCGCAGGGTCTGACCCTGACGATACTTCACTGCCACGATGGTACTCTTTTTCTTTGTTGGGTTGGCATATTGCACGGCGGAGGAGTGGAAGGAAGCGGTCGTGATTCGGGGTGTAATGGACTGCGGAGGGAGGATTGCTCGAGGTGATGGTGTTGCGCGAAGCCGCGAGAGGCAGCTCCAGCACCACGAGGAGGCCATTGGGATCACTCAGACACTGGCGCAGTGGCCAGTGTGGTCAATTCGGTGCGAAATTGGGGAGTGAAAGTTTGAGAGTAGAATTGGCGGATCTCGGAGTGTCGGGTTTGGAAGTTCACGCATAATAATTTGATGAATTCCTATCACCCGTTTGGGATGGCGGTGTGGACAGATGGCCTTAGTCAGGGACGGGCAGAAAAAGTAGAGAGGAACTGAGATAACCACTTTTTTTTTCTCTTGCCGAGCAGCTTTATCTCCGCCGCATTTCTTTGCTTTGAACGGACCTTTTCGGCCTTGAAATTGAGCTTCGAATTTACATCATCATGCCTGACGTCGATATGGGTAACTCTACCCCTGATGTGGCTTCCAACAAGCCTGAGAGACTGTACGTACCTTTCTTTTCTTATTGATATCGACATATCAAGTCGAATATTGGACATGGAAAGCTAACATAGTTTTCCCCCTGAATTAAGCCCCATCACCGTCTCCAAGCCTTCGCCCTACACCTTCGACCTGGGTAACTTGATGGTCAATGACCCGAACCCACTGGACCTGCCTCAAGGCGAGCATATCAACGACTCCCTCAAGGCAATCGCCCGCGACGGCGCCCAAGTCCTGCTAAACCAGCTCCTGACAACATGCAACATCACCTCCTCGGCGCAGAACGGCGTTCTCCTCAACCTCCCGGCCGCGGCCACCGCCTTGCCCCGGCACAAGCCCCTGCCCACCCCCAAGCCCCCGACTAAGTGGGAGCTGTTCGCCCGCAAGAAGGGCATCGGCAAGTTCAGCCAGCGCCCCGGAGTTGCGCTGGCCGACAAGGAGCGCCGCAAGAAGCTAGTCTACGACGAGGCGTCGGGCGAGTGGGTGCCGCGCTGGGGTTACAAGGGCAAGAACAAGCCTGAGGATAACCAGTGGGCTGTCGAGGTTAAGGAGGAGGATTGGAAGAAGGAGGAGGATGCTGCTGCTAAGGGTGGCTCGATTCGTGGAATGAACCGGGCTGATCGTAAGGAGCGCATTAAGAGGAATGAGCGGAAGGAGCGGGCTAATGAGCGGCGGTCGAGGAAGCCTAGTAGCGGTTAGGGAGGGGTTTGGGTTCGATCTTTGCTAGGGCCTGTATAGTTCTAGATTTTCGTTTCTATTCTTCATTCTCGGGCGTTGGGGTTTGGAGTCGGGACTCATCTCTTCCTTTACGATCGTCCATTTTTGCGACCATATCAAAAAAGCATTGTTTATATCGCCACGTCTATATCAACGACCTACCAATAGCCATTGATGGACCAGATTGACGTACTTTTAAGTCTCTAAGTGGTGTAGGGAAATTATGGGAAACCCAAAAAGGTTCTTCATTCAACCGAAAATGCCATCCCACTGCCGCTATTGTACAAGCCTCGAATGAGAACGCCAAACACAGACAATAAGACACAACATAGAAGGGACCATTCAAACGGTGCGAATGAACAAGAAACTCAAGGCACGAATGACAAGATAGTAAGAGCCACAGCGGGGAATCTAGAAGGAGCAGCAGCATGAAAAAGCACAGGGACTCAAAGAGGGGTTGGGGGTGTGGATATTTGAAATGCTGCCAAACGAGGCATATAAGGCAGCGCATGACAGGACAAGATTCAGATAGACAGAGATAAGGCAACTAAATGAGAGCCATATTTCGCCAGGGTCAGACTGTACGGTGCGAAATCAACATGTACAACGAGCAAGAGAAGCGTAAATGGAGGATCAAGAATGAAGATGATGTGGAAAAAATGAAAAAAAAATCAATGCCGGAGACGCCAAAATATGCACTCCGAGGGGATGCTGGTCCGAAGCCGAAGCACGGCTCAGGGGAACCAAGCAGCACCCAGTAGAGGGATGAGTAAAGAGATCGGGTAAAGCAAGATGAAAGGTGATGCGAGATGTCTGTAATTCGTGGTCGCCATTAATCACCGACTGGTGATGCATGGCCCAAAAGGTAGCCAAAGTCTCGTGGACGGATGTATGATCGGTCCAGCCGAAATGGTAAAGGGCCCTAACTGAGACGCCTCAAGGCAAGTCCAGAGAGGGCAACACAAGTGCCGTAAGTTGAATATCATAGAAATCTTTCAAGCAAGCCTGTAGGCAAGTAAGAGAGAGACGCCGGCTCTAAATCTTGATAGGCGACAGAGGCGGGCCAAGCTCTGGAAGCTGGGAGATGCTTCGATTGTGTGTGATTTCAATGTTTTTCGGTTTAGCCTTTCGGCCCCGAGACGCTTCAGGGCGAGGCTTTTCCTCCTCGGACTTGGAGCTAGAGCCGGAGGAGACAGCTCGTTCGTGTTTGGATGACGAATGGGAGGGCTCAGCCTGGACCTTGGCTTCCTTCTGTTCCGAGGCCTGCCTCTCCAATTCGTCCATCTCTTTCTCCTTCTGGATGTACTCCTTCTCGGTCCAGCAGCCCTGCCAGCAATTCTTCCAGTCACAGACCAAAAACTGGAAGCAGAAAGCATCAATTTTCATGCAAGGCTGGAAACAGATGCAGAGGTTCCGGTAATCCATTTTGTTCTGATCGACATAGGAGTGGAGGAGGTTCAGGTGACAAGTGATGGCGAAGAGAAGGTAGTAGTTGTAGGGTGGAAGTTTGGACAGCTCGTCCTTGAGCAGTTGTGGAGCCGTGGTGGCACCCTCACACTTCTCGGCGATCATGTCCTGGGTGGCTTTCGGGAAGAGTTCGTCTGGCAATTCACGAAGCCAGGCCTTGAACAATGATCCAACTGTGTTGATATCGTAAAGATCCGGTACATCGAAGAGGCTGACGTCTAATTGCGAATCGAACCGCCTCTGCCAATGCTTCACCTCGCGGCCACTACCTGGTACTCGATAGAGACCCTCTTCCTCACAGCCCTTGTAGTTGAGATAGTCAATACAGCGGTAGGGGAGCGCGGGCATCCAAAACTCGGTCTTGTCCCGGCAACCATCCAGCGTTTTCGCGATACGGGTCTTCCTCGCCTGCTCGATGAGGGGAAGGTTGATCACCGAGCACACATAGTTATCATCGTTGATCAGCTCCCGCTCATTCGTGCTACCACTCCTAGTGATCTTGCCGAAGAAGCCCTTGCCTGCCTTGCCAATGCGATCCGCGGCCCCGCTTGATGACTGCTTGAGATTGTTGAAGATTGCGGCTGATGCACCAGAGACTTGGCTCAATGATGCAGAATTAACCATGGACCCGCCATGGCTCTTTTCCTTTCTGAGAGGAGCAGAATCCGTGTATCGTGGGGGTGGATGCAATCCTCCTTCAACCTGGCGCTCAGGACGAGCGGTAGCTGAGCGCGGTACGCTGGATACCTCTGTCGATTTGAACTCCTCTAACTTGGCCAGGCCCGTAGACGGTCGTCGACCGGCGGCTCGGTTTCCAGACGATTCATCAACTCGAATAGATCGCGATCTAGTGAGAAGGTTTGCGAATCGGGGCTTGCTCTTTTTCAATGGCGCAGAATCCACCTCGGTATTGGTCTTCTTAGGGCCAATTGGCTGGTCAGCTTTGTCACTAACACCGTTTCCATCTATAGTCATGCATTGTCAGTCTGGGTCCCGCGCCGAGACGAAAGTTATTCAGTAAGGGTGGAAATACTTACTCTTCTCGCTCTCGCCTGCCTTGGCGAGGGCGCCAGGCAAGTCGGGAGTGGACTCGTAGAACTTCGGCGCCGTCTTCCGGTCTCTGGAGCTACCTCGGCTCTTGGGGGGTTCTGTGGAGTTCTCCGAGCTATCTGATCGCTGTGCTCGGTGGGACGGCTTGGGTGCTTTGAGATTGCCGAAAAACGATTTGGAGGCGTCGCGGGCGTGTGATGCCTTGCCGGAGTCTTTAGGAGAGGGGAAATATTGAGGAATGGCAGTAAATCCGGGTGTGGAAGGTTCGGGGCCGGGTTCGGTGGCCGAAAGACCAGGAGACTTGGGTGCAAGGACCGGGCTATTGCCCTTGCTGCTAGAGTCTTGGGTGACGGGACGAATGGTAGCACCCCTGAGGAACATAGAGCTGGAGGGGGATTTTGGCGAGCGCGGCGTCAAGGGGCTGAGCCCATCGGAGCTCTGAGCCCCCGGGGAGAGAGGGGCGGACAATTTGCCGTTGTTCAGGTCGACCTTAAGCGACTTAAGGTCGAGATTGGGCAGGGTAGAATTGCGAGAAGGCATGTTGGGCGGCAATCGAGTAAGCCAGGCCTCCGTCGTGTGCGTGAAAGGCTTGATGAGAGAAAAGGAAATCGCCGGGTCGTTGTGTCGCGTCAATGCGATATGGTCCAACGTTGTTTGATCAGCTGTCGAATATTCAACGTCAGCGTGGGCGTCTAGGCGACCAGGATTGCAGCTGAGGCGTACGTTATGATCCCAGTGTCAGCCACCCGTGCTTGACAAGTTGATTTTCACGTGTCGATGGCTTGTTGGAGCCAGTAATTTGCAAAGGAAAAGGTTATGTTCAAATTCAGGCGGTCGATTCCATCCGATCAAGGAAAGGGTAAAACAAGGCTATCGGTAGAGTGGAATCTAGTAAAACAAAGATATTGCCAGTCAGTCAAGTCGATCGTAGTAAAAAAAAATGGGACCGTCAATAGGGTCTAAAAAAAGAACCAGTAACACCGTATGACACGATGGCTGAATGCAGGGAGACCACAGTGCTCAAAGGAGTGTCACGATGTCTTTGTCGAAGCAAGACCAGGCACTGATCCACCGATACCATAGAAATCGCGACTCGCTCGAAACAAGGTACGACTCACCAGCAAGTCCCTCATGATCCGGTCCCACAAGCTGTCTTTGCGCGAAACCAATCCAGGCGAAGGCTCAGGCGTGAGAAGGAGAAGAAGCAGTTGTAGGAAAGTGTGTGTTGTGGTAGCGTGAGGTTCGGGTTTCCCCCCCCCCTCTTTTTCTGGCGTCTCGAAAATCGGAGGATCGACAGGGCAGAAGGCGACGTTTCAGGCGAGTCGCGGGACACTAAACCCCAAGTAGTCTTGAGTCCAGAGAGAGTGTGAAGGTGAGTGAAATGGCAAACGATCGAAAGTGCCCCAAGAAAAACGGTGTTGATCAAGGGGAAAGGAAGAATGGAGGGACGACCGTACGAAAAGTCCCCTATTGGACTTAGCGCTGGCGCAGCGGCTGCGTTAGCTAGGGAGAGAGCACCGACTATGACCCGTCAGGAAAGTGTCGAGCAGCCCAGTCAGCCACGCTAACCGGTCTGGGAGATCGGTGGTGGGGAAAAAAGGGATGCGAAGAAGAAACAGAAGAGAGACTCGGGAGTCGAGTCGAGAAGAGTCGGAAGCTGCAAGATGCAAAATGCAAGATGCGATGTGGGATGCGGGAATTGTGGAAGAGGCTTAACGGGGTTGACAGACGAGGCGACCACGCATTCCTGATTATGCAAGGCCCCTAGGCCCACTGGTCCTATCAGTTTATCTGGAGTCCTGGAGAAAAAGAGTACTTGGTGCCAAGTACCTTTTGACAGCGTCACAGTCCCAAAGGGGAAAAAGACGGTCGGTGGGGACGTTCAAGTGGGAATCCCACTTTTAGCTCTAATTATCCCGGGCCATCATTCGTGGACTATACGGAATTATGTATACGGAGTGCATATTATGGCGTACAGATAGCTACTGAACCAGTACTTTCGCTATCATGTAACCTGCAGCCTGTATGAAGGACGGCTCATCGATTACCATACAATAGCCTTTTTGAATCTCGTTGCTCGACCAAGTGAGGACGGCAAAACATGCATCCTAGCGAGTCTCTCGCGAGGAGCCATGATCTCATGGGTCAATCATTGGTCATGGGGGCCGTTCCATGGACATCACGGTGGAGTTGTTTGGGGTTGTTCCGTCGCATTCAGGTACAGTCCATGGAGAAGGTTCAGCTATATACTCCATAAACAATCAGACACCTAACCCGACGAGACTAGAGCGCGGTACGAAAAAGGCAATAGAAATGGCCGCTGGCAATGCAGCTACACATCCATATCCTCAGTAGATCGGCATCGTCATCCGTCAAAAAGTTCCACAAGATCCCTCATCACTCTGTACTGAGTACAAAACCAGTGTCGATCGGAGGACAAAGCTATGAGATCAAACAGAGCCACGGGCGGGATGATGTGCGTGCCTTACGTTGCAGTTGGTTTGGCTCGTTGATTGGGTCGATCATCGAGGGTGGAGCACCGTCCTGATCACTGGCTAATCCCACCAGTCCGTGCCTGTCGCCGATTCCACGGTTGCGCTTGTCGCAGATGCTGGAACCGGACAAATTTGAGTCATGGGAGCATCGAGAGTTATCAAACGAGAAATGATGATACTATTCCTAGATGCTCTCTAATTTCTCGAAAATTCCCACGGGCAACCTATGCATTAGACTTTGGTCCATCTGCACAAATGATTTGTATTGTACTTCGGAAGTACGGGAGTACAGTGTACGTACACTTCAGGGGTAAGGAAGATGGAAGAAAAGAATAGGGCGATAACCACGCGACTCCACTGATCCAATTTCTGAGGATATATACTCCATGCTCCGTAGCATGCAAATGATTGGCCGGACAACCTAACCAGACTCTATTGTTAGACCCCAAATACCACGGGCAGTCGTCAGACAAAAACGTGTCCACGGCGCTTGCACTGGGCCCCATCGGCTCCACTTTATGTTTCTTGCTTCATGGGCTGCTGGATTGCCTAGCTTATCCAAGTTTCAGATTTTGTCCACCGACATTGACCATCCCCCTGGAGGAACGCTACCCATGGCCCCTCTTTATCCATGGCTCGGATCCCACGCTAAGCCGGAGTGGGGGTGGACTTTTTTTTCAGATTTTGGAATCAAAGAGAAACATTCATGTTGCTTGTCTGATCCCGTGTCACGGTGTACCGGAGGATCTGAGAGAAACTCCGGCTTGTCCGGTGAGTTTCTCGATGTAGACAGAGTACGGTGTAGCATAGTCTTATATATAGCGTGTAGGACTAGGTAGTCGCTCAAAGAGAAGGTCAGGTACCTTGAAAGATGCGGTGTACGAATCTCCGCTCATTCGTCGATTGTTATATTTGATTGATTATAATCTATGGCTAAAGATCCACAGCAATGGAATTTCAATCATGGGGCAGTCGGATATTGTCAATCCTTTGTCAGGTACCAGCAGGGCCCCCAGTTGGTGTTCTTTCCATAAGCTCAACCGAAATAAGCCAGTTGCAGCAGGATGGCAACGCAAAGACCCTTGTGGTGGCAAATCAACTGGAGTACGGTGTGCACTGTCAGGAGCCTTGTTCTTTGGTTCGGCCGGGGACCCATCCACGAGTTTCTATTTCTATTTATTGTGTGGTTTCTTTCTCTCGGCTCATCTTCATTGCTGCCTTTTGCGACCGGCACATTCGATTTGTTTCTATTTAATCCCTCGGCCTTGGGGGTGGTTCTCTAATCCACTCGGTCTGGCACCCGCACGTTCTGGAATCTCCCTCCGTCTGAAACATGGCAGTAATTCTAAGACTAGCGCCGGAGGCACACACGCCTCGGTGCACGGAGCAATCTGCAGCGCGACTTCAGGGGAGATAATCCACTTGTACAGTCATTAGTGGGACAGCTTGGAAGCTAGGCTAATTCTGGGTAGAGATGGAGATCAACCGTCGTGCGCCTTGGAGCTTTTCAACTATGAGATAGATGTATGGGCAAATCAGGTAGGAGTATAGACCTTGCCACTTGGTTTCATCTGATTTTCTTGTTCATACTGACGACTCACGTCGACTTGAAACGCAACTATGTTCTACTTACTTAAGGTAACACCCGACAATATCCTGACTCAAAAGGACTACATAGTTGCACAACTAAAGGGCGTGCATCTCAAGACGGAATATATCTCCGATGCCACGCGCATATCGTAAAAGCTCAACATTTTCAATTGAATCCTTCAAAGCGTCATGAGAGATCTCAATCTTATTGCAGAGTCCCAAATGTCCCAACTATCTTTGCTTAGACTTTAAATCAACTCATGCAATATCTAGTCCTACTACAACAATTGCTGAATCGTTCTGCATAGATTATCACGTACGATGGACTCGAATAGGGTCACGTGAGTTACATGACACACCGCCTTAGTATAAACGGCCCTCGCATACCCCGCCAGCTCAATCCATACACCGCCCTCGGATCAGATCAGATCACGTGCACACAAATTCTTAAACACGCGATTCCAGATTGGTTTCTCAGCCACAACTCGCTTCACGGGACCCCGTAATCCCGTTCTAGTCCCGCGGCTCTTCGACACAGCCCTTCGTGGCGCTTACCAATGCGTATTAGCCTGGTGACAGCTATGCTCAACATCCTCTCATTGATGAATTAGCCTCGAAGCACGAGGGCATCCACTGATCAAGCTTTTCTCATTGACTAACCAGTCCTGTCACCCCGTCTTGTTTTGCAAAAAAAAGCCACCTCGTCAGACGGTGGACGCCCCAGAACGCATCTCTCACACTTACAATGGCTCTTGTCTCAGGCCCAGGTAGAGCTGGCGGCATCTCAAACCAGGAGCTACACACCTCGAAGCACGTGGCTTACATCAAAAACCTGGACACTGTGCGTGCTTTTCTTCTTATACCGGTGCTGTGCCAGGTCATACGGTAGGGGCAATGATTAACCAAGTGACTATAGCGGAAAGATGAACTGGAATACTGGCTGACAGAGCACTTACGCCTCAATGGTGTCTACTGGGGACTGACTGCTCTCCATCTGCTGGGCCATCCTGATGCCTTACCCCGCCATGAAACCATTGACTTTGTGCTATCCTGCCAGAAAGATAATGGAGGATTTGGTGCTGCCCCTGGCCACGATGCTCACATGCTATACACTGTCTCCGCGGTCCAAATCTTGGTCACCGTTGATGCAGTGGATGAGCTAGAGAAGCGTGGTCTTGGGGGCAAGCAGAAAGTTGGTGCCTGTATGTTACTCCCCACCAGTCTGATATTGATGCATCGTCTTTTTGAAGCTGACCAAGTGGATATAGTCATTGCCAGTCTGCAGAACAAAGAAGACGGCTCATTCATGGGAGACCAGTGGGGCGAGACCGATACCCGTTTCCTCTACGGAGCACTCAATGCCTTGTCGCTCTTAGGTCTGCTGGATCTGGTCGATATTCCCAAGGCGGTTTCTTATGTAAAAAGTTGTGAAAACTTTGATGGAGCCTACGGTGTTACCCCTGGTGCAGAATCTCATTCAGGGCAAGTCTTCACGTGTGTTGGGGCTTTGACCATTGCCGGCCGCTTAGATCTGGTGAACAAGGATCGCTTGGGGGCATGGCTGAGTGAACGGCAGATTGATAAGGGTGGCTTTAATGGGCGTCCTGAGAAACTGCCAGACGCCTGTTATGCCTGGTGGGTGGGGTCTAGCCTGGCCATGATTGACCGCCTCCACTGGATTGATGGCAAGAAGCTTGCGTCTTTCGTGTTGCAATGCCAGGTTCGTCATGCTTCTCCCAGATTTATTTGAATTGAGAATCTAACGTGATGCAGGACCCGGAAGCTGGTGGCTTTGCTGATCGCCCTGGGAATATGGTTGATGTTTACCATACTCACTTTGGCGTCGCTGGCCTGAGCCTTTTGGGACTGGAGGGACTACAAGAAGTAGACCCTGTCTAGTATGTGATAGTTCATCTCCTTGGTTCTGGGATCAATCTACTGACTGGCATCTCAGCTGCATGCCCAAATCTGTCATTGCACGATGCTTTGCCAAGTGAAGGGAGGTGTCTATCAAATGTGCACTTTTTCTCCCTCTTTTTCGCCTCATCCCTCCTGCCATCTAATAACCCATTGATCTTTTTTTCCATGAACTATGGGATACAAGGCAGGAGGAGAGCAATGTCCACTTTGACTTATTCCGCTTCATACCATCCCACAATGGCCTCAAAGGCTGTTAAGACATCGTGGCACATATCATACTTTTATACCTCCTTTCTTGTCTACATAAAGAAACAACCGAGATATCAAATATCACTCTGATTCAATTGAGAATGACCATTCTGGAGAATCGGTTCAAAGGCTGCAGCTTCTTTGCCGTGCCGAACTTGAGCTTTCCCCTCTGGGCATGGTGTACACGCGTGAATGCCTCGATGCCTCGACTCGACGGCCTGGACCCGTTGGGACCCCCCCGTTCGTGGCTACCTCACCAGCTATGATTTTGTTTACCCCGTTGCTGGCGTGACCATCTAATTCTCAACCACCTTCTTAGTTTCGCCTTCTCCCTCGCTCCTTCACCCTTGTGCTTGGTTTCTCGAAGCGTTGCAACAAGACTCTTCTCCATACCGTTGCTACAAGCTGCCTTCTCCATAGCTCTTGCAACGAATTCGCAACGATGGACGAGTCAATCCTTCGATGCGTAATTTGCCCCGGGCAGCCAATCTTCAGCGACATGTCTCATCTCCTGACACACGTCTCATCCAAGGCTCATTTGGCTCATCAATTCAAGCTAGGCGTTCGCGGCCACCAGGAACCAACTGCCGCTTCACTGCTCGCGGAATACCTCCATTGGTTCGAAACCAACAACATTCACAAGTTGCTTGCTGACCGAATCTCGTCCAAGAACGACCGCAAGAACAAGAGAAATCCGCTGAAACACGGACACAAGGGATTGTCAACCCAGATCACCTCGACAAACCCTCTTTCAGCCGAGGCTGATGATGCAGATGCGATCCAAGGCACCTTGACAACCTTCCTTCCACCTGATGCTGTGGACACGGATGCCGATTCGAAAGAAACAAGTTCTTTCCCAGAATACATTGACCCTCGCCTGCGCGAATCCTACAATGCTGTCCACCAGCATGCATTGACCCCCGAGGAGGGGTTGGATATGACAGTTTGCTCAGTTACCAAATCTTCGTCTCGTCCCATTAGAGATATTCAACGGAACCATTTCGTACCTTCTCCAGCTGACACTGTCGTCCGTCGTACGGGAAGATCTGGCAACGATCCACCGGCTGGCGAGGTCGACCGTTTTGGTACTACCTCGACCAACAACTTTGAACCGACTAGCTGGGATGGCCAGGGCGCCATCACTGATGGTTTCGCAAGTCAGCATGCCTCCCTATCCATGACCCCGAACGCGCCTGGAACTGAAGGCCCGGTCGAAGGGGAAACCGGAAACGATGACAGGGCTCGTGAGTTGGCTAGACTAAAGGGTTTTGTGTTGCCCGGAATGGACGTCTTCGATTCGGCCCCGGAGCAAATGCGACGAATGCGCAATCAAAAGAAAGACGGCGCCATTATGAGAAAGTTGGAAAAAACTTCTCAGCTCGTCGAACCCACCGAACAGATCTTCACTCCCACTGGAGACTTACTGAAGTGCCGTGTCATTTCCGGCAACGCCGATGATGAAAGCCCTGTGGAGGGCGAGTCCCCAATCCCGAAGAAGAGTATGCTCCGCGGCAAACGAGGCGTACTGCGGGACCGCGACCCCAACATTCTACTCGGCAAGGACAGAAAGCGTGTCAAAAGAGACCTGATCCAAGCGGAAGACACTGTTGAACCTGACACTTTCATCTATCACAATGGTCATTTCGGAGCGGCCCATGAACCCAAGGACGAAGAAATGGAACTGACTGCGCAAGCATTCGGAAAACCACGCCGGGCTGGGTTCACTGTCTTCAACGACACGGACGAGCACGACAACCGGGCACCTCGGACCATTGGTCATGACAACCAGAATCTTCAAGCCTCTCATAAAACTTTGACATTAAGCCAACTTGACCTCGATATCAATTCGAACATTTCATACAATCATGGACATACGACCCTGGCGGAACAAAACATTGAGCCCAACTTGGACACTCCTCTCGGCCCCGCAGCACCCAAGTGGAATTCGATGATGCCATTTTTGAATAGAAGTGACCCTCACATAAACGGCTATGCGACTTCTCACTTCTCTGATGAGACATGGCCCAACAGTTTCCTTCTCGACGATCAGGCACATTATGGATTCCACGTCAATCCGCTGCGTGGTCCTCTTCCTGCGGAGACAGTCACGTTTACACAGCCCTCGGACGATGAAGATATAGGCTGGCCTATGTCCTCTGACGCCACTTTCTCAGATGAGCCTTACCATGAATACAGCCAGGTGTAATTGCAACCTCAAAGAGAGGGAAGTGGTCGGCATACTTGCTGCGTTTCACATTCTTTCCTGGCATCCATACATATTGGGGGTGGAATATCATGCATCATGACAAGAGCGGCGTTCTCATGAGCTTTACACTCGATGCGACCTTCATCATCTTCTCTTACATCATTCTCTTTGTGACCCTTCGAGCAAGTGTTATCCTTCATCTGGATCGTTATGGCATTGAAGGATGGTTCCCTGACATTGACAGTGGCATGGATATGATTTTTCTTCACGGACAGTCAACCGTGATGTATGTAGCACAACTAGTCTTTCAATGGACAATACCTTAAGAGAAAATCCTTTGAAAAACAGTAGAAATCAAGCTAGAACACAGAAGTTGTAGAAGCCTTCCAAAGCCGAGATCATACGGAAGTGGGAGGCGTGGTTTCCTCTCGTTATGTATGTAGTTGCCAATGGCGGATAAGATGCTGACTCAGCAATTAATTAATGCCCATCGCGTCTCCAACGCGTCAAGCTTGGCGAATGCGGAGTTTAGTGCCAGCTGACAAGGCACAATCAACGCATCACATCACAATTGTCATACAATCTTCGATGCCCTTAACTCGATCATCAACATTTCTATAAGTTTTGATCGACTCCCAGACCGGGACCGCGGGGCATGATGGCACCCCATTCCTCCCAATCCTCCGCACCTTCTCCGTCCTTGAAACGAAAGCAGGCGACCATCTCGAGCTTTTTCACACAAAGGCCGTCCCCGACTCCGAAGCCCGCAACTACTAGCACCGATTCTGTCACAGAAAATACATCAAAGCAGAGAGGCACCTCGCCTACAGGACCAAGCCCCGAGCGGAAACGAGCAGTCTCCATCCAAGAACATGACGAAGATGAGGACGACATCGTGGCTCCGCCTTCAAAACGAGCTAGAACCAATGCATCTATCCTAGGAGAGGCCAAAACAGCTCCGGCAGAAGTCCTCGTCAACGCGGCCTCTCAGCTGAGCAGCAGCCAGCGCACCGACGTCTTCAAGTTCCAGAGCTCTCCCGCGGCTCCGCCACCGAGCAAAGAAACTAAGGACCCAGAGGAGGTAGCACGAAGGAAAGAAAAAGACAAGCTACATCAGAAGTTTGTACGGAAGCTCGGTGGACCTGATTGTCTGATTGGAATTGGAAGGGCTGCGACCAGCGATCTGGGTGGTGCTGCGGGCGAGGCCGAAGAAGAGGAGGAAGAAGATGAACCCGCACCGCCGCCGCCTACCACGGGCAAAGGCGCTGCAAAGAAGGGTGGTGGCAAACTTACGCCTATGGAGAAGCAGGTCATTGAGATCAAACGCAAGCATATGGATACTGTGCTGGTGATTGAAGTTGGGTATAAGTTTCGGTTCTTTGGCGAGGATGCTCGCATTGCAGCCAAGGAGCTTGGTATCGTGTGTATCCCGGGGAAATTCCGATTTGATGAGCGTATGTTTTTCTTCTCCTGTGAGACATTATAAGGGGTCTAATCGAATCATTTACAGATCCATCCGAGGCACACCTCGACCGCTTTGCATCTGCCAGTATCCCCGTACATCGGCTCCATGTACATGTGAAACGCCTGATTACGGCGGGCCACAAAGTTGGAGTTGTGCGGCAGATTGAAACGGCAGCACTCAAGGCTGCGGGCGATAATCGCAATGCTCCTTTCGTCCGCAAGTTGACCAACTTGTACACCAAAGGAACCTACATTGACGACGTCGAGGGCCTTGAAGGTCCGGCTGCCGCGGCTGGTGGTGCGTCACCAGCGACTGGATACATGCTTTGCATCACCGAGACGAATGCCAAGGGCTGGGGTAATGATGAGCGGGTGCATGTTGGTGTCGTTGCCGTTCAACCTGCCACGGGTGACGTGATCTACGATGACTTTGAAGATGGATTCATGCGCAGCGAGATCGAAACTCGACTGTTACATATTGCGCCTTGTGAGATCTTAATTGTCGGAGAGATGTCGAAAGCGAGCGAGAAGCTCGTACGGCACTTGTCCGGGAGCAAAATGAATGTCTTTGGAGATGCGGTGCGCCTTGAACGGGCTTCGAAGAAGAAGACTGCAGCTGCCGAGGCGTACAGTCATGTTTCTGGCTTTTATGCTGGTAAGATGAAAGCTACTGGAACAAAGGAGGATGTCCAGGCAGTCAGACTGCTGCAGAATGTGCTTGAATTGCCGGAACAGGTCACCGTTTGTCTTTCTGCTATGATCGAACATATGACCGAGTACGGACTGGAACATGTCTTTGATCTGACAAAATACTTCCAGCCGTTCTCGGCTCGGTCACATATGCTCTTGAATGGAAATACCCTTGTCAGCCTGGAGATCTATCAGAACCAGACTGATCACTCAGCCAAAGGCAGTCTATTTTGGACGTTGGATAGGACACAGACGCGCTTTGGACAGCGGTTGCTCCGGCGCTGGGTTGGAAGACCCTTGCTTGATAAAGTACGACTTGAAGAGCGTACTGACGCGATCGAGGAGCTCACAAATCCGGTTCGCACGGTGACTGTGGAGCGAGTGAGAAGACTACTGGGTAGAATCAAAAGTGATTTGGAAAAGAGCTTGATTCGTATTTACTACGGCAAGGTGTGTGTCGTCTGCATGCTGGATGTCTTCAACCGCTAACAAATTTCAAGTGTACACGTCCAGAGCTTCTCACCGTCCTGCAAACCATGCAGGCAATTGCAATGGAATTCGTCGATGTCAAGTCCCCGGCTGACACAGGATTTGAATCTTCGTTGATCAGCGAAGCGATTGCCTCTCTTCCTGTAATTTTGAAAGATATCACCCAGTTCTTGGACAAGATTAACCTTCACGCCGCCCGGAATGATGACAAGTACTCATTCTTCCGCGAAGAGGAGGAGACGGAGGAAATTGGCGAAGAAAAGCTCGGAATCGCTAGTATCGAACACGAGCTGCAAGAGCATCTCTCCGTGGCCAGTGAGCGTTTGCAAAGGAAAGGAGTCAAGTATGCAACAGTGTCCGGTATCGAATACCTCATTGAGATTGAGAACAACTCTTTGGCCATCAACAAGGTTCCAGCATCGTGGATAAAAATCAGCGGAACGAAGAAGGTTTCACGGTTCCATACACCAGAAGTGATCCAGCTCATCCGCCAACGTGATCAACACAAGGAAGCTCTGGCTGCTGCGTGTGACAAGGCCTTTGCGGCTCTCCTCGGCGATATTGCGACACAGTACCAATCATTCCGCGACTGTGTCCAGTCCCTCGCAACGCTGGACTGTCTCCTCTCCCTTGCAATTATTGCCCAACAGCCCGGCTATGTCAAGCCAGAATTCACCGAACGAGCGTGCCTCCACGTTGAACAGGGCCGGCACCCGATGGTGGAGCGCATCTTAACAGACACTTACGTCCCGAATGACACTAGCCTCGACCCGGACGGCACACGAGCACTCCTGGTCACCGGTCCCAACATGGGTGGAAAATCCAGTTACGTGCGCCAGGTGGCTCTCATCGCAATCATGGGCCAAATCGGCTCCTACGTGCCTGCAGCCTCGGCGAAACTAGGCCTCCTTGACGCCGTCTTCACCCGGATGGGCGCATTTGACAATATGCTCGCCGGCGAGTCCACCTTCATGGTCGAGCTCTCTGAAACAGCCGACATCCTCAAGCAAGCTACCCCACGCTCCTTGGTCATTCTTGACGAGCTAGGCCGTGGTACTTCAACACACGATGGCGTCGCCATTGCCCAGGCCGTGCTGGACTATATGGTTCGAAACATCCGCTCACTGACGCTCTTCATCACGCATTACCAACACCTCTCGCGCATGGTGCGCTCCTTCCCAAATAAAGAGCTGCGCAACGTGCACATGCGGTTTACAGAATCTGGCGGCAGCAATGGAGACGAAGAAATCACGTTCCTATATGAAGTTGCCGAAGGTGTGGCGCATCGGAGTTACGGATTGAACGTGGCACGGTTGGCGAATTTGCCGACGTCCGTGTTGGAGGTGGCCAAGACCAAGAGCGCGGAATTGGAGGAGTCGATTAAGAGGAAGAGGTTGGCTGCACTTGTTGGAGCTGTTGGTCGGATTGTGGAGGCGAAGGACGGTGGTGATGTTCCCTCTGCTGAGGACGCGCTGGTTGAGCGGTTGCTGGCTAGTGCGGATCAGTTGTAGACTTACAGAGTTGGAGTGAAGTGGATGTTGGGGATTGTACATTTATTTCGGTATTGATATGGGGGTCCGGTGTTCATATTCCCCATGTGTTTGTTGTCTTATCATGGCGACTACTAGGGCCATAAATTCCATGTTGCTGTTGAGTGTGATGGCAACTTGATAATCGGGACGTCCTATGCATTAATGTACAATATAGAACTAGACTATGATCTTTGAACCTGTGGATCATAAGGATATCACTATCATGCCTGCTGAGAACAGGGGAATCGGGCTTCCACCTGTTGGTGTTGGTGTAGTGGGTGATTTTTTCATATAGTCAATACTGTAGTCGTTTTTATACCAAGAAATGATAAGAGTACGCCTGGTAGCCTCTCCATTCTCTGCTTCTATTGATATTTATTCCTCCATAGTAGACCATTATTTTCTCAACATGTGCACGTTTCGACTGACGCAGAAACCCTGATAAACGTAGTGATTGTGACAATTATCAAGGATTCTGGCGTTTTTGCAAGGGCTGGTAGTTTGGCTAAATGTGAAGGTTATGTCCCAATAAGCTTCCGGAAAGACTGAGCCCGGACTCGTAAGTAGGTAAATTCAAGAACTACACAAGCATAGTATTTGGAGGGTTTCCAGTACTTCTTAATAATAACATGTTCAGTTACTATCCCAAAAGAGAACGTCTAGCTACTTCTCGAATGCCATGAATGCTAACCTCGCAGTCTACGATAAGGTCGATGCCACTACGAGTCCACCTGCAGTCGCTCTCGACACGATAGAACCGGAAGTTTCAATCTTTTTTTTTTGATTCCCTTTGTTCTTCTTGTCGGTCAGATTTGGAGATCTTCTGGCGTCCTTTCTTGTCTAATACTGCTCTGCAATTGACCAAAGCAGATTTTCAGGAGAAAGATGGAAAAGAAAGGAGATGCACATCACAACCTCGTTTGTCGCATTGAGCCCATGCAAGCACGCCAATAGGACGTGTGAATGTAGTAAAACACCATACCAAACCAGACCAGACCTTCCCACAAAATCCACCAGCCATTCGCGCAACCTCATTTCATTTCTCATATAAACAGGGGTTTTTTTGAATTTTATCTGCTCATTTCTCTCCATCTCTCTCTCCCGTTCGTAGACCATGATCGACTTCCAGGGACTTGTATTTTTTTTCGAGGGGAAAATCTGATCGGTAAATTCAATTATTCAAACAGAAAGTAGAATAATACAACCACCAGTCACCCAAGAAAAAAAAAAAAAAGCTCCATTCCACCCAGAGTTTCTCCACCTTCACATTCGATCATGAAAAACGCGTACGGAACACGGCATCCAGAGGTCGAGAAGGGGGTGAATGAAATCGGGGGGGCGCGGCGGGTTGAGGTTGAAGGAGTCGGGGGGAGTTCAGAGGTACGTCAAGAAAGAAAAGTGGGGACACAGTTTTGGCCGAAGAGCGATCATAGAAAACCGGACGAGAGGGATGTGCGAGAGACGAAGAGAGATGAAAGACATGGCGCGAGTGAGTTGTCGTTTTTGGGGATTTTAACGGAGACGGCGGGCCTCGCGCTCGGACTCGAGCAGGCAGAGGATGTCGTCAACACGGACTATTGGTGCGAAAAAAACACAAGTTAGCGATTGGTTATTGACGGTTCGTGCGATTCGTGCATGGAGGGTTGCCCAAGAAGAAAAAAGGTTCCCCCATATGGTTTGCGTTGGGATCTTCGACAGTTCAACCAGATTGCCCTCCTCTTATATGATCCTCCCATAGGTGGTTCTTCTTCTTCTTCGGCATTCGGAAACGTAAAATGAATTCGGAATCGCATACCTGGGCCCTTAACGTTACGGATGATGGAACGGGAAGTGTCGTCCATGAACTCGACGCGGACCTGGGTGACACCACCACGGGAGCCTGAATATCAAGAAAAACCATCGATTAGTACTCGTTTGACTTTCAGAAATTGCGCAAGTTTCGATTGTATCTCGTATTTCCGGGCGATCGGGGGCGCAATGAATGAACCCCCGCGGATCTCGAATTTGTGCGGAGCGGAGCGGAAATTGAACATCTTTTCTTGTTCTTAGGGTAGGCACGTACCGGTGCGGCCGAGGACACGGGTCACCTTGACGAGCTTGACGGGCTGCTTGCTGGAATCCATCTTGAAGGTGGGTGGAGGGCGTTGAGCTCGGACGACGAGGTTGGAGGGAGATTTGGGTGGACTTGGAGGAAGAGGCGGATGTGAAGATGATTTTGCCTTGTGTGGGTTCCAAATTACGCGAGGGCTCAGGGCTGCTGACACCTGAGCCGTCAGGCAGAAAAATGCATCGATGAGTCAGCGAGATCTACCGTGACACCTGAGTATTCAGGCATGATTTCGGCCCTATATTCTGCGAAATAATATCTGTGATCTCTGAAGCTTGCATGTTGAATAATACAATGAGTCATATTGAATGATCAGGTCCCTAGAAATCATCAATTGATCGTACATTCATTGACCATCTTCATCTTCTCCACGTGCGCAAGCGTACCGTCCTGCGTTGCGCTACTCTACTCTGCCAGTTCCCTGGTCCGCCGCCCAGTCCCCGCCCAGCGTCAGTAGTCTTAGTCCCAGTCCATCCACCGGAGCACTGCCGGAGTTGCCCCTCCAATTTCTGCCGCAAAGAGCTCCGGTCTGCGCTCTTCAACTTCCACTTCCACTTCCACTTCCAATCTCCATTGCATTCTGAGCTTCAATTGCCTCGAGTCATATCACCGGATTCTGGCAACTGAATTCTTTTTCACCTCCAACTCGTCCTCGTTGGCCTTCGCTCTTCTTAGCCTCTGTCCGATTCCGGAGCCCCGCGCCGCAACACTCTTATCACAATGGATCTCGTCAACCAGTGAGTCACATAACAAGCAAGACCCTTGAAAACAATCGACTAACATCCAATTCCACGATAGCTTGGAAGGAAGACTTCTCTTCGCCGTCCCCAAGAGCAAGTGTCCCCCTCATCTATGTTCAGCTCGGCATGACTCATTAGCCATGCGCGAAAGCCTGATCGCTACATGCCAGGCATAAAGTCAATTACTATAATCGAATTGCAATTCTAAAGAAACGAAACGATCAACAACTAACACCGCATTCTCTACACAGAGGGCCGCCTGCAACAAGCCACCCTTGATCTCCTCGCCGGCTGCGACATCCAATTCCGCCGCGAGACCCGTCTCGACATCGCGCTGGTCAAGAACCTGCCCATCGCACTCATCTTCCTGCCCGCCGCCGATATCCCCACCTTTGTGGGTGAGGGCCGTGTCGACCTTGGTATCACCGGCCGCGACCAGGTTGCCGAGCACGACTCTACTCTCCCCGCCGGCGAGACCTCCGGCGTCGAGGAGATCCTCGACCTCGGCTTCGGTGGCTGCAAGCTGCAGGTGCAGGTTCCCCAAAAGGGCGACATCACCGAGGCCAAGCAGTTGATCGGCCGTAATGTCGTGACTAGCTTCACCGCGCTGTCCGAGGCCTTCTTCACTAAGCTCGAGGGCGCCGAGCCTGGCTCCAAGCTCCAGACCAAGATTAAGTATGTTGGCGGCAGTGTCGAGGCTGCTTGCGCTCTGGGTGTCGCGGACGGTATTGTCGATCTTGTTGGTACGTATATAGCGCGAACCGCTACCCTCCCTTGCTACCCTTCCACATTGCTAACATCTTTGTCTCATAGAATCCGGCGAGACCATGAAGGCCGCCGGCCTCAAGGCCATCGACACCGTGGTCGAAAGTACCGCCGTGCTCGTCAAGTCCCGCGACTCCAACAACGATCTCCTCAACCTCATCACCTCCCGCATTCGCGGTGTCATTACCGCCCAAAAGTTCGTGCTCTGCCAGTACAACATCCCTCGGTCCGAGCTCGCCGTGGCCTCCAAGATTACCCCCGGCAAGCGTGCGCCTACCATCACTGCTCTTGAGGAGGAGGGCTGGGTGGCTGTTAGCTCGATGGTGGAGAAGAAGCGCGTGGCGACTGTCATGGATGAGCTGATCAAGGTCGGCGCGACAGATATCTTGGTTCTGAACATTGCCAACTCGCGTACGGATTAAGCGATGAATCGTCGATAATTGTCTTTGTTTTTGGTTGACTGGTTTTTGCTCTGTATGGGAACTAGCCGGATTTGTTTCTTTTTTTTTCATGACTGGTTGCGGATTTCCCGTATTCTGAGATGCTCGCCTGATGATTCTATACACTTTTGTTTTCGTTCCATTTATTTTTACCTTTTCTTGGTTCTTCTTTCTTCGGGCTCCTGATCGGTCAAAAAACTTTCTTCACAGATTACGTATATAGAGCATTGGGTTATAAAGCGAGTTTGAAGGGAGAAAAAGGACGTGAACGTCTTGTGTTTATTAGTCTCTATACATGATAGTTCATAACCAGTTTCACTCTTTGCACATGTAGGTTCCTATAGGCCGGCTCAAACCCCCCAATGCTAGCTCGGCTCACACATCCTTTCTCCGAGGGCCATATAGAATCAGTGCATTTCCTGTAGTGGCTAGTTACTTGGTTGATGGAGGGTACATTTGCTGGCTGCGTAGTTTGGATGCGTGAGTCCTTCTCACTGCGGTCAAGGAGCATAATTGGGACAATAGCACGGCAGTCTTCTGCAGCAAACAGACCCTCCTAGCGAGACGAGGAACATGAATCCATATTCTGCGGCGCTTCTTCGAGAGAGTCCAAGAAACCAACAATGCCCTTTACTAGGCTATTTGAAGCACTTTTGCTCTCACGATGGCTACCGTTGATATACGCCACGTGAACTTCGGGCTTCCATCCGATTTTCGTCCCGGTAAGCAGGGCACAGCTTCCCGAATAAACAAAGTCGTAGTTTATAGACCTTGTAGATACTTGGGCGTATCTTTTAATTAATGAAAATACTCTCAATAGGACTAAGCTCAGGGTGGACCATTGTGGTTTAGAATAGGGTTCAAGACAGAGCACTGTATGTGATTTAAGTAATTTCAATCCATCCAGTTTCTCGTTCTTCTCTATATATGCCTCAAAGAAAGTAACAAAAATGAGTATGGTACAGTAAAACCAAAACAGAATCTCTTTAAATATACAAACTACCACCCAACTTTGTATATAAATCATAGCGCATGAGCGGTGGTATCATCCGAAACAATAGAAATCAAACAAAAAAGGCCATGAACACAAGAAGGCCTTCGCTGCAAAATGCCAAACCCAAAACAAGAAACAAGTCAAGTCAAGTCAAATATATCTCGCATCACTCGCAGAGACATCTTATTTCTGCAAACTTCCCAGCCCGACACCCTCCTTCCTCCCCCTAATAATAGCCCTTAAACACTGCCCAACGCCCTCCAGATCCCCCAACAACCCAACGTGCCCCCGGTCACTCTTCACAAGCCCATTCTTGATAAGCCGATAACCCGGCGGCAACATTGCAGCCGTAGCAAGACAAACACCATCACCCGCCGCAAACGCAAGATCGTCATACGCATCCTGATACTTGATTGTCTCGCGAGACGAGACGCGCGCACCGTACAGCGTCGGCACGCTTTTCCCGTAAAGCACTGCGGCCGGTGGGTAGCGGTTCTCGGCTTGGTGGGCTGGTTCGAAAGAAAGCTCTGATTTGAAGAGTTTAATTTCGGCAAGGGTGCGCTGGAGATAGGACATTGCGGCGGCGCGGGGAATTGTGCAGGGATTCGCGGCTTGGTTTGTGGCAACGCTGCTGCTGCTGCTGCGTGGCGCTGCGCCGGGGCCGACGAGACTGTCGACGCCGCCTGGGACGAGGGCGTCGTTTACTTTGTCTTTGGCCGTGGCGGCGACTTGGGTTGGGCTGGGCATGGAATTGGCGTGGACGGGGACGGCGCGACGAGTGTTGCGGGTGGTTTGGTGGTCATCATCAGTGGTGGTTGGGGAGTTGGAATCGGCAGAGTCAAGGGGATCATTGGCGGTGAAATCGAGGGCGTCGTCTCGTGGGCCCATGGAGAATCGCTTGCTAATCAGTGCAAAGTCCTTGAAGCGTGTGTTTGCTGGCGCGACTGGTAGAGCAGGGTTGATGCATGGGGAGAGATGGTACTCGTCCCAGTTGTCAGCGTTGAAGAAGTCGACGCGATATTCCTCTTTGGTCTGCTTGTCGATGAAGCAATGGCCATTCTCGGGGAGCAGTGCAAAGCTGGTGCGGAAAGTGAAGTTGACCTGCGCGGTCAATACGCGGGAACTGAGCAGCACGTCGTCGCCGTTGCGAAGGGGACCGAGAATGTTGACGCAGTGCTGCGGCACGCCTGCATATACGACACCAGCGAAGAGATCGGGCCGTTTGTTCACGGCATGCCGAGTGATCAGACCGCCGAGACTGTGGGCAATGACTGTCGCACCTCGACGGGGATTTGGGGGTTGACCGTCCGGAGCTGGCCGGTTGCATGGCAACCCTTCGAGGAAAGTGATGAGTCGCTGCGAGAGCAGATCGGGACTCAATCGCCAGTCATAGCCGTAATCCCAGACGCGAAGGTCACCACGCACGGCGTTGTCACATTTGCGCAGGCGTTTCATTAGTCGTCGACAGACATCGACGGGCCCAACGTGAGACAGCACACCAGAGGGTATAATGGTCTCCTCCATGCGCTCCTCGTCCTCCCGGGTAAGACCAACCTCCAGATCGACCTTTCGCAGATTCAATCCCACCTTCATCGGCACCCAGAGTTGACGATGAGGAGGCTTCGCAGAACGCAGGATTGAGCCACGGTATCCACCAAGAATCACGACATCCCCAGTCAATTCAGACATGGCTTCCTCCAGGATAGGATGAGTGGACTGCGTATTATATCGTGGAGGTGGCGGGGGCGTCGCCGAGCGATGCGTAGATCCATTCGTCCCTCGCTCGGCCGTTATATTCGTCACGGAAGGGAATGGGCGAGAAACCCAATCCGTACGAATGTCCTGTAAATGGAGAGAAGGCATACTGAGAAGACGACTGCTCGAATCTTGCAAGCTATCCTTGATAGCCTTGAACCGGCTATTAACCTGTGAATGAACATTCTCATACCGGGGCCGCTGTTCCAACGAGGATGCCGTTGAGGAGGCTCGCAAGTAAAGCGACTGATCGGACGATGATCTACGCAAACTCGGCGGGCGTCCAGAGATTGCGGCACTCGGCCGTCTTGAGAATGAATGCTTCACAGCAGAGCTCCCATCTAGCGCCCGCAGCTCTGAAATCGGCTGCGCATCGTCTCCCAATTCTTCATCGTTGGAGATGGGGTTGGCGGCTGGGGGTTCCGCTCGTTGCTGTCGACCCAGTGACGATGCTCTGGCCTTCTGTTGGCTCTGTTTAAACGAGGTTGCTACCGTCTGGCTGCGGGCGCGGTTATGCGCATTTGCAGAGCGAAAGGGCAGCGAGGGTCGCTTGGTCAATGAGGTCAAATCGGGCAGGAATTTCTTCAGTTCACCGGACCAGGCACGCGGGCGACGAGGGAGTGAAGTTTTCAGCAACGATCGGGTAAAACTGCTTCGAGAACCCGACGCACTGGAATCCTTGGAGTCACGCACGATCGCTGGCAACGGCGCGGAATGATCTCTGTGGGGACCTCGCGGCGCGTGGCGTTCGACCAACGGGAGCCTGTTGCTGCGCGTCGCCTCCGATGCCCGTTCAGCGCCCGTTGCCTCGGGCTCTACCGATTCAGGTTCAGCCGTCAGCTCCGAGACGAACAAGCCATCCTCATTGAGCCCGTCGGGGACGTCGGTGAAATATCCGCCCTGTTGTTCCAGAACTCTATTTTTCTCTTCGGCGGGTGTGGCGCGGGCTTTCATCCGACTTTGCTCGCGGCCAATACTCACCCCGACCACGTCGGCGGCATGGTCTTCGTCGACCTCATTGGCAGCGCCGGGAGGAGGCTCGTCGCTATCGGAGCTCGAAAAGGAAGAGTAATTGGAGGGCGAATCGGAGGCAATCGCATTGGTGGATGATTCGGACGACCATGATTCTTGCGGTTTTTGCTGCGACGGTTGAACGGGACGCTGGGTGACAGTACTTGCACTCGTACTCGTCCCTGCGCTGTGAGGGGCAGGAACTAGCAGATTGGAATCGTCGGCGGGGGGAATTGAAGCCATTGTGAGGAGATCATGAGCACCGCTGGACTGGGGTTATCAGGCTGCGGGTGCGCAAACTCGTCCAATTCAATGTGTGTTCGAAAACCCAGACTCGGAGCATGTGCAAGTAGGATGATGCACAAAAGAGAGCCAATCAGAGTCCCGTTGCGTAAACGGCGACTATGCAAATGGAGAAAGGGGAGAGCGCAAGCTCGAATGCCCCGATGCAAATCTGTAACAATTCTATAAAATCTGTACAAGTGTCGTAGGAAGGAAAATGGAACTTCGTCACTTGACATCAGCTGGGAAGCCGCGGATTATAAAGAACCATTGCACGCCGCAATTGGGGCGGGTCCACCGGTTTCCACCACCACGCACAGCCTTCTCCGGGCCAGCCGGAGGCAAAAACTCTGCCTCTAAACACGTGGGATCGTGTTGGCCCCGTTGGTATTGGATATTGGATATTGGATACGTATTGTTGATGTGTATGTTTTCTGTTAGTACGCCAAGCTCGACCTTGGTCCCTTGGTCGGACGGCCATTCAAGCATTTGAGCAAGAAGATCAAGCAGCAGCCGTGGAATGGGGCCGGGAGATCGATGATTGGCAAGTAGTTCATTATTGGTCCCAAAGATCGGCGATCCGACACAATCATGACACAATCGCTACAGTGGTTTGTTGATTTCTTGTCACTTTTCCAGTTTTCCAAGACCGGGGGTCGATGCACGGGGAGGATGATGAGATAATGAGAGGAGTAGACTAGTCAAACAAGCTTCGAAGTCATGATGCCCGACGGGGGTAATCCTCATGCAAAACCAATGGTAAAGTCGAGCTGAACTATAGGGAACTAGACGCCCCACCCATTCGCAGCGTTGCTCCTTCCGACCGGGGCGTCGTCGTCATCATACAGAGAAATTGTAAAAATCACTATTGTATACCCATGCTCATGCTCATGGCCAACTAGATCCACAGATGTACACTATGCTATACTCTACTCCGTATACCAAATCATATATAATACATACTATCGTACATCATAGCACAACATACAATCACTGAATCCGGGGTTCGCTCTTCGAGAACTCGCCAGTCCGAATCTCCCCCTCGCCCCGACGTGCAATCTCCTCGTTACGCTCGGCACTCTTATCTGATCCAAATGCCCGATCAACGGTGGCATTCAAAGCTCCTCGAAGTGACTCTCCGGCTCCCTATCAACCCCAAGCGTAATCCCGTTAGGCATCTGTACAGCTCCGACATCCACGATCGCATATTGCAGGCATCAGAAAACTTACATGAACACTCGCCCCAACCCCTTTCACCTTCCGCCCCAAATTCTCACTCGCGCTCGTCGCCCGTGACTCCGACGCTTTATCCGTTTTGGACGTCGCGGCGGCCTCTTCCAGCCCAGCCCGCTGCACCGTACTCGGCGCATTCTGGATTCGATCGTCTTGTCCTGCCATGCGATCGTAGCTGTTTGACGGCGCGTTCGGATTGTAGGTCTCTTCTTGTGAATTGCCAGCCGATGGCTTCGAGTATGAGGCGCCCGTGGCAGGATTGTACCCGGTCGTGGCGGGATCGTAGTGCGATCGGGTATCTTGCATAGACACAGGGAGACCGGGGGCTCCGGTCGAGGAGCCCTGGGAGCCACCGGCTCTGCCAGAAGTGGCCATATTATAGGATTCTTTTTGGGGGGGGGGTAGTGGGTGGTGGTGAGAATTGTGTAATCGTAGTGGTCTTGAAGGTAAAGTATATTTCCGAAAGGGAGCTTGTTAGCTTATCTATTAGACATGACGTCAGGGTTAACTCATGACGATGGAAGCTAGGTGGATAGCCTAGTATCCGAACGATGCCCTGTCATACTAACAGTTGAAGCATCATTACTTAATCCTCAATTTGCATCTTGACGTGCCAAGCATGTTGAATAATCTTAATCATCCCGGCTAGAGGGTATACAATGGGCCGAGGTCCCTTTCTACATCCAGTGGAGCAGTTTTCCTAATCTGGGGTTGCTCCGATCGCCTTTTCCCCATTTTTTGCTTCTCCTCATATTTTCTCCATGTTCTAAAATAAATTATCCCCCCCATCCTTCCCCAACTTCTGCTCCTTATTCCCACCTCTAGAATATCTCATTCATTCTCCAAATACCACCCACCATGTCCTACAAACAAATCATCTACACCACCGCGCCAAACCCGGCCATCGACCCCTCCCTCAACACGGGAACCTTCAGCGTCAAGACCGTCCCCAAACCCACCAATGTCCCCGCCGACAAACTCCTCGTGCGCACGCACTACCTCTCCCTCGACCCCGCCATGCGCCAGTGGCTAACCGCCAAACGCTCCTACATCGCCCCCGTCGAGATCGGCGCCGTCATGCGCGGCCAAAGTATCGGCCAGGTCATCACCGTCGGCAGCGACCTCTCCTCCAAATTCCGCGTCGGCGACTGGGTCGTCGGGTACTCCGGCTGGCAAGAGTACGCCGTGCTGGGCGCCAAGGAAGTTGAAAAGGTGGTTCTACCCCCAGGCGGCCGGCCCACCGATGCCATGAGCGTGCTCGGCATGACCGGGTTGACTGCGTACTTTGGTATGCTGGAGGTTGGCAAGCCGCGCGAGGGCGAGACGGTGGTTGTTTCCGGTGCGGCGGGTGCTACTGGTATGGTTGCGGGCCAGATTGCCAAGATCAAGGGTGCCAAGAGGGTTGTTGGATTGGCAGGGAGTCGGGAGAAGTGTGACTTCTTGGTGAAGGAGTTGGGATTCGATGCTGCGATCAATTACAAGGATGCCGATTGGCGGAAGCAGTTGAAGGAGGCGACGCCCGAGTATATCGATGTCTTTTTTGATAATACCGGTGGTGAGATTTTGGATGCTTGTTTGGCGAGGGCTGCGCGGGATGCGCGCTTTGTGATTTGCGGTGCTATCAGTCAGTATAACTCTGCGAAGCCGCAGGGTCCGGCGAGCTTTATGACCGTTATTGTGAGTGATTTGCGATCCTGAGGGTGGAGGAAAGGCCATTTACTAATCTTCGTGTCTTAGTCCCAACGAGTCACTATGAAGGGCTTCATTGTCTTCGACTATGCGAAGCAGTACGCGACTGCCCAGCAGGAGCTGGCTTCCTGGCTGTCGCAGGGTAAGCTCAAGCGCAAGGAGCATATCGTGCCCGGTGGTATCGAAGGAGCGCCCCAGGCTCTGGTTGATTTGTACAAGGGTGTGAACACGGGCAAGATGATGGTTGAGGTTGCTCCTGTCAGCGAGGCTCTGAAGGCTAAACTGTAGTGGGAGTCTCGAATGCTTTGAGCCATGTACATTTTTCCCGTCATATATCACATCTGCATCTTACCTTGCTGAACCAAACTGCGGGATTCTGGCCTATTTTCAGCTAGTGATGCCCGAAGCAAACACTATAAATAATAATGAGTGTCAAATACTCGGACTACAATGTAGTTTGTGGAGTTCATGTAGAGACTCTTTGAAATAGTATAAGTTGAGTCTTGTCTCTGGGGCTATTTGGGGCTGAGAAAGAGATCGACAAGCCGACCTGATTCGCCCGCGCGATAGTTGCTCCATTTCTAATAACTATGCATTGAGACAAATCTCAGCTGAGCTTCTTTTGAATATGCTAGATGAAGTACACATGAGATTGTCGCTCCTGACACTTTTCGTTCTTATGTGATCAGACTTCTTTATGCTTGATAAGCAGGCTGACCTGGTTCATTGGGCCCGTTACGATAGCATACAGCTTATGGATGGCGTAGAAATGAGGCAATTGAGTTGGTGATTCTCAACAATATTTATTCACGATTTTCTTCACTTTCCTACACCCTCACAAGTGATCAGCTCTTTCCTGGTAAGTTGTTGCGTCAACCTGATCCATGGATGGACTCATCCAGACTTCCCTCGGAAGACCCACTCCATATAGCTCCCAGCCAATATAAACCATCCTAATCTTAACCAATCCCCGAGGGTCACCAGAAATTCCCAAATTGAGCTCTTGCAGCTTTAGTAATTACTATCACTGCTTATATGCTAGATTCGATCCAATCGACACTATCCGTGGCGCAGGAGCAGCACCGGCGCTGCGGCCGCTCAGGCCTCCTTCGGGTCCCCGATCACGAAAGTATAAATGCGAAGCCGGGCCGATAAAGCTTGACCGGTTTGCCGAGCCGATCTAGCAATACGGTTATTCACTCTATTTACCCTGTCTAAGGAGCCTGCCCGGGGAAAGGGGGGGGGGATTCTTAGATCCGATACTCCCGCCTAATGGAAATTCCGAGATACGTACTCCTGCGAGAGCCAAGCTAGTGAGCGCTGAGCGAACGACTCCTTTGACCATTTCTAAGGTATGCTGATCTCCTAAGATACTCCAATTTGGTACTCCGTACATGCGTAGTTCATAAATTCGTCAAAAGGCGCTAGGCCTGATAGCCTGAGACTTCAAACCAAGACTGTCAATAGCCTTTCTCCCCGGCTTCGCAGATCGATACACTCTGCAACCATTCTGAGCGCAACATATCTTTTGTGGTGATGCGTTTGCGCGCGATGGGATGTAGCATTGCATAGATAGCATTGCGGCGTCTCTGTATAGCCAATCGTTAGCCATCGTTCCCCCAATATTGTATTATTTAGTTCAAGAGCAAGGTTCAATCAAACTTGCAATCCCGGGTTAAAAAAAGAAAAACAACAATAAGAAAAGCAAAAAAAGCAAGAACTGAAACGGTATAGACCTACCTCTCCCAACGCCTCAATAGGTGGATACCCATCTTCCCCGAGTCGGCAATGCAAATACTCCAGATACCTCGCATCCTCCCGAAGCGGCCTTGCACTCCTCCAAAGCAAACGACCAGTGATTAGTGCTAGATAAATGACCGCCGTAGCCCAAACGTCTGCTGGCCGCGGATCCCGAATCTCATCCTCGTCGTCTTCATGCTCATCCTCATCGCACTCGATAGTATCCCTCCACGACGAACGACGACGCGGCCGATACGCAAACCCCTCGGGAGGAGTATACGGTAGACTCATACCGGGGAACGAAGCCGTGGAATTTTCCGTGTCCCCCGTATTCCCTTTGGCAGGACTGGAATGACTAAACGGGGCCAGGATCCAGGGTAAAGAGAAAGACCAGGAGCGCGTGGAATGAGGCGGGGAATGTGCGGTGTCACTTTCGTCTTCGCCGTCATTCTGTGCCGGGGTGACGGCACATTCGTTCCAGATCCGCCTGATATGCCCGTCGCCGAAGCCGGCCAGTTTCACGGCGCCGTGTTGTGTGAGGAGTACGGTTTCGAGCCGGATATCGCGGTGGGCGGTGCCGTGCTCGTGCAGGAAAGATAAAGCTCGCAGGATCTGGGCGATTATGCAGTCTGCTTCGGGAGTGGAGAGGGGTCCTGCGCGGGAGACGAGTTCGTGGAGGTCGCCACCGGCGCAGAAGGGCATTACCAGGCAGAGTTCGCCGCGTTCGTTGTAGAGGAGGTCCGTTATGGCGAGGATGTTTGGGTGATGCGGGTGGAGATTGGTAATGGAGGATATTGGGCAGGTAGATGCGCGGGCGAGGGCATCGGGAGAGTCGACGATGTTATTGTTGTAGCGGTAGACTTTGATGGCGTAGAGTTGTTTTGATTTGATACCGTACGTTGACATTTTGGTCTGGTGTAGGCGGACGGTGCTGTTGGAGCCGTAGTGCAGGATTTCGAGACAGCGGCCATATCTCTCGGTGAATGGGCGCTGGCATTCTGACGAGGGGGTTGGCAGGGATGTCGAGATGATAGAATTCGTGGATGATGACCGCATCAATGGCTGTTCAGCTGTTGAAACTGATGCCAAGCTGGGGCGGTGCTCGTTTCTAAACACGGGGAAGCCGCGCTTTGCGCTGTGGCCTGCATCGTTCACGTTGGTATCGGATGAGGTGTTGGACCATTTCGGCCGCGTCAGATAATGGTGATGCGCCGTGAAAGGAGCCAGGTTGGGTCGTTGCACAGCGACGGCGGTCCAGGCGTCCTGGCCACGAAGATGCCCGTCCTTCATGGACTTACTATACGAGGTCTGAGAGTGTGGAGATGGAGGAGGGATGGAGAAGAAAGAAGCAAATCCCAAAGTTTAACGGACGTCAAATTGGACAATTAAGTACAAGGCAGAAGGGGAGAAAAAGGAAGCAAAAGTCAAAAAATAGGGAGGACGGTCAATGATATCAGCACGCCCCCTTTGAGACCGACGCCCTTTTTATACATCCAGCCACAGCGGTGTGGTTTGGTTTTGCCCATTCCTCAAACGGCCTCAAGAATGAACCGTGGCAGGTATACTGATTGTGCTAGCTATTGGGAAAATGGGAAATCAGGACATTCGGGGGACTCCAGAAGAACGTAATATGAGAGATATTTTGGACAGACCAATCCTTGGAGGCGATGATTTCCCACTGGGTCGAACACGAGCAGGAGAACGATCGAACTGCGAGAGAAACTGGGACGTATCCGCTTGCATAGCAACAGACTCGGCGTATGCCATGTTAGTCAACGAAATTCAATTAGCGAGGGTAGCGAGTACACTCGGATACCATCTATCATAATGATGTGCTGGTAGTACCGGTCATCGCGTAGTAAAAGAGAGGAAAGACTTCGTCGGATCTACCTAGTCATCAGCTGGGGGAACCCGCTATTGGCCCGAGTAAACCGCTCAGGAAAATCGGGGCTGTTTCTGACATGACCTCGTGGCTTGAGCGATTTTTTTACTCGAACAGCGCCTCAAAAAACATAAGCTAGCGGGAAGGAACAAAGAGTAAAGGCCAGAAAAATGAATACTAGGTCAGAAAATAATGGAGCCTAGGGGGAGAAGGGGAAAAAGGGTAGCGATTGTACGCCTGGCTTGTTTTGAGTAGCTCGGCAGAGCAGTCCAGGACGGTCATTTTTCCTGTGGTTGGGAAAAATCCCGCAGCTCACCCACGATCTCCGTCCCAAGAATCGCTCTCGACACCACCATTACGCTTGCGGGCAAAAATGACGACCCGAGATTACGTGCGTGATTTTCTTTTTACTCTTCTGTCTCTAAGATCATAATGATAAACAAGAATCATCTCATTTTCTACGTAGGACTGGCAAGAAGAAGGGGACAACGTTAAGCTCGGCCTTATACATTTAAAGAATAAGCAAGTATAGTTAGGGCTGAAAGCAACATGATGTCACGTATGGTCAGATTGCAACGGGATCAGGCAGGCAGGCAGTTCATGACGATTATAATTGGTTGATAAAACTCTATGGCGGTTAAATTACAACGATTACGGTACCATCGGTATATCTCCCGCTCGTGGCACAGTCAAGCTCATGCGCGATTTCTTCGCCGGTCGACTGCTGCGCTCGTTATTGGCTCGTGAAATTTTTTGAGAGTTTCCGTGGATGGCTTATACTGCTTTGGTCAACGGTTCGACCTGGTTTCATTCGGGGGTACCTGAAACAACTATGGAGAGCTCTCTAATTCCCCAGGTACCAAGTCGCTACCACCTAGTCCACCTAGTCCAAGTGGGTATTAAACAGTGCCCCCCGTTCCACTCTGAAAGGAAGTACAGTAGTAGCAAGGAGTAATAGCAAACAGTCATATGGAGTATTCTATACTGCAAGTAGTAGATGGACTTAATCTCCAGGGACTACCATAGGAGATCTCGAGCCCCCCCTCGTGGTTATTTCTCGCGTGGCGCCGCTTGCATGACGCCAGTTTGACTTTTCCTCTGCCTGTTTGTTATTATTATACGGATTTATTGATCTCGTATCTAATTTTTTTGCTTTTCCCTTTTCCATAAGCACATCTTGCCTCCACCTCCTCGTCTCGCCTTCCTAATCCATCCATCTGCGATTTGCATTAGCCACCGGCGTGGGCCTGCTATATTGAGCTTGGTCGTCTTCTGCATCTCTACATAAGGGTGCAGGGGACCTCCCCAATTGCTGGCTATTATTTCTCAATATCAACAATTCCATTCACTGTTTCCCGTGCCTTTCTGCACTCCCCTCTGCTGTACCCGTCCGGGTGTTTAGCTGTCAACTTCTCCCTCCTCTCTATCGTCTTTTCTTCCCTCACCTCCGTCCTTCGTTCATCCGCCTTCGACAGTTATCACCATGGAGCCCAAGCCCCCCCACGGCAAGCCCGACGTCAACTTTGATGTTGAGGCTGAGGGTGATCAGTCCAGGGAAGATGGAGATCGTGTGGCGCGCAACGTGCGCATTACCTTTGAGGATGCCTCCGCCACCGATGCCGAAAGCAATGCCATCGAGACTATGCGATCCATCTACCAACCCGCCGGCTTCAACCGTACCCAATCTACTGGCCGTGATACCATCCGCAGCACTCGCAGCAGCGGACAGACTGCCGTCGGAGCCAATGCGGGCATTCCCATCGAATTCCGTACCCTGTCCATCCAGATCTCCGAGTCTCAGAACGCGCCCAAGGAGGTCGTGGCCGAAACCCCCAAGGAAAAGCTTCCGAACCAAGACTACTTTGAGACTCTCGACTTCCACACTCTGTCCCAGGATAGTCTTTGCCAGCAATTCAATGTCGACCCTCGCACCGGTCTCAGCAGCTCCGCAGCCGCTACACGCCTTGCTCGTGATGGAAAGAATGTGATCGCACAGCATCGGGAGAATTACCTCAAGAAGCTCTTCTTCTACATCTTTGGTGGTTTCTGTTCCATCCTTTGGGTCGGTGTGATCATTTTCTTCATCTGCTGGAAGCCTCTCAGCAACCCGCCCTCACCTACCAACCTTGCCATGGCTATCTTGGTCATCATCGTCATCGTCCTTCAAGCAACTTTCTCCGCTTTCCAGGATTGGTCCACAAAACGGGTGATGAACTCCATTTTGAATCTCCTTCCCGCCGAGGCTCTCGTCATGCGTGATGAGAAGTTCATTCGTCTTCCCGCCACCGAGTTGGTGACCGGCGACATCATCCAAATCAACGTTGGCAACAAAGTCCCGGCTGATATGCGTCTTCTGAAAACGTCGGGCGACGTTCGCTTTGACCGTGCCATTCTCACCGGCGAGTCGGACGAGATTGACGGTGCTACCGAGGCCACCGAAGCCAACTTTTTGGAGACTCGTAACATTGCCCTTATGGGAACCCTGGTGACCAATGGCAACGCAACTGGTGTCGTCGTCCTGACCGGTGCACGATCGGTTATGGGCCGCATTGCGAAGATGACTGCTGGCGTCAAGCAGAAGCCAACCTTGATCCAAAAAGAAATCACCCGCTTCGTTACCATCATCATTGGACTGACAATTCTCCTTGCTCTGACCATTCTGTTCACCTGGGTGGGATGGCTCCGCAAGGATCACCCTACTTATATGAGTGTGGTGGCGATGCTGAACAATGTCATGGGCTGTGTGGTGGCTTTCATTCCCGAGGGTGTCCCTGTCGGTGTGGCCTTGACACTGATGATGGTTGCCCGCCGCATGAAACAGACCAGTATACTGCCCAAGGGCCTGGCCACCGTCGAGACTCTTGGCTGTGTTAATGTGATCTGCTCGGACAAGACTGGTACCTTGACTCAAAACCGCATGTTTGTCAAGTCTCTCGGTATGGTTGATTGGGAATTTAGCCTCGACGACCTCGCTGCAGGTCTCGAGGTGTCTCACGGACTGGCCAACGTACTGCGTGCCTCGGTTCTTTGCAACGATGCCACATTCGACTCGGAGACTATGCATCTCCCCTCGTATGAGCGCACCGTCAATGGCAATGCCACTGATGCAGCAGTACTCCGACTCGCCGATCATGTTGGTGCCGCTACGCCCCGGAATTTGGAGCCATATGAACGCATTCACCAGATTCCCTTTAACTCAAAGAATAAGTGGATGCTGACCATGCACCGCGATCCCGCCAACACTTCTCCGGGCTATCTGATCTACGTCAAGGGTGCTCCTGACGTGATTTTACCTCGTTGCTCCACATACTGGTCTGCTGTCCACAACGCCGTACGTCCGCTCGACACGGATGCACGTGAGAAGTTCTCTTCTTTCCAAGCCAAGCTGTCTCGCCGCGCCGAACGTGTGATTGTTATCTGCCAACGCCGCTATGTCCCCGTTCACGAGGTTGGCTCTAATGGATTCAGCGACGAGATCATTGAGTCTGGTGTGCAGGACCTCACTGTGCTTGGCATCTTTGGTATCATTGATCCTCCACGCCCAGAGACTGCTAGCACTGTCGCTGCTTGTCGACGTGCCGGTATTCGATTCTTCATGGTCACTGGTGACTTTGGTATTACTGCCGCTGCGATTGCCCGGGACATTGGGATCTTCGATGGGACTGCCGAGCCCGACACCGTTGACGACCTGCGGGACTTCAGTGATGAAGGCAAGGGCCCCCACTCGCGCCATAGTCTGCTACTCGAGGGAACCAGTCTTTCTTCCCTGACCCAGGATGAATGGTCGACGGTATGCGGCTATGACGAGATCGTCTTTGCTCGTACGAGCCCGGAACAAAAGTTGCGCATCGTGAGTGAACTACAAGCAAAGGGCAACTATGTTGCAGTGACCGGCGACGGTGTCAATGACGCCCCAGCTCTGCGGGCTGCCAACGTTGGTGTCGCCATTGGTGGTGGTAGCGACGTGGCTATTGAAGCTGCCGACCTTGTCTTGTTGGACCGGTTTGATTCCATCGTCGAAGCTATCCGTCTGGGTCGTCTGGTATTCCAAAATTTGCAAAAGGTCATCGCCTACTTGCTCCCCGCCGGTAGTTGGTCCGAGATCTGGCCCGTGATCATGAACGTCTTCTTTGGTGTCCCATCTCCCCTGAGCTCTTTCCTCATGATCGTTATCTGTGTCTTCACCGATCTCTTCCTCTCCCTCTCCCTGATCATGGAAAAGGAAGAATACGACCTCCTCAGCATTCCTCCTCGCGACCCCAAAAAGGACCACCTTATCAACATGCGCATCTACGGCCAATCATACCTCTTCGTTGGTGTCATGGAAGCTTTCAGTGCCCACGCCATGTTCTTCCTCTACATGTGGAAAGCAGCCGGGATTCCCTTCTCCGATCTGGTCTTCGCCTTTGAAAATTACACCGATGGTTTCCACGGATACACGCAAGACGAGCTCACGCACTTCAACAATGTCGGCCAATGTGTCTACTTTGTTTCTCTGGTCATCATGCAGTGGGGCAACATCTTGTCCGTCCGCAGCAAGCGCATGTCCCTGCTCCAAGCTGATCCTATTCGGCCCGCTCGCCGTAACCCATGGCTTCCTCTGGCCATGCTGATTTCGCTTGTCATTGCTATCTTCGTCACTGAAGTCCCCGGCATCCAGTCCCTCTTTGGCACGGCCTCTGTTCCCATCCAGTATTGGTTTATCCCGCTGGGTCTGGCCCTTGGTATCCTCGTTATGGACGAGCTACGCAAGGTGTTGGTGCGCCAGTTCCCTAAGGGTCCGGTTGCCCGAATCTCGTGGTAGATCTGTTGAGTTTGATGGCATTGGAAAACCAGTGCTATGATTTATGACATAAAATTGTTGTTTTGTGATAGACTCTTTTTTACTGGGTTTGGGTACTCTTTTCTTTTCTTACACGCTGGAGTGGGCTTCTGTTTTACCTGTCAGCGTTATTCTTACTTGATTGCATTTCCGTGACGAGATTCTTGGATGATTGGATGAGAGAAATACTATGATTGCTTTCGTGGATGCATACGATGTCAGAACATGAACATGGCTTGGATCTAGAGTTAATGCTTTCTGGAAGATATCATAGATATTCATGAGCTGGTGCATCTCCTTCATGGTGATACTTATCTACTCTTGAAAGTATCAAGATCTTCTTTAGTTTAACTGTTCTGGTAGACGACTGTCAGTGATTATGCCCTTGTCCTCTGTGAGTGGTCTTCGACTTGGAGATCAAGAAAACTAGTCAGGTGGTGTCGATTGTCATTCTGATTGGAGAGAACGGAAAAAAACAACTTATAGAAAGGTGATTTTGTCAGAGCCGTTGATTTCCCGGCACGGATCCTTGTCTTTGGGTCTTTCATCTTCCTACTAAGCTCTTGACGACTATCTGCCATTCTGCAGAAAGGGATATAAATCCTGCTCCCATATAGTCACGGGCTCAGACACATAGTCGGTTCAGTGACCACCGTGATACTATCGGCAATTCTTGGTGAATTGAACAGCACATAGGTAATCGCCCGATTGACTTGTCAAGCCCAGCTGATAAGATAAGAAAAAAATAGCTCTCTCTTAGAGTATCTTGGAGCGATAGGGTAGACAGGTTGTTGTGGTACAGCTTTATCACGTTCCAACGCTGAAGGGTGGTGATTTAGCGAAGACGAGATACCGGACGCGTGGAACTCTTTAATATTAGGGAAGACTTGCATGTAATGACCACCACTTCATCTTCAAATTGTCTGACAAATAATCAAATTCAAACAGAATCACCAACTTCAACAAGAGCACAAAATGAAGAGCACCACGAACGGCAAATAGACTCCCTCTGCGCCACGAATAACAGTCCCACCAGTTCAAAAGCAACCCTTGCGGACGACGTATTCCTTGCCAAAGTCAAACCGTCCCTGACGAGTCGAAAAGGCTCATTACATGCAGTACACAGTCTCAGTAGATGATTACCGTACATGATTCAGTCATATATCACAATATGGGAACGATAAAAGATGGCCATCAAACCAGAAACGAACAAGCCACGGGACCATCACTCAATCTCCGCAAACCAAAGCCCAAACAAAACAGCAATACCGTTGCACATACTGAAAAGCGATGTTTGGATTTTCAAAAGACCAAAAACCCAAGACCCAAGACCCCGTCGTTCTAAAAAGATATTCGAGGCGAGAGCAGGCTAGTTACACCCGCCCACCAACATTTCTACCGGGGCTGTTACCTTCAAGGCTTCGAAGAAATAATTCTACAATAATTCTGTCACCATCTTAAGCAGTTTTCTTTCATTGTCTCTAGGATGTTATAGCCATGGCACAGTTGTGTCTCTCTAATCCGCTGTTCTGGGAATACTCACACCCGGAAACCCGGAACAGGACAGTAAATTGCCACTAGCTTTTTCAAAACAAAGCACGCGCTGCGCTAGCATCCATAATCGAAAGCAATATCTCTTCGGAGGGATTTGCAGACAAAAAAAGCTGCACGCATCGACCGCCGAAAGAGTCACAGCACCAGGCTCCACGATACGCGAACAAAGAAAACTTTTACTACCCAACATCCTAAGCTGGGCAAGAGTAAGGCCTGGATTTTAGGCAAGACCCCGACACTTGAAGAAGAGTACTAAGACGCTAGCATCTCTCATAAACCTTAAATCAAAGAAAGGAGGAAAATTAATCAGGATAAAGAGGCCTCAATTGCTACGTGTACCACTACCGAGTATCCTCAATAGACAGGAAACATCCAAGGCCGTGAGGTAATGTGATAAAAATACAAGTATAGAAAATAAAGGTAGAAAAACGAAGGAACAACAGATGGGCCAGAAACGGACAAGCCAGGCCAGCAGTATAAGCAGGGAAAAGAGAGAAAGGAAAAAGACAGCGAGCGAATGAGTATTGTAAAAAGTAAGAAGCGGGAGTCAATGATAGGCAAGAGACAACAGACGGAGCACAACGGACGTTAAAGGACGATGTTCTTTGAGCCAACGTCGTCGTTAGTCGGGGCCGTACGAAACGGGCGTTGTTGTGAGTCGTAGGCATGTGGGCTCCCCGAAGGAGCGAGTGGAAGACCGTAGAGCCGACAGAGGACCAAGATATGGAAACGAGAGTAGGCATAAGACGGACGCGCAAGATATCCTAACAAAGACAGACTCACACCCCTCCAGCCACTAAGGCTATTGCTGTTGTTGTTGCTTGATCTTTCCAGCCTCTCTCACGGCAGTCATGAACCCATCCTCGTTGCCAGCAGCGGTCAAGATCCAATAATCAGCCACACCGGGGTTCGTAACCTGACCACCAAATCCAGCTGCCGTAGGTGCACTGTGTCGGTCCTTTGGCTTCTGAACACTAGCGCCAGAATCGCGAGGTCCCCAACCCAGAATGTTGCGCACGGCCAGGCGACACTGGTCGTCTGGCTGATTGAAGGACATGAGTTGCGCCTGAAGGCAACCGAGGATTGCCACGGCAGAGCGAATCATGATCCGGTCCCCTTCAAAGACCCAGCAGTCCCACACGCGAGAGAGGCGCTCAACATCGAGGCCGTTGGTGAGGAGAGAGCGGAAAATGGGCTCCCAGACCTCCTCCTCGGAGAGCTTGAGGGTTTCCTGGATATGGGTCGACAGACGCGGGAACTTGTAGCGTAGTGTCTCGGAAGCGAGGGAATACGTGCGGGCCATCGCACCCCGGTCCCAAGTCAGGAAGGCCACTGGGAGAGGGCGATTAAGGGCATTGGCCATGGCGAGGAAAGCGGAGCTCGGGGTGGGGAATTGAAGGACGAGGAGTGCGGCAATGGTGTGAAGTCCATGAATGTAGCCCACATCGCTACGGTACATGCAGTATGCTTGCAAAAGATCAATAAGCGTATCCCGCAATGGCCCGCCCTCCTGGAACAGGTTCAAATCGGGGAATGCCTTTGAGACGTCCGCGTCGATTGCCTCAAAACATTCGAGCATACGCTTTTTGTTCTCTCCAGCCTCCACATTGGTCTTGGACCGCAAATCCTTGGCTCTTTGCAACGCTTTGGTAAATGTCTCCTCCGTGAGCGAGAGTTCATTACCGATGGCACGTTTCCACATGGCCCCTCGGCTACGGGGCGGGATTCCGCGCCACCAGAGTTCTCGTATGCGAGGCTCGCGCAGCGCACTATCCCAATGAGGGTTCACATAGTCATCCCAAATGTTTTGGAGCGTTGCGCGGGTGGTGTCCTTTTCGCATTGTTCGGAAGTAGCTCGAGCTGCTCTTCGCTTTTCTGCAAGATGGTCAATTCAGGTCCACGAGTATCCGGAGCCACTAGACAGCACAAACTCACCAGCTTCCTTCGATTGCGCCATCATCTGCTTGTACTCTCTCAGATGCTTCTTCTCCTCCTTCTGGTCCTTTGGCGGCAGCCAGCTAGGGCGCGTACGTGTAAGAACCTTCTCCTTCTCTTTGCTAATGGGTAGCGGGTCGATCATAATGTTAGATTTCTGCAAGGGCGGTAATTCAATCGCATCGGATGCTCGTGGGGAATCAGAACTTGACTTTCGTGACGATAGTCCATTCTGCACGGCGTCTTCTTGCTGGCGCTCGCTCTCATCCGCGTGGTGTTCCAGCGCCTCGGTGATGATCCTTGCTTCTTCTGACAGATCGGACAGATAGCTGTTGTATGAATACGCGCGGGGGTTGCGCGGGGAAATTTGGCCTCGTTCAGGTCCTGCAGAACTAGACCGCTGTGTTCGTTTCATGCGTGCGGCACGAGATGCTGATTGTGACGAATGATCCTGGTTCGACGACATATCAGATGTGGTGTGCGAAATCGGTAGCGGCCGACGACCGGGACTACGGCCATTCGGGCTTGCGGCTCGCGACTGGGGGCGATCTTGAACGGGGCGCGGGGAAATGGGAATGTTCCACAGACTGGCATCGTCGGGAAGTTCGTCGTCAGAGTCATGGTATTCATCCTCTAGATCCTTCAAAGACTTGCGATTTGTTTGCCACGTTTGTTTTGGGACGGGAGTTCGTGCAGAGAGCGGTGACAAAGCCAAACTGGTGCTCGAGGCGGACCGGCTGGACGTTGGCCGCAGAGGAGATGTCGACCGTGACCGACGAGGTTGTGAAGGCGTCAAGCCACCCGGGTAATTCGCACTGCCTGAGTCTCTTCTGTTGCCGGACCGTGCCGACAAAGAACCTGCGGATTGCGGAGTCCGAACGGACCCATTGAGCTGGCTGTGAATCGGGGGCAGGGGACTTCGTCTCCGGGGCTTCGGGGTCGCAGTCAAGTCTCGTGTCGTAGCTGCAGGGTTTTTGTAAGGCAGGCTGTTTGGCAATCTGGCGGCGGGCGACCGGGTTGTCACGCTACGGCCATAAGGGGCGGGCTTGTCGACAATTGGCAATTCCGCGTCATCTTCGAGGCCAATTTCTTCGAAGTTTCCAATATCGGTAAAAACGCTATCGGGCCCATCAATTTGTGAGGAGTGAAACGAAGAAGACTTGGAAGATTTGGACCCGGACAACTCGGGCGGGGAATTCGGACTGGGGTAGACGGTGGTCATGGTCTCATGTACTGGGCGTTCAAGTACGGCGGTCCTCCACAATTATCATCGGCGATCCGAAACAGCACAAGATGGGTAAGAATCGTCAGAGGTTTGGGGTGGAAGGGATGAGTGTTGGAAGACTGCACGCAAGGCTCAGATTGGGCAGTCGGGACGGCGAGGGATGCAGGATGCAAGATGCAGGCGATTTCCCAGAACGAAAGTAAACACGTATAAAAACAGCCGATCAACGTGAAAGAAGCGAAATGCAGGCTCAGCCGTGCGGCCTGATAAAAACCAGATCAGGTGTCGAGCAAAGATGGGTAAAAAAAGGATCAGGAGGCCGCGATTATCGAGTGAGCATTGGGGGCCGCCAAGGGGGGTCGGAAGAAGGGGGAGGAGGGGTAAGTAGAATCGGAGTAAGACACAAATGGGAGGGACTGAATGAAGGTCTCGATTGGAGAAAAAAAGCAGGAAAAAAACAGCAGAACAAGAAAAGAGTGTGAGCGTTGTTGAGCGAGAGGTTGGATGAAAGCGAAAGTTGGAGGAGGAAAGCGGGTTTGGGATGGATTGCAAGCGGAGCCTCAGGCAGGTGCCGCACGCGGTCTGGCCGAGAACAGAAAGGTGTAACAAAAGTATAGTTAGGTTCAGGGTGAGGAGAATGTAGATACTTCGAGCATACTTGATTTTACTGGGCTTCATCACTCATTTCTCAAGTTACTCTAGTGTATCTTTACCCACACGGCCTAGAAGATCAGAGTTCGCCTGCAGAGGGCAACGATCGCTGCCGATCTCGCTCGGCAGATTCTTGTTCTTGTTTCGATGGCACCCACTAGGTCATTACCATAACTGAATCCAGTATAAACTACAAAACTGATCGGAAGTTCCTCAACTCTTTCCCCCCTTGGAGACCCAGCGATTGCCTGCCCCTTCGTCCACTCGGGTAGCCATCCATAACCTTCAGTTCCGTGGGCTGCCCGAGCTGCTGCAATTTGATTGGAGGATAACCCGGTATCAACGGGGAAATCGGCGACTGTTGGGTAACTAATAGTTCCAACAGAGACCCTCTAATAGATTACGGGTTTATAGATTGCCTCGTAAGCCATTATTGGCTATGATTGATTCTTATTATCGATTACCTCCCTCAGCTATAGTACTGTACTCCGTATTGCATAATTTATTCCCCTTCTTGAACCAAACTATTCTTAGAACCGCCATGCTCCAAATAGCGCATCACCCTTCCTCATGACCCGCAGCAGACGCACCGCTTCGGCATCCGTCGCCGGGCGCGACGCCTTCCACAGCGAGTTCAGCCATTGGAGCACCGACGCATACCGTGTTTGCTTCCGCCTTAGCACAAAGCGGAATGCAGCACTGGCCAGGAATTGCAGGTGAGACAGCTGCACGAAGCATGTCAGCGGCGCTGGGCGAGACGCTCGCCGAGACTGGATTATGTTGGCCGTTTGCTGAATCAGGTCATTGATGGTCTGGATGATGATGGGGTGTTTGGGATGGGCGCGGCGCCGGAGGGATCTCATATATCGGTACATTTTCATCGCGGCGGTGATGAAGCCCGTGTAGAGATTGGATAGTACGACGTCACGGGTGTTGTGGTCAGCATCTAGGTACATGGAGTGCAATTGGGGTCGCAATAATGACAGCATTTTGCGGTGGAAGGAGCAACCGGGGTGACGGCTTGTCTCGACGGTTAACATGCTGGAGAGTGTCGCTGCGGCAGAGGCGCCGCCTTCCAGCATGCGATCTTGGTCCTTGTGGATCTCCAAAGTGTGGGTGTCAATCAGGCATCCGCAGTATGCGAAAAGGGATGTACCTTCGAGCCGGGGGATGTAGATCCCATCTACTGAAGTGGTGAAATTGACCATGCTCTTAGTTGGATTGACCGAGACACCATACGCAGGCTGACCACGATGCATGACTTGCAGAAACTGGGTAGCCTGATTGACATCGGTGGTGATGAGAAGGAAGTCGTCTACCAGACGAAGAAGCAGCGAATCCTCAGGCTGGATAAAATTCAAGACCTGCTGTTCCAGCTGGGCATAGAAGAAATTACATAGCAGACTGGACAACACAGAGCCTTGAGGAATGCCGTTACGCTGGCGGAAGTAGTTCTTGCCAATCTTGACCAAGTTATTGCTTACATGCTCCTCAAGGAGACACAGCAGCTCATCTGCATCGTGTTCTTTCTGTTTGATGGTGTCGACATACACGGTGTTGGCAGCGCCACTCGTACCACCAGCGGCGAGGTCGGGAAAATGCTGCTGTTTGGTCGGAGGTGCAGCGCGCCCGAGGAACCTCCGTTTGGCTTTGCCATGCAGACCAGGGTTCATGGCCACGTATCTGGTGATATGGTAAACCTGCTCGGAGACCAGCTGCTCAACATGACGCAACAACTGTTTCTGTGGGATGGTATCAAAGCAGGCTTGGATATCAAGCTTGACGAAGAAGAGTTGGGGTAAATGGCCAGCCTTTGGTCCTGCCGATACTGACGTATTCCGGCTGAGCTGGTTCTTGAACTCTTTCAGTCTTGAGTGCATATCTCCCACCGACATCAAGGACGAGCCCAGCTTCTTGGGACACCGTTCACGTTCGTAGCTCAACATATTGTAGATAGGAGCCAGGTTGCTATTGACGCTCGCCCCCAGATAGGTCTTGTTATTGCCCCATTGGGATTTCATCAAGAAGCGTTTCTTCAAATTCAAGATTGGTCGTAACCCAGTCGACTTTGGAAGCAGCCGAAGTGCACCCAGCCCTAGAGACCGCTTGTCCAGCATGACGTGGGCCATTTCGGGGCTTAGTTGCTCGAATGTGTTTGCTTTGAGGTCTGCCATCGGCTGTTCCGTCAAGCTTCGCCAGATATCATGTCGAAAGTAGAAGAGACGGTTGCGGTGGGTTTGAGATTCGGTGACGTAGAAATTGGTACGGACGAGGGGAATCAGGATTGAGTCGAAGATGTAATAAACAAACTCATGCAGCAGTTCTGTGCGTTTTTGGAAATCTGACAGTGCGAGCTTTTCATTGCTAGAGCCTGATGAATTCTGCAGCTTCAGGGGTGCTAGCCAAGAGATGTGAATGATCTATAGACTTTGTTAGCAACATATCATCGTAATGACGACGAGATCTTACCTTCAGGCCACTGCACACCTCATGCAGACTCGGACTCTCGAATCGACGCATTCTGATGAAGGTATCGACATGCTTCATGATGATCTTGCGATTAGCCAAGCCCTCCAAACCATCTCCGAAAAATTGAGGTGGCACGACTTTGAGCAGTACAGCACGACAAAACGCTGAGACGGCAGATGCGGGAGTAGCAAAATCAGTCAGATTGACCTTGCGCTTCGGACCTCGCCTAGCCGCTGTTTTGCCTTTGGTAGCGTTCCCAGCGGCTTCGGGTGTATCAGGCTTATTGTTAAAAAGCCTGGTAGAGGACGGGGCTTGTGTCACCAAGTTCTCCTCGACCGAGAATTCCGTTTCGCTGTTCTCTGCTCGCTTCTTCACGAGAGGAGGCGCGGAGCCAAGTTTCCATGGTTCAACAAGCTGTACGATATTAGAAGACAATCTTGATCCGAGGGAAGACTACTCACTTCATCGGGGCAGTAATGATCTAATAATTGCCGATACGAACATTTGGCATGGCGAATCCGAAGTCTCCGAACAAGCTCCATGGTCTGACCACGAAGTCGCTTGGGCAGCTTGGTATGAGCAGCTTCTTCATTGTGCCCGTTTACCTGATCACCGCTTACCGCAGGGCGGCGTAGCTGCTCCTTCTCTATGAGCTGAGAGATTTCCGGTTCGCGAAAAACAATGTTTTGTGTATTGCCATTGCGATTAGCTGTCGAGGTGAACACGTTCTGGAGGCCGAATTGCCGGGGAAAAATGTAGTTTGTCACTTGAACTGTCTGCGCTTCCGAGTCGAGAGATTTGTATCGATTGAGTACATCTGAGCTTCGTCAATATGTGGGTTCACCCCGTGAGTGAATAGAAGGGGATCGCGTACGCGTGTCGCCTAGTCCAGAGCGCACCTCTCCTCTACTTTCACCTCCATATCTGCCATAGAACATACGCCGGCGAGAGAAGACAATGCTATTAGAGCCATTAATCCCTTTGTGACTCTTGCCGTCTTTATTCCCCGGCTTGGCGGGCTTTGGATCTATCGAGGACTCCGAGGCCGTGGGACATTTCGGATCAACGGGCTCAAGTTCCGATAGTGGTAGTCCTTCGCCCGACATTAGGCAAGAAAATTCAAAAGTAGCAGGCGTACGGACATACCACTTAGCTGATAGTAGATACCCCTCCGAACATTCACAGGCGCAAAGATACCACAATCGAATAACAACCTCATCATAATCTCATCACCGTTCTCGCCCAAAAGGCCCAAAACATCCGTCCATGGCGATTCTTTCAGGGTTCGCACATTCTTATTCGGAAACTGCGCAACCAGGCCGAGAATACTGGTTTCCAGAATACTCGGGTCCGTCGGTCGATGGGGACCATAGCCGTGCGTGAGCAAGTGTTGGGGTTTCTGATACCCCGGAGTGCGGGCGAAGAGCGACTCGATCACAAAATTGACCACCTGGGCGAGAACAATTTAGCGACCCGAAACAAAGTAGGTCCGTACAGACGGTCTTTGACGGTCTTTGACCATCTATGATACTACAATCAGAACCATACCTCAGCTTGGGGCGACGTTGGCCCGGTGTCCGTGCTAACCAGGATCGAGCGTGACTGAGATTGAGTAAAAGCCCGAAAATCACGCTGGCGATCGGAGTCTACCTTTGCCGATGGGTCTTTAAGTACGCCTACAAGCGTGGAATCTAGCAACTCGGCGAGTGGGGAAACCGAATCCTCGAGGTCCGCTATACTTGGCGAGCCTAACGGGCGCAGTGAAGCGATGCGCCGGCGTCGCAACTTTGAAGAAGCGGGGAGTTGGCGTAGAAGGTATTGTCGCAAAGTCAGGACTTGTCGGTAGTATAGCGAAATCACGGGGTGTGTTGTCATCTGGTCGTCTTGCGATACTGGAACTTTGGCGACTTTGAAACGCCCGGGCGATGCGGTGATACTAGGCTGAGACGCGGGCGTGGGACCGCAGTCCTTGACGGGTCTCTTGCGCTTCTTGCCCATGTTCCCCTTGTTCTTTGTGGTTCTGGTAGATGTCGAGAACAGGGAATTGACGACGCGTGAATCGTTCCAAACCGGCTTTTAGATGGTCAATTGCGTATTTGAGATGGGTGGTGTAGACGCGGGTCTTTGACGCGTCTCGGTGGGGAGGGGGAGAGAGAGTTTGGGACCTGCGTCAGACCCAGGCCGGCGCCGCTGTCGATGTTGTCCCTGTACACCCGCACTGTGTACATATGTAGTGCACAGGCTGCAACAGTAGCTTCGAGGCGCGCCTAATGTAGATATTGAAGTTTTGTATAGATTTTGAAACATGTCTAGGATGTTTCTCTCTTCTCCTCGGAATTCTCCTCTGTTCTTAGTCTTTGCTATGTCCCATATCATATCCAGGGTTAACCGTGTGGCGATCGGATAGTCTGAAACGAACCTAACGATCCATCCACGGACGAACGATGGGCTAAACTAAGTCTGAGAGAGAGACTTCAGGGGGCTGGCGACAATGGCCTTGTGCGACCAACGGAGGTGGTAGATATCGCCGAGTCCTCAAGGAGAGATAAGATGATCATTTGTACTCCGCACAAGTGGTATGTATACTTCGAAAGTGACTACGGTTCAGGCGTACCGTACCATCGAGCGCCAGCAAGCCACTGCCGGGTCCTCGATCATTTCGGGTAGGCAGTCAATCCGAGAGCCATAAGCTGCATCCTATTTCGTACCGGTATTCTTCTTCAAGTTGAACCACGTTATAGTGTAAAGTGCAGACGGCACCAGCCGGAGGATTCAACCAAAAAAAGACAAAATTAAAAATAAAAAATAAAATGCCGAGTTGACCCACGGAACGGGGCGAGGGTCTAGAAGGCCTGCGCTTCAATTGCGTCCCCACTGCGTCAGCCCGTTCCATGTCCGAGAGGAATTTGGGACAGGGGCAGGTTTTCATGTTCCTGGAGTATTTCCGCCGATTTTCAGGGGAGCGATAACAAATCCGACAGATAGAAGCACCAAAAGAGTATGCAGCCTGAAGCTAAGCTACTGGATTCCCTATACTACAGTGCCTGTATATTGAATTGACTGGTCACCAGCTTACCACTTCGCTGATACTGGTTATACTCGTAGAAGGCGTGGCGGTATAGTCAATCGGGAGACGAGTACACACTACAATTACACACAGACCGATCTAGATCCGATCGAGATTTGAAATTACAGAGAACGGTACTCCATCCGTTTAAACGGTCGTGGATTGCTCTACGATGTACGGAGTACTCTCTTGAATCCGTCTCACAAAGGAAAGCCCGTCTCCAATGAACAAAGCAAGGGAACCCACCCGTGGCTTCCACGGTTTCATCGTGAAAAAGACGCAAAGACTGACTAAGGGACGATTCACTCGACGAGGGACTGACGACTGACGACTGACGACTGACGTTTGACGGCTGGCACAGACTTGAAATCTGCGGAGACCTTTGCCTCGCTTCCTTTTCCCGAGTCTCTCGGGGTTTCATGTGAGGGACTGGTCAACTCGACTCTCGTCTTTCTCCCGTCCTCTCGATCTCACCTCACCGATCCTCGAGAACTTAACGTATCTGATTCCTTCGTACCTTTTGTGCCGCCTCTTCCCTGTCGACTACTCCCATCTTTTCACTTGATCACATCCTTTCGCACTCTTGCTCTCTGCAGAGCCGATCGACACTGCAGTTCCAGCGGCCCCCCGAAGCTAACGATCGGGCCCGGCGGTCTGCCCCCCCCCTCCTCTTCATCCACTGGCTATCAGAAGAAAAAAAATCCCCCCACGGAAATCTGGCTGAAGAGACGAACAAAACGTCAGTGCCCGCTAATCCTCCCGCCAACTCTCATTCGTCCACTTTGTCTCGGGCTGCTCCCCGCTGACGCCTCCCAGGGCTACTAGTCACTGTACTTCGCACAGCTCATCGGCCGATCCCTCCGTTCTCCATCAATCTGGTTTCCCACCGCTTCACGATCGTCGCTTCACCTCGGACCCTATCGTTTAACCTTCCTCCCCTCATCCCCCACCACTTCGCTGTCTTCCCCCCTCTTGGTCCTTATCTCAGCCTCCATTTTCTTAAAAGCCTCGAGATCTCGACTCTCGTGGGACTGGGTGTCTCGAATATGCTGTTGAATGGGGGTGCGCCACCCAGCGATTGCTCTGTAGCCTGAGCCCGTTTCCATCTGCGACATTTACCCGTTGGGCGTTCATTCCCGTCCATCCCAGGCCAACGCATCAGTCCACGTCGCTCGAGCCTGGAACATGCAAAATGTCCGGCAGCGGTGTCGAACAGGCATCTGGTGTTCGAAATCCCGACCCGCCTTCGTTTGGGCGTCAATCCTCAGCGCCCACCTTCAGCCAATCCGCTTGCCCCAGCTCCTCAACCTTTGAGACCTCCCCGACCGCTTCCTCCCTCTCGAATCCCACGTATGCCGCCCTTCGATCAGGCCTCGACCCTGCTCATCCTTTGGAACCCGGTGTACATTCACATCAGGCCTTTGGGGGCCGTGACTCTCCCAATCCGGACGACTTCTACCGAAGTGAAGGTGTGCCCGCAACAACCGATGGCCTGGCCGGAATCGACAATGTGACAAGTGGAAGGATGGCAGCTGGCTATAGCGACCTGGCGGACAGGGTGTCCCCGCTGCCAACGGACAATTTGGACTATTCGCGCGCTAGACGGCCAGCGTATCGGTCGACCTCTGATTCGTCTGCTTTGAGAGGTCCGTCAGCATCTGTACCTTCCACTTCTTCAAGAGCCCGCCAACCTTCTTTCAAAGAACTGGTGAACAAATTCAACAAAACCTCTGACGACGTTCTTCCCTTACCTACCATCTCTCGATCTACTTCACGGGCTGCAAGTCCCTCTGGTAGCCTTGACAGCGACCACCCCTCACGAACCTTGCCGCGACGGCGCCATCTGCGCGGCGAATCTCCACCGCCAGTCTCCACCACGAGTAATCCTAGGCTGCCGGTTGATCCAACACCTTCGTCACCGGAGCTGGAGCGCCCTGGACCAGATCCGTTAAATAGGGAACTCGTGATACCTCCTCCACTCTTCCAGCGCATCCCGAAATCGCATCCTCGACGACCACTGTTCGGGGAGCTGCTATCGGTAAATACCCAGCTGAACAATTTGGGATTTGGTATCCCTACCCATATTCAACGTCGAGGCTCTGAAGGGAGCCTGCCCAGTCCGAGCCCAGCTTTCCTCGACCAGTCGCAGCCTTCATCAGCGCGTTCGCCATTAACGCCAACCGCGTGGTATCTTGGACAGACAAGCTCTCTCGAAGCAGTGCAGACGGGATTGAACGGTACAAGCAGCTCTCATCGCAGAGCTCGAAGCGATTTAGCTGGTAATCCCTCGAGGGAGCCCCTTGCCGATCCGTGGACTCCCGATATGGCGGTTTCAGTGCCCTTGCGGCAAACAAAGCCGGGCGATGAATCGCCCGGCAGCCCGAATTCCAGATCCCGCATTCCTGTCTCATCACACCGTCTACCCACTGCTTCCGGCCCAGAGAGCCAGTCATCGACCTCGAATTCCACCTTCAGCAGTCGGTCTTCCGCCATTCCTCTGGCTCCGAAGGGTAGCAGCCGCCTTCCCAAACCGTCTGGAAAGGACAGCCCGCCCCGCATGGCGGAAACCGGCCCCGCTTCGTTTGCGATGACGGGGCGCGGCAGACGCGATTTGACAATCGGCCGAAGCCGTACACAAGTCCCCGAACGAAGTCAGCTTCTCCAAGCATACATCGCTGCACCTCCTCCGTTGAAATCACCACCATTGCGCAGTTCACGACCTCGTCAGCCGATCTCACACGGCGGGCCAATGTCTCCGCGGTCTCGAATTGGTGATAGGATATCTACACTACAACAAAGGTCCGATCCGGATATTGAGCCATCACGCGGTCCTCGCACACGACCACGACGATTGCCCGAACTGGGTAATGTTGATTTTGAAACTCGTCGACAGCGAATTCAACAAGCTTTCACTCGCACAGTCCAGGAGAATGAGCGAAAGGAGGAAGCCGCTGCCGAACTTCGACGCCGTGCTCGAGAACAAGAAAGAGCAGCTCACGGAGACGCCGATACTCCAACGGATGAGCAGGCGACAACTCCCAGTGCTGCCACGGCTAATCCCAAGAATTTGCCATCCGAAGAGATGGCTACGATAACGCAATATGTCAGTGTTACGGCGGACGGGGGCAAGCAACAACGCACCGTTCCTCAACTCCACCTAAATACGGCAGTAGAAGTTACGGAAAGCAATGCGCCACACACGACAATGGACTCCCCGACTTTGGGGAATCCTGAGGGGACTCATCGCGAGTCACATGATACGGCGCCTGGTCAATATCACGGTGACGACGTCGAGCCCAAATCAGCCATCTCGACTGGCTCGAGTGATACCCACGTCACCCAGTTTGATCCCGAGCCTCAGTCCGGCTTACTTGAGCGGAAAACCAGCTTGTCTCATCGGACTCTGTTGAACCATATAATGCAAATCCGTGAGTCAAGCTCGAGCAGCGATTCCTGTGACGAGCCAGACTGCAGTCTATCGGAGACCGACGACAAGGCATCGATCAAGATCATGCTCCGCGAGTCCCAGTACTTGCGCTCTGGTAGTAGCACGGATACCGAAGAACCCCGATCTGCGCCTTTGCCGCAAGCCGAAACTAGGGATCAGCCTCGGTGGAGTTTGAGCTCATGGGATTCGTCCGTCCACCACAATCAGACATCTACTTGCGATGAACACTGTGAGGAAAGTGGAGATGACGCAGCTTTGCAGGATGACCAGGCGGCAGAGCCGGCAACACAATCTTGTTCTGCAGCTTCGACAAGCTCGCCCTCGTTCGATGAGAATGACACTACCTCTCCTATCCAAACAGACATCGGTTTGATGGGACCTGACACCGTTGAGTACACGCAGCAGCAACAATCCAGCCATGCGTTCTCCACGCCTCCCAGTCTGGCTAAACAAGGCCGCTGGGACTCTCGCCGTGTCACTCAGCTCTATCTGGAGGAATTGACTCGGGGAAGAGCCAATAACAACAGCGGCAATAGCAACACTGGCAATAACTTGAGCAATCCCCCTCTTTCGGCATCCCGCACAGCTCATTTTGTTCCACCTCGAGCCCATGGTCACGGTAATAGCCTGACAGATGATCCAATCCTCGTCCCCAGATTCCAAGAATTACCAGTTGCAGACATCATGCCGGGATTCCATGAAATCCCAAGACCGGAGCAGCAAAGATTGGATGGTTTCTCTCCTTCGGCGACTTTGGCTAGACCAAGTGATTGGGAACATGCATCTCCATCTATCATGGACTGGATGCAGATTGCTGCCGAAGACGAGGCTATCACTCCGGGAAGTGAAAATGATGGTGTAGCTCCTGATGGCTTACCCACTCCCCGCCTCCAGAGAGCCGCAGTTGAGCTAGAGGCCTCGAGGAGCTATGACTCCGGCCTCGGGCTATCTATCAATATCCAGCCGCCAGTTCGTGAAATTGCGGAGCTTCCTGCTGACACGTCCTGCTCTGGCAAAGACTTGCACTCAAAACCCCAGGTCCTTCCCGATGCACCACAACTGCAGGCTACACACAGCACGGAAAGCAGTGAAGATTCATCATTCCAACGCCTAGACTCCGCCCAATCACGTCAGGCTGCAGATTCGTCTGCAACGTCTCTGGCCCCATCTGCGGAACAATCTATGCGTGCCGAGCCGCGCAAGTCCCCTTCGCCCGAGCAGCGACGTCTGAAGAAACGACGTCATGTCATCAAGGAGCTTGTTGATACCGAATATACATTTGGCAAAGATATGAAGGTGGTCGACGATATCTACAAAGGCACTTCTTCCTCTTGTCTGGATCTCTCCGCAGAGGATGTCAAGATTCTGTTTGCCAACTCCGACCAGATTGCGCAATTCTCGTTCAACTTCCAAGACACGCTGAAGAAAGCTGCTCGCAGTGTCTACATTATGCCCAAGTCTCAGCGTTGGAGCAGCAAGCGCAGTGCACGTCAAAATCGTTCGGCCGATGTTGCCGATGACCAGAATGGCGCTGACGGGAGCACGTCTGACCTCGAAAAGGACCGTGCCACTGCCATTGGCGAGGCTTTCACGCTTCACATCCCCCAAATGGAGAAGGTGTACACCGAGTACTTGAAGAATCATGAAGCTGCGAACAAAAAGCTTCAAATTCTCCAGCGCAATCAGAAGGTGTCCATCTGGCTGAATGAGTGTCGCGAATGGGCGTCAGATCTCACTAGTGCGTGGGACCTCGACTCCCTTCTCGTCAAACCTGTACAACGAATTTTGAAGTACCCCCTTCTCTTGTCCGAGCTTCTGGAATCAACCCCCCACGACCACCCGGATCGCATCCATCTTCAGACTGCTCTGCAAGAAGTCACTGATATCTCCGTTCGAATCAACGAAATGAAGAAGCGCGCGGATTTGGTAGGCCAAGTCGTTGGCCGCAAGCGCAACCAGTCCGATGTACGAGCAGGTTTGTCCAAGGCGTTCGGTCGCCGTACGGAGAAATTGCGCCAGCAGGTTGGTCTTTCGGAAATGTTCCAAGACAAGGAGTATGATTATCTGTTTCAAAAGTTCGGTGAACACTTTGCCGAGCTACATGTGATCAAGAATGATGTGGTGATATATAAGGAGAACACCGATCAAGCAATGAGGCAGCTTGGTGCATACGTCGGGGCTATCGAAAAGGTTGTCGATGTGGTTCCGTCCAGTTATCCCGAGTTGGAGAGCAAATGGCGGCGCTTCAATATGGCGTTCCAGGAAATCGTTACTGTTGCGCTTCCTGAACATGTGAGATTTCCCCCCCCCCTCCGGGAGTTACATCCCAGTTTGCAATCATTCCTAACCTTTTCCCTTCAGCTCGATCTAATCACCAAGCGCGTCCACGACCCATTTGAGTCAATCATCCGACTCTATCAAGGTCCTGAGCGGGTCATGAGGAAACGCAATAAGCGTCTTCCCGATTATGCCCGCTTCAAGGCTGCCAAGGACCGTGGTGATAAGCCTGACAAGAAAACCACCGAACAGGGCGAGCAGTTCATCGCTCTGAATGAGACTCTGAAGGACGAACTGCCCAAACTCTTCACTCTGACGGGTAAACTCACCGAAGCCGTGATGACGAACCTGCTTCAGCTCCAAACAGTGTGGTGGAGCATGTTCCAGACGAGAATGGAAGCTCACGTCGATGCCTTCCCTGACGACTTTAGCAAGATGATCAACGACTGGAACAGCGACTACAGCTTCGCCGAAGCTCAGGTTCTTTCACTTGGTGTCTGCAATGGTTCTTTGTTGGCCGATACCATCAACTTGATCAACTTCAATACCTCTTCCAACGTCGCTTCCCCTCGTCGCCCTTCCACCGTGAACAGCTCCTCCCACCGACCTGGCTCTATGGCCGAGGACTCGCCAAAGGTCTCCACCGACTTTGGCGTTAGTCAGCTCTTCCAGTCTCCCAACATGAGCCAGTCCGGCACAAGCCGTCATCGGGCGGACTCCTCCTTCTCTGGGCGTGCGCCTTACTCAGATACCCCGGACTTGGGGCGAAGTCAACTCTTGCAGCAAGTGACCAACACTTCTGGTTCTTCATCAGAGGTGCGGTCTAGCACTGAGCCGTTTCCCAGTCTGCCAAGTCTGAGTTTGGACACGCCTTTCCTTGCCGATGTGATCGGTGCGTCAAAGCCGGAGAACCCTCCAACCTCCCCCACTGATCGATACTCGGGGTTCTTCTCTTCGGCCATGCCAATGTCGGACGCACCAAACGAGGTCGAGGTCCACCGCGTTCCCAAGGTTCTTCCCGAGGGAGCCAAAGTTCTCTTTGTCGCCGCCAGCTTGTACAAGTTTGACATCGACCGTCCCCGGAGCGAGGCAGGTTTCCCATACCTGACCTACGAGTCCGGGGCGGTCTTTGATGTCTACGGCGAGAAAGGTGAACTTTGGCTCGCTTGTAATCAGGATGAGAATACCGAGGACCTGAATGTCTCGGTTGAGGAACTGGCCGCGATGGACCCTGGCGCTCGTGCGATCACGTTGGCAGAGATCCAGAGGCGGAAGACGGAGAAGGAGAAGACTCTTGGGTGGATTTGGAACAAGCACTTCGTGAAGCTGGCATAAGCCACCATTCCACCTATCCGGTCACGAGTGCTTGTTTCATTTCCTGTTCTCTTTGCTGGCGATTTTTCTCACAGAACCCTCACCCAACTTTCGATTATCTTTTATCACCTTCTTATCTTCTCATAGGCCCATGGGCCAGATTAAGTTGGGTGAGGGCTCACGAGTTTCTTACGCCGGTATGACTTTTTTTGCGCTTTGGCTCCAGGTGAGCCCCCGAGCTACGTTGATGGCTGCTGCTTGTCCATCACGATTGTTTTTACCACCTCCGGTCCCTGGATAGTATGCGGGATCGGACTTGTACGTTTAGATACCCCATTTATTTTTATCATGACTAGTTGAATGAGCGTTCCATCATGTAGAATATTAATATCTCGGTTTCTGCTTGAGTTGGGCTTCGCACTATGATTCTCCGTGTATTTTCTATTCCTGAAGTTTTCCCAACCATAACGGTGTAAGAATGACCGTCTTCGACTCCTGACAGCTATAAAAATATACCGTAAAGGATAACCTGACGATCTCCTCGTCGATCTCCCAAATCGGTGTCGTCATCATGTGACCCGCCTGCGCGCCACATGTGACGCAGTGGAGGAGCCCGACGTCCCGACATTCTGCAGGGATCGATTCCTCCGTGCCTGAGTCAGTCCTCTTGTGAATAACCAACTCTCGACCGTACATATTCGCCGGGATGCCATCAGTCTGAACCCCATCGCATCCATCCCCACATTGCATCGACAAGCCTCGGTCACTGATAAGGCTGCGGATCGACCCTCCACTCCTTGTGCAGCACCCCGCCGAGTCAACCAAAACCATAACGGGACCTCCCGAGTCGATACATCATCTGGTGCCCAAGCGCAGCACTGTGATACCTTCGCACAACTTGCAATACAGAGCAAAAAGTCTTTCTTCTCCTTCCGCCGCCGTAGGGCTGACGGGCTCTCTCTCCGAAAGCACCGTCCAATCCGGAGCGCTATCCGACCGACTTCCCCACTCGGACAGTGCAGAACTGGGGGGTGTTTAATATTTCGCAAACCGAAACGTGCCGTTTCCCCGTGCCCGTCCTGTTCGCCATCGCCATCGCTTTATACAGCGTACCTTGTGTGGAGTCCACTAGCCTCGAGTCCGTGTGGATAGTGCCATAGATCCTTTCCGCCCTTGGACTTTCAAGAATCTTGTCGCCTAGTCTTTTTTTCGTTGCGTGTACTTGGCCGTGGCGCAGCGGGAGATTTTCTTGTGACGGGCGACTTTCTTTTTGGGAAATTGCAGCTTCGTCATCTTCGAGATTTCTGATTCAGAACAATATGTTGGACGGCGGTTTGGGCAAATTGCAGAGGAGGATGCGGGGTCGGTTTGGCGATACAGTGAGTTATTGACGTGTGGGTTTTGGTCTTGGGGTTTAGCACTGACCAGCGCAGCTAAATCCCGATGATGCCTACTTGAGCTGTAAGTTTTGGAGGGATACCTACGCTCGTGATGAAATGGTATACTGACGAGATATTTTGCGCACTCATAGACTACGACATTCGCTGTACGAATACATCTAGCTGCGACGGCTCCAGACACATCGGCTAACAATGTTACAGTGACGCGAGAGGACATGCAATGTCTCAAGAACGATTGGCTCACAGACAATGTGGGTTTGCGAGCGATTTGTATCTGGCTTGACAGCTAACGCTAACTCGGACATAGATCATTTCATTCTGGGAAGAGTAAGCTCCCTCGACTCGGCCTTGTACTCGACATCACCCCCGAATCAAAGCTAATTTCCGGTTGCTCTAGATACCTGGAACATGAATTTCTCTCCCAATACAAGACCTCCAATATCGTCCTCCTCCGACCCAGCATGTCATTCATGCTCCTCCAGACTCCCGACCCGCGCACCCTCCGCCAAGCTCTTCCCGACTTCTCTCGAACCACCCACGTCTTCCTCCCCATAAATGATTGCCACAACGTCACACAAGCAGAAGGTGGTACGCATTGGTCATTACTGCTGATCTCAATCGTCGACGGCATCGCTTTCCACTATGATTCCTTGGTATATGGAAATCATGACGAAGCTAGATACGTTACCACACAGTTTAGCAAACTCCTCGGACGGCCACTCGCCTGGCAGCACCTGCGAGACTCGCCTCAGCAAGACGGAGGGAGTGACTGCGGCGTGTTCGTCTGTATGAACATGCGCCATCTCCTTCTAAAACGACTCCTCATGGCTAGCGCCCATGAAAAAGTCAGCATGAGTCTCGGCGGACGGAAAGTCGACCCCAGCGCCTCGCGCAAAGAAATGGCCAAGATTATAGAAGGATTCCGGAAAGAAGGCGAGCGCCGACGGTCGTGAGTTTTCCCTATGATGTACAGTCCGCGGGCAATTGTGCATGCTGTTCTTGATATGCAGATACTAATTTCTGGGATTGTCTAGGGCAAGTGCAAGTCCTATGGGAAAGAAATCGCGGAGTCCCCCACGGATTGAGTGAATCAATCCTGTGCTGTTATGAGTTTATGCCTGTTATGCTTTTCCTTTTTTTGTGTTGGCATACATTATTTCTATCAGAAAATGAGTAACCATGGTGGATACAGACTTTGGTTTGAGTGAGTACTTATGAGCGCTGCATGGGTTTTGAGTCTCGAGTCTCGAGTTTCGGTGATTTTTCATGCTTTGTTGATTGGCACGATAATACATTTGTTCTGTATACGCCTTGACCTTTCTCGGGTATCACGTACTTGAGTCCTTTAATGAGAATGTAGTCCACGATATTCTCATGCTTGTGTTGATTTCTTCTTGATTGAGTGGGTAAAAGCCGATTTAGGGTCGGTCCTAACTAACACATATAATCAGTTTGCATTCGACTCTTGCTTGGCCCATCCTACACCGAGTATTCGGCAAGGTAGTCAGTCAATCTTGGTAATTCTCAACCTGAATCAATTGTTCTTAAAATCATCCAGAACGTGGTGGGAGATTTCAAAGGCTTTATAACAATTCTAGGCCGTTAATTGACACCGGCGAGCTGAATAAAGGGGAACTTAATCATACTGTCATTCAAGATCTAAAGTAATATCAAGTTGGGAATCTTAGATATACAACCGAAACATTCGACGCTTGGCTAGAGGTCCATAAAAGTGTCCGTGAATATCTGATATATTGGTCCTAAGCACAGATAGCAAACACGTTTGTGGGTAACCGCGGGCAACACAGGAGGCCAACTATCATGACTCAACTTGAGATACACGAACGAGCCTGCTGGATGTGTGGCCGTGGATGTTTGTATGGACATCGTTCTCATGACGGCCACTTAGGTATACTCCTTCCTCTTCTTCCATTCACGCACAGCATCCCATCTCGCCTTGAAGCTCGAGCTCCATCTTGACTGCCGATGAGTAACGCTGGCCTTTGACGAACTCTTGACCATCGTCTTTTCAAGCAGCTCCAGAGAGGATCACGTATCGTTGTCCGTAATGAAGCTCTAAATTCCCTCTCCTTCCCCCCTTCTACTTCCCTTTCTCCGAGTCCCAAGCTGTCTGATCATGCCGTGAAAAGGCAAGAAGCACGCCAGACACGGATTCCGTGGGCTGAGCCGCTTCAGTCAACCAGTTCTTCGCGACGTTCCACTTCGAACATTATATCTCTTTGAGGAATCCTACTTCGATCAGCTTATCTGTTGGCAGCCGCAGATTGGCCATCTTGTTCCTCGTATTATCCCGGATCCACAAGAAGATCTGTAACAAGGTTTTCCGGATGCGTGCTGTGTTGGACTTGATTTTCAGCTCCTCCTTTCCCACGATATAGAGCACTTTATGTGAATATGCCGCATCGAGTTTAGAGATTTCCGAAACGAGGAGGGCGCGGGCATCTCTGCTGCCCTCCGCTATCGAGCAGTCAGGATTCACAGGATCCTTTTCCTCGCCCTCTTCGTCCAATGACACGCTGGTCCCTCGAGATGTTAGATATTTCCGGACCTGGTCGACGATTACGCTCGCCAGATTGGGGGTGATTATCACGTCGTTATATCCAAACCGAACAACCAGTCGGTAACAGTTTGGGATGGCCAAACGCGACACGGTGAATCGATTCTCAACGGCGATCGAAGGTTGTTCGACGGGGCGCAAATGGAAGAACACAATCACCTCGGGCAGAGCGGTGAGCTTCAGCACGAACTGGCTGAATACGATCGGGGTCGTCTCACCCGCTTTATCAAAGAAGATCCCAAGACCGCGGGTATGACCGATTGGAAGTTCGCCGTAGCGTTTCGACAGGGAGACTTGGCCATTGGGATTAGACACGATGAAATGCGATGTGGGGAAGCGGTCTTCGGCTTCAGCGAACCATTGTTGTTCTTTGCCGTATCGCCACAAGAGAAACAGCATGGCGAGAATTGCAGCCAGCGTGATCGTGAACCAGGCTCCTTGAGGCACCTTGGTCAGCGCCGAGGAGAGATATGCCCCATCCAGGCAGGCCACGGTGAGCCACGGGAGGAAGACAAGATACGGGCTGATCCGCCAGACGAACATTGCTGCCAGAGAAACCATGCAAGTGTCGAAGAACGTCACAAACATGACGCATACGCCGTACGCATTACCCAGGGACGTTGTCTGCAAAGCTATGCGATAAGTTCCTGAGAAAAAAAATGAAACAGGCAAAGGAAGAGGGCACGTGCTTACATTGTTATAGATCGATGCGATTAAGATGGTTCCAATCATCAGCAGCCAATTCGCAATGGGAATGAAAAGCTGTCCGTGGAATATCCGAGAAGTGTGGATTACTTTGATGTGAGGGAAATAAGAGAGTTTCATCACTTGTGCTAGAAGCTGCCAGCGTTGTCAGAATGGATCTTGGTCTAGGCATAGGGCCGTGACTCTCTCACCTGGAAGGTTGCGGTAATGATGGCCTGCGAGGCAACGATAGCAGCTAGAATGGCAATGACTAGGGCTGGATAGAGGGTTCCAGGCGGGGCCGATCTGAAAAAGGGATTCACATACGCCTCCGGGTGGACGCTGATATACGCTGCCTGACCGATATATGCTAATAACAGGCACGGAAACGTGTAGCACAGCCAACTGATCTGGATCGCTCGTCGGCTGAAGGCGCCCAGGTCCGCAAAGAGGGCTTCCACACCCGTGAAGGCGAGCAGAATGCCACCCAGCATCCTCCATCCGTCCGTCTTGTTACGGATCAAGAATTCGAACGCAAAGCCAGGATTAAAAGCCTCGAAGACCCGGGCATCATACTTTGCGAGGTTGTATATCCCGAACGCCGCGTTGAAACCAAGCCATATAATCACAATTGGTGAAAACGCGAAGGATAGTTTTGTGATTCCCAGCGGCTGGACAAAGAACAGCCCTATCAGAATAGCATCGGTGATACCGATCACCGTGCCTTTGGAAATTCCAGGCTGCACAACCTCAATGCCTTGAACGGCTCCGAGAACTGACTGGGCCGGAGTGAGCAGGCCATCAGCCAGCACCATGGTAACGGCCAGCACACCAATCACTTTCAGCAACCCGCGCGCGAACCGACTGGACTCTAAGCGTTGGCGCACCTTCTGACCCGCGCGCTCCAGGTCGCCGGACAGATACCGTTTCATCTGGATTAACGAGGCCTCTCTGGGATCACGGTGGGTAATGTTCATCTGTGAACCAGTCAGCTCTTGCGAGACAAAGATCGCCCGGAGCACTTGCGTAGCGGCTAAGGAGAGAATAGGTACTGAACGTGCCACCTTCACCGTCGTTATCGGCACGAAGGATGACCAGTATGTATTTGACAGTCACCATCATGAAAAGGCTCCATATAATGATAGATAGAGCGCCTATTAGATCTTTCCGAGAAGGAGGCGACGGAAATGTGGATGAGAAGACGTATAGGGGACTGGTGCCAATATCGCCATAGATTACGCCCACGGACTGATATGCCAGCCAAAACAGCATCTTGCCTTTGAATACCTACTAATGGTGAGTGAAGTTGGTCCTTAGCGGTCCCTCATTGTTGCGATGCCTACCTGTCTCTGCTTGAAGTCGTCCGGGTTTCGCAAGCCTGGGTCGTCGTCTGGTTGCTCGGAGGCTGATGTGGTTCTACTGATCCGCTCCGGTATCCTAGGGTGTGAGCGAATATTGTAAATCCCGTCATGGACTTCCTCTTGTTGTGATCGGGCTATCGATTGCGACTCGGAGATCACAGGGCCTGTGGTTGATCCATCATCGCCAGGCAGCGACAGGGCCGGCTCACCTCCCGCATGCGCGGGATCAGCGATCCTGACAGTCGTCATTTTGTCATAAAACACAATAAGCAGTCGACATGGATGCTGAGCCCGATGGCGAGAGAAGAGGAATGCATAGGTTGTGTCTGGCTAGCTGGAAGCGTGGTAACGCGTCTTTTAACCATAACTACAGCTAAGCTTCCCGAGGAAGCTTTTTTTTTGAGAGTTTATCACGGCGAGCTTACGAATTCAATGAGCTAATGAGTTGCTGTATTCACCTGTCTGATGAGCTGAGGTCGAGCCATTGAATAACAACGCCACATGGCAAAATGGCAGAAAACGGGGATAGCGTTGAACCCTATTCACGGCATGACGCGTGGGGAATTATGCGTGCTAAGCAAAATAAGCTTTCTCGCCCGTTCTATAATAGGACTAGATATATCCCTCATACTCAACTCTGGCAAAGAATAAGCTAATTATCTCTTGTGGACAAGAGGCCATAATTTGCCAAAACTCTTGATGGTGACTACTGTCTGGTGGAAATGGTGTCGAGGCTGTATCTGCAGGAGTATGGTGAGAGCTTTCCTGTACAATACCCACGAACCTCGACCAAGGATGGATATTTTTAACTTCGATGTAATATAACCTTAGTACAGTGTTTCAATATTAAGGAAAATTTGTCTCGTCACCCATCATAATCTTTGGATGCTATAGCACACTTATACATTGCACCCATCCCACAGAAAGACACGATCGCGAGCAGCATCATCCAGGACACAGCTTTAGATGGCGTGATTCAGGTTGGTTTCTAAAATCATTAGGGATGCTTAATATGACTCGATGAGATAGGACATACAAGAATCGTTTGACCCTAGCTGGAGTATTCCTTCAATGATATCTTGTCGACTGTCTTTTGGACTTGACTTGCTGTAGAAAAGCATTGCATCGCGATAAAGTTCAGGGGCGCACTCGCGATATCCTCGAGCGTCTTCCATAATCATGTCGTAAACACTGCTTTCGTGTACTGTGCATGGCCCATCGCCGGTATCACGTAGATCGGTATATATACCGTCTTTAGCGTTACCATCTATATGGTATCGCGCGTAGATTGCATCTCCATAGCGCTTCTCAGAAATAGCTGTACAGTAGCGAGATGCCCATGGTTCGACCATTCGTATTCTCGCCGTTTTATTGATCACTTCTGCGACGGGAATATCGAGAAACAGCTGCTCGGGTAGGGAAGATTCCATATCTGTAATATCGCACTTGATAATTATTGGTAGGCTTTGCGAAAGAGATGTAGCAAACACCTGCATGTATTCAGGGGAAGGGTAGCGGAAAAGAGGTGGGGGTGTATGTAGAATCTTCGCAGCAGACCGCCTAACAATTTGTAGGCGTAACATTATTAGAAATATTGTTTCTTCCATATTCCAAGGAATTTTCATAGGCGAGGTAATAATAGGGTAGTAGTAGCATGGGGTTCTGCCTATATAGGCTGGTAAGGGCTGGATTACTTCGTATCTACATGCATCTAGCTGCCTATATAGATTGGGAATATATCTGGTGGTATGCCGGGTGATGCTATTTAATGGAGAATTCCCTCGGGGAGTTTGCTATATGATATCTATGATGGTGTTGATGGGGAAGGAGAAAATAAGTAACTAGCGAACGGCTGCTTGGTGGAAGTTTCCACGAGGAAGCTTCTGTAGATATTCAAAGCCGACCAGCCGAAAGATTGCCCTCTCTTCCCTTAGTCAGACTTAATTACTTCGAATAAAAGTAGCGAATTACTTGGATTTGAATGACTTGGATTTTGAATGACCGTAGCACCCTATGCCGTTTAGCCCTCTTGAGCCCAAGAAGCCTCTTATTGCCTTTCTCATCCTCTGAGAGATCGCTAGATGGATTAATTGATGCTGTTCTCACTGACTGCTTCCTATACATAGACCTAAAGACACCTTCAAATATGCATTCAGCTAAAGCTCTGGTAGAGATCATTTTCTTTTTCCCACCCTGCCAATCGGAAAATCCGTATGCGTCAAAAAAAAAAGAAAATTGATTAAGAGCCGGTGAAAACACGGAAGAAGAATCCTCAATAATTGTAATTGGAATACTAACTGGAATCTAACCCGCCCTCCGATATAGGCTTAAGAGATAAAGCTGGAATACAACTTCAGAGACATCCGTCAATAGGGAGATCCTGGCTTTAGATTCTTCCGCTTGGATGCAACTCATGCAACGCGGGTCCACCATACAACTCTGGCACTATGGCCTTGCTTTCTACTTCACTCACTTCGCGTTGCTGGGGCCGTCCGTCATCAAATAGATTTAGCTTATTTGAGGCTGATTGTCGCCGCCGTTTGAAGAAGCAAAAAGCGAACGCCCCAGCAACAAGAATGACTCCAACGCCAGCACCCACACCGATTCCAGCGGCAGCTCCCGGTGTAATCGCTGAAGATGAAGTCGACAAAGCCGAGGGTGTGCTCGAGCTCGGCACAGAGGTTGCGCTTGATTTCGATGTGGAATATGTGGCTGACCCGGTGACAGGGAGTTGAATGACGCGGATGAGATCTGCCGGAGCAGGAGCTGCAAAGACCTCGTCGGTTGTGCTAGAACAGTTTGGTTGTCCGCCGTTGTAGGAGCAGCACGCCCAAAGCTTGGAAGTGGAGTTGTAGACTACCTGTGCGCCAGCGAAGCCTCCTGAGGTGACCCGCTCGAGGGGTCAGTGGATTTTACGAAGGATCCCCGGGTCATGTATAACTAACCACAGTGAGTCTGACATGCTGGATCTTCCAGAGTTGGATCGGTACAATCAGCACTGTAGTATCCGTCACCGCCAGCATTTTGGCAGAGTCCATTGCTCATGCAAGTTGAACCGCGAACACAGCACGTCGTGTTATGGCCCACCTGGTCCACGTCTCCACACGGTAAGTCGTCATAGTTGATCTTCTTCACACTCGAGTGTAGATAATAGCAATTAGCCATTGCTTGGTGAAATCAAGTCCACATTCCCTGACAAAGAATAGAGGAGAAGTAAATTTGAAGGGAAAGGGGTCGAAGTTGGGGCCGCCGATCAACATTTTGGCCCCCAGTTCTCTAAGCGCTGTACTTTATAAATCAATGCCTTTGATGTACCGCGCTTGCAACATCGAGTCGATTGAGTCCCACGAATTCAAATGCGTTACAAAAAAAAAACTGTCCGAGTAAGGTAATACTGTAGTCATTGATCTCGTGATCGATGGAAAGAAAGTTGGAAAGACGTGTGTATTCGAGATTTCATCAATCACTGACCAAGGCATCAAGAGGGATTTTACATGCCAATACACCCCAGTCCTGTCTGCGCCTTTCCCGGTCTCCTCTATTCTCCACCATACAAGTTCTATACCCAGGACCATTAGTCCCATTCTACAATCTGATCTGCTCAATCAATACACCCTTTACCCCCATCTACACCGTCCTCTACAAACGCCCCAGGAAAAAATCATCCAGATGGAAAGAGTAATATGAGATAGACAAAGAGTCCTACCTAGAACCAATCCTACCAGTACCGCTAGAAAGACACGCCAATAAGAAGAAGAGTGAAAAGATTCAACGCAAATGCAGCCCCATCGCCAGCGAAAGACTTAAAAGGGACCGGAGAAAAGAAGAGGAAGGAAAGCGCCCTCAACACCGAACCATGTCGATCGCAACAGAGAACAACGGGCGATGGAATGGAGAGAGAGAGAAAAATAGGATCAGAAGAAAGGGGGTCCGAGCCCGAAACACACGAGAAGAAAGCGCGACTCGACAAAGTAGCCCATTGATGGTGTAATGTATGAAGTCTTGCAGATGGGGAATAGCAGTAATGGGAAACCCGGTAGCAGAGAAGATGGAAAGAGGAAGAGAGGTAAGGGGAAAAAGAAAAAAGTAAACCAGGGATGAAAAACCCAGTCAGCGCGAACCGCGCCGACAAAACCAAATCTATGCAGGTCATGACGTGTAGATGCGCGACGCAAATCGCATGTTCGAGGAGTTCGGGATAAGAAAAAGATAGGCGCCTTGGGGGGGGGAGGTCATAAGAGGGAAGGGTTTCCGAAATGGCGAACAAACGCTCAGCGTTCCAAATATAGAAGTGGTATAATATGCTAGTCATATGGATGACGGAATGGGTTGGGGAGAGGTCGGTGAACGAATCTGCGGCCCCCATACTCAGCTGCTCATGTCGGGGGCGGTTGGCGGGTATGCAAGCAGGGATCAAGGTGGAGTCGGAGTCTGGCCGAAGTCCGGTTGATCCTGGCGCTTGTCGCGGGATCGCATGTACATGGCATCGGCGGCAGAATCCGATGCGGGATTGATGGGTCGAGGTACGGATTGGTGTTGCTGTTGCTGTTGGGCCACAATCTCACGTGCATAGAACTCCACCAGCATGGTTCCGTAGGACTCTAGTTCCTCGACCGGAATGGCGAGTCGGAAGTCATTGAGCATAAGGAACTGAAGCTCGAGGTGGTTCAGTTCCACCAAAGGAAGACCGCCAACCTGTGTGGAAGCCAATACAGTGAGCCAAAATTGTTCCCATTTGGCAGAGGCTGTGGGTGGGGGAGGGGGGGTAATACCTTTGCATATCGTGAATTGGTGTAAAAGACATCAGAGAAGAATTTGCTCGCACAGGTCACGCCTGCGATGACCAGTCGGTGGATATTAAAACTATCAACGACAAAGAAATGGGAGAGGTTGTCATCTTCACCCTGGGGGTACAGGGCGGGTGAGATGGTGGAGTTGGGACTCGGGTCCTGGCCCGTCATGCGTGTTGAGGATGGTGGCGTCACCATCGAAGAATCCTGTTCTCGATGCCGCGAGTCCGTCACTAGTGACTCGGTCGATGTCGAGCTGGATAGTTCACCGGGGGTGGAGGTATAATGATGTTGCCCGTGGCCCAGTTGGTCCCGATTGACTAGCTCCGTCATGCGGTCAAAGTAGACCAGCAAGCTAAGGAATACCTCGTACGTGGTTGGGCAGTATTTGTGGATGCGAGTGAGATAGCTCAGGATGGTGATGCTTGGCACGTTCTTACCGTGAAAAGCAAGCACGCTCGTGGCCTGTGGGCTGAGGTTGCTGGTTCCGTCCGGAGGAGGGATGTGGCGATGAACGTGTTCATGGTGCATGTCATTGGTCGTCGTGATCTTGGTGAGGAGACCCGCGACCATCTCAATGATGTCCGTCACGGGCATGGAGCTGATCTCAAACTGCCGGGGTTGGGATCCATGACCGGGGAGATGGGATCGATGTGACTGGTGCAGGAATTCTTCACTGGCCAGACTCTGGATGTGGGACAAGCTGCGGACCCGGATGCGACTGGGAGAGTTTGCCTCGGAACCTCCGAGTGATTGCATGGATCGGAAAGTGGGCTGTAAGCGCGGAGAATCGGGAGAGGCCTGGGGATGAGGGTTGGGTGCCGACGTTATGGAAGCTGTTGCCGCATGGTGGCCCATCTGGGAGTGGTGAGGATACTGGGGCGTGTGGGAGTTGGAGTGGGACGGGTGGTCGGGCGGAATGCCATAGTGGGAGTGTGAGGTCATCGATGGCGGGGGGCGGGAGGGAGGATGGGAGGGAGTCGATCTCGAGGAAGGTAAGGAAGGAGTCTGAGATTGGATGTAGGCGGGGAGGACATCGTTTGGCAGTGCGGGAAGCCGAGTAGAGCCCGAGCCAGAGGCAGGCGGGGCGGTGGTCGAGGTGGGGGTGCCAGTACTGTTGACGGAGGAGGATCTCGATCTGGAGGAGGCCGGGGCCGACTGGGCCGATGGGGTCGACTGAGACGTGCGCGAGTAGACCGAGTCCGCGTTGGCACCTCCCAGCATCGTGGAATAGCGGTCGATCTGATTCGACGGCAGGTTGAGAAGAACGGAGCCCATATCAAGCCACTGGCGGCGCACTTTTTTTTACTGGAAGGTTCGCGTTCTATTGGGTTGCGCCGTCAGCAAGGGAGGCATTGGGGACCAAGTGGCGGAGTCCGGGATGGAGACGACGAGATGGAGGGGGGAAGGAGGAGGTGAAGAAGAGGAGGAGGAAAGGAGGAAAAAGATAAGTTCGGAACGAAGAGTGGCTCAAGCAACGAGAAAGAGGGGGAGAAGAACGGCCGTTTGGCTTTGACATTCGATGACGAAGGGCCCTGGGTCTGGGCCAACGTGGTTGAGGGCCAGAACGCGAGATCGCTTCCAAACGAAAGGGTGAGGAGACGGAGAAGGAAAGCGACAAGAATAATTACCAGTATTTAGCGACGGATGCCATTGTATGGATCTGGCACGGGTGCAAGAGGAATCAAAAGCCAGAGTGAGAGGAAGGAGGTCGAACGAAAGGCCAGGAGAGGGCGAGACCAGACGGGGGAGGAGGCAGTCGGTTCCACGGTGAGGTCAGTGGACGGTGGAGATGGAACTTGTTTGAGACCGTGAGCATATGGACGATCAGGGTCAATAGGGGGCAAGGAAATTCTAATTTCAACCGATCGCGTCTTGTTAGATATAGACTTTCTCTGGGGGAGTTCTTCAAAGTACTTCTAAAGAATAATTCAGATAAATCAGAGCTATGGAGGACGGGCTCGCAACGAGGAGTCGGTTCGGATACCAGATCTGCGATGATTATAGCTCTGATGGCTTTAGACTCGCTCTATATCACACCACCAGTCCTCAATACTTAGATGGTCTATCTATAACGGAGTACCAATAGTCAATAACCGATTCCTCTCCCCTAAAAAAAGCAACCAATCCCTCAAGCAGGTAACCAGTCTTATCGGAAGCCACGAAAGGACGGTGTGGCAGCTTTTTGAACGAGTCTCTTTTTTTTTTATTTCCCTGGATTTCTTCCTAGGTTGAGTTTAGTCTCCTTGGGAGTCCGTCCGAGTTGGTTGGATGATATCGGACGAATGACAGTCCGATCTGCAACCGCGTGGTGACGCCGCCGCCGATGATTCCAGCGGACCGCCAGCGGGTGATTCCGCGGGGACAATCCCGAGTGGAGGGAACGGGCTGACTGGGGGTTATTGAGGATTTGAAACCTGAGAGATCATAGATCCATACAGAGGAAAGGAAATTGGAATTGAATTCAACGTTTCGCTGATCCAGGTAGATAAATCCCCGAGATCTATCAGCCGGTGGCAGACATACCCCCGTATTTACTCAGAAGTGGTACATCTAGGCCTAGTGAACTTCTTGAAACCCTTGATGGATCGGATTATACTCGTCGATACTCTTATATGGAACACGAGTACGAACTGTCGGGCCACACGTGATATCGTGGTATACAAAGACCCGCCTATCGGATACTGTAACACTTCGTCCACTCTATGCTATACGTCGTCTTCACCTTGACGGCATTGAATATGATTTCCCTTGATAGAACCTGCAGGGCAAATAACGGCAATATACCCTGGTCCTCTTCCTCGCCATGATGCAATCGACCGGGGTATATATTAATCCCACCAGCTTGGATCTCTCGACCCGCTTGATCCTCGGTCGTTTCTGCTTTAACTACAATGCCATTCTCGGATTCTTTGCTCCCTTGTCCCATTCGCCATTTACCATGATCCGTTCATCTGGATCATCTTGTTCATTCTACACTTCCGAGGCTCTCCTCCCCTTCTCATCATCGTCACGAGATAGGACCATTCGGCTACCCAATCCCCCGGAAAGTCATTCATATGACAGGCTTAACTCTCAGGTTCCTCGGGATATCAACACGGGCGTAAAGTCGCTATCCCCTGTCAACCACCTTCCAGGACCGAGATTGGATCATCAAGGATATTTCATTCCATTTGCTTATCCGGAAGAACTACCCCACGGGAGAAATTAGACACATGCTATTAGTACATGAGAGCGATTTAATTCGTCACGCCGGGTCCGGTGTAGTTGGTGTCCGGCAGGTACAAGTGCCGCACGGCTCCCTTTTTGGTCAGCACCACCATACGGATGACACCACCCGAGCTACCATCCCACTTGATGGCCTCCTGCAGAGAATTGCGCACAAAGTCGATCCCCTCTTCCTCGGTCATGTTCTCTTTCCAGTGCGCATCGGTATAACCGTAGATGTAGGTCGATCCTGAACCGCCGATGGCGAACGATTGTTTGTGAAGGGATCCGCCCAGCGGAATCGAGTATACCTGGCCGCCATGGCGGGGGTCGTATCCGGCAATGATGATGCCCGCACTAGAAGGCTCATGGTTAGCCAGCCAGATCCATGGCATTGGAGACAAGGCAAAGGAGGAGGATCAAGGAGAGAACCGACCTGAGAGCGTCCTTGTTCTCATAGCATAGTTCCTGGAAGAGCGAGGCGGCCACCTGTGTGCTGGGAGCCTCGTTGTTAACCACGCCGTACATGTTGAGGTGATAGGAAACGATGTCGGCCACGGCCTGGGTGTCCGCTGCTGAGCCCGAGCGACAGCACCAGATGGTGTCGTGCACTTGTGTCAATTTGTCGGTGACTCGGTTGGCAATGTAGGCTCCGGTGGTGGTCCGGCTGTCGGCGCCGAGGATGACACCGTCCTTGAAGTTGATCGCCATGCTGTGACATGGTTAGAAGGCGTCCGTCGAGGACGGAAGGACGACCGTCGAGCTCCGGGCACACTCACATCGAAGTTCCGAGGCTAGCAGAGTTGAAAGTCAGCGGCTGATCCCAAAAGACAAAGACAATGGCAGTTTGATCCAATGAGCTTACTTCACTTCTCCACTCTTCAGATGCTGCATATCGACGTGGATGCCATCTGGTCGATGGATGTTAGCTACCTCTGCGGGCGATGACGAATAGCTCGGGTCTGACCTTCACCCAGGACTCCCTGCACACCGTGTTGGCTGACCATGTTGGGATCTAGTATCAATGGAAAGAACAGAGGCAAAAATAAAAAAGCTCGGAAACAGAGGTAGACTGAGAGACGGGGGAAAGTAGATGAGTTAAGAGATGGGGGGATGTGCTCACGAAGCTGTAAGGAAGGCAGAAGCTCAACGCGTCCAGCTCGGGCGGTGAGGGTCCAGCGCCTGGGGCTGATAGGGCGAGCTGGGTTTATCGCCAGCCCCCGCGAGTCTCCTGAAACATCAACATCTCCGCTGGGGGGAACGTTTCTTTTGCGCTTATCCATCTGGTCAATCCAAGTCGGCATCACCGAAAGAAGCATCTCAAAAACCAAACCACTCCTGTCCTGCCGTATCAACATCGCCTTCCTCCATCATTAAACGTCATCATGTCCGACTCCCCTTCACCTCCCCCATCATGGAGCATCGGCAACATGACCAACAGCGCCGTGCAATTCCTCCGACTTCCCTTTCTCGCCTCCTCCGGCCTAGCCGTGATTGCAAGTGGACTCTTATACTTTAAGCAAAAGTGCGCTTCTCCCATCAACATCCCATCCCCTCCCAAACCCTGCCCTCGTGACTAATGCGCCAGCCTAGTGAATTGATATACCCCCGCAACGTCCCAGTCGACGCGCGCACAAACGTCCCCAGTCCCCGACAATTCGGCATTACCGACTTTGAAGATCTGCAGATTCCGACTCCGGACGGTGAATCGCTGCACGCGCTGCTCCTGCGGCCACCCAAGAGTCGCTATCGGCGTAATCTGACGGTGATAATGTTCCACGGAAACGCTGGGAATATCGGGCATCGGGTACCAATCGCCAAGGCGATTCAGGATATCTTACACTGTAATGTGTTTATGCTTGAATATCGCGGATATGGAATGTCGACGGGTACGCCCGACGAGGCTGGCTTGAAGATCGATGCGCAGACGGGTCTGGATTATCTGCGGCAGCGGGTGGAGACGAGGGATGACAAGTTCGTTGTCTACGGACAGAGTCTGGGCGGTGCGGTTGCTATCAATCTCGTGGCGACCAATCAAGAACAAGGTGATATTGGGGGTTTGATCTTGGAGAATACCTTTTTAAGTATTCGCAAGTTGATTCCAAGGTTGGTGATACTCGTGGGTTGCCGAGTCGAAGGAGATGTGCTAATGTGATGACAGTGTCTTCCCGCCAGCACGGTACCTGGCTCGTTTGTGCCATCAGTACTGGATCAGCGAGGACGTGATACCCAAGATTTCCAAGGTGCCGATCCTATTCCTGAGTGGATTGAAAGATGAGCTTGTACCGTATGTTCTCTCTCCGACGTGGACCCGACGAATATTCTCCCAAAACTAATACCTTCCAGTCCATCCAATATGACCCAACTATTCGCCGTGTGTAAGGCAGAAACGAAAATCTGGCGCACGCTACCAAATGGCGGCCACAACGACTCCGTGGCTGAACCGGGCTACTTTGAGCATATTCACACCTTTGTTATGGAGGAAGTTCTGAGCGAGTAAACGCTCGGCTCGCATCCAGCCTCATATTGCCTCACCTACATCAATGATACCCACATATTGCCAGACGACAGAGATTCTTCTACCGTTCCTCAAAATTCCGGTCCTGGCCCACTCAACTCTCACAGCCTACTTGCACACAATCAAGCCACCAAATACCTTTGAGCCAATACCGCCATCTATCTCCAGTTTACCTAATCTCCCACAGCACGGGGGAACTGGACCGGCGTCATTATCCCTGGAATACGAGCGATGCGTTTTGTGACACACGGAGTTGGTACTTTTGTTTTTAATACTGCTGTTATTACTACTCTGACTGTTTCTATGCGTGGGGTGGACAACACTTATTTCGGATTGTATTTCACCTAGCGAGGGAAGATAGGTTTCCCTGTATTATGCATGTATCATTTTGACTCTTACCGTTCTGTCAATGGCATGCTCTGCCCACAATTATTCCTTCAAGTCTGTAATGAAATACATTCTATACCCGTAAGCAGAGGATGATTCACACAGGATAAGACCCAGGGCCAATTGGAAAGCTAGGTAATCTTCCCCAGATCTTCCAAGTTGATTTGAGTAGGCCACGAAGGTCAGGGCGTACTCCTGCGTACTAAACGCTAAGGCATCTTCGGGAGAGGCTTTGTTCGGAATCTTGATATTTTATTTTGGTTGTGGTTTTTTGATATTCATCTAACTTATATACAACGCTCCAAAAGCAACCAACAGTATGGTGCAGTCCCACACGAAAGTGGATACCGCAAGGTGCAGCCCCCGAGGTCCTCACGCTACCTTAAGGGGGTATATCATATGCAAGCGAAAAAGAAGAGAGAAAAACACTTTTCCCTTCTCATAATCATGATCATGAGTCGTGAGTAATGCAAATCAAATATGTTCAGATTCCTCCTCGACCAAAACGGGGGCCAGAGCATCGTGAGTGTCAGCTTCCATGGGCTGATCGACCACTTCTGGAGCAGGTTCCGTCATTTCTGGCTGTGCCTCGACTGAGGTTTTGTTTTGCTCTTCTTCGGCCTGTTCGGCCTGCTCTTCTTTCTCCTCGGCTTCTTCCCAGCTATCAACGACTTCGGCAGACGGTTGGTTGCGAAGGGCCTTGCCTGCACCAACACCTGAACGAAGGACTAAGCGCTCCTTCTTAGATGTCTGGCTAGACGTGTCAGGCATTTTACCCCCAGCGAGAGCAGAGTAGATAGACCGGCTCTGGAAAAGATTCTGAACTGGCGTAGTGCTTCTAGTGCTAGCCGTGCTACTGTCTGCTCCGGACTTCTTGCCCCGGGAAGCAACCTGAGCCCAGCCATCGGCGCCAGTCTGCGATTTCGCAGCATCACGGGCGGCCTTTGCTTCCAGCGCGGCGACGCGTTGAGCCTCGCGCTCCTTGGTCCGTTCTCGCTCGCGGAGCTTGACGCACTCGCGCACGCTCATACCTCCGATGCCGATTGATGAGCCGCTGCCCATGCCGAATACCGGCGGTGTCCAGGTGAGGGGCTTGAGGACGAAGACGTGTCGGTGTGGTTCAGGGTCATGGCTTTCAGTGACAAAGCCCCAGTCCGTCGCAAGCGAGTGGGCGTAAGCCCGAAGAGTTGACTTGGCAGGCTGGAAGCGGAATGAACGAGTTGTACTATCGGTTGCCAAAGAGTGCAGACTCGACTCGTACGTTTGAAGAGTGGAGAGTGGAGACGTCGAGGCAAGTTTTATATACTGATCGAGTGTCTCCGCAGAGTATGGGATGTTAGACGCAGTCAAAGCCTGCACGGTGGTCGTTTTGTCGATTTCGACGCCGAGCGCAGATGCCAGAGAACGATTACGCTCTAAACGAGAGCACTCGTCGTCGCACGTCAATGGGGTAAGCGAGGGCAAGCGCTCTGGCTGCTGAAGCTGGCCCTTGGAGGTAACGGCCTTGGCAGCACCACACCGTCTCTCCTGACGCAGTCGTCCACAGCTACATGTTACTGTAAGCGTGGACGAGCAAGGCGTCTTCTCCGGGCACGGGTACGGAGCATGGCACTGGTCGGCACAAGGATGACCACACAACGTCTTGGTCTTTCCACATGCCTGCTGGCAAGGCTTGTCCGCGTCTTCGCATTCACCTGGTCGATGGCAATCCTTTTTACAATAGTGGGAACCGCACTTCAAAAGGGCGCCACAAATCTGTCCGCAACGTGCGTCTGTGAGCCAGCAGGGTACATTTTTCATCACCCGTTTGCCACACAGACAATCCTTCTCGGTCAGGAACGGACACTTGGGACAACTTTCCTCATCGGTGTGGCAGTTATGCGCAGTCTGCGGATGTCCACACGGTTTGGGGCGTCCACAAGGGAAGTGGCACGAAGGCGGCTTCGTGCCACACGGCAGCGGTGGATACAGAATGGATCGTCCGCAGTTGCACGAGACCTCCTCGAAGATTGCTTCTCGGCAGGTGTTGCAAGCGCCCTTGTGGCAGAGCTCCGGGCACGTATGTCTTCCACATTTCAGCAGTCGACCACAGATCCGGGTGCAAATGTGCTCTGCCTCGATATCTTCGTCGGTAGGGCGAAGGTGAGACTTTAGCTTTCGGCGGAAAGCTTGTCGTTCAAGGGCCTTTTGTTCTCCAGGGCAGCATCGCTCGGTACAAGCGTGCCGGCCACAGTGCAACGTGGTCTTGCATTGGCGGAAGCATTGGGGCGGGTTGAAATCGCCTTGGTGACAGATACTCATGGAGCTGTTGCGTCCGCACTGGCACGCAATAGGGACACGACGCATGCATGTTCCGCAAGGGCCGGTATGACAAATCTGATCACAGGAATGACCACAAGGAAGCATCTTGCCACATGGCTCCAGGCAGTTCGGAATGGGATCCTCGCAAGAGGTGCGAGGGGTGAAGCCGGGGATGTCAGTCAATTGGGTTTTGCCACATGGGCAACGGGTGACACTGTCTGGCGACTTGGGGCAGTGAGCAGGATGGGAGTCCTGAGGATGGCAAGACTTCTTGCAAGAATGCAGACCACAGTCGAAGGGACGATCGCAAACATCGTTGCAGCCAAAGCAACCCGTCCACTGTTCCTCTGATCCATCATCGCGGACCATCTTACTATCCATCTCTTCGTCCTTTGAGCTGCAAAGCATTTCAGTCTGCACCTTGCCACAGTAGCAACGAGCCTCGATCTTGACTTCACAAGCACCACACAAGCCCTCGTGACAAGGAAGAGGGCAGGTATGTTCGCCGCAAGGCAAAAGATCCCCACAAATCTCACCACAGCTCCATCCACGTTCATAGTCTGTATCTTGACACCGCTTGGTTGACGAGTTCCGACCACAAAAACAGTCTTGAGTTGGTCCCATGGCAGTACACGGCGCACATGGCCCGGCATGACAGGTGGCGTCGCAAGGATGCGGGCAGCCCTTGCGAGCCCGCGAGCATGTCTGTCCACAGGAGTGAGGGGGTAAGCCAGGTAATGGTCTGGGATCAACCTCCTTCTCACACCAACAGCTGTAGGTAGATGGGAATACCTCATGAGAGAGGTTACAGCCGGGACAACGCCAGGCCTTGGGGGCCGAGGACGTTGCACCTTCTTGTGCCTGACGATTCTGAGCGGCAGCCGCACCCTCGTTCGTAGACCACTTCTTGATACAACTTAGATGAAAGACGGTCCAGCACAGCTCACAAGCCCAGACCTTTGATCGCCGGCCGAGCTCACTAGTGCAGATGGGACATTCATATAGGTTATGGGCAATGTCTTCGTGGATGCGGGTGGCGATGTCGTCGGCAATGGATTTGGTTGTGACCTTGGGCGGCTTGGGTAGCGCTTTCGGCCTTGCCTTGCCTTTACCCTTTGCCTGTGGAGGAGGATTCGTAGTTGATGGTGGCATGCCAGGTACAAAATCAGGAGCATCCGCACGGAGGCTAGCGTCGACGTCGCCATCCGCTGCATGAACCTGGTTTTGCTCGGCCGATTCTTGATCTGGCCTCGTCAAACGAGCTGCAAACCCTCGAGCCCTCATACCCCGAGACTGAGGCTGAGATATCTGATCGGCTTGCTCCGCATTCTGACCTTGCCCGCCTCTTCGACCTCCATTGCCACGGCCTCTGCGGGCCCCCGACCCTCGTCCTTCTTTGTTTGGCCGTCGTTGCCGAGATTGCTCTTGTTGTGTACTCTGCTGACCAGACTCAGCAGCGCCATTTGGTAGCTGCTGCTGCACGGGTGCCGCGGTCTGGTTATTCAAAGGCTGTGTCGATCCATTCTGTTGGCCTTCGCGGGTGGCGGGGCCTCTTCCACGGCGCCTGTGTCGTGAACGTGGGGCAGTTAGGGCAGCAGGAGCTGCATCTGGGCCTTGCATGGCCGGGAGTATTGATTCAAATCGGCCAGTTGCTGCTATGCTCATCCAAACGCTGAATCCTTACGTCGAGTGGAATTTCGGAGACCTCGCGAAATGGTGTTTTGATGCTTGGATTGGGGAAGTGACGTAGATAAAGGTAAAGTATGCACGCTCAAAAGGCCGATTCCAGCAGCACAAAGCAAGAAGCTGTGACCACGAGAGTAAAGGAAAATTAAGGTCTTAGAAGAAAACGAGTCCCAAGTACACAGTCGTATTTGAAGTCGCAAAGATGCCTGGGAGCTTGCTGATAAAAACCTCACGGGTCGGCAATATCGGGCGGAGTATGAGGCGGTGGAATGTGGCGTTCTAGACTCGAAAGACCAATCAAATCCAAGAAAATCAGAAGTAAAAGCAATCGGCCCGAAACCCCAAGGTAAACCCGTACAGAATGAGTCAGTCCACCTACCAAATGACTCACGGGGCTCCACCGATCCACCAAGAGAACTATGAATTGGAGCCGTGTCATTAAAAGTCATTGATTATCTCGGAGTAGATGGTCACTAAAGCACTTGCCTTCTATCTGGCTGTTCTTCCAAGAACAGCCTTATTGAGGTACCGTATCATATGCCAAACTACTATACACAGCTCGGAGTACTCTAATGATAATACACCTGATTGCTCCCCTTTCATACTAATGAAAGTAGGTTACTAATTCAAAAAGAACTCATAGTGTATCCTAACAAAATCATACACATTACTATCAATCTGTCATCCAAATAGTGTAGATCCATATAAACAAGATGCAAAATAGAGCCAACCAGTCAATAACATAACTGGGCGGTCCCTCGCGCTATGCAAAACTCTGCCACACACGATCCATCCCAATTCCAAATAACCCAGGTACTATAGTAGGCACCCGTAGTGATCAAACATAAACAACAATCTCCCCTCTCTCATTCCTCCTCAACCTCAACGCCCTCCAAAGATCCTTCTCATCCTCCGCCCTACGCTCCCGACTCCGTCCCCCCTCCCGATCAACGTCACCCTCATCCTCGAAATCACGATGGAACCGCTTCAGCGCCTTATGCACCGAGCACCCCCGCTCACTATCCCTCGAACCCACAAGACTCAAGAAATGCGCTGCCATTTCGCGCTGCAGAACGTCATCTGCGCGCGCGGGAGGCTTGGACGCCCGGTAGATGGTAACCTGGCGCTCACGATGCGGGGATCGCGAGTCCGAGCGGCGTCGCTCATCGCTCTGCTTTTGCCGACGGCTGGGTCTGTCACCGTCCGTGGGGTTGCTGCTCTTACGCTTGGCTTTGCGTTCGGTGTGTGAATCGGACGCGTGGCGGCTGCGGTGGGACTTTTTCTTGCGAATTTCGAGAGCACCCTCGGCGCTGGACGAAGAGCCGCGGCGGGTGCGGACCAGGGCACGCGAGTTGTTGTCATTGCCTGCACTGCTGGTAGAGATGACCGAGCCACCGCCAAACATGGAGGTGACGAGGCGTTCGGCGCGGTTCTTGATGGAAATTCCCAGGCCGGCGTCGCCGTTGCTGGTGCTTTCTTTGGACTCTTTGCCGTTGCGGCGGGTGCGCTTGATTGGGGAGGAGGCGTCGTGGTAGGATTGGCGGTGGAGGTCGGGGGAGTCATCGGGGGATGGGGAGCGCATCATGCGGTTCAATCCACCGGTTAGACCGGAGTGTGCGAGTATGGGGGTTCCGGCGTTGTTGATCACGCTGGATGGGGCGTCCATCATATCAGTGTCGATGTCGGCGGGAGGGCTGGAGGGATTCTCCTGGCCGCGCTTGCGCTTCTTCTCGCTGGCGCTGGCACTGGCGCGCTTTTCTTCCTTGCGGCGCTCCTTCTTGGTCTTCTTTGGCGCGGGCGTGACGAATTCCGTAGAGACATTTGGCACGTCGTTGGGGTACATGGATGGCGGGATAGGATCCGCACCGTATGAGAAGCCGTTCTCTTCATACGCGACGTCGTAGTGGCCCTCGTCGTCGGTCTTGGTATCCAACTTGGCGAGAGCACTGCTGGGCTCGAACACGGATTTGGCATTCGCAACCATGCTCATCTGTTCCTTGGGGGCGAGAGTCACCCTAGAGGCATTGGGGGTCTCCTCGGTGACCAGGTAGTCAAACACATTGATAGGCTTGCCGCCGTTGGTCAGCGCCTCAGAGGTGGCCTTGCCGGTACCTGCAGGAGGGGGCGTAGGCGCTGGGGGCGGGGCTATTTCGGCCTTGACGTTATCTCCATCGGAACCATCCTCGACTCGAGGCTGCTTGTTGGCATTGGCGTTGGCATTACCCTTGCCCTTCTGGTTGGCGTTGTTCTGGCCGTTCTGCCCCTTCTTTTGGGCCTTGTTGGGCTTTTCTTTATACAAAGCGCCCTGGTATTTTTGCGCTTCGCTCATGCACGACTATAGGATACCATCACTGTTAGCGCCTGGCTTGTCTGAAAAGGATTGAGCTAAGCGCGACAATTGCCCGAGGGCTCCCTCCACTCCAAAGACTTTAGCAGTCGGGGGGGCCGCAGAGCCTGCGCCAATTGCCCACATGACACTGACAACATGCGCAAATGCGCAACCCAGCCAACAATGGAAACTACGTACCGTGTGTGCCCTGTACTGAGTTCCCTGGAAATGGACCATACAATCGATGCAAGTGAATGACGCGCCGCGGCACTGATTGCGATGGGGATCGAGTTTCTTCTTAGTGAAGATATCACCGCATGCCTATCAAGACTAATGTTAGCCATGATCCATATTCAAAGCGTCAAACTCTTTTTTCTAACCCGCGGCTGAAAACCCCCAACAGCGAGGGAGGATTCTTACTCACCTCACACTGGAAAGACACCATTTTGACGGCAAATAACTACACCTCTGGGTATATAGAATGAGGCGGTGGTACGGAAGTCAATATGAAAATGCGAGTGTATGCGACACGCAATGTGGTAACGGATCGCGCGACAGTTGCGACAAGCGGAAAGCGAAGGTGATGGCGTCCGAAAAAAGAAACCGGGCGTGGGGTTTTGCAGAAGAATGCGCGGGACGAAAGTCTGAAGGTGGAAAGATGTGCGGGAGACCACAACAAAGTTATCCCTTGCGGACTTAGTCTGTTCGCACTGTGTCGGTCTACACGGATTGCGCCGAGTTTCCAACGTCAAGTCAAAGTCTCTTTTCTTTTTTTACTTTTTTTGCGCGTCAAAAAATTGGAAGGGCGCGTGAGATGACGCTAGACTGGATCTAGTAAGTGCTAGTCCTGATTAGGAAGGGTTATTGTGGTGGAGCCCAAGTAGTTCGCCAGTCTGGATACTTTGTATAGAAATAAGATCAAATCGGATGCAGACGAAGTGGAGAGAAGAATTGTAAAGATGACTGGAAAGGGCTGAATCGAGTGCAAGAGAAAATAAGAAGAATACGAAACGCAGGAATAAGCAGCCCCTGACTGGGTTATTGTACTACTCCCCAAACCATCCTGTTTCATAGTCGCGCCCGAACGCGACTGCGCGACACACTAGAGTTGAGATACGTCACAAAGTACACAGTCTAACACTTAGCTCGACCAGACTATCTATTGAAGATACGCGTATCCCTCCAAGTACATCCATCTCCAGTCTCGACTAGCTCGTAAACCGTGTATCCGTTCCCCTGCCCCTCCCGGACAGGACGATCCCCGCGGGCGATCGTGATCTGTGCCGCTCACTGCTGACTGGCCCCCAAGAGTCTGTCAGCCGACTCTCCTCCTTTTCATTTGTTATCAGCTGAAGCGAAATGCCCCCTCCCCCCTTCTTCTTTATTTTTAGCCAGACTCAAATCCAGGAAGATGAAAAGCTCGGACCATAGATTCCAGATCCTGGACAAGAGGATCTCGCACACGATGCTGATTCCAATCTACCCTAGATACACTATGTACTTCGTAAACATTCCGCATTCTGCGCATTCATCCTTCGTAGTCTCCTCGACGGGGGTGGGCTCTCTTTCCCATGTATCGTCATGGGCCTGCGCATTGCGCCCATTATCGCACTAGTGTCGGTGTCTCTTGTATCACAAGGATACGACATGGCAACATCACGCCGCCGCTAGCCTAGGGCCGACGATCAAGATACTGTATTTCGGCGGGATGGCACCGGCTAGTGTATGACGGCAGTGTCGGCAGGAGTGTAGCATGGTAGTATCAACGGCGTCGAGACACCCTTCCCGTATCTCCAAGTGAATGTACGGCAAAGTGGCCGGAAAGAGTAGAAACAAACTCGCACTACCGGGCGGGTCATGCGCAACGCAATTATAGCCTGGGATCACCGGACAGCGGTTGAGCCTGGGTTGACGATGTCGTTCGGGTCACGCTCCCGAGGGACACTTGAAGATCGACAGTCGTAATCCCTGTCGTTGCAAGTGCATCCTTTAGACCCCGTCAAAACAAAATGGACAATTAGAAGGATGCTTGATAGTCGATGCAGTACGGGGATGGCTCGCGCCGCTCGGGCTCGGGCTGGTCTGCAGAAGATGTGCGCCACACGCGCATTGGGTATATATGGGGGAATCTATCAAAACAAGTACTGTACATAGAGACCAGCTCCAGGGGATGTTCTTCTAGTGAGGAAACCTGAGAGGAAAAAGAAAAGAACGCCGTGCAAGTGCAATGAGAACGGGGATTCGGTTCACAGGGACTCAAAGAAGGAATCAAGCGGTCAACCGCGCGTAGTCCTAAAAATCGCAAAGATAATACCATGTCAGTCAATGAGCACACGGACACCGGTCGAGAAAGGAGGGAAAAACTAGCATAGCCTTGTCGGCAGGTTAACTCACTCTTCCTTTGAGATCTCTACGGCCAGGTGATCATGTGGATCGGCCGGATCCTGCTTCCCATCGCCCCGGCTCGCCGCCGAATGTCCCTCCTTACTCTGACTGTCCTCGCTACCTTTCTCCGCCTTCTCGTTCTCGGCACAGCCGCAGTCGTAGAACGAGCCAAGGTTGGTGCAATCGAATTCCGGTTTCTCCAACATCGCATTGACCTCGTTGTGGATGAAACAGGCCCATCCGGCCGCGGCTTTGCGCGATGATACCTGCGGCGGGTATTTGTTCAAGTGTTGCTGGAAATGCTCCGCACATTCGCCGCTGTCTCGCTGTTAGCTGGATTGTACGTTGCGCGGGGCAAGATGCCTCGGAAGGGACGGGCGAGTCCCAAGATTGAGGGAAAGGGCGTATTCAGAAGCCGTACCAAGGATATAGTCGCGCGAAAAGGAAAATGTAAGAGCGCAGCGCCTCCTGCTGGTCTTCCGTAGGCTTTTCGGGGAATCGCGCCATGACAGTATGAAAGTATTTCCAAGTTGCACGGCCCAGCTCCGCTCTAAACGCATTGCGCTATGATCAGCAAATGGACCTTCGAATCAAATGATAAATCAGGCTCGAGCATGAGCGCTTTTATTCTGCAAGAATCCCTTACTTGGCCGTGGCATTACCCAGTTTCGGCATCACTACCGCCCCTTTCAGTGTATCCTCCTGAATCGTGATGCCAGACGCGGGCGTCGCACCGTGGGAGATGTGCCCGGGAGCTCGGACGGCGGGGCTAGGAGGGCCCTGTGGGCGGATGAAGAGGAAAAAGACTAGGCATATCGAAATCACGGCGCTGATGGCGATGCGCCGTGTCATTTGCCGGTTGGCCATGTCGGCGGCGTGGCGTGGCGAGGGAGACGGGAGACAGAATATCTGGCCAGGCTTTCGTGTGGGAGGTACACCTAAGACAAGCGAGAAAAGCAAGATCTTATCGGGTAAGAGGATGCGGGCGAGATATGTCGAGGAATGTGAGAATTGAGCGAGGCAATTGGTGTGGAAAAAGTTGAAGCTCTCTGAAGGGGCGGGATCTACGTGTCGTATGGTGGCCGGACCGGCTGCAGAGGAGCTTAGTCATGGATAGACTGTTCGCTGACGTGTTTGGGAGTCGATTTGTCTCCTCGTTAGATAGGCTGTTAGCCAATTCTTTGTGCTTGAACCAGGTCTTATTCTTCTACGATTTGGGAAGGTAAATGCCACATGGCTGTTCTCATGCCGGGCGACTTGGCGCGCATCTTTGTCAATCCTCGAGTCTCAAACTTCAAGGCATGTCATAGATTCCACGATATCTCCGGACCCACCACGATCGGATTTTCTCCGCGCGAAGCGTACGAATGGGTCCAAGCGGGCATTGACACGCATACTGTACATACTTACACTGCTAGACCGACCGCCAAATGATCAAGCTTGATTGCACACAGTGCATACCCTAGGATGAAGCTAATTTTGTCTCTCGACGCCCCGTTCATGCATATTGCATCTACATCTGCATCTCATTCTGGGCGATTGTATCGCTCAGACTCGGCGGCAAATCCTCCTTACTGGTACCCCAGTCACTTTCTTGGTCCCCGAGCGTCAACTCGAGCGTCATACCCTGTGTGAAAAATTCGTGGCCGATCCAGTTCTTTGTGTACGGCTTTCCATTTAGCGTGGCGCTCTGGATATAGATGCTCCGATAGGTGGGATCAAAGTTGATGTTTCGGATCGTGGCAGTCTGATTGGTTTCCGGATGGGTGATCTCGACTGCTTCAAAGAATGGAGCGATGATGAGATAGACGTTCTGGCCTGGGTTAGGGAATAGACCCATCATGCTCCACGCGAGGAACGAGCCCATTGCGCCGGAGTCGTCATTACCGGGTAAACCGTTGTTGGATGCATTGAATGTTCTGGGGATGTAGCTGTGGGATCGCTGTGCAGAGAGAGCTGGTCGGCCAGCGTAGTGATACTCGTATACCGTTAGGAAGACGGGCTCGTTGCTGATATCGGCTAAGCCGGATGTGTGGAAGTAGTCGAGTCGTTTCACAAAGGAGTCTGGGCCTCCAAGTGTCTTGATCAGACTTGCCATGTCGTGAGGGACGAAGCTGCAGTTGTGAGACATTATATAGTTTCCTAAATTGGAGATACACACTTACAAGAGATACTCCCAGATACTCGACTCAAAGGTCTCCGACGGATTCGATGTCAACGAGCACCACGATGCCAAAGCACTGCAAGCAATCGGATCTTGAAAACCCCAGGTGCCATTCAGATACTTGGGCTGGAAGAAACCCGTAAAGCCCGTGTCAGTCCCATTTTCCAAGAATGACTTCTGATCGGCTTTGAACAAATTCTTCCAATTACCCGCTCGAGACAGATATTTGGTAAAGTCCTCTTTACCGAGTGCCTTTCCCACAACCGCAATACCGTAGTCATTGTACGCATACTCAGCAGTCCGCGATATACTGCGCGAGTTGGTTCCAAATCCCAGGTAATCAAAGTCCAAGTATGGGATATAATTGAGCTTCTTCCAGCTTTGCAGACCACCCCGTCCTTCATAGGACCACTCCAAGGGCTCGTTCTCGGCATCGTTGACCATCGCTTGATACGCCAACTCCCAGTCGATCCCAGTAAGGTTCTTCACATAGGCGTCCGCGAGGACCACATCTGCATTGGATCCGCCCTGCGTCCAGCCTTTGCACAGAGACATGCGGCAATCTGGTAGCCAGCCCTCATGCTTGAACGTATCCAGCAGACTGCGGACCATCTTTGACTGTGTCTGGGGATCAATGATAGTCAAGAGTGGAAGTTGAGCCCTGAATTCGTCCCAGAGACAATAGAAAGAGTCAAAATAAGGCTCGTCGCTCTCCCACAGCGGATTCTCTCCAGTCAAGTCCTGAGGCGAAAGCATAGTTCGATAAATGCCACTCCAAAAGGAGCTCAGTAACCCGTCACTTACACCACCAGACGTCACCTTGATAGGACTGAGCTTCTCACTCCACGCAGAAACAGCGGCTTTCTCCAGAATCTCAAAGTCCTTCACCGGATCCGACACCTCTGCCTCCGCATTGGAACAGGCATGCTCAGAACTAACATAACTCACCCCAACCCGAGCAGTAACAACCCCATCATCAGGACGAGCAAAAGTAACGTACCCACCAGCCTGGAGATAGAAGTTGTTAAATCCCCTCGTAACAAACAACTCCTTAGGCTCTGATCCAGCCCGATCATTCACCCAAATCCCACTATCACGAACCCGCGCCCCCGCAAAATCCGCACAGAAATAAGCTCGATACGATCCCGCCCCGAAACTCGGTAAGAAAGTGCCATCCCCCTTCACCCGGCCCGTCTCCGCATCGATCCTGATACTCGCATTCTGCCGACTCTCCCACAGATCTGTCAAGTCGACCAGTATCAACGGGTCCAGCATAACCCCACCCTCAGCACGAGCTTCAGGAAACGTAAATCGATAAACAGCCGTGCGTCTCGCAGCAGTCATCTCGGCTTTAATTCCATTCACCAATTCCAGCCCGAAATACCCGGGCCGCGCCGTGACGGAACCATCAACGTAATGCGTTGCACGAGCCGCCTTCCCGAACTTGCAATTATCCACACCATTATCGGGACAATATTGGGGGAAAAGTGGGAACTGGCCCATAGACGGATTTCCTCCCGTTCCGCTGTCATGCATGTGCGAGAAGCCCGTGACGTTGCTGCCATCCGTTGAGAAACCCCCCGTGTTTTGGCCGTCGACGTCGGCGACGGGTTTGGCCAGGCCGTAGGGTAGACTGGCGCCGGCGAAGACATTGCCGCCGGCTGTGGAGCCGACGAGGGGGCTCACATAGTGAAGGTCATCTTTTGTAGCGGATGTGAGGCGTAGGAAGAGAGTGGTTAGAGCGAGAAGGTTTGTTATGAGCGCCGCCATTGTGGAATGCGGCAGGTTAACCATGTACCATCTGAGAGAGGCGTTGGATTAAACTGACCCAGAAAATATGGGGAGGGCGTGAAAAACAACTTTTAGTGGACAAGACTTGCGGTAGGAACCGCTATGACCTGGGGAAGGAACAGGTTGTGGTCGGCTAAAAGAAGTAATGTTACGGTTTGTTGATTGCAGCGTCGCATTGTTGATATGATCGACGGCGGAACGCTCCGTGAAGCGTTAGTGTGGGATGCAAGGGCCACGAGGGATGTGTGCGGGGTTTGATCCTTTGGTGTACAGACTATATAATAAGAAAACTTGTTGATTCCGACATGCTGCAGCCAATAGGTGCAGGGGTCAATGCATTACATTTGTGCTAACAGTCAATTAATGTACAGGAGAGTTCTTGATAGTTTCGTGGCTGACTCTGCACCCGTTAGGGTCCAGGTCGAGACCCACATATTCACCCCGAGCAAAACGTAAAATAGAAAGAAGAATGTCATTTATGCAATTCATGTATTCATGACGCGAGACAAGATGCTCAGTCAAAAAGCATGGTACCCTTGTTCTGCTTCTTGCCAACATCGTAGTTCTTCCACACGGCGACGGCAGGAATGAGCAGGACCAGAATGCAGGTCGAGGCAATGCAGTTCATACGTTGGGCATAGCCCCAAGCATAGATACAGGCATCACGGAGAGCAGAGCCCACCGGGTAGGTATCCTGCACGTTGATGCCATCGAAGTAGATCATGGTCGCGTTGGCCTTGAGGTCGTCGGGCAAGCGACTGGCCAGGGCATCCACAAACACATTGTTATAGATGGCAGCAGAAACGGCATAACCGATAGCCCCACCGATGCTAGAGAACAGGCCAATCAAAGCCAGCATCATGGGTGTACCCTCACGGCCACCACCGGCCATAACAGCCATATCCTCGCCAATAACGATGGTGCCTCCAGCGAACGCGATGAAGATCTGACACATGATAATATAACCAATACCATGCTCGCCACCCCGGAAATATATCATCAAACCGGAGCCTAGAAGCATCAATGGAACACCAAAGAACAACACGATATACTTGAACCGCTTGGTCCACCAGATGATGAGACCCAGAATCGGGGACCAGAAGCACGATCCGACGTTGTAAATCTGGATCATGTAACCAGCCATGCTGATGTCCAGGTTGTACGTAATCAGCACAAAGTTGTAGAAGTACTGATCCCACAGGTAGAAGCTGAAGAATGAAACCGCAGAGCAGACGCAGGCGCCAAGGATGGTGGGTCTCTTGAGCAGTTCGTAACGAATGAAGTGGTGGCGTGCGAACCATTTCTCCCACGCCGCGAAAATGAAGAGCATGCAGAAGCCGATCACGACCATGGCAATGAAAGTGGCCGACTTGTACTGAGAACGGCCATACTGGGTCAAGCTGAAGGGGAGCAGGAAGATGACCCAAGCAGCCATAAGCAGGAAGGCTCCGATAACTGGAACTCAAATTAGTATACATGAGACAGCTACATCAAGATTTCGAGTCTTTTGCTTACCATCAAATTCATGGAAGTAATGGACGATCGACTGCATCTTAGTACGTCCAGTGTTCCTGGGCTGCCACACCCCCATCTTGATAGCCTTGCGCTCATAGAACTTGAACAGCAGGGCCAAGGGGCAGAAGACGACGGGTTGGATAATACAGAACATTCCATATCCCCAGCGCCAACCCGAAGTGTTGTAAATCGACTGTGCCGCCAATGAGCCAGTAAACGCGGTGCAAATAAACGGAGTCGAGGCAAAGGCGAAAGCAAAGGCTCGCGAGCGCAGTCCCGTGGTATCCGCAACGAAGATGTCCAAAATCAGATATATGCAGTAGTAGCCAATCCAGTACAGGACGTATCCAGCCGCAAAGGCGTTGGGGCCATTGCACGCCGCCAGAATAATCAGGCCAAGCACGTAGATTGCAGTGGAGAACAGCAGTGCCTCCGCACGACCCCACAGCTGCAGGGTCTTGGCCAGGGGAAGCTTCAGAACTCCACCGATGATACTGGCCAGGATATACGAGGTCGAGATTTGTGGAGCCGACGAGAAACTTCCGTATACCCAGTTCATCAGACTGGAGCTGATCGCCGAGTGGAAGGCAAGCATGAAGAAGCCCACCCAGATCCTAATTACGGTGATTGCGCTCATTAGTCTCTTGTATACTTCAAAATCACTTCAGAGGGCAACCCATCCGGTAACAATGACCGCTTTTGACTTGAAACTCACCAGGCATAGATACCAGCGACGGCTGGGCGACTCCAAACCAAGGCAGCAGCTTCAGCCTTCTGTTGACCCAAGCCAGCCTTGTCCGTGACATTCTGTGGGTTCTTCTCGACCTCCTTCTCATCATCGAGGACGCCATTGACGCCAAAAGATGAATCAGAGTCGCTGGGCGTTTGCGATTCATAGTTTAGGGGCCGTTCAATTGCGTCAGTGCCAGTCGCATCCGACCGCACATGCTTCGACTCTTCGAAGTTCGTAGTATCAACAACTGACTGGGTCATGCGACCATTGTCGTCCCGACCACGCACGGCGTCGAAAACACCCATGGTGAGCGAAGTTGCCTCTGGTGGTACTTAGGGGGTGGGGGTTGCACAGACGGAAGGCAGTGAACGGATACTGCTAAGCTCCCAAGTAGCCCCGAAAGGGCGGTCGATCAGAGGCTGAAGAGTCGGGCTGAGGGGATTTTAGGACAAAAAGTTGAGATGGTGGAGAAGAGAAAGTATTTAGGGAGCAAGGGCCTGTGAGCTACGAGCGAGAAATTTCCCGCCAGACGCGCTTGTCCGGCAGTCCCGAGGATTTGTCGGTCCGACTTTTTTAGTTTTCAGGTGCGGAGGGGGGGGATTGATCAGATAATTATCAGCCAATCTGATAACGTCTCCACTCGGGCTCATCACAGCCAATCAAATAACACGAGTCAGGGCACCCTCGCCCCACTCCAGGATGTGATTCTGCTCTCTGAGTGGCTGTCTCTCGGACCCCTTCCCTATCAGCACTAGCGGTGCTGGTAATTGCCTGCAAACGGGCTTCCGGATTGAGGAGCCGCGCTCGAGGTAACTGCAACTGCCTTATGGAGGTCCAGAGTCTCATTCAGTCTTCAGCTGTGCTCCTCTCTCGATCACCGCCAGTTCTTTAAGCCCGGCCGACAGTCCATGACGCCCGATGATGTGAGGTTCCAATTCGCTCCTCGGTCGATAAACAAAAGCCACATCGGAGAGAAAAAAAATATCCAACAGCAATTACATACCTAGGTTGAACGTTTCTGGGCCCAAACCTTTTACATCTCTGCTTCTTGGCCCCAGTCCAATAGAAAGGCTCTCGCGCCGTGCAAACCTTTCAGAACCTACACAGAGAGACGCGCAGCCTGGCCCGAATGCCTGATCGGAGTCGCCGACCATTGGTCCTAACCATGTAATGTTTGGAACCAGCTGCCTGGAAGCGACTAGCGAGCCGCTAGTCTAGAATATACCGACACCGACGCCACCAACCACTTATCAGATCGCGGATACATACCGAATGGCCCATGATTCTACCTGGAAGACCCGCCCTCTCGAGTCAGCCCATGGAAGTGCCCAAATACACCGGAAAGTCGGGGACGTAAAAGAATCCACTTAGACAAGCCGGACCCTTTGACGTTTCGATGGAGCGATCGCACATGACCGACATACTGTCACATAATTCGTCAAACTCACGCTGTCTCTCCCTAGCCAGTAAGAATTTGTTTCCGATTTAACCTCGCAGTTGATTTGAATTAATTTTTGTTACGTGAATCCTGACCCACAATCAACATCCCTTACCTCAAAGCTTGGCTAATCATCAGCTGCATCGCATCGCATGGGAGATACCTGCTCGTGCAGTCATCCTTCAACAAACGGAACCATGCTTTTTTGTGGTGGCGCAAACCCTCTTGTACCAAGGTTTTCCACCCGAACTGCTCGGCTAATCAATCATATCCATCTAATCTAATCTGATTTTTTTCATCCTTTCCTTGTTCCTTCCCTCTCGGACAGGATTTCGGTCTGGGCGGGACTTTTGATCCCGCCATACCTCAAACCTGACGGCATTCTGGCCGGCCACCTGACTGCCGGCCCAGACTTTACGGTTTGCCAGGTCGGCTTTATACTGCTTGGCGTTTGTTCTCGGCGTACACTTCTCTTTAGGTTGACACATAGACTGTCTATCCACTCGGAATCCTCGGCCGGTGCTCCCATCAGATACCGGTCGGAACCGGAGATGAAAATTGCTCCTTCCACGGCTCAATGATGCGACCTTTTTTAGAAACTTGCTGCTCGGTCTAGTCGTGACTAACTACTGTGGGTATAATCTAACAGGTCAACAAGATAGTCCCATGTCTATGTCGTGCTTTTCTCAAATAGAAGAGGATTCACTATGAGTGCATTCCATAGCAACAGCCGATGATAGTAGTTGTGTGTCCCAGATATTGAGTAGATAGTCAGGAGCTTCTAGTAATGGGATCCCCTAATCAAATACTTAAGAGCGTAAAACGTTTTACGCTTAGGTTTCAGGGCGACCTGAAACGTTAAAAACAAATATGTTGTCAAAGTTGCCATGTTGACAAGTCTTTAATATCGTTTCTCAATGGGTAGATTATAGGAAGTATGTAAATCAGAGACGTTTGATAAAGAGAATAAGTCACAATCTCATGAAACTTCAAGACATCAGAGCACAACACCAATTTCGGCTTCCTCGTGGCAGTGAGCTCAGTTGTTGCGGTTGGCAATCAACTTCCGAACAGTAACATAAGGTTTCACTTTTTTTAGATTCTTCCCGAGCGGCTTTTGACGATTATCATGGTATATTCGGTTGTTCTTTTCAGTATTCAGATAATACCGAGATGGTCCATTATTCTTGCCTCCGTCAGTAAATTTGGTGGCCGGGTCAGGCTGATCTGAGGAGGGTGTCCCATCTTTAGTGGGAAACTGAACTGGTTTGCCATCAATTTCAAAAGGCAATTTTGGTTCAGATGCTGGATCTGCATCTGGGACAACTTCCTTCTCAACTTCCTCTTTCGGTTCAGTGCGAGAGCAAGGTGGTGGCGTGACTATTGCTGTCGCTTCACCGGGATGGATACGAGGTTGAGTTCTCAATCACCTTGTCGACGCCAGAAGCAGGATTCGTTTCCCCTATTTCTTGGATCTGCTCTTTCGAGATATGTTCCTCTTGTTGTGTTTGAGGGTTCGGTAAATCGCCCTCCGCATTATGAGGTGAAGTGCCAGGTGAGGAAGTTCTGAGCTCGACCGCAGTATTTGCACCACTGGAGAATCCAGAAGTCTTATCTGAACTTTGACTTGGTCTTCGATTAAGCGTTTGCTTTTGCCGCCCTCCACGACCAGAGGGGTTGCGACTAGGTTGACTCGAAGGCGTCGATTGAATGTTTCGAGTCGGTAGGCTGCAATCCAAACCCGCTCGTCGACTGCTGGAGTATGTAGGTATTGAGTAGTGAGGCTCATCGACAGAGAGGTTCCCACTGGCATTCTGTGCGCTACTGATGCTGGGATTGTCGGAACCGGTCATAACAGGATATAGTGGTCTGTGGTATCTGATTTGTCGGCTTGTTTGGCGTTGAGTGCCTCGGCGCTCATCCGTGTGTGTAGTCGACATATTAAAGTTCAAACAACGACGAAGTTAAGAGCCCCGTGGATTTTTCTGTCGCTCAACCAAACAAGACGGCTGCGGAAGAGATGACTGCATAGATATACTAGGTCTTTAATCCAGGCGGGTAGTCACGGGGCAACCTGCTTTACGAGGTTCAAATGGCGTGTAGTCATTTGTCCAATTTGATTGCCGCATATCTAAGCTACAGCCAGAATTCATGATGGGCCAATGAGCTCACCACATTGATACCCTGCTCTTGCCTGGCCTAACATGGCTGCATCAACATTCCGGTGTGTCCAATTAGCGGTTCATGTGGCTCCGACATGCAAGAACCATTGGTTTTCTGATGACCCGATGATGATGCCTTGTTAAGGCAGCCATTCAAGTGAAGAGAACCGACGTCTTGGTTTTAAACACACTCGGAAACTGTCATTGATCTGTCGTTGTGAGGCTATAGTGATGACCGCGTAGAGTCAGTACCACTGCCCCCAACGATAGGCTCTGCTGGGCCCTTGGCATGGACGGGTTCGAGCGGCACTGTCAAAATTTGCCAGATATTGCCGAGGAACTTGTACTTTCGGTCGTTCCAAGTGAAATTTTATTTTAAAGCAAGTGCAGTCCAATCCTAAATTTGATGTGAACAGTTAATAAAACTCGGAACCTACCAAGCTATCCCTGCAGACAACGACCAAGCTGAGACTGGGGTTCTTATATTTTGTGGCGAATATTCAAGGGGTTTTGTTAGAAATCGCAGCAAAACCGGTAGAAACCAACTCAGTGAATTTCCCAAGCATTTCAACCATCAATCCTCTGAGATAGCGAGGGTTTCCGCTTGGATCACAAAGATTCCAGCACCGATGCAGGCGCTGGACGCCAACCCCAGGATACTGAAGTGTGTCGAAAGTTGAGACACGTGGGCTGGACGCGCTTGCTTGTCTTCCTCTGAGCCTTCCAAGTTGCGATTGGCCTAGAGAAAACCCAATAGTGGGCGACACTGGGCTGCTCTCGTAGTACTTTGACAGAGGATTCCTCTAAATTTATCATAGGTTAGGATTTGACGTATGACATAGTTGGGCTCCCATATATGCGAAAGTCTCAGTACCAAATCCCGCGTTTGTGTCAATCCGGGGTAGTCTGGATCCACCAGCGCTGTATAAATTTAGCAAGGAGCTCTATTCTTGTAGCAACAGTGCGTTTAAACGCTAAGATGGGCTTTCCAACGGCGTCTAGTACTTGTGGGGGTCAGCATGTCCCACTATCGGGAGGAGCTAAACGGCAATATCCCGAAGGACGCGGGGAATCAGGCCGAGGGCATGATACTCCAAACTTGTTCAAATTTGTTCGAGATGAATTGTGACCCTATTCTTGACCTTTCGAGCATCATTTGTAGCAGAGTAAGATTTAACAACCAAGATAAGTTCAGTCAGCCCAAGATCCTGTCATTCTAAGACTGGCGGCGTGCAACGTGACCTGGCTCCCGGTAGAAAATTCGCCCTCTGGGCTCTGCACTTTCAATTTACTCTCTACGCTCAACGCTGTGACTCCATTTCGCTACTTGCCCAAAGTCAAAGACCCTTGCTGATTGCCGCCCATTCGTTTATCTCCGAACGCGAGAACGAACGAGTCTTGCTCAAGCCTCTTCGACCGCATGACAAGAAGGCGAGGCGCCAGTCTGGGCAGCGCCGAACCCCTCTCTGTGGCACAACCCCACGATCCGTCAATCAGAGCACACTGAAATCGGCAAGTTGATGCCGAACGCGAGTCATCACCAATGACAGCCGTTCCCAGCTCTCCAAAGCGAAGTCAGAGCTCCCCCCTTCGGACTCTGATCCGAGATTTGCACCACTTCGCGCATATCTCAGCTTCATAATGTGCATATCTCAGCTTCATAAAGGGGATCTTGCACTTTCTCGACGAGAAACGGGGGCGGCCGAGAATTTGGCACTTACTGTTTAAAGTACCCCCTAACGAAGAATCCACTCCAAATACTGGCCTCCCACTGGACACAAGAAGAATATGGAATATCCACCCACCATTGCGACACCCCCCTTTTTTTCGTGCGCGGGTCGCGATCCTCCCCAAATCTTCTGGTCGTGTCTCCGCGCTCCACTTGAGGTAAAACATCCATCCACTCAATCGTGCGCTTCATCCAACCCTCCCCCATCGTGATGCATTAGAGGCCAGGTTATTGGGAAGCCTGCGTCTCAAGCGCCAAAATTTCCCTTCGCCGGCCTGTCTGATACAGAATCTATGGGGCACGACTCTATTTGCTACGATGGTACTTACTCCGTTTCCACGCAAGCTTGACCTGGAAAGGCAAAGAGAGTGTTTATCGCCCAAAGACTGGGCCGCCCAGTCACTCACGGCTCGACCCGCCCCCAAGAAAGCTCAGCTTGCCTTGAATGGCCCCATGGTGTCTAGCAGGCAAATTTGGCCCACTTGATTCGCTATCTTTCGCACATTCAGGCAAAGCTGACATCCTTTCCAACCCAACAAACAACCTTCCAGAGGAGGGCGGAAGTCAGGCGCACCGGTCTGAGTTCGGTGCTTATATCTCCCATGGCCGTTATGTACATAATTCACCCTAGGAGGCCTTATTTACGCAGTACGGAGACACGTTGGAACTTCCATCCCCTGTACAACCGGGTACGTGCATCCCACGCCATCCTGCGGGCGCACCCAGGACAATGATTCGCACTGACCAACGGTGGCTGGAGGCGCATCGTGCTCTTAGTGGGTTCTCGCCTGCAGGTCAACCGGCTCCGTCTGTGGCCCCGGTCTGAGATCGCCGAAAGCCCGACTGAGACGCGTCGCTTGGCCCTGGAACCCTCGTCCGTTATTATCCTTACTCATTCGGGTCGAAGGTCCTCTTTTCTTCATATTTAGTCCGGGTTGCCTAACACATTAGCCTCCTGCACTCGTGCGGTCTGGGGCCACAAGTGGTACTTAACGAGTCAACTACGAACCACTTGACGAATTAGCTGCATTATTATCATTATTCCTTGTACTCCGTATTTATTCTCCATTTCCCTTATTTCTATTTTCTCCCGTCCTCCACTTGATTTCCCCCCCCCCCTTCCTTCGTCTCCCTTTCTCCCCTTCCTCTCTCCTTCCCTTCCATTCATGGCCCACGGAATACTGTCTACGGAGACCTGTTTAGCTTGACCCCTACCCTTTCACTAGTGGTCGGTGTTTTCTCCGCCGGGAATCACTGCGTGCGACCGAATCCTTTTCAAAGTCGATCAGGCGTTTGCTGTCTGAGCGTTGGCCACCCGAAAGCTTGTCCCACTGCATAATCTTCAGCTTGGCTCTGCTGAATATTTTGTTTCAGCCCACCAATAAGGGCTCTAATTTACAATTCGCAGCTCAGAGCCACGCTCTTCGAGTCACACACGAATAGCTTCCAAGCATGAAGGAAGACAAAGGTACGGAAACATGCCCCTGAATGGACGATTGGAAACTATACCCGCCCGGGGCTGTTAGAAAGCAATGGCAACGGCAGCAACAACAACGGAAAGCTTAGCAAGAGCGGGGAAAAAGCAATACTAATATGACTGTAGCGGATACGGCGTCAATTGACGGGTCAACACCAGCAGCAAGTAACCAGGAAGTTCACCATGTCGACGACGAAAAGCGATCGTTTCATGAAGCGCTCGATGTGGAGCGAGGACCTGTCACGGATATCGAGAAAGAGGCCATTGAGCAAGCCGCCGAAGAGCCTCGAGATCCAAACATTGTCAGCTGGGACGGTCCTGATGATTCAGAAAACCCTCTGAATTGGACGAAGAAGAGGAAGGTGTCGGCAACGATCTCAATTGCACTAATCACGCTTCTCACGTAAGACCTCTTTAAAACGTGCATTCACAAGGCCGGGCTAACATGTAATTTCTAATAGGCCTCTTGGCTCATCTATGTTCGCTCCCGGTGTCTCACAGCTGGTACAGGACTTCCACATTACGAGCACGGAGCTTTCATCATTTGTGGTCTCCGTATACCTACTCGGCTACTGCTTTGGCCCACTCCTGATTGCGCCAGTTTCCGAGATTGTCGGTCGCCGCATCGTCTACAATGTGTGCAACTTCTTCTACGTCGTCTTTACCATTACTTGTGCTGTCGCTCCCGAAATTGGCAGCTTGACGGTCTTCCGATTCCTGGCTGGATTTGTCGGAAGCTGTCCGCTTACAATCGGCGCAGGCTCGATTGCAGACATGTTCGTTCAGGAAAGTCGAGGTGGCGCTATGGCTGCGTGGGCTATGGGCCCTTTGATCGGCCCCGTTGCCGGTCCCGTTGCGGGTGGATACCTAGCCCAGGCCATGGGCTGGAGGTGGACCTTCTGGGTTCTCGCCATGGCTAGCGGGCTCGTCTTCGTCATTTCTCTTTTTACAATTCGGGAATCCTACGCCCCGACCCTCCTGGCCGCAAAGACGAAAAGGCTGCGCAAAGAAACCGGAAATCAGAACCTACGCTCTGCCATGGACACTGGCCGTGATCCCATGGATCTATTCATGTTCTCGATCGTCCGGCCAACCAAGATGCTCTTCTTGTCGCCTATCGTCTTCCTTCTCTCCCTCTACGTCGGCGTCGTCTACGGATATCTCTACCTCCTCTTCACTACCATCAGTTCCGTTTTCGAAGGCCAATACGGCTGGTCTCAAGGATCCGTCGGTCTATCATACCTGGGCATCGGAATCGGCTCCTTCATAGGACTTGCTATGCTCGGTGCCACGTCCGACCGTCTCCTCAACTACCTCGCCGAGAAGAATGGCGAGAAGAAGCCCGAGTATCGATTGCCACCTATGATCCCGGGCTCAATTTTTGTGCCCATCTCATTGTTCATCTATGGATGGACGGCCTATTACAAGACTCACTGGATCGTTCCCATCATTGGAACGTCCTTCCTCGGAATCGGCATGCTAATCTCCTTCGTAAGTTGATCTGCAATTTCCCTGTCCCTGATACATTAATTGCTTACATTGCTCGATCTGTCTAGATGACCGTCAGCACTTATCTCGTCGATGCCTACTCGACCTACGCCGCCTCCGCCATGGCTGCCAACACCGTCTTCCGATCCCTAGCTGGTGCATTGCTCCCACTTGCCGGTCCCAAGATGTACGAGCGCCTTGGATTAGGCTGGGGTAACTCCTTGCTCGGCTTCATTGCTCTAGCTCTGTGTCCGCTGCCGGTAGTCTTCTACGTCTACGGCGAGCGCATCCGCAAAAGCAAGCTGTTCCATGTCGAGTTCTAAGGCGCCCAGGAGGCTGCCGCTCCGATCTTTGATTTCGAATTCATTAGATCCATACGGTGCATTACACCCTTTTGGCTCTCGTGTATATCATGCATATCCATTATGAATATTTGGAGGCTCAGACATGTCGGTCAGGTCAGGTTATTTAGACCAAGTTGGAAGCATTTATCAGGCGCTCCATGGTTGTGGATTATGTTGAAAACTGCAGGGGACCATTTAAGACGCATTTTGGTTACACTGATGTGGATATGAGTATATAGGCCCTATAAATTACGAATTGATGATAAGTATCAATGTTGCTGTTTATACCTGAAACCCCCAATAGTCACAAGGGAAATTAATGAAAGAGCCTGCTTCATCGCTCGGTGATTCTTATGTTGGAGTACTTGTCACGCTCGCGGGCGAAGCAGAGATAAGAATAATAACCACGGTGCATCTCTTGGTTAAATAAGATTGCAATAGTAGAGCAGGTCTTCGAGCGGTTGAACAACTAATCATACAGACTCGGACTATCAAATTTTCTTGCGTGTCAATTACCATCTTTCATTGTTGCTGACGGGTATATGCAAAAAGAGGACATCTCATAAAAGGAAAGCTCTCGCTGGCTTCTATTCTTCAAACGGGGGAAACCTATTCATCACATTCTCAGCACCAACTGCTTCGACCAGTAACACCTGTCGATGTCTCTCGCTCCGCACATGAATGTCGCATTTAAAAGGCTGAGGACGAATGTTAAAGCCTTGTGTATACGCAAAAGTATCATATCTTCTTTCATCGCCATTAGCCTCACGTACTGGTCTGAATTCAAAGGCCCACAACAGACGCGCCAATGCAATGAAAAGAGAATTCTGTGCCAATCCCGCTCCTGGACAGATTCGTCGTCCCCAGCCAAATGAGCTATGTCCCTCTTTCGCAGGATGGGATTGGGGTGGAGACGTTTCGGCGAGATCTTCTGCTGAAAACTTTGGGAGGTACGAGAGAGTCTGCGCATCGACGTCCAGAAAGCGGAGCGGGTTGAAATGATGCGGGTTTGGATAATACGTCGAGTTGAGGTTGATTGCCCACGAATTGGAGAGGATCGTCGTACCCTGCGGTATGGAGTATCCCTTGTAGGTATCTGCAACCGAGTTTGCGTGTGGTGTGCCTCCGAGGACAGCGACAGGTCTGATGCGAAGCGTTTCATTACAGAGAGCTTTGAGATATGGGAGGTCCTTCTCATCGTCGAATGTGGGAAGACGTGTCATTCCTACGATATGATCGAGTTCGGCATGCGCAGCAGCTTGCACATGTGGGTTTGTCACGAGCATGAGGATTGCGCTGCATAAGGTACTCGCGGTTGTGTCACTGCCGGCTCCGAACAACGATGCCGGCACGAATGAGAAATCCCTTTCGCCGAGTACGCCGAACGTAATCGGGTCTGCTTCTCGGGCTTCGAGGAGCAGCTTGGAGAGAGAGTGCGGCACGTCCGAGGGGGTTTTGGCTGTACGAAGCTCATCTTGAACTCGGCGTAGTAGTGCGACGTTAGTTGCTGCTTCTTCACGCCCACGTCGCTGGATCTCTGCTTTCCATGGTGCCAAGAAGTTCGGAACATGTTTGAGCCAGGGAATCGACTCGGCGAGATATCTCCCGGGCACATTGAGAGAAGCAGAATATTGCATGAACTCGAGACGCTGCTGAATGACCTTCGAATTCATCGAGTCAATCCTGTGACCATACGCAATACTAAAGACCACGCTCGCTGTGAAACGATCAATAAGGCCTTCGTATGAATTTGGCTGGTCAAGTAGTGCCCGGCATAACCTCGCTGCCTCGGCCTCCTGAACGGGCTTGTATAACCTCAACGCAGATGGATTGAGAGCTTGATGCAGCATGCGTCGACGTACTTGCCATTCCTTTCCGTACGGTTGAACCAGAATGCCCGCGTTGTCCCAATACAGTTCACCCATGACGACAAATCGCGGTCGAGAGCTGAATTTTGTACTGCGCTTTTCAAGCAGGTCGACTGCTACGTTAGGGTCTGATATGATGATTGTCGGTCGTCGACCTATCCACAACGTGAAAATGGGTCCGTATATTTGGGACCACTTCTCGAATTGGATCCATGGAGAGGAGGATGGAATTTTAAGCTTGTTCCCGAGGAATGGGAGGGGAGTGGGGCCTGGTGGAAGACGAAGATATAGAAGGACATCGTGTATCAGGATCGAGATGATTGGCATTATAACTGCTCCGACGGCTAAGGAGTATGGGTGTAACGCGAGGATGTGCGGTATCGAAAAGATCGAAGCATGATCCAGTAATGCCGAGAACGCCATCCTGTAGTTCGCCCTCAAAATGGGCGCAAGTATGTGATCTTTCCTACGCCAAATTGTCAGAACATTGAAACCATTATGTCTGTCCAAGCAGCCAATGTCTGCAATTATATCCAAACTTCGGCTCCAGCCGAGTGGTGCTGGCCCCACGACGCCACATCGAGAGGGGCTTGTGGGGAGCGTTGATGTGACAGCTCTAGAGAACAAGAGCCGGTAATGAGTGGAATTATAAATGCCGAAGCCAATGATATCCCACTTCTTGCCTACTCTATTCAAATGCCTTGTGGGGCAACCTGCTAATGTAAGACATCGCTTTAAGTCGACGACAATGAGGCAGAGGGCTATTGGGCTCCGGGATCCAGTTGGAGTGGTGATACTTACGAAATTGGCTCCTTCCCATCCGATTCCTAATTCATACTAGTCGATGCACCATCCGGCCTGCTTTAACACCTTCTTTCTAACGGCCGGAGAAACACACTAACCGCCCTCAATACCGGAACTCCCAATGGCTATTATTTGCCATAGAATTGTACTGTAGGCCACCCTCTCCGGCCGTAATCCAGTAGACTGTAGTTCAAATTTTGGAAACAGGAGCTGGGAGAAAAGGCATAGCCAGACACACTCCCACCTCCTACGTGTCTGAAGATCTTTTCAAGTGCATTTTGAATCATCTTTCCGAATAGCCCAGGCAGTATCTCTCAGTTGGTCTTTCAAAGCACATCCAATGAGATAGATGACTTTGAAGTTTAGTCAGGGTTTCACACTGCTAAAACACCACTAGAATACTCAAGAGCCCAGAAAGATGAATCATGATTCCCCCCGCATTGGGAAGGGTCCAATGGTGTCGTTACGTAAGCGCGTCCGGGGCGCCACACCTTGCACTCCATTGGGGATGGCTTCGCCATCATATGCAGATCCCCCCGGACCGAGGTCGAGGGAGTAAATCAGGACCCATTTCGGTCGGTCAGACCGGGTAGTTATCATTGAGCCTGGCTGGACAATTGGCAGGAGTCACTCATCCTCGCGTTGCGCGGTGTGCGCCTGTCGTCAATGCCGTCTCGTCGCAGTCATACAAAGTCCCGAAAGGGATGCTCAGAGTGCAAAAGAAGACATGTTAAGGTCGGTCTCGTCTATTTACCTGCTGCAGTTTTATCGCGACTTTGATTGCCTGTGTTCCGACAGGTTGGTCGTGTGAGTTTGATTGAAGCAAACGCGATAAATTGGCCTGGTGCCTAGGCACAGCTATCACCGTGAGACGCGACTAAAGATCTGACCACGCTTACAGTGCGATGAGGGGACTCCCAAGTGCACGCTGTGCAAGAAACGCAAATTGGAGTGCATCTATCCGCCCCCACAGAGTGATCTCGATAGCTCTCATGGCTCGCCATCCGTTCAAGATGGCTCCGAGAGTGGCACTCGAACGCCGGGAGGTGATCAATCAATGCAAACGCGAATGCTAGAAATGAGGCTCTTTCACCAATACCTAACATCGACATGCCGCACGCTCTCCCAGCATGGACTCTCTGCACATCACCTGTCCATCGTCATACCCCGGATGGCTACCTCCTTTCCCTATTTGTTAGACAGTATTTTTGCTCTATCTGCTTTGCACTTGGCCACTGTCGAAGAAGATAATCGCATCACATGGCTGGATGCCGCTGTACGGTATCAGAGCCAGGCATGCTCTGGGATGGCTAAAATTCTGCCGGGTATCACCCCTGAACATTACGAACCGGCATTCGTGTTCTCGGTGCTGATTTTCTTATTCGCGACTGGATTTCCTGGAATTTCAACCGAAAGGAACCAAAACCATGATCCCATCTCTGAGGTACTCGAAGGGCGACGACTTATAGCAGGGGCCGCCATGCTCTTCGAGCGTTTCAATGAAGTGGGTGTCGATGCAAAGCTGAGTGGCTGGCTTTGTAATTCGGACACGGAAGAAAGCCTCGAGAATAATGAAAAGAACAGGTACTTGGCATTCTAGAGGCTCGGATGGCCATATGGCTAACTCTGCATGAAAAGTGATGGCCCCTCAGATGATGACGTCAAGAGACTATTTGATTTGCACAAGTAGGGGTCAATAACCAATTATCTGGGACATAGAACTAACAGTGAGTAGAAGCATTATGGAGTCACTCGAGAAACTACAAACCACGATTGAGGCGGACAAATCCCCCCAAAAAGAGCTCTACCAGGCGACATGGACACTCCTACACAACTCCATAGAACCTTGGCCCAAGATCGGGCCACAGGGAGGGCCGATCGCATGGCCCCTCTTCATTCCTGAGGCATACATTTCACTACTAGAGAGCGGCGACTGGATCGCCCGTATACTATTTCTACATCATGCCGTTGCACTACGATTGATGTGTAATCGATGGTACGTTCGTGACCGGGGGCGCAGGTTAGCTCTGGCGACATTGGAGTCACTCGGAGATATCCCTGCCGAATGGGCGGACATCATCTCTTGGGTTAAAAGCAGCGTTGGAATTTAATACATCAGTCGTCGCGTGGTAGGCTCAAAAAAACGATAAATTATCATTAGAAATCACCTCTACATCGCAACACATACCTATACATGATATGCACCGGCCAATTCCAGATGCCTAAACCTTTTCAATGTAGACATGACACTTCAGCCAAACTCCAATTGATGGCCATTATTCTAATCTTCGGCCGACACCAGGGTAGTTCGTTTTCCCCGTACCGGAACATCAAGCCTTTTTGGCAATATCAGGCGTTGTCTTGGTCTGTGTTATCTTCTTCCTCGATTAATAGTTTACGGAATCTGCTAGGTACCTTATTGGAATCTCCTTGCTAGACCTTTAAGCGCAGATTTACCTGTTCTATGAATATCTTGAGAGAAAGAGAAACGAAATCGATGAAGGTTCATTTTGCACGTACACCTGACCAATCGGCGAAGGTGCCGGTGAGTTCGACAACTTGTCCCCGCTGCTTTAGCTGACCAGTCTCTGGTCCACATGGGCGTTTCAGGTCAAATGGATACTGAATGAGGATGATAAACTTATTTTATCTAGCGAAGGTGAGGAGCCTGGAATAACAGGAGGGAAGAATTATGTGGCGCACGCGTTCCTCTCAATGACCTGCCTTTATTCCGTGCTTTTTTACCCTAAGCTCCCTCCCAGATGATGATGGCAACGAATGATCTTGCCATGGGACGAGGGCACTTTCGGGTGATGCATTAAGAAGATCGTATTTTATGAGCTTCTTTCATGCCAATTTCAAAACCTGAATAGTGTTACAGATCGGACCTTTATTAGAATTCGGGTGACAAAGTCGCGCTCACTCAGGGTACCAGGCCTTAGCAGGGTATGGTGGTCGGAAGAGAGACGCAAACTATGAGGCCAATCATCCAAGTCATTTATGAAATCCTCAAGAAACTCCATTTCCCTTCTACTATGAATGGTCTAGGGCTCGGGTCTTGATATGTGGCCCAATCTCCGGTGTACAAATATTCCAGGTTCATAGACTTTTTGCTCTTCGTCCTATCACTACCTGTCCATAGTTGCTACAACCTCCAAAGGTTGTAGAAGCCTTTGATAGAGGTTCCGGTCCAAGGTGGACTTCCACTTGGGAGTGTTCCTGGATCCTTATTTCTGGATGGATATCTCCTCTTATGCTTCCTGTTTCCTGTGCGCTGACGACTTTCGCGTCCTTGGCTAGCACTTCACGAAGCATCTATGTACTTAATTATGTCGATGCCGTTGTTGGTTTCTCGAGCAGGCAGGGGGGAGGGGGGGGGCGGTAGGTATCTACGTACTAAGGTAGCAAAGACTGCGGGTGATCCAACTATGGCTTCAGGTCCAGCCTTGACTTTTTGGATGCCCACCGTCCTGATCTCAATCCGAGGATCAGCGACTCCAAAGGAATTTTGCGAATGGCTTCTTGTCCCCTGCATCGCATGATATTAAGCATCTTGGTGAGTCATCTGTGATCGGGTTTATTTTGATGTGGAAAAGAGCGTTATTTATCGGATCCTGGGATACGTAGGTAGATAGGTTGGATCCGATGCTTTGACGTCCGTTATTGTCAGAAAAACAGAAGCCCGTGTAGACTAAGAATGTTGCCCATGGAGCATGTCTGGTCTAGCGGTAAAGTGCCCTGAATTTGATGCGGACAGTTATCTCGGAATTTCGCACACAGTAGATCTCACTTTTCTCTTAGATAATGTATGCTGCTAGAGTTTGATAAGCGGTATTCACATAAATCCCAGAAGGAGATTTAGATGTGTGAATTGGTGAGCCAATAGATCATGGGGAAATTTTGTACGGGAAACGTATAACGCACATTCGTGAGAAATCATGGTCAGATTTTACTAGCTCTAGTTGGAAGATCTGGCTGAATTACACTGTTTCATTCATAGTGACAAATGCGCCGAGGGGGATTGACTACAACATGCTGGGTTGGAGAACATAGTTGCACTCGATTCAGGGAACCCATAGACTACTTGTGGACTGCTTCTGGATTTGAATGGAGGTGCGATGCCAGCAGATGGCAAAAAGAAAAAAAGTAAAGGATATTGGCGCTGCCCGGAATCGAACCGGGGCTGGCACGGCCACAACGTGACGTCATACCACTAGACCACAGCACCGAATTGCTGAAGGGTTGGTCGTCAATTTGATTCTACAGTGGATTTGCTTGCAGGAACAAGTATTCACCACCGAAGAGACATTAAGATGTAATAAATTTCCTATGAACTACACTTGAAGATGTAATTATTGGTAAAGCGGGGGAGAAGTGGAATTATAATTTTACACCCTTGTATGCTAGGACAGAGAAAATTAGTAAGTTGGGTAATTAGGTAGTATGGGTAGCCTTCGCAGTTTTATTCGACACTTGGAAATATATGTTTTCGACAAAATGCAGTTAGTCCAACGGCTACAGCTGAACCTCATTAACGCAGACTGACCCCGTCCCAGGAATGAAACAGGCCATTGCCGTACCAACAAGAAAGTACCCGAAGAATATCCAAGTTACTCACCGGTAGACCACTCTCCCCTGGCTTATTGCAATACAGTCAGTCCAGCACACGGAAAACAATGGGACCGGCAAATGCGAGGCCCCCATGAAAGAGGCGTACGAGGCTTCCATTCGTCCAGCCAATGACCTAAGTTGTATCTGGATAGTTAACTCAACATGTAAGGACGCTAATCACCCAGTGTTTGAGTTCGGGAAAAAAGGCGTGCACATAGCCACTATCGTAGTTGCCAATATGGACAGCAGGCAAAGCCGTCTAAGGGTTCTCAATTTAAGACCTGCTAAATGGCTATATGCAAAGTTGTCTCTAGTGCCGATATTCATTAGTTGTAAGCCCTGTGCTATTTTCCTGATATATTTCAAAGTAGGCCACGCCATGCAAGTGGTCCGGTGGTGCCGGAAATGTCACTGGAGTTATCCAGATGATCCGAGATCGCTTTGCGCGGGTCAATTGTGAGGTAACCCATTCATAATGTCAAATATTTGTCCATCATTCAACAATCCGGTGCTGTGGTCCAGTTGGTCAAGACGCTTCGTTGTGGAGGCATATTCGTATTACCGAAGTAGCCCCGGTTCGAATCCGGGCAGCGCCACTTTCTTTTTTGATCGACATCCGATCATCTACTCACTCTATCGATGTCTAATCTTTTTTGTTCAAGAAGATCTGGAACCAGCCACGTGTAGACATCTCGGTGCTCTCAACATCACGGGATGGAGACGTAAAGGCTCCCTATAGCACCTCGGCCTTTGATGGGTGCAGCTGAACAGCAACTCCCGGCAGTCCGATCAGCACAGGTACGTGGGGGTAGGACGAAGCGATCGAGAGAGCATTTGCTCGCTACGCCTGACTACAATATATGTAGGAGAAAGCCCATGAGTATTACTATCGACACAATCAAGTCCTCCATTTGAACCGGAGGTCCTATGTCGCGAAATGTAACAACCGAGGGCGGGACTTTGGTAGCGCAGACACGAATAATTCGCCGTGGGTCTCTAGGCTAGATAGATGAGAATTGAAGATGGTAATTGCTCATTAGGGTGTCCTAGTACTATGCTACTATGTGTTCTATGTTACCTCTTCAGCTTTGACACAGTCGTTGTATGAGGTGAAGGAGGCCTTCTATGTTCCCCAGTTTCTTCGTAGCAACGAGGCACTTATAAACGAATGGCTACTAGTTTCAATCGAGGGGTCAATGATAACCCTCAGACTGGCCAGTAAGGCTCCACGTCTCTAGCAATAACTGACACTCCTCAAGCAAAACGAACTAACAGTAGCAACTGTTATCTCATTTTGGGAATGACTCTCTGGCATTGCCTCTTCAGCAGAAGAATCCCGTGTAAATCCAAAGCAAAATGGAAGATTGAACCCACATGAGAGCCATCGCCATAACAACTTGACAATCATGAAGCAAAAAGCAAAAAGAAAAAGATAAGTGGCGCTGCCCGGATTCGAACCGGGGCTACTTCGGTAATACGAATATGCCTCCACAACGAAGCGTCTTGACCAACTGGACCACAGCACCTTGTATTGGTATGTAACAAATCTTTCTATAACATGAAGGAGCGGCAAGTTTTCGTTACTTATGCACCCATATCGCGAAGGCTACAGCACCGAGTCATTTTGCGTATTTTTAACCAACTTCTCTCAGGATGGTGCCCAGCAAGGTCAAGCGCATTGATTCGGAACATGTATCTCAAAATCAGCAGGGTTCATCCAGAAAGCCTAATATTTATCTCACGGTGAATTGTCATTCGCCTAATACTGTTTTCCAGTCCTTCACTTCATACACCACGTAAATGAGGATATACGTCCGAAAGGAGTCTCCCCCCGGCCCCCTTTTATAAGTGTCTCCGGCGACTTGGCTATTATAATCTTAGCTAAAATTACTCATACGAGATGTATTGTTGATTATAAAGAAACCACTCTTTATACATATTAGCCATCACAGCTACCGGAACCCCATTTTGTCATTTTGTTCTTTTCCTTGGCTGCATTTTCGCTCTACTGAGTAAGAATCGTAGTCATGGCGAGCTGTTTAACTTTAGGATGTAATTGGCTCTTAGTTTATCTTTTATCAACTCCGAGAGTGAGCTCATCGTTATACGATGAGCTCTATACGATGAGCTCTAGGGAATGATGTTTTGATTAAACTCGTTGATTAAGATACTGATAAGCCCTTGCGGACCGATAGACCCTGCGTCACCTTTAACTCCAACGAGGGATAATCACCAGCCCGAAAGAGCAATTTGCAAATAGGATCACACCCCAAAAATGAGGCCGCTCTTTCAGCAATTCAGGTGCTGTGGTCTAGTGGTATGACGTCACGTTGTGGCCGTGCCAGCCCCGGTTCGATTCCGGGCAGCGCCAATTTCCTTTTTGTTCTTTTTGGAACCTCTTATAGAGGACAACGTAACTGCGAAAGTTGGGCTCAGAATACTTGATTTCCTATGTATTTGATCCAGATTGTGCAGTAAAGCCACATCGATAAGGGAATTCGGAGCTTGGCTCCGATCCATTCACGTTTTTGGCAGGATAACGAGGCATCAGAATCCTGGATCTGAATTTATGACTAAGGGCTACTTGAGATAAATGTATGAGCAACAATACAACTTAATCTGTCAAGAGTATTCAATATTGTTAGGACCTAGGCACTGGTCCCCCTAAGCCTAACGTAGATGCGCTACTTATATCGGTCCAAGGCATGCTAGAACATAGCGTTCTCGCATATTTGGTCTTTTTGGCTTGTTTGGCTAGTGCGCCTGGGCACGTGTCGTAACAAATATGGTAGAAGATAAGGCTTCGCATGGCTTACTAGGGGAAATGTCTATCAACCCCGGCGATATGGAAGTCACCTCAACTGATTACTCATATCCAATTTTGCTTAACTTACAAGATACTGTCCCGTGTCCGTAGTTTGACTGTTTGCTCATAGTTTGATGGCACCTTAGTAATTCGGCGTTCAGGGTTAACTTAGCAAAACCGCCATTGTCAAAGCACTGTACGCTTGAGACTGATTGGTTTGCGGTAATCAGGACCTCGGTAGGTAGGCAAAGTACCGGGAAATGATAGGCAAAGCGGGACGGTCTGATAGGCCTCGATACTCGCGTGACTGCGAGGATGCCAGAGCCACACGGCTACTCCAAAACTGTGATTAATAATGTTAGTTTTCTACCCCAACACCCCGCGGATGTCAAGCGATCAGTCTAAACTTTATGCGCTGTTCACATAGCCCCCGCAGATAACCGTAGAGCAGAAAGAGAAAGTCGAAATTTATGTTGTCACTAGGCTCTCACTTTATGCTACCAAAGCTTAGTTAGTGGAGCGGGAGCGCCGCTTATCTGCGGGGTTTATGTTGATACCTTATCCCAAGGAGTAATCTGGTCCACGGGACCGTTGGTTCAGTGGGCCCTGCGGACTTGCCCCGAAAGAAGACGATGGGGTTCATTTAATCAAGGGGTCCTCGGGGAAATACAAACCTACTGAGCACTAGGTTGACTGGGATAAGTTCTTCTCAAGTCTGAATATCCACGTAAGCGCATGGGCTCCTGCACGTTACAATGATCAGCGATGGAGATGTGGAGAAACAGGTACGAGATCCAAACCGATCCTGGTCAAATCCCCGCTACCCCCTCACGTTGGAAAATGGCGTTATCAGTGTTAATAAAGGCGATTTCAGCCTCTGTTGGGCTCTATTCTCCGTGCCAAGGTTAAGAGCACCGACTGGGATTCCGACTTGCGCAAAAGCCAGCGTGACGAATCCAGGACTATGCTTCATTCCAAGAATTTCGGCCTTCTGGCCGTCCTGTCATTGATTTTGTTGGTCATCTGTTTACCCAGTGTGTCCACAACACCGCTTGAATTTTCTATTCGAGATACGGACTCTCAGGATGCATCTCGAGAGATTGGTCCGGGGAAACGGGGCGCGGTTGCGACAGAGAATGCTCTTTGTTCACGACATGGTATCGAAATATTAAAGATGGGTGGTAATGCTGCCGATGCAGTGAGTTCACCCTACTCTCTTACGGCTGGAGAAAGGTTACCCGCAATTTGGAGATCCAATGCTAAACTAATTGATAGTTGATCGCTGCACAGTTCTGTATCGGTGTAACCTGTGAGTTTATCTAGGAATTAGTAACACCGGATGATAGCCGAAACTAATCCATTCCAGCAATGTACCATAGTGGTATCGGTGGAGGTGGCTTTATGCTCGTCCGAGCACCGAATGGATCTTATGAGTTTATTGACTTTCGTGAAACAGCGCCTGCTGCAGCCTTCCAGGACATGTACGATAACAACACCGATGCATCGATCTATGGGGGGCTGGCAAGGTAGGAACTCGATCCACTATACTCCAGAATTGGGCAACAAATATTGACAAGCAATAGTGGCGTTCCTGGCGAGATCCGCGGGTTGGAATATCTTCACCGGAAGTACGCCTCTCTCCCCTGGGCGACGTTGATGCAACCGGCGATTCGGATGGCGCGTAATGGGTTTGCTGTGTCTACAGATCTGGTCAAATACATGAAGCTTGCCGTTGGTGACGGAGAAGATTTCTTATCCAAGGATCCAAATTGGGCTTTGGACTTTGCACCTAATGGAACCCTTTTGGGTCTGGGAGATACAATTACACGTAAGCGGTATGCGGATACACTGGAAACCATTGCCAAACAGGGCCCGGACGCATTCTACATGGGTCCAATTGCAGAGACGATGATCAACGCGATTCAAGCAGCCAATGGTACTATGACCGTGGAGGATCTGAAGAATTATACTGTGGCGATTCGCAACACATCGCAGATTGACTATCGCGGGTACAAAATTACCAGCACGACGGCACCGTCTAGTGGAATCGTGGCTCTTAGCATTCTTAAGATTTTGAGCACCTATCAGGGTCTCTTTGGCTCGGAGAAGTCGATTAACATCAGTACGCACCGTATGGACGAGGCCATGCGTTTCGGTTATGGGGAGGTATTTTTTCCCCGGACCCTATCTCTTGAGGGTTTATGCTAAAATGACACCAGAGGACTAAGCTTGGCGACCCTTCTTTTGTGGAGGGCATGGACGAATATCAACAGAGTATGTTGAAGCAGTCGACGATCGATAGCATCCGCGGAAAGATTTCCGATACTGCCACTCTGAATGTATCCGCATATGACCCGTCAGGTCTCGAGAGTTTGGAGACGTAAGATCTACTAGTTACCAGCATAATTGGTGTGAAACTGACTTGCCTATAGTCCCGGAACCTCTCATCTCGCGACGGCTGATCACACCGGCCTTGCTATATCCGTGATTACTACGATCAATTTGTATTTCGGAAGCCATGTGCTAGTCCCAGAGACAGGAATTATAATGAACAACGAGATGAATGGTACGCGGAGGAAGAATTATGAGGAGTTGAAGCCACCAACTAACAAATCAAATTTAGATTTCTCGATTCCGGGGTCTTCTAACCAATTTGGCTATATCCCTTCTGAGGCTAATTACGTTCGACCTGGCAAGCGTCCCTTGTCATCGATTACCCCTGCAATCGTGGTTCGCCCGGATGGCAAGCTTTTCTTGGTCGCTGGCTCTGCTGGAGGTAGCCGTATTATTACCGCCACTGTTCAAAACATCATTCATTCCATCGACCAAAAGCTGAGTGCAGCGGAGGCCCTTGCAAAGCCCCGTCTGCATGATCAGCTAGTTCCTAACCAGGTCAGCTTTGAATATTCTTATGATAATTCGACAGTCGCCTTTATGAAGAGTCTTGGGCATAACGTGACATGGGTTGCCCCTGGTCAAAGCACTGCACAGCTCATTCACGTCCAAAGCAATGGAACATTTGACGCTGCTGGAGAGCCGCGGCAGCTGGCTTCTGCTGGGTATTCCATTTAGGGTGGGAATTGCACATATCTGAAGGTGGTATAGTGAGCTGCGAGCTGGTACGTTTTCGAACAAGATGTAAGTATATATCGACAGATTTACGGTAGTGATCTGAATCGTAGAATGAGCATATAGCTTTGAATCATAGAATCACCTGTCATTATGTAGCCAATCATCGTATTGGCACTTCCAACCTTGCCCAGAGGTGCCTTCCTGTCGTGGTCTAAACTCTTAGGTCACGATGGCCATTTTCCCGAGGCAGCCCCAAGGGCGATAAGCCTATCGCGCGCTGGTCTGTGCGCGTTTACAGCTCCGCGCGTGCGGAGTTCCCTAGTTTTTTTGTTTGACATGTCCAAAGCTGGCAATTCTCTCATTTTGACCTATTTTACTCTCGTTTAGGACTGCTGACCTGCCGGCTCTCTTTCTCAACCCCCCTTTTCTTTCTGGTTAACTTTCAAGCTCACAACTACCACCTTTCTCCCTCCAACAACCTCCCCCCCCACGGCAAACCATGCTGAAGTCCTCTCGACCTTCCCCAGATTTGCTGCCATCCAAGTGATACTTGAAGATTGTATGCCCCTGCGGCGCTGAAGTGCTTGAAGATCTTGGAGACTAAGAATCCCGAGGACAGAACTGTCGTTGATCCAGTGAATTCGAACCTACCGCATACATGCTTCCCTCACTGCCCTCGCACCTCATCTGAAGACCTACCGGATCGCAAACACTACATGCAAAATGGCGTCTCCCGACGACCTTGCTATCGTTCTACCTCCTCCTTCCTACCCAACCGACACATACAAGGACTACAAACCCTTCGATGACTTTTATGAGCGAACTGTTGATGAGATTTTGGATGAGGATGCAAACCTTGAAGGATTACGAGACACCGATTGGCCATTCTACTCCGGCGGTGATGGAGCTGGAGAGTCACCAGCTTATTCTTTACGGAAGGGAGTTTCCAACGAAGGAAACACACTCTCCCCAACGCCCAGAGCGATAAAGAAGAGCAAGGCCAAAGACCTGACAGCGAAGTCCAACAAACCGAAGAAGAAACGTCCCGCAGCCAAGAGAGAGATTACGGTCATTGACCTTTGTAGCGATAATGAATATCCCGCGCCAGAGAATATGGAAATCGGCCGTGACAAGACGAAGGAGCAAGGTGACCCTAAGGAGATGAATGGTATCGGCAACCTCCAAACAGATACTGCCTTGGAGGATGATTCTGACGGCACATTGGACTTTGTTGATGCCATGGAGAGCCAGGAGGACTCTGCCAATGTGAATATCGTCAATAAAAAAAGCGTCGAACCCGGCCCTGTCGATGTGGAGGCCGTGGAAGCGAATGTTGCTGCAGGTGATGAGATTGATGTATCCCGAACTACGACTACCAAGAGAGTGAGGCACAGGCACTCAATGAAAGGCTCCAAAGAGGAAAAAATCATCTTCTCCTCCGTTTCAGAATCTGTGAGAGGCGAAGTGCTGGAGTTTATTGCGGAACATCCCTTCATGTCTCGATTCGTGCAACCCGTGAGACGCTCCGCGAAGCGTCAGTTCATCAAGGAAATGTGCGATCAAGCGGAATCAAAGGGGTTGGATCGTTCAGTGCTCTATGACTTAATCAAGTACGTGCGCAGGCTTTATCTCGATAGTGCCGGGGTCGACGCCGAACCCCTTGCGCCTGACTGCAACGACATTCCCTTTGGACAGGAAATTGACGACGATTCTACGCCGAATCCTCCATCTCGAAAAAGTCACAAAAGAAGTCGCAAGGAAAGGTCTCCGGGGATTAAGAACAAGAGCAGCAAGAGGCGTTTACTTGATGTTCAAAAGCCCCCGCACCCAGTCTCTGTGCCGGAGGCCATTGAAATTGCCGATGACTGTACCGGCCCATTGTCTCCGGAGCTTCCAGATGTCCTAAGCTGCACCATAGATGAAAAAGTCACAGTTATTCAAATCCAGAGCACCCCTGATTCACCTATTGGCCCTGCCGTTGCCGTCTCCGATGGTGCCAAAGTCCAGAATAATGTTTTCGATCCTCCTGTGATTGAAAGCACACCTGAGCTACCATCTCAGCCGCTTGATCTTCAGAATCATGAAATTTGTGAAGATACTACGATAGTTCAGGTCGAGAGCACTCCCGAGTTGCCCCTTGAGCCGGGGAGTGCCACTGTATCCCACACCACAGAGACAATTCAAACAGAGGACAATGTCAAGTCAACTCTCACAATCGAAGAGACGATTCCTGCTCCTGATAACGAGGAAGGGTCTGAAGATGCTCAAATGTTCAACAAAATCGCAAGTGTGGGAGACTATGCAAATGATGAGGCTATGCCAGAGAGCCTGTATGAGCCAAGGATTTCACTCCAGACCGCGACAGACAATAAGCCTACGTCAACGAGCTTGAATTCAACAATCGATTCAGAGACGAACAAGAATCTTCCCGCTCACCTTTCGAAGACCCAGAAAAGAAGAGCAAGAAGAAAACTCCTCAAGCAAGCTGTAGAGGAAGAGAAAGCTACCGAGACGATGGATGATATCCAGCCGGCTCTTATGCTTCCAAAGATAGTCGACTTCGGCGATGACGATGCAAACTCAGCAGCCCAAGACTCTGCCACCGCGAGATCGGGAGTGGACGACGAGAGTGTTTCTTGCAACTCGGACAAATCAAATGGTCCACCCAAAGATGCGACCGGTATGATCCAGAAGAACCTGTTCCTAGATTTCCCCTCTGAACCGATCAATGAGGCGCCGAAAAAGCTGTCGAAGAACCAGCAAAGACAGGAGAGACGAAGGGCCAAGCGGGAGAAAAAAGAGAAAAGAATCCAAGAGAGGAGGGAGAAAGAGTTGGAGGCGGAACAACAGTCCGCGACCTCCTGGCTCAAGCATCACAACAAACATGATACCCAAGATACCCCGATGCAGACATTGCAGGCGAAAAAAATCCAAGTTCCCAAGGCTTTGCCAAAACGAAAAGTCATAGATCCCGAGCCCAGGAAAGAAAAGAAACGGAAGGAGCGCGAGCACAAACGCGAACAGAAGAGAGAGCGGAAGCGGAAGAGAGAATCTTTGAAGCTCGAACTCGAAAGCGAATTCAATGACGATGATCAATACCAAGAAGATCTGCCTGCGGACAAGGACCTCGAGCTCGATGGGCAAGAGCTTGACAGCCAACTCAAGAAAAATGGGAAGCAAGAGCGGAAGCGTCAGCGACAGTCTTTGGCATTACCTCACGACAAGGGCGATATTGAAGATGATCCAACTTCAGGCATCCAGCCCTCGAATGGCTCCATTGAGTCTCACACAGCCGCCAATATTCGCGATGAAAACGAGGTGTCTCCAGATTACGACGAGCGAAAGTCCCGAGTTCAAGTCGCACAAGAAACCCCCCAACCAGAGGATCTAGTTATGGAGAAGTCGAATTCAGTCTCGACCCCTCAACCAACGACTCCGGCAACCAAAGGGCGGGCAATCATGTTGACTCCTCAATGTAATAATTCTACGGCTGCGCCGATGCTGACGTCGACTCCGATATCTCAATGCACGAGCGCTTCCCGATCGAGATATGGGCCCTTGTCACCTGATCCGACCGAGTGGGACACAGATTTTTGATTCCCAATGATTTGCCAGGGGTGACACCCAGCGATGAGGTGACGTCCAAATGCTGCTGCACAGCACTAAAACCCGACATTCATACTCTCAAAATAAATCCAAACACAATTCTGGATACAACCTTCCCGCTGCGCGACATGTCACTACCAGAGAAAACTCGGAAAATCCTGGATGATCTGGAATTAGACTCCGGATTTTTGTCGTCTGGCTCGTCTTTAAGCGATCCACCTAGCGATCTCGATCTTGATTGTGACCTCGAAGATGATCTCGCTTTGTATCCAACGCCCCAGGTGTCGCCTTCCAAGAGCCCGCATTTTCTGCCCCCCCAAACTGCTGCGGGCCCCAGCACTCCCGTTAAGCGCACCAAGTTCCTTGTACCAGAAATCTCCAATACCCTTCGACTAAAACGTCCCAAAATCTCACCATACTTTCCCATAATGGCAGATCCTCCTCAGTCTTGCCTCCCATTTCCACCTACTGATGCTCCATCTTTTGGACTTGTTCAGGAGCAGCTTGCACATGAACCATTTAAGTTGCTTATCGCTACCATCTTCTTGAATCGGACCAGAGGCGGCGTTGCTTTGCCCGTATTTTTTAAGGTCTTTGAACGGTATCCTACTATCGATGCAATGGCGTCCGCGGACTTGGCGGATTTTGTATCCATGATTCGTTGTTTGGGGTTTCAGAACCAACGTGCTAAGAAGTGCATTGCTATTGCTCAACTCTGGCAAACAAATCCGCCCATCAAGAATAAACGATATCGCAAGCTTCATTACCCCAGGAAACTAGACGGTCGGGACGTCCAAGCCAATGAATGTCTTGATGATGAAGATCCTCGGGCAGCCTGGGAAATTGCACATTTACCTGGAGTCGGAGCATACTCTTTGGATAGCTGGCGCATTTTCTGTCGGGACGAGCTACGAGGTCTGGCTAAGGATTGGAAAGGCACGGGTTCAGCCGTACCTGGCTTTGTTCCCGAATGGAAGTCTGTGCTTCCCCAGGATAAGGAACTGCGTGCTTATCTCACGTGGATGTGGCTCAAGGAAGGCTGGGTCTGGGATTGTCACTCGGGTGATTTGACTCTGGCTGGAGACAAGACGCTACGAGCGGCTCGACGGGAGGGCGTGGCCCACGAGGAGGATGGGAATTGGGTGTTGCAGACATCCCCCGTCAAGAAGGCACAAAATGGGCTGCATGCGATGGACTAGTCACTGAAAACACTATTAGTGGGATGCGTCTCGGTTGTCCGGTTTTACTTGTTTAATGATACCCCCTCTACATAGAGATCGACTCAGTCAGTCAATACTTTGATGTTTGACCATTTTGGACTCATTCTAGTTAGAGCTGATCTAAGTTGATACCTTCCGGAATTTTAATTCATTCAATCAGCACACGTTGAATTCTAAGCCGGGAAACCAGGCCTGCGATATCTAGAGAGCCATGACAAATTCCCATAAAAGCGCAAACATTAAGCAAAACCACTCCCACTCCTTTAGGTCGTCGGCTATCTACTAGGGATCTAGGATATTCTGCTCCCCGACGATTCTTGCGTCCGTCTCCAGTCCTTCTTCAGCTACTCCTCGATCTTTTCCCACTGGCCCTTTACCTGATACGCTGAGGATCAGTGGTTTCCTTTCGCATTTTTGCCAAACACGAAGAAACCATCGCAAGGCTTACAGGGCCGTGGTTCTCTTGGAGGTAAGAGCTATCCCCAGCCCATGTCATGTGGGTGTGAAAAGCAGCGACAAGGACATTGGAGATGGTGGGGGCACGGATAGAATTTTGACGAGAGATATAACTGATTCCAAAAAAAGAAAGTCCATATATATTGGATCTGATTGATGAGTAAAATAGTAATTCCAAGATAATCAAGATGCTCTCCATCTCTTAGCACCAGTCAACAACCGGGCGGTAGCAGGAGCGGTGAACGTACTCAGCATGTGATCAATATAGTTCCGCCTCGCTCGTCGTTGCAGCCCGAGTTGAATCATCTTAATCCCACTAGAGAGACCATCGGGCGTCCATGCAGCTGTCCCCCACGCCAGTCGCCAGTTGAGCGGGGGCCAAAAGTCTTCTCCTCTTTTTGTTCCACCGTATAGCGAGTTGGGTTCCATCCCTCCATGGGCTTTCCCCCTCGAGGGCGTTCCATGCATCGTACCTGAATGTGAGCTTATTTCACTTCGCACTGTCTTATTCGAGTCCCGCTCGATCGATCGCCTAGACACATAACGGCCATTTTTCGATGGCATGCTCGGGCCTCTCCCGCAGCCTCTCGTGCGATCGACGCAAGCGCTGTGCCACTCCGACCTTTAGCGACCAGTGAAAAGTCGCACCTGCCCAACTCAAGCGCCAGGCAGCACGCGTGGGAATTGGAGACGAAAATAGGATCACATTCCCACCTCAGTGGCGGTGCAGCATCTCCTCCCTCAGCCCTTTTTTTTGACCAGAGGGTCCAAGAAAGCACGGACAAGAGGACGGTGAAGTGTAAACGAACTGCGACCGATGAACCAGCGGGCCCAAGGTTTCCTGAAGGGATCCACCTCCTGCGGCTAACGCTCCGGCTACGACTTCTCACGAGCCCACCATGTTTTTTCCGGTGAGACCTAACAGCGTAAAGAGTCGGAAACCCAAGTCCTCCTCCACTACTTCCAATAAACAATCCCAACCATCAACAAAGCGAACGTCCCAAGGACGGACCTCCCGCACCTCAACCAAGGAAACCGAGCCCGAAGAATCCACGGCTCGCTCCTCCACTTCCTCGACCTCCCACACTCCTCCCCCACGACGGTCCTCTATGCCAGGCCTCGACGCCGCAAGCCGAGCCGGAACAGCCTCGTTCCTGGAATCGAGGACCAGCCTTCCATACCCCAACTTCTCCAAAGCGCATTCCAAAGAAGATGTCCGCCACCGAGACATCCCTACCCCAGACCCGACCGACTTGACCGCTCAGAAGGAAAATGGACCCAGCCACGACCGCACCGAGAATCACCATGCCCCTCCCAGCCCACCATTGACCGGTCTCGACCAGGAATCATCTCAGAAGGGTAGTGCGGTCGGCAAGCAAGATGATAAAGATACGGAGAAGCCCAAGGCGAAGAAAGCAAGCATAAAGATTCGGACCGAGGTGAACCGATCGTCATCCAGCCTTCGATCGAAGAGAGATGATTCAACCAAGTCCAGCAAGACGGCGCGGGCAGATACTCCGAAGTCGAAGTCGTCCAGATCCGACAAGGAAGCTTCGTCGCCTCGTGCCAGTCACAAGCCATCGAAGACGAACCTCTCCGATGAGAAGAAGTTGCCCAAACGATCCAGTCGCTCGACCATGTCGCCCTCGCAGTCAACAGTTCGCGATGTGGGCGCGGAATCGGCCAATGGATCTGATGCTACCTCAATTGCCCCCAATCAACAATACTCCGCACCACGAAAACCCATGACCCCGCCGACAAAGCCCCCCTCTCGCAATCAGACACGGTCGGCGGCCTCCCACCACCATAATCCGAGTGACGACTCGATTGATTATGGCAGACCTGTAATGCCAGGCCCAGGATTTGGTGCGCCACCGCCGCCTCCACCCCCACCACAGGTGCCTCTTACTATCCCGAGGGTTGACTACCTTCTTCAACATGGAGGTCTAGATCACCGGGTTGCGCGAACACTGCTCCCTGTCCCCGCCACGCCCGATCCATTCTCTCAATCCTCTACTCAGTCTCAGCTGGCAGCTGCCAAGGTCTTCGATCCGTTCAGCCACCTGCTGGATGATTACCAAAAGGTCATGAGCAAGAACGGATCTCTAGCGGTTGCGACTGGATATCGATCCGTTGCACGTCGATTGCTCGATCGTCTTGAGGCTGTATTCGCACGTGACATCTCCTCAGAGCCATGTAATTGTCTGATGTGTGATCGCGATACGGAGGATCGCCCGGAGGGTGTCAGCTGGGGAGAAGTACTGGAGTTAGTGTCTGGACGTCGAGAGTTGCCTATGTGGCCGCCGTTCATGATGGCTGCGACCACCGTGGACACGGGGTCTTCTGGCGAGGAGCACATTCCCATGCAGAAGCTTGATGTCGATGTCCCCGAAGAATACCGCGAGCACTTTATCCGTCAATCTCGCAAGACCAAGGTCGCCGTTGACAAATGGCTTTCTGAGCAGACCGATTCGGCGAGCAGTGCGCCTGAAGAAGTCGACGATGAGACATTGACCTTTGCGATGCTTACCCACCTTGAACCCCACCAGCGCTCCGTATTCTGTGCTCTCCTTGGTATCAATTCTTCGACCCCCGTCCCACGTTCGGGTGATGAGAAGCCTCGACACAGACCATCCCCGCTTGTTTCTTCGTCACAGGCCATCCAGCGACTATACCGCCTTCCGTCTCTGCCTCGCGACCCGGAAACGGCCATGTTTATGCTGAACAACCCTGGTCTGCATCATGTCTTGGCAACCCTTGCAGCCATTACTGACGATGAGTGGGAAATTCTGATATCTGGCCGATTTGATGGCTTCCTTCGCAGCGGTGTCGAAGATACCGTTCCACACTCTCGCTGGAGTGGCAATCGTTCCAATACCCCGTTCAGCGCTACGGGAATTTCGCGCGGATCAACACCCAATTACATGGACGGCAGCTTCCGGCCAGTAAGCCAGGCCAACGGAGGTCCAACTTCGCCTGCCTCCTTCGGGGGGCCAATCGCATTAGACGAGGAAACGGAAATCGCCGCCTTGGCTGAAATCGAACGAGACATATTTCTGGGGATGGAAGCTCTGGAAGATGCCTTTGAGGCACTCCATCTCAAAGCAGAGGCCGTCCGCATTGCACTGCGCGAACGAGGTGCAGGTCTCTCCGTCGCCAACCAAAGCCGACGCGGTTCCTACGTCGAAGCGCGTCTGGGAACCCCAGCCTCGGGCATAAACGCCTGGGAGAGCGGTACAGAGGATGACTTCCTCATGGATGACGACCGCTCTCTGGCCCCAGACGATTCCGCCAGTAACATTAGCTCGAACCGCCGCCGCCGACCTAAGCGGCGTACCGAGCGCCGAACCCCGGCTCCAGTCGAGGAAGAAGATGAGGACGAGGACGCGGTGCATGTCAGTCGGCGCGACAGCCGAAACTCGCGGCGGAGATAGGCTCTGTCGTAAGGTTTCGCAAGATTCTCGATCTTTTTTATCCTTCTACGACAGACAAGTGCAGATTTAGGATTGCATGCGTGGTGGATATGTGATTGTCTCGGGTGCTGCTGATTGATGAACTGATGATGATACCCACTCCTCTGCACTTTCCCACCCCTTTTCACCATACGACAAAGGCTTTTGGCCTGCTGCATTCGTACATTTTATGATTTTGTCCATTATTGGCTCCTTTTAGCTTCTTATTTATGATTCATGAATGTCATGAGTGGTCCTTGATAGGAATCGTTGACCTAAAATGAATATCAATACACCATCTTAGTTTTGCATTCTTTGATTATTTCACGCTTTCTTCGTTCAGTATAGAAGCACAATTAGCCACTTTGAGAATGTGAAAAAGTCATTACAACTTGAATAGTCTTTTCAAGTTTCCATCTCGGGCCATCCGTCTTAAATAGAAAGTCATTTTTCCAGATGTGTTGTCACATATTCTGCGCAAAACCCGACGGAGTTCGATCGTTCCTTCCAACTGACTACAGGCAGAGAAAGAACCCAATGTACTCACTGCATCAAAGGGGTGTCATCAATGAATTGGACAGGACTATGCACGATACCACGAGATAGTTGACGGGTGTCGAGGTCAACCTTGTCAGGCTGAGTACCTGTCGGCCTGATGGCAGCAGTGAATTGATAAATGCGCTCCCAAAACACCTGAAAGACGTGACTCCCATTCTGTTTTAAAGTGTGCATTATCTTTCGGTATATCCGGCTCGCCATGAGCACCCCGCAGCACTCACGTTGAGCGAGTTGACTCAAGGACTCCTTTGGCTAATCCCATATGACAAGGGAGTACTGTCCAGATCCCAGGGAGGGGGCGGGTGTGATTCAGCTCAGCAGACCATGGAAGACTTATTTTCCAGAGTCTAGCCACAGAACGGAATGGCCACGAGCTATCTTGTGATGCTGATGAGTGGAGAAGAGAGGCACGCCGTCGTGCATACGAGTTACCTGATTAGAAGATCAAATCAATACTTGCCCAACTGGGGAACTCAAATCACGATGATTGGGGAGATGAGCTATATTGATCTTCTCAGCGTAGCGATGACTGCTCAGTCTAAGAGAAACACCACTCTAGCTGGGAAGCCGCACGATGCATTTCGCCCTCTGGGGTCGCGACTCCATGGACATGAGCCTCCTCGGCTTTAGGAATTCACCTTTCCAGCTCCCAGAATGCGAAACTTTGTCCAACTTATGTTGTACCGCACCTTTGGTATATCCGAGTCTGCTTCTTTGATGGACACCTGCGAGCTTGAGCAGGTTGCTTACTGTATAACTCGGACATTGTACAAAACTCCGATGTTGGGATCAATTGGCCAATATGCGATGGGGGCTGTAGGGCTGGGGTACGTGAATTGCTCAAATTGGTAAATTTTTTGCTTGATGGACACCGAGGAGATTGATTTCGCGAGCAGCCATTTCTTCTAGATGGCTTGCACTATGTCATAAGCTCGTTCTGGACTGTGGCCATCTCGTCTCGAGGTGGGTGGTGTGCTGGAGTGCATGCGTCATCCTAGGAGATTATTCAATCCCCCTATTCCTACGCAACTTAATGCGATCTTCAAGGTTGAGGAAATTTCTTGGTTCCACTAATTCAAATACTCCTGGCTCTATGATAACCGAAATCACCAAGCCAGCATATCGGAACTAGTAGGAACGATCGAGGGATCGCAGGATCGACTTCTCATTTTTGTGTCTGGAAGAGACACTAGTGTCCAGCAAAACTATCCACTGGGCATGTGTATCCTATATCTAGACAGAGACGATCATCGGATCAAGCCGAAGCAAGAAGAAGAATGGCCAAAGTGTTCCTTCTTCGAGCTCAGCCCTGTCCCAAGAGTTTTCGCGGGAAACCCAGGATGTTCTGCATAGACGCTGAGTGGGGAGGGAATCTTATTCGGAGACCCACAGAACGGTGTCGCTCTGGTGCTTAACGATCGATTTTTGCAAGCATCATTTACTCAAATGTGAAGAGTCCTGTAAGCCGACTCTCTGGCTAGGCAGGTGTTCTATAGACTTGGAAGTGGATGCAATTGAGATCTGCTACGAAGTTAGCAGCATATCCACAGAGGAGACGACTGATTCCGACCGGAATGATTGCGGATCCGAAACTATGGAGAACTGAAGTCGATCAGGTCCAGTCTGCACGTTCACACAATAGCGCGGACTGGGATCAAGCGTTTATTTCACACTGTCCTTCGTATGTTCACAAAATTAAAAAGATAGTTCGTACGGATATTATGAACTAACCAAATCCTCGGAGTCCCTCAGGCAGAAACTTTGACCACTTGTTCATGCCACCGTGAAGCTGATCTAGTCGATCATCTCCATTGACAGGTGTACAACGCCGGCCTTACGAAACTTAGAATTCGTAGATCACCATGATTATCCAGGGGAAATGTAACCTCTTGCAGTGATCTCCCAGCCGTTTGGCACGGGCCAAATCAATAGTATCTGATTCAACCTGAATATCGAGGAAAGTAAAGTTTGCTGCCGCTGCAGTTGGCGGTCACATGCGACTTCAACGCGGAACACGAGGCCTACGGATTGCCACTGTAGGTACTTATGTATAGGGTGCAAAGCCACTTTGAAAGTAAACAGAATAGGAAAACGGCATGTGTGATATGGAGATCGGCAGTAGAGCAGTGTAACTTTGGTAGCGGTTCGGTCAACCACTGATCAACTCATGGAGTTAATTTTGGACGCAGAATCCTGCTCAAGACAAGCCTCGGCAAGTCTCCTGCATGACAGGCGCCGAGAATACTGTACTCAACCCGGATATTTGGTCTTTAATCCTATCTCCGCTTTTCTATTGCAGATTCTTCCGACCTCTGAAGATCAGGGCCCAGATCGGTGCGATTGGATCGACCCACGGACGCAATGGGAATCATACAGTCAAAGAGCTTATGGAATGAAGAAGATTCAAAAGTGGGTAACAGTGTCTTGACCAGTTTAAACAAGCTGGCATCACAGACGTTGGGTTTTTTCTCATGGAGAGCTGATCGCTTATCCACGGAGCACAGAGCAAAGAGGGTTAATGATGGGCCATAGAGCATGGTTTCCGCCAATAGCACAGCCATGTGGCAATTATGTAGATTGCAGAGAAGGCAAAGCAAGTATGGTACAAACTTTCCTTGACAGTACCATAGCCTCGGGATGATGATCGGCAGACCGAGATGTGCTAGTAGCAACAATAGGCAAGTCAAGGAGAACGGGAATAGTACCATGGTGTGCCCCTCGGGCGGGACCCCCGAAGGAACCATGGAACTGGAGGCACGTCTCAGGGAACCCGTGGTACCAGGGTCGGTACTGATATAAGCGTGAATATTAGCTCCATGGGACGCCCGACAAGCTCCCTTGAATCTATATAAAATATGACAATAGATCCTCAGAATTTTATATCCATGGGTCAAGAGATTCTTGCAAGCTGGCAATTGAAGAGTTCATCATCAAGCGGGGGATGCCGCCTGACCGTGGGATATGCCGACCTGAAGTCCATAACCACCACGGTGCCAGTACATCTTGTCCCTGTTTACCCCTTTTTTGAGTTAGACCGCCACCGAAGCTTGAACGGGGGGCCAATGACGATGGACAAAAAACACCACAAACTCGGGGCGCACATTCCCGCGCTCGGTCGGCTTAATTATTGACTGCAATTCCAATCTCAAGATCGCTGCTAATGACTCTAGTGCGCGACGGCGTATGAGTGTACTCATCCTTCGCTGGTCCAGCACTGTTGATCGTATCCATCGTATCCATCGTTGGCCCCAACGTGTCTCCATTCACTAACCACGCTAGTCATTTGCCTCAATGCATATCTTTACCCTTCGCAGCCACTTGCTTTTTCCTCATCCTCGGCTCATGGCTGACAGACAAGCCGACTGGGTTATTTTGCGGGTCTCTGAGATCACCTTTGACACTTGCACAAATCGAAAATCCTAAAAAATTTCCCGAGTGGCTTTCCAGCAAAATGCCTGACTCCATCGACATGCACTGATCCAGGAAAAGTTTCAGTAATAGAACGCAAGTTTTGCGACCGGAACATACGAGTTCCCTCTGGAGATGCATCCTTCGCACTGTGTGCAGCAAACACCAAATATAGCAGTTGCTGCCTCAGCTCCCCCACGGCCCTTGAGGATTCAATGGTTTCGCCCAGAAAGAGCACCGGAGACTCCATGACGCAGCCCCCGAAGTCTGGGCAGCGTAACCCCTGACCCATGAGTGGGTAACTGGTTTCAGTCAAGAATCATCCCAAAGTTGCCCAGGCCCGTAGGGTTCCATTGGATGGAGTCAGTGGGACCACCAGCCGTGTTGCCGACACAAAGCTTATTTAGGGTCCAATGGGCAACCCCGTTAGATCAAAATATGACCCTATCATGTAATGACAGTTCTGGGTTTTACTTTTTATCATACGAGATGACCAGACGAGGTGACCACACGATCGACACAATTTCTCTAGAATACTTCGTACCGTTGCTTGGCAAGAGCGCATGCAAGTGGGAAAGTTCTTTGGATATTCCGGGGGTCTCCCCTGACGCGTCGGTCACCAAAAAGGGAACGGATGAAGGCGCACTAGTTGGTTCTGCGGGGGTCGGAAAATACAGCCCCTAGCCTCTCACGCTGGACTTTCGTTGGCTACTAGCTGAGGAGCCCTATTATACTTAAGGAGTTGTGACGGGCGATCAATGCCCCCGCACGTAATAGCCACGGAGGATCTAACCCTGTGCAGCCGGCTGAAAACCGCGCTACGACGATTGTTGAGATTATGATGATTGTCAATATCATCTCGGCGAATGTGACCACAAGGGCTGGTCCTCGAGCACGCGGTGAACCTTGCCCGTGTCTTCCGCTAGCGTTCCAGAAGCCCCGCCCCTGCGGCGGAAAAACCTGAACTAGTCAATGGCGGCCTGTTCTGAATGGATGGGAATTGATCAACTGGGTCAGCGCGGAGAGAGAGTTTGTGGCGCTGTATGCTTACATCTCCATAACGTGCATCCCCTTCAACGCTTTTTGCCCCAAATTCAGGCTCATTATTGGTACCGTGTGCGGCCAGACCGGCGCTTCCCCCCTTTGGGTAGTTTGTATGCCGCGCAGTACATACCTGCTGTATACAGTGGCCGTTCAAAAGTACTTGTGACACAGTACTTACCTCCCATCCCGCTTTTCAACACCGCCTATCTATAGTAGCTACACGCATCCTCATGTAAGCGGCCAAGTCTAGTGAATCTACTGAAAGTATTTGCTACTTTGTTATTCTGGCTCATTGAACCCTCATAGAGTAGAGTAAGGTCATTAGATAGAGAAAACCCGTTCTAGTTATTGATATATTGAGTGAATATGGTGGTTTGATCGGCTGAAAAAAAAGTAAGTGGGACATGTAGCATGTTCCAAATACTTTGAAAAGCTGACTGTAGTTGTCGTACACTTATTACGGAGGTGTAATGTATGTACTGGCTTATCTCCTGCCTGGACGCCTTAAGATGATGATCTCGCGTGGGTTTAGCCGTCTCGACCAAACTCTGACCCTTTTGTCGCAGAGATTTCTCCATCCACTCTCCACTCTGACCTGGTCAAAGAGGGGTTATGGTCGTCTAGAGTGGGGGCATTGTTCCCATAATTCTGGACCTTTGCAATCATGTTACGGAGACTACGGAGCACGGAGTTTTATTTGCCAATTCTATGGAGCCCTTTGCCCCAATCATGAGTATCAAGCTAAATCTCCCACCATAAGGCCCTAACGGGGATGATCCTATTGAGGACCCAGACCAAAAGTTCCCAAAGTCATCCAATTGTGTGGAACGCAGGTCCTTGACGAGAGAAGCAGGCCTGTGTGAATTTGCCTTCTATCCTCTTTCCCCTGATTCTATTGCTTTTAGAGTTCACCCGGCCTGGAAATGCTCTGCTTGTGGTCTCTTTCCCCTTATCTCGGATCTGAGCACAATCAACTTTAATAATCACATCCCGCACTTTCTATTCTCTGTTAGAAAATACCCACCTCCCTGTCGTTACATATTATCCCTCCCACCCCTGCCCACCGGCTAATCTGTGGGTGAGGACCAAACGAGTACGCCACCTTGAACGAATCAGATCACCATCTTCGACGTACTTACTAATCGGCGTTCCTGGGCCGAAGTCTGATACCCAGAGCCTTGCTCGCGGACAACCTCCCAACGGTGCGGCTCAACTCGCATTTTCGAACCCATCCAGGGGTTGGTTCGAGGGCGTTTCTCTAGGTCTGTCGATTGTGACGATATTCGAAAATGTCTTCGATACTGCTATACAGTCTCATGCCGAGGGCCCAGTCCTCTAGCGGTGAGCTGCTGCCACGATTGACCAGTGATGTTACATTGGATATCGACCCATTGCCCTTGGCCCAGCGGAGAGGCCTCATTGCAGTTTCGGTGATGGCATTCCTCTCCTTTATTGCCACCTTGTCTCTGCTTTCTTTCATTACCTATCGACTCATTTTCTGGCGGAAAAATTACCAGAGATATATTGGTTACAATCAGTATATTGTCTTGATTTATAACCTGATTTTGGCGGATTTCCAGCAAGCTCTCGCCTTTTTGATCTGTACGAAATGGATCGCTACCGACAAAATCAAGTCCGGCACGGCCGCATGCTTCCTACAGGGTCTTTGGCTCCAGATTGGAGATCCCGGTAGTGGACTTTTCGTGCTTGCCATTGCGTTTCACACCTTTTTGCTGGTCGTTTGGGGCCGGAAGATGTCTCACAGGGTTTTCGTCACCTTCGTCGTCGGCGTGTGGGCATTCATCGCCGTCATTGTGATCATTCCTCTGGCAGCATACGGCGCAGACGTGTTCGTTCCCTCCGGCGCATGGTGTTGGATTAACGAAGACTATGAGACGGTCCGCCTATGGACTCATTACATCTGGATTTTCGTGGCCGAATTTGGTACAGTGTCCTTATACGCAGTCATGTATTTCCAGCTCCGACGACAGATTGCTGCTTCAGCTATCCTGGGAAACAGCCAACTGGAAAGTCTCAAGCGCCTGCGGCGAGTGGTTGGCTACATGACCATCTATCCCATCGTCTACATCGTTCTTTCTCTTCCTCTCGCTGCCGGGCGTATGGCTACTGCAAACGGCAATACCCCCTCTATTACATTCTTCTGCTGTGCCGGTAAGTTCAGCTTCTGTTTTATTTCTTCCGTATTAGTGGTGATTTAATGAGCCATCGTCGCTGACATATTCAAAGGTGCCATCATTACCAGCTCCGGTCTCGTCGACGTGGTTCTTTACACTCTCACTCGCCGTAACCTCATCATTGATTCCGAACCCAGTCAAGACCGTTCCTACAACAAGTTCGCCAGCAGCCGCAATCGTGGCGGAGATAACCACCTCACTACCATCACAGCTGCCGACCCCAAGACTCGAACTAAGCTTGGCGGTATGGGCGGCACCGACCTCGACCGTGACGGCTCTACCGATAACATTGTCCAGCCGGGCGTCGAGATGGGCCCAATGGGCAAGGTGTACCAAGAAACGACCATCGAAATCACCACCGAGCCTGCCTACCCTTCAGAAGCTGCCAGCGAGCGCTCCAGTAAAGAGGACTTCAACGAACCCTCATCACGGATGTGGAGACGATAAATCTTTTTTTTATTTTTATTTTTATTTTTGGATCTGCGATGATCAATTATCTGATCGATCTGATTATCTGCGAAACGTTGCTCAATTCCCATGCCCGTACTCGCCTACTCCAACCGTTGACGCACACATTCTAATTCAAACACCCTTTCTTACCTTCTTCATGACCTCTACTTGAACGATGGGGCCTGTTTCCGCCCCCCCCCCCCCCCCCCCCCCCCCCCATGTGTGTCTTCTCCTTTCTCTATATGACTCTTCATTCTATCCCTGTTCACTTATGACGGAACTTTGTATATATCTTACTTCAAAAGAGACAGGGATTGTCTCAGTTTTCTGTTGGGGTGGCATGGATAAATAAGTCTCCCATGTATATCTACCCTTAACAAATCAAATCCACAAATACCTCAGTATTTGGTCGCTCACTCGCTCTTTTAATCCAGATCAGAAATATAGAATTTCATCAGAGATCTTTGCGTAAATATACCCGATCAAAGCCATTTTCATGCTTCCTTTCGGTCTCGAAAAATCCCATCTTCGAATATACGCCGAGGTTCTCATACATCCTGACATTCGTATAAAGTGTCAGCGCCCGGTAGTCCTGCGACCGGGCAACGTCCTCCGCATAATCCATCAGAACCCGCCCGTATCCACGACCCTGTGCTGCGGGATGGACCACCAAGTTATTGACTTTGACAGAATTCGAGGATGGTTCAATTTCAAGAACGATTGCGCCGACTACTTGGTCATCTCCTCTCAGCACAAGGACCGTGTGGGTGTGTATAGCTTGGTGGTAATTCTCGTCCATCGGGGCTGGCCGCTTGCCAATGCGATCAATGTACTTGGTGTAGGCGGCCTCTACCATGGACTGAATTACTGGCACATCCTTGTCTGTCGCGTTGGTTATACTCAGATCATCTCTGGATAAGCGGGGCAGCTCGAGCATGTTGTCTCGCGCGGTCGCGACCGATTCTGGGGATAGTGACGTGTGCTGAGTTGACAGCGTCAAACAATTTTAGGCCTTGCACGAGGTGGAGGCTTGGTAAGATGTTGAAGTCAATTTGCGCTTGAGTAAGTAGTGATGAATAGCTTCAATTCCTCTTGGAAAGAGAACCGTTCCAGGTCGGAGATCGAGACTGGGCATGGATCGGGTTGTAAGGTGAGTCAGAATCTGAATGTCCAGCTAGTCGATCTTTCGGAGAGGACTGCCTTCACCATTCACCAATTACAGTTAGAAACTCCGAAACATCGAACCATCCTGTATGACTGAGAGATATCATATCGAGTGAGCTTGCTTTTGTATGCTTGAATCCAAGATTAACTACCTCGGACTAATTGTTTGCAAGAACTTCCATTGATCAGTTTAGCGATAGGTGTGATCCACCTGTCCGGGGGTCAAATTGCAACCAAAGCATATCGAATAAGCAACACAAGTTCGATCTAGGTATCTCTGGTAACAAACACAACTCCGGACATTTGTTTCAATCTCGTGGACAGTAGGTGATGAGGAACCAAATGAGTCCACATCCTTCCAAGGGGCTGGGCCTGGAGAGAATACGACCTAGTGCCCCCTGTGAACCGTGAGCGCAATGTTAACAGCCATTATCAGCCTCCAATCCGCGCCAGCAGCTGTACGTAATTCGTCGAAGCTACATCCTCTTACAAGAACACTGTGTCTTAGTAGTCGTGATAGCATGTTGGACAAAATAATAAAATGCAGCCTAAGATTCAGGCGATCATGCAGATCAGGGGGCTCGCGAACGCATCGGTGGACCTGTCCGACTGGGCTGAATATCTGGGCCAATCAAGGCGGCTGCGCAACAAGAATGTACCTTTATTTTTCTTTCTTTCGTTCGCGTTTTTTGTGCCTGAGCTTGCGCTGGGAGAGCTTGCCGTCTTCTTGAAATTATTGCAACTTGCAGATATCAGGGGATCCTCCCATTTCGCTCCTCCCTCGGCCTTGAATATGCAATTCCTCCACTGGGGCGCGCTTTCTACGGTTCTGGTAGGGCTCATCTACCCAGGATTCACGGTCGCCGTGGATGCCAATTCACGGGCCCAGATAGCTCTAAATGCCCTCCAGAACTGGTATAACGCTACGAGTGGACTCTGGGATACCTGCGGGTGGTGGAATGGCGCGAATTGTTTGACCGTTGTTGCGGACCTGGCTGCCATTGACCCATCTGTGTTAGATACTGCAACTTATGTTTTTGGCAACACGTTACAAAACGCGCCAGCGTACAATCCTCAGCCTGGCCCCGAAGTTCAAGTACAGTCACGATACGAAGGAGATGCTGCAAATGCTTCGGAGTGGATGGACTCAGCTTATGATGACGATGCATGGTGGGCGCTGGCTTGGATTGCGGCCTACGATGTTACCACCGATGACACGTATCTAAGCCTTGCACAAGACATCTTCTCAAACTTAGTAAGTGTCTGAATTTGCTTTCGAAAGCTTCTTTATTCAACTTTCGAGACTAATCTCGGGTTAGACGAAGGCCTGGGGCACGCGATGTGGAGGTGGTGGCCTCCAATGGAGTACGACGAGCTCCTACATCAACGCAATTACGAACGAGCTGTTCCTCTCGGTTGCCGCACATCTTGCTAACCGTGCTTCTGATTCTGAGAGAGAGACCTATGTTGGATGGGCACAGAAGCAGTGGGATTGGTTTGCGGCGCAAGATTTCATTGGTTCGAATTATACCATCAACGATGGCCTACTAGAGAATTGCCAAAACAACGGCCAGACAGTGTATGTACCTCAAAGACTCTCTCTTCCTCGATTTCCCGGTCATTATTTTAGGTCAAATTGATATTGGCTGTCTAACAGAGACTGTTAGGTGGTCATATAATCAAGGCGTTATACTGGGTGGACTGGTCGAGCTCAACAGAGCAGCTCCCAACGACACATACTTGGAATCGGCCAACAAAATTGCACAAGGGGCAATAAACACACTCTGCGACGCGAATATGGTAATTCATGATGTTTGCGAGCCAAACTGTGCCCCAGATGCAACGCAATTCAAGGGAATCTTCATACGCAATCTACAGATGCTACAACAGGATTCCCCGAATGATATTTACAAGAATGTGATCGAGGCATGTGCAAACAGTATTTGGGAAAATGATCGGAACGACCAGAATCAGTTAGGTGTCAATTGGGCGGGTCCATTTAGTTCTGCAGATGCTTCAACGCACAGTTCAGCGTTGGACGCGCTAGTCGCTGCGATTGCTGTCTGATGGAATCTAGCTATTGATCTCGCAATTCTTAACTTTCAATTTCCGAAAAGCGACACTCGTTTTCTAAGAATACATCCAGTAGGAGACTTACCAAGTAGGAATGTCTTCAAAGAGTGCTAGTACGCGCCTTGTCGAAGCTTCCAGGTAGGTTGAGGTGCAGGTCGTGGTTTGAAATAGTCTGAGCGGATCAGCGCACTTGGTACCAGATCCAGACCACCTATTTTCGCGCCAGAAGGATCCTGGGCCCATAGGGTCAACGCTATATAGTTGATACCATTATGATTGAGGATACCCTCCGGTATTGGATATGACATCTGGGGCCCGAGATTGTTGACTGCTTGGTGTTAGTACTGCAATACGAAAAAAGGTTGTGAATGCGAACTCACTGTATTTCCCATACTGATATCCGTTTATGTAGAGTTGGCAACGGTAGTTGTGCCGAGAGGTTGTTTGCGATGAATCCTCTGCGGTGGAATTGCTGAACACAATGCTCAAGGGGACATCCCAGCCATGCGGAATATCGAGCTCGAAGGATGTTGTGTAAAATCCAACGCCCGCCTTTGACAATCCATTTTTGAATGGACTCGACACTTCCCATTCGGAGGCCGGCGGGTTAGGATAGTGATAACCTTGTCTTTCGGCAAACATGGCACCTTCATTAAGTGGTCCACGGGCGAGATCTTGATACTGTTCACCCCCAAGGTTACCAGTCACCTTCCAAGATAAATCTGACTGCTCATGGTGAGACAACTGATATCCGAGGATGCCCCGAGGGAACTTGATTGCATCTGTACCGGGGGCTTCCTCATCTTGGCCCATATGATCGATCAGTACGGTGATAGTGTGCTGAGTTCCAGTGGACAGGGATGTTGGAATTGTGAGATTCTGGGTGATTGTGGCGTTTGTGCCTGTACCAGGCCATGATCCAAGGAATGTGCTATCTAGCCAAACAGAATGACCAAATCCTGTTCCTCCCGAAATGTTAAGCCAAATGTAAGATTCAAGTCCATTTGCGGAAAAGTAACCCCGGTAAAGCAATGATCCTGTGTGGAACCCGTAATCCATAGCATATAGAGTCGTGGGCGTGTCCAGATCCCGAGGATTGTGGGTGGTGAGTTTGTCGCATGATTTCCAAGCAGAATCGTCGTATGATGATTTGATTTCCGGAAGTGAGTCTATGTATTTCCATTGTAGATTAGTCAACTCAGGGATGTGTAGCGTGGATGGCTGGTATTCGATAACAGCTGACAGTTTGCCTGTCTTGGTGCGCGATGCTTTCATCTGCTCTCCATTGAAGATGAGTCCTTCTAATTGATCAACCGGCGTAGAGATGACTTCAACTTCTGTTGTCATATTGACATCCCCAGACAGCCAGAGTTGCTTGTCAACCATTTTGGCGCTGCGAATAAGGTAGCCCCCCTTCACGATAACCAGCTCTTTTGAAGGCGACGAAAAGTTCCCAATCGGGTGCGACGCTGGCAGCTCCAGTGCCCAATAGTTGTACGCCTCGTTACGCCATACAAGGTATATCTCCAAGTATGAGACTCGTAAAACACAGCGACTGAGCGCAACTTGCCAGCGTACTACCCATGTTGAACCTTTCAGGTGGAATGAGACATCGTCACCCTCGATTATGGCCGGATTACCAAGATGGCGTGAAATAGCGAATTCGTGCGTTTCGCCAGCACCGCCATACAGGACCAGGACTCGTGAGGATCCGGGCCCTTTTGCCCATGTGAATATCTCTGCTGTTGAATAAATCAGGTTGATGCCGTCGAGATCATAATCTGTGACGTGAAATTTGGAATCGCGCCCGTTGAGGGACAAGCTACCTCCCAACTGGGGAATGCTGACATTTCCGACGCTCGTGGACACTGTCAGGCTATAGTGAGTATTTTCCATTGAAGTGAAATCCGCATGTCTGATAACATAGAAATTTGTTGAAGTACTATTTCCGAAGAGCGGGGTGACTGCGATTGAAGCAGGCGCTCCATATGAACCATTGACACCCAACTTCGGTGTCGCCGTCAGATATGCCGGTGAGACCTTCAAAAAGTTTGCTTCCAATTTCTGTTCACTATATTTCTCACGCCAAATGCCCCGTTCTTCTGTGATGGCTGCCCCGTAGTCGTATGAGGTATACCCGGCCTGGTAACCAAGATTGCCCCAGTTTGTGCCACCGTACGTCTGTGATATGACATTAGAGTCTGAAATTTCCTTAAAATTTCCTTACGAATGGAAATTTTCATGGGTTTTCTGACCATATATATGTTTAAAAGCTTCACACCGAAGCTATAGTTGTTTTTGTAGACAACACGGGCTGCCTCTGCGTTTACAAGCTCCCCGCATTTCTCTTCAGCTACTCCTCCCCTATGCCTCGTTAGCAGATAAGTACTAATATGGAGACGGGGAACATCATTACCAGCCTTCTCCAGAGCCTCCCTGGAACTCTGCAATTGCAAAGGGGGTGCTTGGACTTTCACGCTCGTGAACGACCTGCCAATCATATGGGAATCTGTAAGTCGGCCAGACACTTGGATGAGCGCCTTGAAGCAATCAGTAACCGGCACTTTCGGCATTTGAATATTGAAATATTAGACTCACAGTCGTAGCGTAGTGGGTAGGAGTCAATTCCATATACATCCACCGCTCCAAGACCGGATCCCGGAGCCCAATAGCCCTCTGCCTCATTGTCATTGACTATGAGTGGAACAGTGATACCGGCGTCAAGAAGCTGTCTCTTTACATAGTCCATGTACCGTCGATTCATCGATGTCGGAAAATCAGTCACACCAGGCCAAGTGGAATACTCGTTCTCGGGCTGCACCAAGATCACTGGACCCCCATGAGTGATCTGGGCCTTCTCTATTATTCGACCCATGGTGGCCATATAGTTGGTGGTTGTATTGAGGTACTCTGGGTCATCTGATCTGATGGTGGCATTCTTCCGTAGGACCCATCCAGGAATGCCTCCTGCTGTAGTCTCTGCATTGATGTAAGGTCCTGGCCGGGCAATGAGATATATGCCTGCCTGGGTGGCAGCGTCGAAGAATTTCTCAAGGTTCCATATGCCACCTGTTGAGACGTGACCTGGGCTTCCCTCGACAAGACCCCAGTCCACGTAGAAGGAAACGCCTGTGAACCCCATACTCTTTATTTTCTGAAATACATCCAGCCAGAGATCAGGCACAGGTAGCCGGAATGGATGAAACTCTCCCGAGAATATCATGATGCGTTCGCCCCGAATGGAAAGCGAGTGCTTATCCCAAGTCACCTACAAAGGTTTGAGTCAATTTCTTGGGGCTTGTATCTCAGGAGGTGCCAACTTACCAGATTTTGTAAAGCATCTCTCCGTTGGGCTGGATCAAACAAGCGTGTGCCAAGTACCAAGCCTGGTGTAAAAATGAATGCCACCCACGCTGCAAAATGCAGATTTGAGCCTAAAAGAAGCATTTTGGGGGTCACGACTATTGATGTGTGAGAGAGCTATAGGACTAAAGAGCCATTTAAATGTCCTCATTCATTGAAGAGGGTAGCGGATAAATAACTAGCCCTTCTTCACCGTTCCCCGCATCCCTATGATTGTTACCCCCACGCCTCGCGAGCGGAGTTTTGCCATTCATTTTGGAATCTTTGATTGAAGGAATATCTCCGTGCTGGCCCAGAAATCGGCTAAATGACACACTTCCAGAACAAAGTCACATACCAATCCCCGAATTTCGGACTAAAAACGTGCCGCGTTGCTTTGGGCTACGCCAAGCGAACCTCGGGCTAAATAAGCTCATAGCTCACCCACGGATACAGCATCACCAGATTTGCCATAACCGTCGGTGACATCATTGGTAGATCACCTCCGCATTTTCCCTGTCTTCTTGCCGTTCAATTATTCTTGACTTCAACAACCTCTGCTACCGAGGATGGCCACCCATATCAAGCCTCTCATCTTGCACGCCCACACCACGGGTCCAAATCCCATCAAGATTGCTATTGCATTGGAAGCGCTCGGGATTCCGTTCACTGTGAAGCTCTGGGACTTCAGCAATGATCCTAAGACCGGCGTAAAGGGCACCACGTTCCTGAAGATCAACGAGAATGGACGGGTGCCCGCACTTGAGGATCCCAACACGGGCATCATATCGTGGGAATCGGGTGCATGTATGAATTATGTCCGCCGGGTATACGACTCGGCAAACCAGATCGGTCCCTGTGGGAGTTCCGGCCAAGATTTGGTTGACTTTGAGAAATGGGAGTATTTCCTCCTGACTACCCTTGGTCCGATGACCGGGCAAGTTAATTGGTTCAAGTCAGTGGACAGCCCGACTCTTTCAAGCAAAGCTAATTCACGATAGACACTACCATCACCAGGAAAATGAAGATGCCCTCCAGCGGTATACTGCTCAGACCTACCGATGTTATAATGTGTTGGAGAACCAGCTACGGAAGTCCGGAGGTACCAGTATTCTACCGGGTCGAGTCTGTGCAGTGGATTACCATTTCGAGCCGTGGGTGAGACAACATTCGTTTGCCGGGCTTTCTCTGGACAGCTATCCCATGATCCATAAGTGGCTGGGATTGATGCATGCTCGTGAGGAGGTTCAAGAAGCATATATTAAAGTCCAGGCTGCTGCAGGGAAGTAAGCAAAGTCAGCTTCCGAGAGGTTGCCTCATCTATACGGACTCTTGCAGAGCCAGAATCTGTTTTCTGAGAGTCCATGAAAAAAGTTTCCAGTCGTAAACGAGCCTAGTTTATTACTTTATTGTTGATATATGAGAATGGTGCCTAGAATCCCCAATCACATTAAATGCTTGCAGAAGTTGGTTGAGGTCATAAAGCCGTCTGGCAGTCGGCTGCGCGACCCCTCGCTCTTCGTTAATGCTCAGGTCGTTTCTTAGTCTTCCAATCAGGTTTTCTCAAAACAATCTATGGATTAACGTAGGCAGTCTTCTTTAAACGATATATCCTACATCGGCCTTGGAGAATTCCGGATCACAACTCATATCCTGGCCGTGGCTGCCCTGATGCCAAATTGCTTCTCGAGTGGGGATTCTGAAGCTACCTCACTGTAGATGCCTACGGACATTCAATGCAGCCCGTAACATATTATGAAGCACCGAGGGAGCATAGAGCGTCAAAGCAAGACTACACACAGAACGACGGTTTGGATGACATTCTGAACAATATTAGATGCAAGGGAACAATCTAGATGCAAGGGAACAATCTGACTTTCAAATCACGACCGTATTGAGATCTTAATGACTATTTTAACTCCCGCTAGTCTCGCACCCACTGCCGTACGATATTACCCCACGACCCGGATGGGTGGAGGTAATATCCTTTTTATCATCCCCAGGCATAAAACAAAATACCGGGTAAGCATGATGAATTCAAACCAACCTCTCTCTCCCTTTTTTTTTCTTTGGTCAGGTCTACTGAAGCCGAACCTGCCCGCTTCTATGCTGCCAGAAATTTTGAACAAAAAGCCTTTTTTAGGTCAAAAATTCGCCCACTAAGAGGAGTCCCCGGCATTGTAGCCTCACAGTTATTTCGCACTTACAGGACCGACACGATTGAAGTCGGCCATCAGTAACCGAGGTTTTACCGTATTAGAACGGTAGTGGTATCAGGACTCAAGACACTTTAGAAGGAGATCGTGATTGGAGAGGGGGTGCCTTCGAACGAGTCGCCGCTCATTGAGGACTGCTCTCCCTCGGCCTGTTCGACAGGAACGACCCACTGAGAAACTTGGAGATCGAGAGTGTGGGCGCGGTGGTTGAAGCGACACTGCCAGCTCTTGACGGCCTTGCAGTTTGGCTTCTGGCATAGATGGCCCATGTAACATTTGATAGACCTGCAAGCCCCCGCTCGAGGGCAAGGGTGCTGAAGGAGGATGTATCTGAGTACATCGACTATGGTGTCGGAGACATCACTATGGTCGTATTGGCAACTCATGTCACCGCACTCCCCGGACAGGTGATAGCTGTTGCAGACCTTGTGCTCTTTGGCACGGCGATGATACTCATCCATGGCATCCGCGGGTGGATGGGGACAATAGGTGTCGATACGTTCGCCGTCCTTATTGACAGCGATGAAGTCCTCCGATTTGAGGCTTCTTGGCGGCAGATGAGTGGAAAGGAACTCTTGCGTGCGGCCCACGATATTTGGAGTAGACCACGACTTGTTTGGCGATTCATCCGGTGACTTAGCAGACAGAGTTTGGCCGGGCATGACATGCTGCTTGATGCAAGAATTACCGTACTTACAAATACCCTAGAGGCATGTCAGTTAGAACGCATCGGAGGCTGTCTATATTAGGAGCGAGACCATGCCTTTTGGTAATGTTTGCAGATCGGCCTATTGATACCATTTGTGGTAGAAGCCGCCTTAGTGTTGACGATAGTAGTTGGTTTGGTGCTAGCAATAGGTGTAGATTTGAAAACGGACGGCAGCTCTCTGATCGGTAAGCCCAGGTCTTCAAATTCCCGGTGAAAGGACGCAGCCTTGATGAGGGTGATGCGATCACTTCGGCCCCTATATGGGGTCAACAGAGAGCCAAATCCAGTATCGTGGCAACCCGCAAAGTAAATATGTCGGCATTGATTGGAATCTGCGAAAAGTCGGAACATTTCTAGAGTTCGAGACAGCAGTTAGCTCCTGCCGTGGATAGTGGCCGAAGCCAGCTGATTTAGAGATCGTCAAAAACCCACCTCTGATTTTGAAATCGCTGCCCTCTTTTTTCTCCGCAGCATCGACAAAATCAAAGAGATCCTGAGCACGGTTGAAGGCCGAGGTGAAGGGTGCTAGGGATCGAGCTTCGTGACCACATAGGCCTGCTCGAGCAAGAGTCTTGGACAAACCAAGCATATTAGCGTAGACACGAACCATAATTCGACACTGATCAGCCTGCATTCCCAAGGTAGAGTGCATTAGCTCCCTAACCGAGTCGCTCAGTTCACGGGCTGCGTTAATGCCACCTTCGGCACCGGCTTGGATAAAGTGTTCTTTGAACTAGAAGAACAAAGAAATCCAGGTTAATTGGAGGAACACGGTGAGGTTCGGAGCCATCTTGGATTTCTTACAAGGTAGCCATCACCGTCGACAAGGACTAGCACGAATGGGTTGCGATCCTATCACAGTGTCAGCCTTGTTGTGTCCGGCCTCATCAGGCGCCCACAAACGGCTCGAGCTTCGTACCTGACCGCGAGCTTGTCTTTTGTATTTCTCACGGCCTTCCTTGACCTCTTCGTAATCACTTTTGAGAGAGCTGTAGTCCTCGAGGAGGCGCTTAAACTGCTCCAGAACATCTTGCAGGGTTTCATGGTGCCTATTGCTTTCCTGTGAAAAGATTCCGAGGTGGGTAGTCAAGGAATCTATATCCGAATCCCTCAACATCTTCAAAGAGTAATCGGGAAGGCATACGCCTTTCCCACGGAGCAGTAGAGTTCAACAAGGACCGTTGACATTCAATCGAGATCCGGAAAGGTTTGAAGAAGCGAAAGAAGCAGAGAATCCTCAGCTTTGAGGTGAGCTGATAGGGGGGGAGGAGAGTCAAATTTGAAGCTTCGTGGCAGGCGGTCAAACAAAGTAAGTGGGGGCAATCACCTGATTGTTGCAGAAGTGTATTTCGCGTCTCTCCACATTTTGCATTTTCTCTTTGTTCTTTTGACACAACCGATAATCGTACAACCCGGTCACTTGTCGGTTCTCTGCCTCCCAAACAGATCTGCCATCAGGCGTTATTCCCCCAGTTGCTGTTTGTTTGAAGTGGAAATTTTCTAGAAATCTACACAGTGCCGCGAACGACCGACTCCGCGGCATCAACGAACCCGAGATTACCTGTGTCGGTGGCCTAAGTGATGCCGTTGATGCAGCCGAAATCTCTAGCCCTCCCTTTTGCGCTTCTACTGCTAATGAACCAGACATTTTTGGGATTGCTTACTCGAGCTGAATAGCGGAGTTCATGGTCAGCGCCTCTACCGTGGGGTCAAGGACGCGGCCCACGACATTTTACCTCATCTACTTCCAGCGTCCGTACGTTCCCACGATGTCTCCTCCCCCTTGAGAGTCCATACTTTTTGCCTATACCGTCAAAGCGATCTGGCACCGAACCGAGACGCACTAGATGACCCACAGATGCGAGGCCGTTCATTCGGCAGCGGCGCGTTATTGGTTTACAAAGAGCTCGGTCGCTTGCGCCCAGACTCTCGTCTGACACAGGTCAAAGATCTCTGTCAATTTGGATCGGAAATTGCTACATGTCAATGGACAAACGTGATGCCATTGGAGCTCTGGTCTTCGGCACCGCCGGTTAGAATGGACCATGTGCGAAATGTGTATTTATCCGTGTGACGCGGGCTGCTCCCACGCGACCGAGTCCCCGGAATATTTCAAGGACCCAGTGACGTGCTTCAAGACCGTGGTATAGGCGACCAGAGGGTATCACAAGCTCATCGAAGCGTCTGCTCTATCTTCAATGGCGTGGAACGGGCGGGTGGTGTTCAGCCCTATCTGGTGCGTCTTTAGGAAAGTCCTTTAAATGTCCCATTGCTTCAATACGAAGGCGGGACTCAGCAAGGCATGAGAAGCTGGTTGCTCGAAAGAGATATGAGCATCACTGCCTTCCGATTAGACGCGTTCTACAATTGATAGCCACTAGCTCCTCGGGCGTATACCAAATGATCTGCTTTTCCCTTTTTGCCGTCGATTGGACATGTAGTCTTTTCTATTGATTGCGGACCATTGTCCGTAGTTTAAATTGCCCGATTGATGAGACCTAGAATCACCAAAAAGACTCACGGTCGCAAACAGTCAAAGAGTCAGTATTGGAAGCGTTGACTCCGCAATTGAGGTTGTGCTTAGCGCTGGCCGGACTTTTGTCTTCTAGGGTGGCATCCTGCATACCGAAATTGGATTAGCTCGGGTTGGGCCTTGTTGATCTTCGTGTGGGGACGTTTGAATATACTCGGCTGCCTTTGATTTCAATGGATCGTTCAGTATAGCATCGAACGAGCTTCTATGTCTACATGTCTAAAGTGTGGGACTAATAGTCATTATAGGTGTTATACAACGAGAAACTCAACGCTACTTCCTCGTACAAAGGAATACATTAACAGGAGTGTATCTTAGGGTGGGGACCTGTAGAGTACATAAGCAGCCCTCATGTGAAAAGACGGGCGATCGACAGCCAAGCGCGATCGGTTACACAAAGAGAATGCTGGGAACTTCGGTTCGCTTTCCGGCACAAGTAACTAGCCTCGGTTTGCTCCTTAATTCAAGTCACACATGATCTTGGGCTCGTCTGTAGCACTGAGCTGAGTTTTAAACAGTCTAATCCCCATCGATCACCCGGATTTATCATCCTCTTCTCTCCATGCAACTCTGGGCTCTACCGAACACGACGCAATCATGAGATACGTCCTTTTCTCGCTGAGCGCATTCGTGCTTTATGCTATCTTCTACTTCTCATATATCAACGGTCTTGACGAACTTGGTCGCAATTCCGTGGAATCCGGGAAGCTCCCTGGCGTAGACGCGCCGCTCCGCTCGGTCTATACTGGCGTGGAACCGGTTGATCGGATCTTGACTCTTTTGACGACCTTTTTCTATCCATCGCTTGATGGCCAAAGTCCTACTCTTTTGCTCCACAGTATTGGGTTCTCGGGCACCTTTGGGGCTGCCTGGACCCTGGTGGTCTTGGAGTCATGGCGCAAGGGTAACGTGGGGACAATTGCTGCTTAGTACGTCGCATTTTATCAAAATGCAAACCATAGCGCTTTAACAGACTAACCAGTGTCGCAGTCCCGCTATCTTCGGTCTCGCAGCTCAATTAATGACCTTTGCCTTTGCGACTCCATTAATATGTGGTCTTCAATTAGGTTGCTCAGTGACCGCGCGTCGCCCTAATGCTGATAACATCAGAGTGCCCCGCGTTGTTCTAGCAGTACTACCTTTCGTCTTCATAATTGGATATATGGTGCCAACTCAAGCGATGGTACTACCTGCTCCATCCCTGATATCTTTCGACATGAAGCAAATCGCAATCGCAATCTGGCAGCCCTGGCCTGCCTATGTATCTATTCTGACAACGGTGGCCTACTACGTTCTGTCGCCCTTGTTCCCGAACAACCACCGTGCGTCCATGTCTGGATTGCGATGGGTATACGCATCTGCATTCGCAAATGCGACGCTTACCCACCTCGTTTCGTGGATTGTCTCCCTCGCCTCGGTTGCCGTTCCCAACCTGTTCGACGAGCGTTACCTCGGTGATCTTCATCCATCTAGAGTCTTTGCTATTCCTCTCCCTTGGTCCGGAGTGAAGGTCGAGACGGTGGCTGAGGGTGTGCACTACTTTTTGCGATGGGACTACCTGATCGGATCCGCGGGCGTCTTGCTCTGGGCCTTGACTTTGTACAGCGTTGCCCATAAGCAGATTCTTAGCACGGTTTCTTGGCCAGGTCTACTGGTCAAGGTTGGTCTGCTGACTCTTCTAACGGGCCCAACGGGTGCTGCCGTTGAGTTGATGTGGGAGCGTGACGAGCTGGTCTTCAAGGAGACTGGCGGCGTTCGGCAACAAGCCATCAAGAACAAGAAATCCCTCTGAAGGGTGTGAAGATTACACTCCGAAGATTCTAGACATAATATCTGGTCTGGCAGAGGAGGGCTTGACATAATATCGAGGCAGAAATTCATTCTCTATGTATATATGATATGCTACGATTCCAGGAACAGACTCTGATTGTTTCAGGGTACCCCTGGAGAATATAATGACTATTTAAGTTGATCGACAACCTTGTAAATTTCTTTGACATAGTCGTGGGTAGTTCTCTCATTGCCCATGATAGTTTGATGCATCTTGTTCATCACATAACCAATCGTCATCCGGCGATCCAGATCCATGAGGAAGAAAGATCCACCCCAGCCACCCCAGAAGCAGATGCGACGACCATCGGGGATCCAGGGCAAAGTCTGTGGCGCAGGCAGACCAACGCCAAGGCCCAAGCGGAAGTATTGTAATAAGACCGCATCGACCCCGGCAATTTGCTCCTGCATCATTTTCTCGATAGTCTCGGGAGAAAGATATTGTTTTCCATCAACGGTACCATTGAGAGACACGATCGAGCCAATACGAGCCAAAGCACGAGCATTCGAGAAGCCGCCGATAGCCCCCAGCTCTTGTGCTCTGAGAGCGGGAAGGTTGGGCGCACTGGGAATGATGGGCGTCCCTGCATATGATTTCGCAGCAATACTTTCAGGGTCGATCGCTGGAAGTGGACCCGGAGTGAAGGGGACGATATCTGCCGCGCGTGACCACAGATCCCTCGGCAAGCCCAGACGATAGTCTGCACCCAAAGGAGTTGCTATCTCTTCAACGATGAATTGATTCAAACTTTTGCCGGTAACGCGCCGCACAATCTCGCCGACTAGATGACCCTGCGTAACCATATGGTATCCGCTCAGTTCACCGGGCGTCCACAGGGGGGCCATCTCTGCAAGTTTCTTTGTCGCTCCCTCAACATCGAAAATTTCCTCCATGGTTGTTCCGAGTGGCCAACTTGACACGCCGGAGGTATGGCTCAGGATATGAGAAACTGTGATGTTCTCTTTGCCGTTGGCTGCGAACTCTGGCCAGTACGTGGCTACCCTTTCATTGACGTCGAGTAACCCGCGATCAGCAAGGATATTGGCAGCGAGATTGGTCACGATCTTGGAGGAAGACCAGATCATCGTGATAGTATCCTTCTCCCAAGACCGAGTGTGGGCCTCGTCAGCGTGGCCACCCCATAAGTCGAGGACGTTCTTTCCGTCGATGTTGACACAAAGAGACGCGCCAATTTCATCTCCACTGGCGATCCGCTGCTGAAGAAGCTCGCGAACAGAGTGGAACGTGGGTTTGCAATCACCGTGAACTTCAGCCATTGCGAGAATCTAGTTTCGATTGAATGTATAGTGTGTGTATATCGTCGGAGGTAAGATGCTTGGAGATGTTAGGAAGCTGAGATGCGGATGGACTGGTTTTTGCACTGTGAGTATTTAGGGCTAAACAACTACTTGAATTAGCCTCGGCCGATACCCCTCTTTCTCTCACGCTTGCTGACACTGCTGAGGTGACCCTGAATTTCAGCTCCAACATCCTCAGAGTGGCAGCCTGCAGTAGGCATGATGTTGATTCGCTCAAATTGATGACCAATGCCTTGCCAAACCTGAATAATCCGAACTGGGATTAGTGACGAGCTAACTAATGCTCCGCGATGGTACCTAATTAACAAATAGCCCTTCGAAGCACCCGTGGAGTGGATTGGATTAGACGGAGCCTGAATGGCCCCGCATTTGTCTGTAGATTGATCTGACGTGCACTGCAGGTGGCCGGGAATTCAGAATTATAGCTCAAATACTATCTGGCAAAGGTACCAGCTTATAATACACCTGAAATTCCGCTAAAGGCAATATGGTCCGAGTCTGGATTGTTAAAGTTGACGAGTGCCGCATCTTCTAACCGTGCTGAAACAGGTACGCCCGATGCCGACCGATGACGTTGCGACATGGAAATCGGCATCTCGGAAACGAAAAACCCACGCCACAGCACGACCTAAAGGTAGAATGAACCACTGATAGTCAATGAAAATACAGTGGATCTATTCTCCCAGGGTCTCCTCCTATATTGTCCACAATAATGCTCAGAAATTGTGGTCTATGCGTGTTCGGATATTTGTTCTTTGGCCGGGTCGTGGAACGGATCAACCGGGGAAACACCACACGATGACGCTGTAGACAACCAACGTAAGAAAGGGGAATGAAGAATGAAAAACCTTATGGTTGAGGCCGAGTCTTCCGTCATTCTATGGTTCAAAAAGGTCTCGATTTCTCCTCTCTCTCAAATAATCGCATATAACAAAAAAAGTGAAGTCTGCCCACTTGAAGATCAAGAGGTATACATCAGATTCTCAAGTATTATGGAGCGTACCAGCTCTCCTACCTCTGATTCTCACGGATCAATCAGCAGAGGTAGTGATCCTCTAACTGCGATCGCAACGACTCCAGATCGTCGTGAATCCCAATATGAAGCCGTCCGCGTGGATATTCTGAGCCGTCGTCCTACCAATCTCAACGAGGTCGAATTAGAACGCATCGAAACCTACCGTCTCCAACACCGTTCCACTGTCGGATCGGGAGCTCCTGTACCCCGCGGAGAGTGGCTACCGATGGGGGCCGGGAAACCATATCCACCATCTCTGCCGGATCCCGAACAATTCGTGGTGGAATTCACCGGTGCAGATGATCCTTTACACCCGCAAAACTGGCCCTTGCGTCAGAAAATCATCATATCTGTGGTGCTAGCCTACTCCACATTTGTCTCCTCGTTCGCTAGCGCCATCTACTCCTCTGCCGTTGTCGAAATCGGTCCTCATTTCCACATCAGCTCCGAGGTCGCTATCCTCGGCGTGACGCTCTATGTCTTGGGGTTTGCTTCGGGGCCAACCTTGTGGGCTCCAGCAAGTGAGTTGATTGGAAGAAGATGGCCGATTATTGTGGGAGTATTTGGCTATGCGATCTTCACAGTTGGAACTGCAACATCAAAGGATGTCCAAACTCTCATGTTGACTCGATTCTTTGCCGGATTCTTTGCTGCGAGCCCAATTGCCATCGTCCCGGCCGTTTTTGCGGATATCTACAACAATCAAACTCGTGGTGTGGCTATCGCGATGTTTGCCATGGCTGTGTTCGTCGGCCCCTTCGCATCGCCTTTTACCGGTGGCTTCATCACAATGTCCTATCTGGGATGGAGATGGACGATGTATATCTCTTGCATAATGGGCTTTTTATCCACCACACTATGTCTGCTGTTCCTCAAGGAGACATATGCGCCCGCTATCCTTGTGGAGAAAGCTGTCAAGTTGCGCCGACAGACCCACAATTGGGGTATACGGGCAAGGCAGGAGGAGGTCGAGCTGGATTGGGAGGAGTTGATCACGAATAACTTCAGTCGCCCGTTCCGAATGCTTTTCAGAGAGCCAATTGTATTCTTGGTATGGTCAAATTGATTGCTGTTTGTTGAACAAGAATCTCACTAATGTACTTCCAGATCTCTCTGTGGATGAGTTTTGTTTATGGATTGATGTACGCACTTCTCAGCGCATATCCTGTCGTCTTCCAGGGAATTCACGGCATGAATCTTGGAGTTGGTAGTCTACCTTTCATCGGGTTGATTATTGGTGAGCTCCTTGCTGGTGGTTATATTCTGCTAGACCAAAGGTCGTACTCCAAAAAATTAGCGGCCAACAACAATATCCCTATTCCCGAGTGGCGTCTTCCGCCATCTATACTCGGTGGTGTTTGTTTCACTGTTGGGTTGTTCTGGTTCGGTTGGACGGGATGGACAAAATCTATCCACTGGATGGCACCAACCGCGAGTGGAGTAGTCACTGGCTTCGGGATCTACGTAATCTTCCTGCAGTGTTTCAACTACCTGATCGACTCATACCTCACCTTGTAAGATTGCCACATCGCTCCCCAGAAATAGATATCGCTAACCAAGCATCTAGCGCGGCCTCTGTGTTTGCTGCTAACACGATTATTCGATCCGCGGTTGGAGCAGCTTTCCCGCTATTTTCGAAACAAATGTTCAATAACCTAGGAGTACAATGGGCTGGTACTCTTCTTGGATGCCTGGCATTGATCATGATTCCCATCCCACTGGCATTTATCAAATACGGACCAATTTTGAGAAAGAAGTCCAAGTTTGCCCCGACTTTTGGACCGCGTGAACCCGCTTCTTCAGAGAAAGAGCCGAGGGCATCTGTCTAGGAATCATCTTCATCTTATCGGAGGGCTCCTTATACCGCCTTTGGGCAAATTTGTCATATAACATGTGCAAACTTAGTTGAATCTCATCTTTTGATCAAAGTTGATGTGCAAGTTCCATATCTATGATTTATGGATTTGGCCTTCCTGGGGATCGACAGCACACGTTTACGATGTCGGAACCGGCCGATCCGCTTCAATCCCAAGTAATAACACGTCCTGGGGAATATATCTGATATGTATGAAGCTGCCGAGATGAGATCGACTCATCCGCTTTATCAGTCTTACTGGAGCCGCTTATCGCTGGACCCTGGAAATTCTAGCGATCAGATAGTCCGCCTCGCCAAGAAGACCGAATGCAACCTTGGCGTTTCAGCATGAAGAGTTCGGAGACAAAATTCTCCCTCAGTGACCACGATAATTATCGACAAAAACCCCAAGCACTTTTAATTTCAGTCACATCTCTCTTCTATATAAAATTTCCGACTCATTCAAAATGCCGTTTTTTTTTTCTCAACGTGAAGAGACCCACTGCCGAGGTTGCCGAGCTCGGACCCATGGGAAAATGGACTGTCGGCAACTAAGCGGCCAATTACTCGGCCGGCAGAGAGATCAATTCTACCCGCCAAGCCTGCCAAGGATGATGGGGGCGGAGAGTACCTGGTCGTCCACTGGCCAGGTGAATTTTTTTTTGAGGCAGCTTATCAGAAGAATCTGGTTGGCGGAGGTAGCCGGATAGTTTTTCTTCGCCTTCGACGCGTTCGTTTTTCCTTCTGTTCACTGCTCGTCAAATCACTTTAAATAGTGCGTCGCATCGACTGCAGCGGCTCTCGATACCCTGCGCACGTGTAGCAGCAGTCGCACGTTGTACAGAGTCTGACAATGGGGATCAAGACTTGGATTCACGATACTAACCTGCGGGTTGCGCGAAGCCCCGTGGGGAGGTGGTTTCGTTTGGAAAATTCCGGACACGTGAGTTTTCATACTTCTATACCAACTACAGTTTTAATGAACCCTTTGAATAACGAGATGTCATGTCGCGTTAGCCGCTGGAAAGGAAGGGGAGCTTTTTCTTTACTGAACTTCGCGCCGGCCTGGCCACGTTCTTCGCGATGGCCTATATTATCTCCGTGAACAGCACCATTACTTCGGAGTCTGGTGGAACATGCGTGTGCCCGGCTGAAAGCTTGTCTGACCATTGCGCAACCAACGCCGAATACTTGATCTGTGTGCAAGAAGTGAAACGCGACATCGTTACTGCGACAGCTGCCATCGCCGCCATTTCGACATTCTGTATGGGTCTTTTTGCGAACTTGCCTATTGCGCTGGCTCCCGGCATGGGTCTCAATGCCTATTTCGCGTACACCGTCGTTGGATATCATGGTAACGGTCTGATCCCATACAAGGTTGCTTTGACTGCGGTTTTCGTCGAGGGCTGGGTTTTCTTGGGTTTGACATTGATTGGTATGCGGCAATGGCTTGCACGCGCTCTTCCGGCTTCTATCAAGCTTGCGACTGGCGTTGGTATTGGACTGTATCTCGCTCTCATCGGTTTGACTTACAGTGCCGGTATTGGACTGGTTCAGGGCGCCAGCGACACTCCCATTGAGCTGGCAGGATGTTTGTCCCAGTATTTCGACGAGGACACTGGGTTGTGCCTGAGCAGCCACAAAATGCGCAGCCCTACTATGTGGATTGGTATCTTCTGCGGTGGTTTCTTGACCGTATTGTTGATGATGTACCGTGTCAAAGGCGCGGTCATTATGGGAATCCTGCTCGTGTCGATCATTTCCTGGCCGCGTGACACGCCAGTGACTTACTTCCCTTATACGGACCTCGGAACAAGCATGTTCGATTTCTTCAAGAAAGTCGTTACGTTCCATCCTATCACGCATACCCTGGCTGTGCAGGAATGGAATATCTCCGGCCATGGCGGTCAGTTTGGACTGGCTTTCATCACTTTCTTGGTAAGTTTTGGCACTCATATCAACCCTTGTATCTTTCTCGATAGAACAGTGGCTAATTTGGGTGGATAGTATGTTGATATTTTGGATACCACCGGTACAATGTACTCTATGGCCCGGTTTGCCGGCGCCATTGATGAGCGTACCCAGGATTTTGAAGGCAGCGCTGTCGCATATGTAAGTATTCAACCTCCCTAATCCTATTTGGCACCGACTGATCCGCTATCTAGATGGTCGATGCCATTTCCATCTCAATCGGCTCTCTCTTCGGCAGCCCACCCGTTACCGCTTTTGTCGAATCAGGTGCCGGAATTTCCGAAGGTGGCAAGACAGGCTTGACCTCTTGCATGACCGGCTTCGCGTTCTTCATCGCCGTCTTCTTCGCGCCGATCTTTGCTTCGATTCCACCATGGGCAACCGGCTGCACTCTCGTCATCGTCGGTGCTCTGATGGCCAGGTCAGCAGCCGACATCAACTGGCGTTATTATGGTGATGCGATTCCGGCATTCCTTACCATTGCCATCATGCCCTTCACCTATAGCATCGCGTACGGTCTCATTGCCGGTATTCTAAGCTATATCCTCATTAACTCGATTACTTGGATTCTCGAGAAGGTCAGTGGAGGTCGTATCGTCCCACCGAACAAGGACGAGTCCGACCCCTGGTCATGGAAGGTGCCAGGTGGCATCCTCCCTCCTTGGGTGAAGCGTGCTGCGAGTGGTAGGAAGGATTTCTGGCGTCGCGATGAGGAGCGGGCCGCTTCTGATGAGCTAGGATCCCTTGGCTCATCCCATGAGAGAGTGGCAACTGAGAAGGGTCCCAGCAATGCTGAGCAGGCTACAACGAAGGTGTTGTGAGCAACTGTACCTGGCAGAAGAGCTCATTATCTTGCAGAGTAGCGAATTTTTAGCTGTTAATTGAATATCATAGTCGAAATAATCAATTCTGTTGAGTCATTGGAGCCTTTTTTTCTTCTGAAGATTGGTATCACGTTCGAAGAGCCATGGTTGGTCTTCTACATGCCGAGGGATGTACTGGCAGGCTCGTGAGGTCAACTGCAATATTGACACCTTTTATACCAGGTTTGAGTCACTGGCCAATGGTAGCGGTAAAGAGATCTCTTTTTTTTCTTTTCCGGGGGGGCGGGGGGGAAAGGGGGTTTCCCGGTATTTTGTACGATCAAACGTCATCTAGGTTATACTGTAGGAGCAGCGAGAAGCCATAAGAAGCTCGCATTCTCAGATTTGACTTCGATAATTATCTTTTGTCGGCATATACGTTAAAGTCGTCCGACCAACCCAGCCCAAGTATCACTTATTCCGATGTTCATACCCCCAAGCCATGGATAGTTGGAACCAGCGGGCCAGCGCAAGCTAATGTTCTGGCCCAGTCCAGAAGGCCCATATCTTCCTATATGCAAGTGGGAGATCGGCGTAGGCTCATATAAGGTGTTTTCAGCGAGGCTCTCTTGCTCGGGGAATGCCTCCATCAAGATACTAGGGTACTGTAGCATATGAGGTGTTGCCTAATATGGTTTAGCTGGGTGATGACGCCCCTCCTTTGATGGGGAAAATGTTTGCGACCGTGGAAAGAGACCCAAAAGCCTGGAGACCATGAATACTGCGGCTCGGGACAGTGCTTCAAACTGCTACCAGAAGCCGGAATTGGAGAATCATTGAGGGAACAGGGCATGTAGAATTGGTGGCCCGGGTCTGGCCATGAATGAATTTCCTTTGCCATCCGATCGTTAGCAAGTTTGCGCGTAGATCGAGTGATTGTTATTCTTGGCATGCCGAGTATCGCTGTTCGGTCCGAGTGATCGCAGCTCAAAACACTAAATGATCATTGTAGATGATAATTGGCCAAGCCTATCAAACACCGACGCGGTGTTTGCTACCTACATTGCAAGTGACAAGTAAGGTGCTTCTTAGTGGCTTTTCCCTCCGCGGAGTTGCTTGGATCATACCGATAAATGTTTCTGGGACGGAAAGCGCTAGATTGCTTCCCCGTTGCCTACTGCTGTGACTCGCAGTCACAGACAGCGTCAACATCGATCCCCGTACTCTGTAGAGATAGCTGCAACCCAAATAACTGGACACGACGATCCCCCGCGCTGGGTTAAGGATCCGTGACCATGTTCTCGGCATAGCCCTTGCTGCTCTATTGGTTCTGAGATTGGCGAATCCGAAAATAAGATGTGGGTTCAAGAATTCCAAACACCTTAATTTTTGTCGACAGAATGCGAAGTTTGGTACCTGGTTTGGAATTGAGACCCTACGGGTGGGCCTCGTACCTCCTACAGGTTGGAAGTTCGAGCCGGCCCCGCCGCGGAAGGGCGTTCGTAAGCATCCTAAAGTAAATAAATGGTGATAGTTTCCGAAGTCCAATCATCATGCGCGACGACTCAGACTCGTGTCCCCGGTGGCCCCTTTTCGGCCGCCCAGCAATTAAAGATTGGTTGGTGGGCAAGATCGAGTCCCATTGAGGTTCCAACCGCATCAAATCCCCCACTCTTGTGATGGGCTAGGCAAAACGAAAAGTAGCGGAATCTGTGATTATCCGGTTTAACGCTCCTGAATGTGGTAATCGGATCCAAACTTTTAATTAAAGCGACGGTAAGGTTCCTTGAGCAGGGATTTGCCCTCCTGGGATCTCAATGCTGAGACCGGTCAAGGAGTCTGTAGACCAACTCAACTGTACACTCACTCGTTTCAAGGGAACCGATTCTCAAGGGCGCGAGGCGTGATTCATGGCTTCAGACGCATTCAGGCCCCTTAGGCCCTCGATAGAGGGTTCTTCTCGAGTCTCGCCCGACGAGATGAATTCAAAGCGAAAGAATGTCCGCACCGCATGCGCCACGTGCAAACGGCGCAAGTTGAAGGTAAAACCGCTTTACCCCTCAGTCAGTTGGAAGTGGTCGAGTATCATGATTGATGACGAGATTATTTGTAGTGTACAGGTCAGGTACCATGCCCGAACTGCGTCAAAACGGGCGCATCATGCGCCATCGACGAAGATGGCGACCAGCGGCGGAAGCATGTGCTCAAACGAAAACTCGATTCACTGGATGAAAAGGGCCACCTACTGGATCGACTAATCGTTACACTCCAGGAGAGCGACAGGACCTCAGCTGCGCAGATAACAAACCTTATTCGCAGCCATGCATCGCTGGACGAGATCAGAGCCTTCATGGACGACCTGATGGAACGCCCTCGGTTGGAGAAGACCCCCGATCTCATCGAAGCATGTCATAGCATTCAGCAGTGGCATGAATCACAAAAAAGAGCGATTCGTGCCAGGTCGGAGCCGAAGCAATTGTCCGATATGGCGTTGTTTCGAGTACCCGCCCATCCATGGACGAGTATCACGGAGGATGACGACTTTGTGTCACATTTGATATCACTGTGGTTCACTTGGGCACACCCGTTCCTGAACTGGATCGATATAGATCTATTCATCCGAGATATGCAATCAGGAAATGTAGATTCCGAATTTTGTTCTCCTTTCTTGGTCAATATTATTCTTGCCGATGCTTGTGTAAGTGACTCCAAAAGCGATCTTTAGACCGCTGACCAGAGACTCATTATAGATACACGCTCTCATAGGCATACTCTGACTATCCCGAAGCATATGCTATTGCGGCCGAGCAGTGGTCACGAGGACTCCACTTCTATAAAGAGGCCAAGCGCTATTTTGAAAAAGATGTCGGCAAAGGAAAGATTGTGACTCTCCAAGGGATGGGTGTGCTATATCTGTGGTGAGTTACTTTCTGTTCCGATTTTGACGACCACTGGTAACATTAGCCTTCTACAGCACATGCATGATTGGTCGAGACCGCATTGGATGGAGGTACCTTGGTGATCTTGCATATGGAGTGCACGAACTGGCTGAAAAGCGTGGACCAACACCCGAAGACGCTGATCAGGAGACAATACGCAAATCGAAAGCAACGGACCATACCATTTGGGGGCTATTCACCTTAGCATCGTAAGAGCACCTTGATCTCGGAACGCGCAGATTTAAAGCCTGCTAATGTCCCACTAGGATGTCTGCACTTTCGTATCAAAAACCAGCACCGATAAAAGTGCCCCAGATACCTTATCCGCTACCAGGTCGCAACGTTCATCGCGAGAAATGGTCCAATTATCCTCTCCAATCCGAGACAACCAAAGCTCACACTCAGTGTCTGTCCAAGGCCCTTTATGACGTGAGTCTTATCACGCATGACCTGACTTGGTGTCTGTTCAAGCGACGCGACGAAGAACAAACCCTCAATGCGAAGTTCGTTCAACAAGCAGAAGATGCATATAATCGTCTTCGTACGTGGTATGATAAGTTGCCAAATTGTCTGGGGACGAGCAATGCCACGCCACACGTCTTGAGTCTTCAGTATGTCATCACTCCCCTGGATAGAAAAAAGTTAGAGCTGACAACTCGACACCAGCCTAAAGTACCACACGATTATCCAAACAATATTCGGCGTCTTGAAGGACCTTCCGAAAGTCGAGGACTGTGACGAAAGTGCGGAGTGGCTGTCTGAAACTCGCCAACGAGCCCAAGAGCGCTGTATCGAATCGGCTCTGGCAAGCGGAGATTTGATCGACATTCATTGTGATTTATGGGGCCTGGATCAAATGCCACCCGTCAATGTCCAGTGGGTAACCGTTTCCATGTTCACCCTCCTGCCGCACTTAGAGGATGAAGAAAAAAACCGCAAGGCCTTTACTAGCCTAAGCATTGCGGCCAAGGCGTTCTCCAACCGCTGGTCACTGGGCAAGGGCATGTTGCGATTGTTCCAGGTGACATCCAAGCAGATGGAAATCAAGCTTCCCCCTGAGACGGACGCCCTTTACACTGACTTCGAGACCAATACCTGGAGTCGCGAAGACCGCAAGATCCTTAACAGCCAGTATCCCAACTTTATCAATTCAATGAAGGGCGGTCAGGTCGATGACATCGAGCTCGATATGTTCTTAACTAAATTTGACGACTTGTATCTTGAAGATGATGATGATGATGATGCGCAGGGATCGGAGTTGTTCGACTAAAGTGACTGTGCAGCTATAAAGGCGAGCTGGGGAGCCGAGAGACGACATTGTTGATTGAGATCACGGAGAGCTCAGCCTGTGAGACATTTGGGTATACTGTTAGCTTATCACGGAATCAATAACATTGTCAAAGTCGCACATTGTGGTTCTCGAAGAGATGAATCGAAAGCCTGACTTTCCAGTAAGTTCACGGGGATCCGCCCTGGAAGCCACGCGAAGATATCAATGGGGCGTCCGGGATTATTTCCTGGGGCTTGAACCTTCGATCTCACCGTTCTCCGTAAACCCCGAGCACCCCTCTAATGGTGAGATCAATATGATCATGTACCCAAGTGCAGAAATACATCTTCATCCCCAGTCGATTCGGGGGTTGTGGATGCCTATGGGATGGGAGCTTAGATATCCTGGCAGGAAAAGACAGCTGATGCGCGTAAGAATCACGTATTATTTTTTGACAACATCTGAAGATTATTCAAAGGGCATGATTCCCACCGTGATACCCCCTTGCACGTTTCCATCCGCGATCCTCCCAGCGACGCACTGATGGGTATCAATTAGGTAAAAGAGAGAAACTCATAAGGAAGACCACGATCATAAAAGTTCATCAACAGCCGAGCAAATCGACACACTGCCGTGAGCTGATCCCGTCAATTTTTGAAGCACAGTTTCAATGCTGTGCTCGTTGCATTGGCCCCCGTGTCGAAGAGGAGCTGAGCATGTATGAGCCTAGGCGGCGGTTGTCTCGAAAGACTGCTTTTTGGCTTTCACCGCCATCCACTTGCGGTATGCGAACAAGGCGACAATCCCGAGACCCACGAGAAAGACGATACAAAACACCAAGATTACGCCGGGCTCTCGACTGGCCCAGTTACTTCGCTTTGTGATGGAGACCAGGCTGTCTGCCTGGGCGCGGCTACTCATGGTGACCGCAGGCATCTTAGGTAGAGTTTCTGCGTGGGGTGTTAGCCATTCCCAATTTTGACTGACGGACTGTTACAAACCTACTCAGTTCCTGAGAAAAGCAGGGGCCTCAGCCGAGTCACAGCTGGGTCAAAGATTGGAATCCGCTGACCTGAGGTTAGTGTATGTAAATCACTCGTCGGGGAGTGTCGCAACGGACCCGTTCAGCGGGGAGGAATCAGGCTCAACAAGATGACGATGATTCGAGATATTTGTGAGAGGAAACTCGTGGAAGTGACCGGTTGTGAGGGATGGTAAACAGCTGGGCGACTGAGGAAGAGTAACTCTGAAGCAGATATTGACAGGAAAGAAACGGGAAAGAACGTGACGTCACGCTGCGAAGATAACAATGCTAGACCTGATCATAAGCACATGACTACGCAGCAGAAGACCTTGACAATAATCCTCTTCTCCAAGGACATTTGGCTTTCTGGCGATGTAACTATTTCGGTGACTATAACAAGCTCCGGCAACGTACGGAGCAGCGGCATCGCTAGTCGATGATGCGAACCATGACCACCCTCCATAAGCTATGGACCAGGAACATATTGACTATTATGATTGGTGTCCAGAAGGCTAGCTACCGTGGGTTTCCTAATATTCAGAGTTAGTCATGGACGTCAAGAAAACTCTCCGCCAGATTCCGTTCTGGCGAGAAGCTTGCCCCCACAGCCGCAGAGACCCGCCAGTGTCGATCTCCTGTCAATTGAAAAGACCCACATATTAAGCTACCCATGTCCGAGCCTTGAGGAACACACGAGGGGTATTGAGTATAATCACCTAGATTGCCCGGATGAATTTACAGGGCTACTGCTATACCTACGGGCTACGGCTCTGGAAAAGTTCAAGGGGTGCGACCCGTACCGATCCCGGCAGCACCTCTGTGGCACTCTCCACATCACAGTGAAAATTGTGTGTAGGTGTAGCTTTTGGCCGAGTACTGTGCCTATCTTCAATTATCGGGCAGAACATATATGCATCGAATGGCTTTCAATGAAGAAATAGCTCAGCTGATTTTTATACGAGGATCTCTTCAACTAATTCAACTTCCGGCTTTTGTGTTGTGTGCCTTGTTGACGTCACCGACCGCTCCATGATCAACTGGCGAGTTGCAGGTCAAGTTTGATACTGCTGTTTTCACGGTAAACCTACTATTCTTCTTACTGCAAAACCTTGATGTTGACTCCAACAATACTATTCGCCCAATGTAGGTAAAGGTATTGGACACATGTGCATGTCTACGTGCGAGGTACTTGGGACGGCAGAAGGCAGACTTTGGCCTGAGGCATGGGGTTTGCAGCTGAAAAAGGGAGGCGGAATCTATCCCCTTCATTAACAATTTATATCTTTTGGCTCTTTTGGCTCTTCTGGCACATTTGAGAAGCCTGCTTAAATCCGATGGTCACCAGAGACACCTCCCGTATCGTGGCAGCCAGGTTCCCCAAAGATGGTTCGCAATCGGAAAAACACGATGCCAACGCGAACAATTCGAACACACAAGACTCGGTGCTTCTATTCTGATCCATCACGCTAAGGCAAAACCTAATTTATGGGCCCTTGGCGTACGAAAGCCTCGATCTAAACGGGATCCACCAAGCCTCTCGGGCCCGTATCAGAAGAATTATAGGATAAGCATCGCAGACTATACTTGTCTCGATGGGGGCGTATTTGCAACAAACCGATTGACTCGGAACGTTCCAAGCCCCAAAGCTAAATAAAGCCGGAGATTCGAGGGGGTCGCCCAAGAAAAGGAGTTTCCTGGCCACCCACCACCTCGTATTTCCGGCTACAGAGCACCAATAAACGATCTGCGTGCCGTTTCAGAGTCGAGCTGACGACTTCACGTGTGTGAATGCTGACGGCTATCCCTACAAAATTTGCAAAAGCCTGACGGACACGATGTCCTCGCCGAGCGTATTGTATGCCTCGTATCATCCTTGGAGAACGATCTTGATCCTAAAAGACGCTTACTAACGAGGGCAGTATAACTAAGTTAACTAGTTATTCTGTACAACCTAACATGGTTTACTAACTTGTTCTTTTCGACCTTATGGTCTTGGTGAAATTCAATGTGTTTCTGTTCACTAGCTGCTTGTTAATGAATGTGCGTCAAAACTCAGTTCTACTTCGATGATGGGGAATGCAAGTGACGCCGAAATCTGCATCATTCAAACTGCTGGTCGATCTTCCGCCCGTCACGGTAGTGATCTGCCCCTGCGCCCTGTGCAGGGTCCACCTCATGGTTCTCACTGGCCCTCAGGGACAATCATATACAGATGAAGCATCATTGAATACGAGATTGACTCGCCCTTGCCCGTTGATGCCCCGTGTCTGCGGGTCCCCTATTTAGAGACGACCATTCTCCCTAATTTGCATCATGAGTTTAAATCTAATCCGACTGTTATTCTAGTTGATGGTTGATGGCCAGACCAGCTGCGCCGTCAAGATGAAACTTTTCCTATGCACTCTTTCGTGGATACCGCTCGTTAACGCATGGACTTTTCTGTACACCAACGCGACCGGAAATGCCACCATCCTGCATGAAACTGGAACGGAAAATTGCACAGAAATCGACCTCGCGGGAGGAAAACTCTTCTCTTGGGATCCTGAGGACTCCGGTCTTTGCATCTCGATATACTACGATGCCACGTGCAAGGACAGAGGGGGCCTCACTTGTAACGCTTGGAGTAAGAATGCGAGTACGACGTTCCATGGCATCCAAATCTACTCCCAATCAGATGCTTCTTCCGCATCTGTTTCCAGCTCGACCCCAACATCCACGACCTCTGCCTCCTCTACTTCGAGTTCTACCTCAGCATCAACGACAAGATCCACATCCACATCATCTGTCCCTACCTCCACAGCCACCTCTGCAACCCCTGCAACAGCGGGGAATGGTTCCTCATCGTCACTCTCAGGCGGTGCTATCGCTGGCATCGTGATCGGAGTTGTGGCTGGAGTTGCCATCGTCGGAGGGTTGTTCTTCTACTTTGGACGCCGAAACCGCAGGAACGACAACGTGACGGCTGGTAATGAGCAGTCCGGCCCGACGCCTGGCTCAATTTCTGGAGAACCACATGGCCCGTATTCTCCACGAGCATCAATGCTAGCAGCTGGATATGCCCAGCCACCATACACAGACAACTCAGATAAAGCTCCAAACTCATCCAGCGGCATGTCTTCAGTACGTCCCGCTCCGGGATCTCGCGTGGTGGCACTAGCAGGTCATGACCGGGCGGTTGAGTTGGGAAATAGCCTAATCAGTGAATTAGATGGTCAGCCGTCAGAGAAGTTATCTTATCGATTTTCATGATTTTTCATGTCGGGTACCTACCCAGGCGATGTGAAATTATATTATTCCGTTTTGAGAAATGCAATTTCGCGTCTGCTTCTCACTCTATATTGAGCGTGTAGTTTGTTGCTCTCGAATAATATGGGCAGCCCTTTTGGCAACCGCAAACACTGTTGCTTGAATATTTCCACGAGATTCCAAGAGGAGTATACTGGCGTCCACGATACGCAACTTGATTGTCCCATAACAGACTTTCAGCTTCGGATCCACGACACCACCATCTTCTTTAGGCATTATAGCACACGTTCCACCAACATGATACATTGACAAGACGAGCTCCTTTTAAAGTTTTTTTGCTTGTCAAAGCTCAGTCAAATGTTCCACTATGCAGGCGCCGGCCACTGTTCTTGACTAAGTCTTGCGGAGCCTCAAATTTCTTTTTGTGTGTAGGTGGTGTCGCGAAGTTCTCGATGCAGGCCTTGATTTTATGGGGATTTACTCTCGCTCTAGCTGTCCTAATTCCACACAGGGCATGAATACGATACAAAGGTGACATTACCAGGGGACCAGAGCCGGATTTCTGATATACACCTATTGCCGCTGCAGCGATGGCAGGGTCTCTTGCTATGTCCCCAGTGGGAAGTCTATCTACCACCTCTTGCCCCGATGAGACGATGCCCTAATCTTGTAGGTTCTTGGAAACACCTGGATTATCAATGACTGGGGTTATTACGTTGGCTTTGAGCACTGAGGATCTTCCGATACCAGACAGCTCTAATATCTGAGGCGCTTGCGTCGTCTACGCAGCCAAAATAACTTCCCTCCGATCTAAAATTGCAAAAGCCTTCCTGTCTTATGACTTCTCATGTGCGTGACTGGATCAATGGCACCAGGTGTGACAAATGGACTAGTTCCAGTACCATTGATCAAATCTTTGACTTGCGGATACCCGAGCCCTTCGATAGTCTCCATATATGCGTAATGAAATGGCATGTACTGGTCACCGAGCGACACCTGCACTGGACCAGTGCCATCCTGGCTCTTCACAGTCAGTTTCCGCCAGTCACGTTTTCATCATATTTCATTGCCGTGAAAAATTCACGATTTGTGTCTGACGGCGGTGTCAGATTCTGGTATTTGCGAATATAGTGCGCCAACTCTTCCCACCCCCAATCAGAGTTCCCTAATGTTTGCCAATAATCGAGACCTGATCGAGATAGGTAAATTAACATGCCCAGATTGATTGCAGATGAACCTCCTAGAGTGCAAATTTGATTGAGTGGCAATTTGCGACCATTCAATTTCTCTTGAAGCCAATAAAAGCAATAGGAAAACATTTCACGTTTGAAAGCATCCCCGAGGACTCAAAGACAACGTACCTGGGGAGTTAACCGGAAATCCCAATCGCATTCTGGGTGCTCGAATCCTGCTAGCCCCAGTCCCGGATTCATGATTCGGGGATCATTGAGGCGGTTTGTCCCTGCTTCAAGAAGAATGACTCGAACACTCGGATTTTCAGTGAACCCGTTGGTTACTACGAGGTCAGAGGTCCCCCCTCCGGCAGTGATATAGTCGAACACTGCATCTTAAAGCCCCGTAGAGGATTCAATGTCAAATTAACTGATTTCAGTTCGTTTCTTGGCATGGATTGTCATTCATGCTGTTGGAGATTTGACAGCAGGCTGAATATGCCTTGTGGGATGGTAATCACCCTCGAGAATTGAATGAGAGGGCTCACGGTAATTGGATCTCATCTCATCTCATCCCCATTCATCGTCAGCCTACGGTGATCTTTATTCTTGGCTTCGAGGTAAGCACGGCTAAGCCCCGTCATCCTTCAGTGCCGAGACAAAGCCGAGGAACAGTAACCCAGCGTAATATCCCTGCTGTTCAGAAGTCGAATCCGTAGAATGCTATTCGGTGGCCTACGAAGACCCCGGAGCATGACTTCACAGTCAGGAATCAGTGTCCATGAGCTTGGTTCATAATCAAGAGTCAGCGTTGCGAGAGCAAACAAGAGATTTTAAAACATCTGGACTCAGGAAGGATCTTGAAGCGGGAGGTCGCCATAGCGGGGCCCTAGTTCGGCCACAGGTGTCGACGCTTATAGTCCCCAACTAAGGCTGACATCCAGGTATTAATACAGTCTGTACATCTTTAAAAACTCTCTTTCAACCCTCTATTCCCTCGTCTTACTCCTGTGGCGTGCATAACAAGCCTCTATACCAATGCAATGAATAGTACCATAAGCACTAGTGCTGAGAGGATGCAGTACCACGGGGCAAGAGCTTTCAGATTTTACGCGGCTTGACACACTAGCCTGGTGGTACAGGGTTTTTTTGGCTTATCCGGTTAGCCTCTGGTCCTAACCTCGCCCCTGAGAGAACTTCCCGTGGTAGAGAAGCGGAGAAAAATAGAGGGTCAGCCCATGTGTGCAGCTTCTCATTCAAAATGTCATAGAATGCGAATGGAGCTAGATGATATGCCTCTAAACATATGCCTGTTCCTAATTTTTCATTCTCACAAGAGCATGATTGAATCCATGGATTATAGACTCCATCTTAAGGCTGTTCACAAGATGTCTGACTGTATGCCTCGAAGATGTGGACGCGATTGATCTCTCTTTCAAAGATTCGATGAAAATCATATGTATCAATCTTCGTGCCCCCATCCCGCCAAAAAAAAGCAACAACTTAGATTGCCAACTCAGAATAAAGACCGCTGGGGCAAGTAGCTAACTAGGCCACGGTTGGCCGTTCGGGCTCCATTGCGCTATGGTCTTCCATGATCCTGATGCGAACCCATCGCACGCAACCGAGACATTCTTTTATATTATGATGATCGTATAGGATTAAAATACCGCTTTTTTTGGGTTCAGGTTTGCTTAAAAACATGATTCCTGGTTAGGTAGTGTTTGGAATTTACCCCTGAAAGCCCGGTGCACAAAAGTAATTCGCACAAAAGTATTTCACTCGGGAAGTGAAACCGGCGATCATATTTAATTTCTCCGTGTATAGTTAACTGCCAATAGATTTCTTGAACGGCAACGATACCACTGGTACGCTTCGTATGGCTCGGATTGTTAGCTCATTCAACCCGGACGGAACTACCTAGAAATTTGTTGAGTATCCATGCTCCTCAAATCGGCATAGGAATTCCCAGCATCCAACCTCGACGTTGGCGCTTGGCGTTCACCCATGTACGCTCGCTAAGAGATTAACCTTTGATCTAATCATAGATAGATCTAACTAAGCCGGGGTCACGGCCCGATTATTGCGTGGTGGATAATTCAGAATGTTGCATCTCCAAAGCGCTCATGCTCAAGCTTACACCCATGCGAACGCCACCCACCGTGCGCTTTGCAGTAGTACCCAGTCTGGCTCTAAGAAACTTTATTATAGTTGAAGCACACGGTCGGCACGCCGTGGCCTATGGTATTCGGATATCCGTCGTGGTTACGGTCGTGCTTGGGCCATTTTCATGCGCAGATGCGGTGAGGGGAGAAACAGGTCGGCCCTCGGACGGCATGGATAGAGATGAGACGTGAAGTCGGAACAAAATTTAAGGCACTCGGGCGCGGCATCTCTCCATCGTGCCGATCCCCCGTAATAACTGCCGATTTCCGGTCCTTGGGCCGATTTTGCAGATTGCTAGAAAGGGTGATACAAGCTATGTTCTCCGTATCTCATAAGAAACGTATGAAAGTTTGGACGTTTGATTAAAAGGTACGGATCGAAGCCCACTGCTGACAAGCTAGGGAAATATCGGGCAGAAGAGCAATTAAAATTAAGATTGTATTTCGATGCCGAGTATGTAAACCCCTTGGGCATGACTAGTCACACGATGTCTAGGGGGTATTCTGAGTGACAGCTAAGCACATGGTGACCTAGGTGGGTTTAGAACGCTAGAATCAAACCTACATGCCTCAATTTTATACATCATGTACGAGTCCTTTCAAGCTACTGTATATCTGGGCCTCAGGCGCCGCGGCGTAGCTCCTACCCCCGATCGGATCCATGGCGTGATCTCTCTAGTATAGCCTCGGCAAGTGATTCATGGTCTACTGACTACCCGCCACCTCGTTTCTAGTGAGTTGATCTGCTCTGCGCTGGTGAGTCAACGACCCGCCACCAAATTTGGTGGTCATTAATCCATCAGTAGTCCCTCACATCTTGGGAGAATTTGAATCTCTTTGAGTGGTTCTGACAATCGGCGACGATACGTTATGTTATAGAAGTGGCGGACTTCGGCCTGATCCCTTGCTGATTTTGGTCATCCTAGCCGAATCCATCCGACTCTCGAGGCGTCTTCTACGGGTCTACCGAGCGGGCAGCAGTGTTGCCAAGAACATTACCTATTGATCACGTTCATCGAAATTAATTGTTTTTCATGACACAGGAACGACTGGTCGACTCGGGAGCTTTCCAACGGCACTGCTGCGGGCTTGGGTTGGCTAGCGGAACATACCAAAACTCTTGGCAGAGGGCGAGCGCTAGGAATGTGGACGTGCTCACACATGGCCCTCACTCGCTAAGTTTCTAGGTTTAGGCATGTGCCGGAACTGTCCGTACATATTTGCGGGTCTCGAGGAGTATTCAGCTATAGTAAGTATGTTGAAGCTCTCAGCCGCTGAATTTCTATAATCCAATGTGCTCTTAGTGAGAAAATAGTTCAGAATTAGTCATGGTGCTCGTTTCACTGTAAGTTACTCTGAATGTTTACGGAAGTGTATATGGAATGGCTTCCAAGGCTAGCGGCTCGAATGCGTCAAGGACCCAAGCTTAACACACAGCCTTGAGAACTAAGTTCACGATGAATATGGACTCTCGGGCCGAAATTGAACAAGCAGCCCTGTCCGAGAAAGCCCCTTGTCCGACGAAGCAGGAAGCCAGCCAAAGCGAGGTTGGACTTGTCAGTCTAGAACGGGCCTAGCGGGTTGTGGGGGCGGACCCGTGTAGAATTAAGCACGGAGAGACACTCCGCGCTAACATGGGCTGCACGCACAGCCTGCTTTCTCGCGTAGCCGACTGGCAGAGCTTCTAGTCGGGACTTGTAAAATTATCTAGGCCGATCGGGTGGAATGAATTGTTCAACATGTTCATGAAGATGCAAGAACACCTAAATCTCGTAGGAATGATGGCTTTCCTCAATCGGGTATTCGGGCCTGAGACGAAACGGGCATTCCCTCGTTGTACTAACCCGAGTTGAGACAGGCTTTCAGTGAGCACAAATTGAAAGGCTGGACTTATTTTCCATTACGAAATCCATTGGTAGCCCAAGAAAAGAAAGATTATAGGGGTCGCCCACTGCCCCGTCGTACCGAACCAATCAGTCTCTTCGATTTCCCAGCTTCCACGGGACGTAGGGCCGATACCCCAGAAACCACGTCCTGATTCTTTTTGGACGATCCTCGACTCATGTCTGTGACCTGGAGATGTCTGGTCTCACTGGGGAATTCCCCGATTCCAATCAGGATACGGAGCTGCTCGTGCACGCCACACCCCAGGATTTCTAGCTGCTGATGGGAACCGGGGAGCCTGGGGTCACAAGGTTATCAGGTCTCCGCAAGATCCCCAAATTCGACTAGCCTCCGCCTAGAGATTGAACCCTGTCAGTCGTTGTCTGAACCGATCGCGTGGTATATAAGTCTCATGTTTCCCCACCGTCTACAGAGCCTTATACCGTGTATCACTTCGCAAACCGGAATCAGCATTGGCCCAGCCGGAGGTATCTGCTGTACACTATACAACCATGTCGGAGAAACAGGCCCCCGAGGAAGTCCATGGCATCTCGACTGCCGTCGAGGATACTGCTCACGTTATTGCGGGGTATGGTGAAACTGCTAAGATTGCTGGCGCGAAGACCAAGGAGGTTCACAATGTGAGCTCGGACACTCCTCCGTTGAAGATATTTCGGATCTGACCGACAACAGGCCGAATTGTTCGCAGCTATCGAAGAAACCAAAATTGAACGGTGGAGCAAGACTTCGATCCACCTCTATTGTGAGTATTCGGGAAATGATTGGTCCATGTTGTGCAACAACGAAACGACAAGCATCTAACATCGAGAAACTTCCAGTCTGCATTTTCGTCGCTTTCCTCTGCGCCTGCGCCAACGGGTATGATGGTACGTCTCCAGAATCTTCTTTTGAACACCGAGATCGAACCGAGCTTAAATCGCTTGGTGATTTAAAACTTGGATTGAAAAGCGAGACATTAACAACAAACAGGTTCGCTGATGGGATCCGTCCTCGCCATGGACCAGTACCAGAACGTGTTCCACACCGGTCTGACCGGTGAGAAGGTCTCGGTCGTTACCTCGCTCTACACAGTGTGAGTACCAATCTTGCAAATGCTCGTCCAAAGATTATTGCACTTTCCAACCCATATTCAGTATCCATCACTCACAATACTGATTATTCGATTAGTGGCTCGATTGTTGCAACCCCAGTCAGTGCAGTTATCTCCGATAAATTGGGTCGCCGAAAGTGTATGTTCGTCGGTGCATGGATTATCATTATCGGTTCGATTATCATCGCCTCCGGAAAGACTCTGGCTCAATTCGTTGTTGGTCGTTTCATCCTCGGTGTTGGCATTCAAGTTATGGTCGTGTCTGCGCCCGCGTATGCTGTTGAGATTGCTCCACCCCACTGGCGTGGCCGTGCTGTCGGTTAGTATCTCCCTGGTCTTACAAGCTATTATTGCAAGACACGAATCCTGTAAGTTTCAGCCTCAAATACTGATGATCATTAGGGTTCTACAACTGCGGTTGGTTCGGAGGCAGTATTCCAGCCGCTCTCATCACTTACGGCACCAACTTCATGAGCACTAATTGGCAGTGGCGCATTCCTTTCATCTGCCAGTGCTTTGCCTGTGTTCTGGTCATTTGTTTCGTGTGGTTCATTCCCGAGTCACCCCGTTGGCTGCTCGCTCAAGGCCGAGACGAGGAGGCAGCTGCTTTCCTGGTCAAGTACCACGGTAACGGTGACCCCAACGCTCGTCTCGTTCGCCTGGAAATTGAGGAGATGAAGGAGGGTATTCGCATTGACGGTATTGACAAGAGATGGTGGGACTGTAAGCCGTGCCCTGATCCCGATCTCAAAATTCTGGATTCCAAGAAACTGATTGAGAATCAACAGACCGTCCTTTCATCATGACTCACAGCGGTCGCTGGCGTTTCGCCCAGGTCATCATGATTTCCGTGTTTGGCCAGTGGTCCGGCAACGGTCTCGGTTACTTCAATTCGACCATCTTCAACATCCTCGGATACAAGTCCAGCTCTAAGCAACTGCTTCTGAACATTGTCAACTCGATTGTGTCTGCCGTTGGCGCAGGTACTGCTGTCTGCCTGACTGACAAGATGCCTCGTCGCCCAGTTCTCATCTACGGAACTTTGGGTGAGTTCCTAGTCCTGGTGTCTATTGCCTACTTGATCTTCCAGCTAACCAATGTTGAATATAGCCTGTGCCATTACTATGGCCATCAACGCCGCCATCTCCCTCCCAATCGCTCAGACCGGAACCATCAGCAAGACTAAGGGCCAGGCTGCCTTGGCGTTCTACTACCTCTTCAACGTCGTGTTCTCCTTCACCTACACTCCTCTGCAGGGTGTCGTCCCCGCTGAAGCTCTTGAGACTACCACTCGTGCCAAGGGTCTTGCCCTGTCTGGCTTCATGGTCAGCTCCATCAGTTTCATCAGTCAGTTCGCCTCTCCCATCGGTTTGGGCAACATTTCCACCAACTACTTCTGGATCTTCGTCGGTTGGGATCTCCTTGAGGTCGTGTTCTGGTGGCTGTTCTGGTATGTCTATCATGTTTTACCCACGGGCCCTTTTCTAGCCTGCTGCTATCAAGAAATAATGCAAATACTAACTTTGACTGTTTCAGTGTCGAGTCCCAGGGCCGTACCCTCGAGGAGTTGGAGTGGGTCTATCAGCAGCCCAACCCCGTCAAGGCTTCCCTCAGCCTGGACAAGGTCGTTGTGCAGCAAGATGGCACCGTCACTGAGAAGATTGATGCCGATGCGTAATCTCAAAATTCTTCGTTCATATTGAATTGAACACTGTGAAGTGCGAGGCCTCGGTTGTTGGGAGGCTCTTGCGGAGGGGAGAGTCCTGAAGAGAATTGGTTGTTAGGGTACTTTGTCATAATTGTTCTAATATTTAACTTCCCACAACAATTCACATTATACCATGGGGTGAACTAAATTTACTTACTGGTGTTTTCTCATTGGCTGACTCTACGTGAGACAGAATGTAAGATTCTCTTCCCAAGTGGGTTAATCAACCTAACTAAGCGACCCGGTTCATCATGACCTGAATATTACCGGGTGATTTTTGTATCCACATTAACTAGATGGAAATCAGAGTGAAACAGTGGTTTTATGATCGAAGGGTGTCTCCTCACTGGACTCTTTTGTCTTACCAATTGCCTCGGTGCTTTCATGAGCTCACACCACCGTCGAGGTCCTGTCCAATCTTCCAAGTGCTTGCAGCGAAATGAAGAATAGGTGGCTTGATTTCACCTGGCTCACTCGCGCGTCCCCATATTGACTCTTAGTTGACCTTTTCAGAAGGTCTGGAAAAGTTTGCTCAGCCTGTCTCATCATGTCGGCTCAGGTAGAACCAGGGGAGGGATGATTCCATATTGTGCGAGCCAAGGCAAGGGGATTTACAAGGCCACGGACTGCCGGCTTGGATGTGGTGTAGCAACTAATCTGCCGAAATCATAGTGCTGATAAGCGTTGCATCAAGGAGATGAAAATGATAGACCCAATTTGAGGAGCATCTTGTGGATTCGGCTCGCCAATCTCTCCATATTTCTGACCATAGCATTGACGCATGCCTGGACAACCGGGAAAGAGCCTACAATCAACATCAATGGAGTAAGCTTGAATGAGTTAAACATGGAGAATGTCATTTTGGTTGACGTTGAATGTGGAGCTCAAGTCTCGGATGTAGTGAGGAAAGGCTCATCAGTAACGAGATCAGCTGGGTTAATGCTGAGGGCAAAGACCAGTTTTCTAATTGGAGAGAACCTCAATGACGGCTTATTTGACGTCCACACTTCATAACATCCAGCACATTGTTGTTGCTGAGAAGCGTTTGAGCTTTGGTTTGGAAAAAATATACGGCTTTTACCAAGAGCTGGCAGAAGGCGACCATGTTGATATCATGCATGTCTCAACCCCGCAGTCCCACCATTATCAAAATGACCAAATTTTTTTAGAGTTGGGTAAAAACGTTCTTTGCAAGAATACATTCACGGTAAATGCCATCCAGGAGAAGGTGTGGGTTGCTCTCTCCGGAGCAATTCCAATATTTGGTCTGAACACGACATTTCCCACTCTCGGTCACCTCTCGAAGGCTCGGCACGATTATGGTAGCTATAGTTGATCAATCTCTTGATGCCAATCCCGAAAACAACTTACTTTCAGTCTTGAAATCCGCGTGGTCAATCATGATCTAGCAGGTAGTGTCATACTCGACGTGGGCATCTACAGCCTCAGATATATCTTTTCAAACCCGCTACACTCCTCAAACTCCAGAGACACGCAAGGGATCTCGCGTTGTTCAAGTGTACAGAATGATGGGCCGACTGAAGTCGAAGAGAAAATCATCGTTCTTCTGGCCTTCCTAAGAGGAATGGAGTCCGGCGTTGACTTGCACGGCATCGCGACTACTAGCTGCCGCGTGGCTAATGATATCGACAGCAACGGTTGCCAGCGGCCCCGCTGTCCCTATCCAGGGAAGGAAACGTGGAATAGAGTTGTGGCTGTCCATTCATCGGCCAACACACAAAAGAATTATTCTCAAGCCCGAGATATTGAAGATAAGAACTGGCCGCAGCCTGGTCCGGAGGCGGGTAGTGAATGGTACAGTGGCTACCTAGCCAGCAAATACGCAGAAGGAGAAGGGTTAAGTATATTCTGGGAAGCTGACGAAGCAGCCATGGCGCTAATTGGCGGAAGCAAAGGAGGTCAGTATGAGGATCTGGATGAGTCTTGTCAATCATGGATGTCATGAACCAAGTTCGAAGGCAGAACAATTTAGTCCATCGAAGCGATGTCGAAGGCCCGATCCAAGTTGGAACCCAGATACAGACTTTAAAAGATATATAGACCACAAGCTTACAACACGAATGCCCCACTGTGTCTCGTATCTTTGAAGTTGGGAATAACTCTGGGCCCAAATTTGAACCGTTCAAAATTTGCTCGAGATAAACTTTATGGGTTTCTGGCACCATGAAAACCTGCGAAAGGGGAGTGGAAAGTGGGCAGACTGAAGAGGAAGCAGATAGATGATGCCCAGCTCGTGAGATATTGAACTTTTTAATGTTCACAGCTACTCTAATGCAATCTCAATCTCAATCTCGACTCGGCCATGATTGACAGCCTTGAAGTGACACTACGTGAATCCTCAACGACCCCGTCTGCCCCAGTCTCTTGTAACTTCTCCAGTGAATGAAGCGATGTTCTCACCGCAATCTCTTTGAAGCCTGCAGTTTTTCCAGCCCTGGCTTTCAGTTCGATTGTGGCCGATTTGGGATTGGAAACCAACCGTGGTGTGTCCTATCCCCCCGTTCGGTTATCATCACCAGCAAATTAAGTTCAGCAAAAGCTTGCAGCCGCTCAAATTACCCAGAATCGGCGGGAAGACTGGATGAGTAGTCAGTTGACCCTGATGGTAGCTAGGATAGCTTCTTAAGTGGTTTGCCATGGGCCCCGCGTGCCCTCGTTCATTTTGACCTGGCTTTTCCCTCGGAGTTTAGCACCTAGAGACAATCGAATCGTGCGCGGAATGATAGGATGATGAATGTTTGAGAAAACTTAGGGCAAGATCGAAGCAATTAGGTCATAGTCAGAAATGGCAAAAGTCGCCAGAGCTAAATGACCACCACAGTTGGGAACTCGACATCATTCTGGCGGTGTAATACTAGGCCGCCAAGTTCGCGGTACCCAATGGCCAGGTCGCTCAGATTTTGTGGGCCCCAGTGAATTTTGGCCACCCAGCCGATCCTCGACAATCAACTGAACCTTCCCATTGATTGACAGGTCTGAGGCTTGAACATGTCACTGCAAAACATCCGATAGATTCGATAGCTACCTAATAGCACAGGCGAATTGACATCTCGGCCGCATTCAAGATTTACCAGCAAGGCACAGGGGTACTCGCGATCCTCGTACACGCTACTGCCGGCCCGAGTACTAAAACGACCAGCCACTGCCACGCTGGCAGTCCGTGCTTTTTTTTCACCCCCGAACCTCTCGTCCTTAGGCTCTCCCTGGTCAACCTGGTCCTCGGAAACCTTTCTGTTTTTAACCAGTGAGCTGGCACGGCGCCAATTGGGCGCTCAAACGAGGCGAAGACCGAGATCCTTGTCATGAGCCGCTGCCACGTAGCGCGCCATCCGAATTCTAGGATGGTTTCGTTTATTACTGTACCATTCTACCATAAGGCGATTCACTCGCTAGATTACTCACGCATGGCTGCTGCAAGCCAACGCAGCAATCGCTTGATTGTGCCTAGACACAACAACCTAAGGTTGGGGCAAAAAGAGGCTGGGAAATGGTATTGGTATTATACGATGTACAAATCGAGCACAAAGTAGATCGCTTGGGGGTTTTATCAGCTTCACAAGTCGAATTCAATATTCCAAGTTATCGGACTGAAGATTCAAGGTCTAGAGCAGAAGAATGCTGCGGTGTGTTCATGTTACTTGTGAAATTCGTCGCTGGTGGGACTACGTCGAGGAACGGGCGCGACTAGTAACGATAATTACCATTCTGTATCTGCCGTATCTATACACAGCAAAAGTCGCTTCTATTAGTGCCTTTTCGAGTCTATATTTGGTCATGATATTACGACAGTACGATGTTACCAATATCAGTCTTCTAGCTGCCCGAATTCAGCCCGCGCCCCGGTATCTCGCACCCATGCGTCATATCAGGGGGAAACCCGTGCAGAGGCTTCGTCCTTGCGTGCGGTCCTTATTCATTTAAAGGAAAAAGCACAGGCTTTTTCGCGAAGTCAATCCCCTGGCCATTGTCTTGCGACTCGATGTTACGGTGAACCCGCTGGCGATTGTCTTAGTCTAACTCCAACTCCCCCCATCGTCCCGAAGCTGTTCAGATTGTGCCCGCAATTCTTCCCCGCACAATCTGATTGTGCGTTGGCAACGAGCATCGCCGGCCTCGCGCCTCCCTACCGAGCGTACCACACGATGCGTCGAGCCTGCCTCCTAATAAACCACGAGTGCCCCCTTTTTCCTGCCTCCGACCGCGCCTTGCGTTGTTAGCTGGTGCGCAACTGCTGCGATACATCCGATCCGAGTGGTCGTACCGAGGATAGCGCCCACCGATCTACAGAACACTCAACGCGGTCTGTATTTGGTCATATTTTGCGGTGCATTTGAGGAGGTCTTGTGGTGGGTGAAAGGCTTGTCTCGACTAGTAGGAGAATATACCCATTGAGGCTGGGGCGACGCCCTGAAAGAAGACGATTGTGTGGTTTCTAGTGCTTTTCTCCTGGACCTTGCCGCAGTACGGAAATTTACTAGCCCGGGAAAAGGTGCGTGAACTGTGTGCGCTCAAGCCTTGTCGCACCTCGAGATCGGTCAGATCAATTCCTTTGAGATCTACCGAAGCGCCGAGATCGCTCCAGGTCGATTGGTTCGCGGCGAGGGTACGCGCCTCGGAGTATGCTGCAGCCGCTGCGTTTGAGGGTCGTTTGAAGTTCTTTGGTATCGTTTGCGCACGCTAGCAAGGTGAGTCCCTTTATTGCTTTTCTTTCTTTGTTGATTCGCTTCGCTTTCGGAGACCTGCTTTCTTCCCTGTTTCTTTTCTCCACGATACCTGCGAGTCCCGGATGCAAAATTCTCGCCTTCTGCGAAGTCCATTTTCTTTTTTGATGATACCCTCGAAACGACATGCATAATCAATACCATCCGAAAATGGACCTCGATCACTTGGCTGACCTGTCTGACCTGGATGATCCAGACTGTCCAGCTGTAGATTTATGGATGGCCTCCTCCGAGGTAGATCAGAAAGCCTTGGGCAACTTCGCGGCCGTGACGGCCTTCGAAAACCCATACTTGTCGGCTATGCTCTACAGAGTACTCGGGGTTTCGGTGATGCTCTCGAAGAAACTCATTCGTGCCCGCCGGCTCCGTCGATTAGACGTCACGCGCGAAACGAAATCGCTTCAGCTCTACCACCACATTATATGGCTGTCGCGCGAAGGCCTAGTTATCCTGGAACATTATGTTCTACCGCTGGTAACCGCATTTGTCGAATTGAAGGTGCTATCATACAAACTCCGAGCCTCGTTCTATCACATCTTCGTGCTCTTCTACAATCGACCCGTCATCATTCCACCCGACGCCGAGCCGCCAGCCGACATGAAGCGCGACTCGATCTACAATCCGGATTCGTTGACGGCGCCGGATGGATTGGCGGCTAAGCAAAGCCAGAAAACATCTCGGCCTCCGGGCTTAGCACCGGTCCAACCGCCACAATCGACCGCTTCATTCCTCCTTCCACCCCTGGACTATACGACTACCGCCACAGCATGTTTCAATCACGCCGCCATGCTCGCAGACAAACTGCTTCCAGGCTCACATCCCCTCCGTCTCTCCGTCAAGATGGAGTATGCCGCATACCTCTATGACTGTCTGCAAGACCCAGTCGCCTCGCGCCGCCTCGCAAAACGCGCCATTGCGGACGTATACAACGCCCAAGAAGGCATGGACGACGAAAGCTTCGAAGACGCTGCCGAGATCGTTGGTGTACTAGGCAAGATGGTCAAGCGCGGCGGCAAGTCCGGCAGCAGTACAGCTGGAAGCACCGTTTCTCGGGGCGACCAATCTCAAAGCCTGAGTAGTCGCAGTCCATCGCATCTGGATATCAGTGTCCCAACTACCGTCTCCCCTATTCCTGTCACCAAACCTACGCCCGTTCCTTCCAGCGGTGCCGTCACAGAACCTGCGGTACCGAGCGCGAATATGATGAATCCGATTTAATGTCGCATGAGAAGTTATGATATAGAAAAGCTGATGGGAGCGTTTGTTGTTTTTTCTTTGTCCATGTTCACAATTGCTTCCTACTCAGGGCTGGTGTTCTGTTTTATTTTTCAGACTCCTTCAATGTACATATGTGTCCTCGCCAAAGGCACCCACGTGTAAATATCTTGTTCTCTAGCTTTCAATTGCTTACACTTTGCAACCTAATTGCAATCTTAGTATTTCTTGGGCAGTACATACCCTCCAATACTGACAAAAAACTGCATGGCGCGCCCCATAAATTCTGCAACTTCTTCTCCAATCCACTCAGGCAGCAGCTTCATTCTGGCTGACTCAAGTTCTCGAAGATACCTCCCAGCAACCTAATGGCTCACACATTTAGCTTCGTCGATTACTCACGAGAGCGTTCTTTCTTACCAAAACACACTCTCCTTGTCGACTCTCATCCAAAGCAATAAACGCAATAGCTTCTGCCACACGCTCAGGCGTATTCTCCTCAAGACCTTGATCTTTCCATCTCCGCGAAAATCCAGCCGTAATATGCGTCGGGGTAAAGAAGGGCGCAATGCCGTTAACCCGCACTCCGAGGTCACGAGCTGTAGATTGAGATGCACGAAGAAGACCTAGCACTCCGTGCTTCGAAGCAACGTAAGCTGCGACACCAGTGCCGCCAAAATAACTCGATGTCGACCCGATCAAGACTGTTGATTTGGAACGTGTCGACGTCACGTTGCTCGGTTGTTTCATGTAAAAGAGCCCTAGTCGAAGTGCTGTCCCAGAAATGCCTGGTCAATATCAACTATCACGTCATTCCAGTTTGAAGCTAAAGAAAAAATGGCAGTGGAATGAAAGAAAAGAGAGCATACTATTCAATGTCCCCTTCAAGTTAACATCAATTACCCTCTCGGCATCGGTATTCTCTGGTAAATCCCCATTCTCATCAACATCCATATCCAGAACGGGACTCGACTCCATAATCCCCGCATTTGCAACAACAACGTCAAGATCCCCGAATCTCTCAATGGCGGTCTTGAAACAAGACGTCAACTGCGCCCAGTCAACGATATTTCCTGGAACAAAAATCGCACGCTGTGGATTCGTGAATGTTGACACTATCAGATGTTCAGCCGTCTCCTGGAACTGGGCCAGGTCTGCGATTACTACGTTTGCTCCGTGGTGATTGAACAATGCTGCTGTTGCGGCGCCAATGCCGCGGGCTGCACCGGTTATTAAGACGGTTTTGTTTGCGGATTGAGACAGGATACTGAGGTTGACTTCGATTTGAGCCATTTTGCGCGATTCTCTTGTTCTGCCGTTCGTTAGACGTCGCGTCGCCGTTTAGTTCTCGGCGGAAGGCTTTCATCCCACAAGCCGAGATCGCCCAAAATGCGGAGAAGAAAGCTGCGGGGTTCTCGCCGATTGCGACATCTCCTAAGCCGTGGGAATCATTCAACTTAACAATAAAAGGGGCTCGGGGAGCTGTGAGGGATGCTTTATACGTGGGTTGAGAATGAAAGTAGAAATATATGCAAGTGCCATTAACTAAGAGCTACACCAAGGGCTCAGTATGTACATCAAGAAGCAGACACCGTCCTTCAGTCCTTCTTCTCCCGATCAGCGGCCTGAATCTCATTGACGCTAACTCTTGACGGCGCACGCGAGGTATATCGTGACTCAGCAATTCTCGCATCCATCGTACTCACGGCATGGAATGAAAAGTCCAATTCTCCAACCAGGCCTTTAACATGCCGCATCAGTCTTTCCACATCGCCGACAATGCAGCGAGTTGAAATCTGTAAGACTGCGAATGCTGCAAAGCCCGGTTCGGCGATGTGCTTGATACTCAGAATGTCACTGTCAAGAGCCTCGAGCCGCTTGGAGAAGCTATATGGCCGAGGAGCTTTGAGGTAGGGAGGGAGAGGTTGCCGGTTGGTGATACTAGCTGATAAGAGACATAGTAGGGATGTGACCTCGTGCGTTGTGACATTGGTAGTGCCCACAAGCCGTCGAAAGTCTTGCATCCAAGCCGAGCCCGTCTCGTCATCCTCGTCGTCTTCGAGCCGCATCAATGTGTCGGATGCGTATCCGAGTAGACTGAGATAGCTCACAATACTATAGATAAGAAGTCAGTAACCAACTAGAAGAGGAAATGATGAATAATATGTCATGGGCAACGCACTTTTCAACACACACAATGATCGAGTCGTATTGCTTCTTCGGAAATCGACCACCAATAGGAACCTCCCACTTGAGGAATTCCGAGTAGGTTCGAAGTCCGTTCAGCATCAACATCTGTTTTGAGAACACCTTGTGTCGAGCCTTCTCCAGCTTTCGACCCGCAGAGCTCTTGAGGGTCATATCCCATTCATCTCCACGCATGCGAGCAGATATTGTCTCATGGATGATGGAATAGTAATTGGCTAGGAGGTACAGCGATGCACCTAGACTTTGGCGGAGAACCGAGTGTTCCGAGATGGGATAAGGGAAGAACGTCCAGAGGAATGCGACCGCAATACCTCCACTAACAGTGGCCAGACGGTACGGCGCAAGCAGATAGATCGGATAGTATGGCTGCCCATTAGAGGTTGCAACTTTCTCGCCAACTTTGCGGACCTGGAGCTCGTACCCGATGATCATGGTCGTAGTGACGATGCTGATGATTCCAACGACACGGAAACGGAACATCTTGATGGGTACATAGAACGCACAAGAGATGAAGAGGAAGAGGAACACAATGATGCCTGGGGTCTTCTGACCGGGTATATACCATACCAAGAGACTTGCCACCATAGCAATAGTTGTACCTGCAATTCGTAGCACGAAGCTGAAGATGCTTTGTCCGGAAGTTGGCGACATGCTGAGATTCACCATGATCATGGCCCATACAAGGCGTTGCTTCGTAAAGAAGGATTGTGTATCATGCAGTAGAGCTACAATTGCGATGGTCATAGTTGCACATGCGACTCGGAATCCGTAGGTCGATTCGAACGAGCGGAAAAACCAAGGTATTACCCGGACCTTGTCACCAAACTTTTCAAACATTGTGTCGGGCGGAAGGTGCTCGGGGTCTTTGCGGTGCTTATATGCCTCGCCAAGCTCAAGGCTGCTGTTTTGCGCGTGTATATCTCCCATGTTATCATCTTCGTGACTGTCCTCGGCTTTGAGCCAGCTCTTTACCCATTTGATCATGCGCTTCGAGCCAGGAATGATGAGTCTAGTTCGCGACAGTTTCCCCTTGGAAGCGACATCGTCAGCGAATCGAACAAACTCTAGCACCGTTTTCCCGGTCGAATAAAGCAGTTGTTCCATCTAGGAGTCGATAGTCAGCATCCGATAAATAGGGTTAGGCTGGATTGAAGTGGAATTAGACGTACGTAGAGGAAGAGGTAGAGCTGTCGACGACTGCGGTCCTGATACGACGCAGATGCCGAGAAGAAATCGCCCTTCAGACTCCCGACAGAAGAAGGGTGGTCAAAAAAGTCAGGTGGTAGTTTGACTCCCTTCTCCTCGGCCCAAGTTTGAAGAGCGATGCGCTTCGCACCTCGGAATTTGCCCAGCTTCTTCTCAAAATGAGCCGTAAAGCCCTCCTCCCCGGGCGCGGTATTACCCGCCGAGGCTTCTACATCGTTTGCTTCCTCCCCGGCTTGACTACCTGTAGGTGCCGCAGATGCTGCCTTCTTGGGCGGCTTCGACAATTGGAAGACATAGGAGGTGTGCAATAGTCCCTCGTCAATTGTCTGAATCATCTCCGCGAAAGGATCGTGCACCGCTCGCATAATGTCATTCCAATCGCGCACGGCGCGAGAACGAATCTCTTCGGGGACCGTTTCAGCGTTGAGGTCGAGTGGCGCATTCCATTTATTGTAATCAGACAATCTCTGAAAGATATCAACAACGAAGCTCAATCCCACCACGGGAATCATGATCTGTCGCAGATGTCGAAAAATCATTTGAAGATCATCCGGTCCAAGTTTACCAAGCGCAAATTCTCTCTTCGCAAATGACAGATCTCCATGCAATTTCGCATGCAACTCCGTTATTTGCCGTATCGCAGCCCGAATGTCCTCAGCTTCGGGACTGTAGACTTTGCCCTTTTTGCCGAATTTCTCGCGTGAATCATCGTATGTTTCGGCCCGACCGAACATGTCGTCCTTTTCTAAAGTTTCAAAATAGATTGCGTGTGCTCCCAATGCAGAGCGGAGACCTCCAATGTAGCCTGCCATCTGCTTCAGGACGGCCGTGCGTGACGTCATGGGGAGAATGAAGAGGGAGACAACTGTGGAAATGGCCAACCCGGTGAGGAATGTCCTCAGCAGCTGTTCTACCAGGGTGATTGCGGCGGCCATATTAGCCATCTGGGGTGCATATACGGATGAGATGTTGGCGAAAATGGCGTAGATGATGACGGGGAACTGGAACTGAGGGTATTTGGCACGGAAGGTATGCACAAGCCAGATTTGGAAGAACAGCCATATCCCACTGACAGCGGATGCTGATGAGTTGTAGGACTGGCTGGTGGCCTGGGTGCTTGTATGTTCGCGCGCTTTCACACTAGAATACATAGTCAACAGTGCAAAGCAGGCTGCAATACAGACGGCCAGCACGTCAAAGATCATCATCTGGATGAACTTAGCCCTCGGCATGATGGCAAAGCCAAGGATTGAGACAATGGCCACCAGGTAACCCAGGGTGGTGTACTCTTCTGCCACATCGGTGGCTTGATAGCTGCAAGATTGTTTAGCGATGTGTACTTGAGAACACCAGGTGGACATGTCTTTGACTTACATTGACACCGCAATCGCTGGCGCAAGACCACCCCTTTGATGATATTAGAACTCTTCCATACTACTTTTGTGTAATTGTGAATCTCGAGCATGCAGACTTACTTCATCATCAATAAGACGGTCGGTCGGTCCAAGCCCGTCTTCCCCCATGTTTTCTTGATCCAACCCCACAGGGTCTTTTTTTCGTTGACTGTGGTAGCCCTGGATGCAAAAGTACCGCGTCGCGAAAGAGATGGGCCCTCCGAGGAACTGTCCGAGGAGTCCGACTCGCGTGTACTCGTACGAGTAACCATTTTCGGCGACTAGCGCACGGCGACAGGCCCGCGCTTAAGTTCCGACAAAGTCGTGATTGTTACGGAGTGGCGAGGACCAGCTCAGGGCATGACCACGTGATCAGAGGCAATGACGGTCGTTCCAAGTCTGGCAGTTGCTATTCAAGCAAGTCACCCACTCGGATGGCTGGCAGAGACTGTGAAAAACGGGAATAGGGAGAATCGAGGGGCAAGAGAGTCAATTCCCGAGGGTTTCGGGTGGAGCCCCCGCCTTTTTCTTTGGGAGGCGCAATTCAGAACCGTTGCGGGGAGCACATTGCGTACGACTGGGTCTCGGTAGACTGGTCGCACTAGTCTGTTGAGTTTATTTCATGGACAAGCAAAGCTATAGGTGGGCACTGATGACTTGCATCACTGCATATTTCCAGGTCCTCGCTGGGCTGGGACTTTATTACGGCAAATGGGAGGACCAAATGTACACAGCCGAAACTATGCCGTGGACGGGCAACAGCAAGGCATCAAGTGGAATTTCTGGCAGAATTGAGAGGACGGCTGCTTGATTTGCCGAGCTAGCACATATTATTGAATTCCAGAATTAACCAGTCTATTGGAATCCTATCATTATGCGAGCCTGTGAAACGCGCCCACTATGAAATAGATCTGGCGCTAAGGAGCCAGTAGCCCCTGAAAGGTGAAGACCCCCATCGCCAGCACAAAAGAAGCTTCTTCCCTCAGGGTCTTCACTTTCCCCACTTCAAAAACACCCCACGGTGATCGGTTATGAGAATACAAGTTTCAATAATACAGACATGCTTTCCGAGAACCATGCTCCTGTCGCACAGGCTGCGCAAGACACCTGGGGCTCAATGCCCAAGCGCAAGCCTGTGCCAGCGACCACTGCAGCCATCGAGTCCGGGGAGGCAGCTTCTGGCCAAACGAGTCTGACGAATGATAAACCCGCAGCGTCATCTACCAAGAAGACATGGCTTCCCGCTGCATGGCTTCCTGCGGGTGGGCTCGGCCTCTGGTTTGCATCGCAGAAGCGATCGCGCAAGTTGCTCATCATCGGCATCGGAGCCGGGATTGTACTGATCGCACTGATCATCGGTCTTGCCGTGGGCTTGACTGTGGGGAACAAGTATGTAATCATTTCGGACTGAACCAAGCTACACTTTGTGACTCTTGCAAATGCAATACTGACTCTACTAGGCATTCAAACCTCCCGCTTCCAACCGCCAACGGGGGCCCTTATGAGGGTGACCTGACTTACTACAACCCAGCCCTCGGATCCTGTGGCTACACAAACACGGACTCCGATATGATCTGCGCAGTATCACATATTCTGTATGATGCCGCCTCAACGGGGTCCAATCCCAACGCAAATCCGCTTTGCGGACTGAAAATCAGACTTCGCCGCAACGGGGAGAGCGTGGACGTCAAGATTGTCGACCGTTGTGTTGGCTGTGCAGTGACTGACCTGGATGTCACCGAAGCGGTCTTCAAGAAGGTAGCCGATTTGGACCAGGGACGCGTTTCTGTCGAGTGGTCCTGGCTGGAGACCCCGCCTGTTTCCATCTCATGATTGAGTTTCAGGTCTTTGTTTCATGATTTAGGGTCATCTAGGCCCTTGATTGTGTGGTGCTCATCTGGTTTCGTTCAGAAAGGGGCCCCCCGCGACATCAACCATACCCATTGCTAGCATTGGCCTCTTCGTTTGCGCAACGCCGGGCTAGCGATTATTAGGGACATTCAAGGGCCGTTGAGGCCAGACAAATCAGTCATTTTGAGGACAAGCGAATCGCATAATATCATCAATTGATAGGAAGAGAACTTTCAATCTGGGAATTCATGGCGCTATCTCTCATCTCTGATGATATCGCCCGCACATCAATACGATAACAGCGGTCCCCAGAATTTGGTCCCTTCGAGCCTGCCTGCACCTCCTTTGAGCCTATGAGACCGGATTCTTTTCGTGCTGGTTGATTGTGCTAGCAAGACTTCATGGTCCTCGCTACGTGTTGGCCTTCTTGTCTGTTCGTGAGAAACACTACATCATGCAGTGGGGAGGCACACAAAAGCTACAGGCCATGTGCTCCTTGGCACTAAATAAACCCTCTCCTCATGAACGCAGGGCCACCAGGATGGACCTGGACCCCAGGTGACACTGTCAAATAAGAATTCATTCCTGCTGTGTAGTGATACATGTCAAGGTCCTTGTCAAGCCAAACTAGGCAAATACAATCAGATGATATACGCCGTATGTGGAATTGGGTATTTTCTACAGGAAGAGCTCCCAAAGCAGTGGAACTGTCATTATATCATGTGAACATCTCACAGTATCGTAAATTGAACGTTACTATCAAATAGACTAGCTGTCCATCTCAGCGTACCCGTCTTATACATTTATATTGATCTCGCACTTCTGGAGACGAGTACCTCAACTCATCTGCGATCAGTAGTCTCCTCCTCAGCATGCTCCGCATGGTGAATCTCGTTCTTGTGCAGAGTGTTCTCAACATCCGCACGACGCTGCTCCTCGGTGATAGAACCGAAGATCAGGTCCATCTCTTCAAGGGTCCGGCCCTTGGTTTCCTTCACGAAGAAAGTGACAAAGATTCCATTGGCAGTGCAGAAGACACCAAACATGATGAAAGTCTTCCAGCCAATGCTGTGGATAGCACGAGGAGTGATCTCGGTAATGACAAAGTTAAACAACCATTGTGTGGCAGCTCCGAGACCAACACCGTATGAGCGCAGACGAGTAGGGAAGATCTAGAGAGCGAGTTGGTATTAGCACAAATCCTAATGAGAAACATTCAAGCAGAGAGAAAAGAGTACATACCTCGCCAAGATACACCCAGGGGGTAGGTCCCCATGAGAAGGAGTAACCAATAACGTAGAGATAGATCATGGTCACCATGGCAATGGACGCCTGGGACACAACGGTCGAGCTCGTGTCAGGAGGGTGAGTAGCCAGGACCGCGCCGATGATAAACATCATTACGGCCATCCATGCAGCACCACCCATCAAACTGCGCTTTCGGCCCCAGCGGTCAATTCCAATAATTAGGAAGATACCGGTAGCAACGACCTTGACAGTTCCGTAAATACCAGTGGCGAAAAGCGAAGAGTTGGAGCTGCTAATACCGATCGACTGGAAGATCTGAGGGGCATAGTATCCAATTGAGTTGGTTCCGGAGAATTGCTGGCAGAACATCATGCAGAAGGCCACGAAGAATCGATAGCGGTTGCTCTTCTGCAGGCACTCCTTCCAGGTGACACCCTCGGTCAGAGCGGTCTCCTCCTCAATGGCAGCGGATATCTCAGCAATTTCCTTCTGGACCTCCTCGCTGTCTTCAGACGCGTTTCGGATGTAAGCCAACGAGTGAATGGCCTCCTCCCGGCGGCCCTGCTTCATGAGCCAGCGGGAAGACTCCTTGAGGAAGAACAGGCCGATGAACATCAGACCACCGGGCACAAGCTGGATAGCAACGGGAACACGCCATTGCTTCGTGTTGGCAGGCATGTGAAGGGAGACTCCGTAGCCCAGCCAGTAGGCAAAGGTACTTCCAATGACGAGGAACTCCTGGAAGAGACCGGCGATACGGCCACGGTATTGAGCGGGCGCGTTCTCGCTGACGAAGACGGGAGTGATACTAGACATGCCACCGATACCGAGACCAGCAATGACACGTCCGCCGTAAATCATTCCAATCTGGTGGTGCGCACCGACCTGGACCGCTGCTCCGACCATGAAGATCAGAGTGAAGATCATGAGCGAGTATCTACGACCGAGACGATCATTGATAAAAGCGGCGGCAATGGCACCGAAGAAACAGCCAGCAGTCAAGAGACTGACAACATTTGAAGACACTTCAGAGTTCTTGTCCGAGGCGAAGCCGCTTTTGCCAAGAGGGAGGCCGAAATCAGTCTTGAAGCTGTTCAGGGCCAAGACGGAGCCCATCACACCGGTATCATATCCTACAGGAAGAGCATGTTAGAATTGTGCTTTGTTGATTGCCAGCTACCATGGTGACTATTGGGACTTACCAAACAACAAGGAGCCCATATAGGCGACCGAGGTCAGGATATACACCCGGGAATTCTTGAGAAAGCCTGCCTCTCCCATGATGGCGGAGTGATCACTCTTGAGGGTGGCGTTATGAAATGGAGAGAAGACTCGGAATATAAAAAGAAGCACGCCAGGTGCAAAGATCCAAGTTCTCTAGAGAAAGAAAAAACCGGGGAAAGAAAAGACACTCTCCACCCCCGGGATGGATCCTCTTTTATATTCGGGGGACGAGACTAGCAAGTTCTCTGCAACGGTATCAGCGAACCTGAATCAAGATCAACGAGTAAGCCGAACCCGTTGTTCGGCTACTGCTAAGCACCGTCCAAGATCTGGTGGCACCCTTTGCCGTGCCACTACCCTTGCAAGGGATCCTGGTCGTCTTTTTCGTCTTTTTCGTCTTCCCCCCCAGTCCACCAGAGACACTGACTGGTCCGGGGGCAGTGGGGCATTGGGGCATATGGAGACTCCATTTCGACTGGGGTCGAATGGGGGAAATTTGGCGGGGGACTCCGCGGGGATCGCAGTGGGGATTGGTTCGGTCGCTTTCTTCCCAAATTCTTCCGTCCATTCAAGCTCGGCCCTGCTTTTCTCGCGCATGGCATGAGGTCCAGCCAAGACTAACTTTAATTGGCTTGCTTCGGTAGCGACTGCACGGGTCGGCCATCTTTGTTCGGCTGCCAAGAGTGCAGGCGGAGGGCCGAGAGATCCCTGTGATTGATGGGAAATTTGGGAGCTCGAATCCGTCCGTCGGCCCACTTGCTGGGCCCTTTCTGACATAAAGTCTGGAGGACGCGCATTATCAATTGTCCTGGGATGTTCCGTTATCATTCCGAGCAAAATGACACCGTCTATTTGATCGGCTTGTTCTCGATGGAATTATGGGCAATCAAGCTGCTCTTCGATGTCAATTGAGCCATCAACAGCATCCAATGTTACCTCGACCTCATCAATCACCGTCGGCAAACGAGATTGATTGCCGATTCAACCCACAGCTAGCCGGCTCCTGGTTGTTTTCTCATGTCAAACACACTCCGCTAGGTTCCCAACGATCAATTCCTCGGCATGGCCTCGTGGCAAGTTGATTGGAGCCGCGCCCTGTGGTTTATATGATATCTGTACGATCATTGGCGCCCTCATTGAAGCTCTGACCTAATGATGCACGTCGGAGTCGGCGTGGGAGCGGGAGCGGGAGCGGGAGCTTCGACATCATTGAATCAAATATCGGCAGTTACAGAGTATAGCATCTTTTGCTCTCTCGGTCTATGATATTACCTAGTGGCGCACAGGCATTGCCATCCGGCTACTGACTCTGTTGCCGACGACGCAACTTCGCGAAAGAATCAAACACTACTGGCCGGAGGACTAGCGCATTGGCCGCTTTGCAGGCGGCGAATAGGGGTAAGTGAACGAGCGACCCGAGATATTGCTTGATTAATCTTTCAAAAATCCAAAGACATCTCAATAAAATGGCAGAGCAGCGAGACAGGAACTATGATCATTATTCAGTGCAGTGCCTAAACGAGCTAGTTATTATCAGACGTTGGACGGATGAGTCCGTTTATCGGAGGACTTTGACCCCAGGAATGGTAGAGAAACCGTAACCTCATTCAATTCGAAAGCGACCCTAGCCTAGACGCAAATAGCCACAGACTCTCTAGATTCTCCCAAATGAGGCGTCACATTATGTTGATACCCAGGAGAAACCTCGTCGTTGATGCTCAGATCACCTTCAGAAACATCGATGATCCTCTTTCCGTCAAGGGAAGAGTCCCTCCTTCTTATCCTGGAACGTGTACTGCTGACTGCATATCGAGAGCTTAGCTCGTGCGTATCCCTGCTGCTTATTTTTCGGCTATTCGTAGGTCGTAAAAGAGATCGGATGCATGGAATAGATGCCGTTATTATAACCAAGTATGTTTCAATGTAAATCCAGCGGTCGTAATGGATTGTTGCTGTTGTTGGTTCGCTATCTGAGATGGCAAGGACATGAGTCTGGACGGTTTTGATGATGGAGGCAATCATGGCACTAGTTGAAAACATCTTGAGCGTGTGCAGACACATTTCGTTTCTTGGGGGGCTTACAAAATTCCCAATCCTAGTAACGCAACTAGCCCTACTTTCACTCGAACCTTCACGTTCAGATTCCAAAATATACATGTCGAGAACACGGCAAGATATAAATCAGTTGCAGAGTTGAAAGCTAGTCGCGTAGTAGGCAGTCAGTTCTCCGTGAAGTAGTGAACGAAAGATTATACCTTACCTCCCTGAAAATACCCGTAGTAGGCTTGAACATGTAGATCCCAACATTTCACCTTTCCAGAATGGTCCCAGATAGCAGACGCATGTCCTGGACATTGGACAAATAATATAATGATAAAGATGGAGTTAACAATAACTTGCAGGGCGACGAGGATCCACAAAACAATTCTTTGGGATCGCTTCTGCACGAGAAGGCCAATGATGAAGATGATGAACGATATTCGGCCCAAAGCTCCGCCCGCGAGACCAAAGGTCTGAGCCAAATAATCGTACATAATGATTTTGGAGACATTTAGGGTGTTGACGCTTGATAACTCTTGACCAAAGCCCAGCTTTATGGCCAGGGTAATCATGATCGATCCGATCACTGCTAAGCACTGGAATCCAACACAAGGTTAGCCCTAGGTAGTATTGGAAGGAGTGATTGACTTTCCTGTCCGTTTGGTATACAGATTATAAGAATGGAGATAAACTGACCAAGGCAGAGATCATGAGAATATCATCAGCGCCAAATTTCCCGATGCGCAGTTTGGCGATGATCCTCAAGACTATGACGAGGATAGCAACAGCTGTGAGGCCCCATACGTCCCTTAGAAGCTGGGGCCCGGCATTATAGACAGAGTTTCTGGGTGAGAGAGACATGGCGAATATCGATTTTCTGGCTGGCTCTTAACCAAGCCACGAGCGCCTGGCGAAACGATGCCGCTGTCGTGTCGACGTGCGACAACAACCCATCAACTTGGTGGTTATAAATTCATGCCCATATCAAATTGTTATCTTCAAGCGGTAAAATGGATTGTACAGTATCGGAGATCTCCATTGTGAACTTATAGGGAATCTAGAGGTGGCAAGACTAAGTTCGTTGGGGGGAAATAGGGTTTGTCGGAGTTCTCCGCGTTTCGTGTTCCCTGGGACACTTGACACAGATAAGTAGCTCCATGCGGGTAACTCCAATATCTCGAGCGGCTCACTGAAGCTTGACCTCGTTCGCCAGTTGCTGTGATAATGGCTATAATCTTCATTGGCTTTCGCATGAAGGAAATCGAATTTCAGGAACGCCTGGTGCGGCTGAGGCGGTTCTGAAGATAGATATGGATCTCAAAGCTGTGACCAGAGGTTCGAACCAGGGAAAATTCGTGTGGGGGCGAGCTCCCCTATCTCCTTGAAAATTGTCTTCGTATCTGTTCATTGCGAATTTGTCGATAGGACGTGCCCGACGAAAAGTAGCCAGACTAGCTGGAATCGACTAATGGGGTCAACGGGGGATGGGGTCCAAGTTGAGAGGCCTGCTAACCAACATGGAGGTAGGCGCTTTGACGGTGTGCTTCTTATTCTTCGCAAAGCAAGTTCACGAGGACGAGAATTTTAGGCTTTTCGACTTTCTTGGCTCGAGTCTCACTGAATAAAGGAACTGATGGCGATCGTGATCCGTCACAGCCATGCATCATGGCTTGAAACAGGTAAGGCAGTGCGAGCAGTTCCCTAAAGTTCCCGATTGTTTTACTTCATGTTGAAAAGCCAGTACAGAGTGTTCAGATAGCTTTAATAGGTCAATGAGCTCAGAACCGACTTTGAAACTCGATTCCCACAGCTCGCCTTGGTCTCTTGGAGAAAATGAGGAGATTATCTAAAATCCCGTCAATAGATGGTTCGAATATCTGCAGGATGAAGCCCAAGAGGCTGCACATTCTGCCAAGCTTGAATTTTCGACGCAATGATTACTGACAAAAGCGAAGAATAGAATAAACTCCTCCTCCATATGCCTGTGATTCAATTTTTTGGATATGATTTTATTTTGCGGACGTGGAAGCTCAGCAAACTGTTAGAACTCACTTGGAATATCGCTCGCTTGAAGGAGATCCGGTTTGGGTGTGCTCGAGATTCTAGACCGTGATCTTGAATGACTAAAGATCTATGCCGTCTCCATGTTCATGCAGAAAACATACATTAGTATGTACCTGAAGATAGAGGAGACACTACTGGACCCATTCTTGTTTGATCCATTGCCGAGACGTGGTTTCAGAACATCATCGGTATGTATCGCATGCTAACGCTATTATTTTACAAGGTCCTCGTGGCCTAGATTGTTTCTGTCTTCAATGATTTTCCGAGTCATCAACTCATAGACTTTTAGGGCTCTCCTCAAGTAGGCGTGCAAGAAAAGCCATTACTCACACAGTCGACCCCGTCTATCGATCTGCCTCTCATGGATTCTTTGCCCCAGCAATATTGAACAGGACTCTATACCGACCCATCTTCCAATTATGCTCTGTCCAGAAACATAACACTTGCCATTCAATGGGTACTTACTTGAGCAGACCGAAATCTTCTACAAACACTTTATTCTGAGACGAGCCTGGCACAGTATTTTAACAGTGCCGCTAGACCCTTGCTGGGTGATTCAATGGTCGCATCGCCTGGGTTTCTTCAACGAGACGGATTTGAATGGATCAAAATCCGGGCGAGTCTCGCGCTCCAACTGTAATTTAAAAGGAAGAAAGTCCATGCGGAAGGTGTTACCAAACAATTGCGAATTTGGGTGGCGATCAATTACCCAAAAGAAGCATTTCCGTTTCCGGGGGTGACAAGCGCGGCTATGCGACCCGTTTCAGGCCGTCGAAGCTTCGAATCAGACCCTGGTGCTTTACATCATGAATAGAGCCTCTTCCTATACCTCTGGGGCGATTTCACATCCCTGGAGAAGAAGTGGGACTACAATCTGGGGGAATTTATAAGACAGCAACAATACCCCACAGAATCTGTTCAGATTGTTTCTATCTATACATTCTACGTTTCAATCTCGAAACCCCATTCCACAATGAAGTCTTCTTTTATTTTAGGAGCGTTTAGCTTCCTCGCTGCTAGTACCGGTTGTACCGCAGATATGACCGTACCTGAAAGCCTGTTGCTCAAGTCTATCGCTGAATCGGTCTCTCTGCCAATGTACACTTGGTCGGCCAATGGCACCCATACCGCCAAGGGATACACCAGCAAGGCGGGCGATGAAACCAGCGTCGAGGGTATGAAGGAGGACTGCGACAACATCAACCTGAACAAGAAGGTTGCTGTCGACTTTCGCAGCGACGTTTTCGGTCCTGGCTTGATCGGATACTTCTACAAGTGCGAGAAGATCCGTGATGATACCAACCTCTACTGGTTCACCATCAGTTCCGGCAATCCCTCCCTGATCGACAAGTTGTGTGATCCCAACACGAATTATCCCATCGTCTATGACTCGCAGCACAATGCCTGGTGGATTGATGAGCCGTTTAACTGCACTCAGCGTACCTCCCCATCCACGCATTCTCGGTAAGGGTGGATCGATCGGAGGTAAGTGCAGCTAAACCATAGCTATTTCTCGGATGTAGGGACTGACCTAAATGACAGATTTGACCATGAAAAGACGGCCATGACTGAGTCAGCACGCAAAGTGCGAATAATCGCAGGAATCATATTAGGGGTCGCAGTGAGCTCTGAAATGAGCCTGGTCTCTCTCATTCTATCAACCTCTCCTATACATATCACCTTTACGGCGAATATAAATCTGTATCTCGGACCAAGTTTTGGAGAGGTACATCCAAAAAGAGCCATTTCTTATGATTGACTCTATCCAATGCCTTGATTCATCGATGTTCTGCCCACGTTGATGGGGGGTTTCTAGGTATCCTGGGCCTCTTCCAGCAAGCAGTGGAAAGTATCGCTTCAATGGCATACGCCTGATATGGTTCATGTCACCTGAAATTCTCCAGAACAGAAAATCTCGTAGTATATTGTCTGCTCTGAGGGTGAGCTCTTTTGGTGTATTTTGATCTACTCAATCAGAGGTCTCATCTCCCCGTTGTCTTGAGCTTCTTCCACCAAAAGACTCTGTCCACCTCTTCGGCGGACTTTCCCAAAGGTTCTAGCCAGTGGAAATAGCAGCTTGTTCCACAAAGTACTCTGTGACCATTCTTGTCCCTGGTCATTCACGCTCTCGTCATTTATCGCCTTCCAGTGACGCCGCATGCTTTTCGCAAGACATAATATCCCCCATCCGGCCGCGATTGCTGCAAAAGTCCCCAGTATTGAAACCACAACAGAGATGACTGTCAAAGAGCTAGCATTGCAGCCAAATGGCAGAGTTCGAAGCTCCCATCTCTCCTCGGAACCAAGTGGACAGATGTGGGATGAGCCTATGGGTGCCAGGATTGGTAGGCGTGCGGAGTTGGGCACGCAGGTAGAAGACTAATAGGGCAATTAGCAGGCTATAATGTGAAGGTTTACTGGTTTGTGGCATGGCTTGTCGACAAAGGTATCGATGAATCTTAGACAAGAAAAGTGAATCATAAAACGCCCTCATTAGGAAGGGATTTATAGGACTGATCAAGCAAAACATGTTGATCAAAGGGAAGCCCTGGAATGGTAGCTTGTGTACAGAAAATATTGTCACGGTCGAATTGAAGAAATAGTATGAAATAGGTGTATTCTCCTCAAATCTTTTCGCAGATCGAAGACATAGTAAAAAGTGAGACCTACTATTGGGCACCAGCTGCAGCCAACGTCACCCACTAAACATGACGCGCACGATTGGCGACGCCAGCAGAGGTGAAAGAGTGGATCATCAGATACTTCTTGAGAAATATTGCCGTAGCGGCCAATAGTCTCATCAAGAGCCATTATAGGGATAAAAAGGCTGCTTAGCCAGTTCTGTACCAAAGTGCCACTGAATCAAGTCCAGCGATGCGTATCTCAAGAGTAGAATAAATACGGACGTTTTTCATATGAATTAGACATGGACGAAAGCAGAAAGGCTTTGAGATGCTGCGACCAGGTCTCTATAGGAGAAGTGAGCATTCACATCTCGATGGACGGACGTTGGGAGGTTGGAATGTGCGGGGCAATGCATACACCCCGGGACGCTCAAGGCCGGCTGTGCCTGGAACAATCGGGTCAACGTGCTTTACAGTCAATTTAACTCCCGAGGGCTGAGATGTCTTTGTTCCCATGTTCCATCAGAATATTTTGTTGTAGATAATGTTTCAAGCGCAGTCTTTTGGCATTTGTGGACTGCCTGAGCACTACTGCGTCTATCATACGACGGTGTGTCAGTGGAACAGCATCAAGATCTTCATGACTAAAAATCATCGAAATCTGGAATTGGCTGATGGTACAGTTGTATTAAAAGCTAGCAAAGCTGTATGCATGACACCATGACGTGAGATATAATGAAATAGACATGAGCGTAAATGTGCCACGCATGTCGGCCACAGGCAAGAGATCCAGCGACAGTCTCCCACAAAAAAACTCCCAGAGGATCTACACGGAGACAAGAATCGCTTTCAACATCTCATTTTTCACATTGCATATTCGAGGAAGGGACGGCGGAAAAAAGAAAATCGCTTAGACGACGCGCTTGACCTAGAGATGCAACCATAAGTTAGATGACTGTTTTTGTAGTATACTCAATCATGTACGGATTATTGAACTCACCTCGAAGAAGCGCTTCAGCCACCAAACCTGGAAAATACCCTCTCCGATCACTACAGCCAGTTGGAAGATACTCCACCACTTCACTCGGCCGTTCGTGCTCTCTGCGGTATTTCGGTGCACCCGCTCACGAACCACAATGTATGATTGCTCATCCTTGACCTGCGTAAGAGCGTCGGATAGCTTGCGAACTATATGACCTCGGGTGGTTAGCCTCAATTTCTCCCCTCCTTTGCAGGGAGCGGATCCATGTCCACCAAGTCTCTTACCTTCGGCCTCCAGAGGGTCCGCGGACATCTCCGACTCTGGCACGTAGACAATTCCGTGGACATTGAAAGACACCTCCTTTGAGTTGGAGGTCCAGCCCTCGTTGCTGAAGCAGTAGTTGTATTTGCCGTCGGCGTGTGCGGTGAAGGAGTAGTCTTCGTTGGAGATAGCCTGCTTATAATATTGGCGGTTGCGGAGAGGATCCTCGACCTGGAGATTGCGAACATTATTAGCTTCTTACATCCTGGACAATGACAAGAGCCTCCCTGTCCGACGGCGCTCATGCTACTCGCTCCCTGAGCAGAGCTGAAAGCCGCCAAACCAGGGGAACCATCAACACCGCACGCAGACCTACCCAGAAATCAATCTCGAGGTTTCCGCTGCCGCCAAATTCCCGGTCGCCAACCTGGAAGGTGACTGTCATCAGGTCATCACGGTGCAGGGTCTCGTGGAAACACTCTCGTGAGTGAGCCTTAAGCTGAATGGTGTGTGCGGTCGCGGCGGAGACCCATCCCAGCGCGGTGACCAGGAGTGTGGTGGCGGAGAATCGCATGTTGAAAGAGCGGCAGCCAAATTCTGCTCGAAGGCTTTGGTCGAACTGGATCGAATTGGCGGGCAGAGAGGGACGGAAGTGATGGCGATGATGCAGTTGGACTCGCAGCGGATCCGACAACGCGCAAGGTGTCAATTGGAGACGCTCGGACCACTTTGGTAAACAGGCCCGCTCGCCGCGAGTCCAAGGTTCGAGGAGTAGGTTAATCAACCTCTTACATTTCTGCTTTATTCATAATTATAAGATTGAATTGGCTTATGTATAAGTGCTAACAATAATTTACTGCTCTATTCAGTCACGTACATAATGCCACCAAGAAAAAGATTTACCTCCCACGCTCATCACCCAATCAGGATGCTGTAACTATGTAATGCCTACTCGTTCGAGTCCTAGTAGAAGCTGAACAAGCTCGACTGCAGACTCCCCATGATCTAATTGAGTACCTAGGACTGACTTTAATGTAGAATGCTAGAATAGGCGTAATCGAAAATCACTACAAAGACTGAGCTTTGGATCTCAGCCAGGCTGAAGCGTGACCGTTCTAGTTGCACTCCCAGACGGTACTGTTTGGTTCCAGATACACATACAAATTTAGAAGTATTCCATTCTTGGCCGTCATTATTCTAGTATGATATTTCCATTTCGGAGTCATGAGAATCGCCCATCCCCATATTCAGTTTAGGGCGAGCTTGAGCCGTGTATAGCATCTGTAAGTGGCTCAAACGACGTAACATAACACGGTTATTATGTGGGCATCCTAGGACGTCCTTAGCATACAAAAATGCTTTTATATCATTCTTCCAGGATTTTTACTTTTAACGTCTCTACGAATTATATGTTGACCAAGTATAAATAACATCTAACGTGGAAGCAGCCTGAGGGTGAAGTGCACGGCGATTTGTAGTCTCGTGCTCTCATACCAAGTTCGCATCCCCCAGTCTTACTTTTCAGGCCAGCCTTGAAAAACTTGTTTGGGCTGGAGCCGGAGAGTTACTCTCGTCAAAGGCAAATGAATGATTTGCACAGACGCCCGGAGCCTCCGAGGGCCAGTGGAACCAAGGGCAGTCTGGCCCCGACGGTTCCACATACTTCGGGAAAGAGGAGAACCGAGCAATCTACCTACACGACCAGAAAGCCGAGGCAGAATCATTCATTAGCGATTAAAGTCCCATAATTGGACTGAAACAACTAAAATAGTCTTCCAGTCCATGCAGGTGCTGATCGATCAAGTCAGGTGAGGCACCTGGCTCCTCAACTCCGTTCTTTTTACCTGCGTCCGCGCTAGGGCCACATGTTGTACATCCACCATGACATCTAGAGTCTCCAGCTCCGCGGATAGCGCGGCAACGCATAAAGCTCAGAGCGTATCTGGCCATTATAGTACGCACTAGTCAGCTTTGGCAATCTTCTCAATTTTCCATGACTAAATGTTGACCAGTCAGGAGACTAGATCATGTTCTACCAGGTCAATGGACAGGAAGGGCATCCGGGCGGTCACGCTTGGATCCATGCAAAAGCCCCTTCCAAGAACATCTTGCACGATCGATTTTCGACTAGATCCTAACCCCGCAAGTCTAATAGAACTATCTTCAGGGCCCTTGGAGGGGCTCAGCCAGGCTTGCAATGCTAGGCTGCAAGAAAAGGATCGGTGTGAAAGCCGAATGGGACTCTGTTACTAAAAAGCGATAGTCCGAGTCTGGATCATACTAGTCGAATCCTTGACAAAAAGACTGATTGAAGATTTATGGGGATTTATTCACCCTGATGAGTATAAAAGATCATGGAAATCATGCCGAGGAGAACTGAAAGTATTCCAGAAGATAATTCGTCCTTACTTTCCTTGTTGATCGTCTTATCTGCCTGCAGCTGGACTCATCAGATCGAGTATAGATAACGAAATCGACTTTTCGTTTCAGGAATGTCTTCTATTTCATCCCAAAAATACAAACTTCTCACCTCCTTTGCCGAAAAAATCATCCATCTATCGAACAAACGGGGAAATCTCCAACAGAGCTCTTCTGCTTGGGACCTAAATAAGCCAAGGCAGCCGGATATGGAAGTACCAACCGCCTTCGGCATCCACGATGGTCTTCTAAACCTCATGGAAAGAGTCTACTTTCTACACATCCTCGCCCGAGCAACCGGCAGCCTGGATTCACAGTCAATCCCTCAAGCCCTCGCCATATGGCACGATCTAGAACACTTGAATCCCCCCGAAACCCTCGATTCGCCCAACTATCTTTCCCTACATGCATCCGGTGTATCGGCTTTCTTTGTGTGGCTCTACCTCGTGGTGCACCCGGAGGATATGGAAGATGAAAAGGTTCAAAATACTGTATATACAGGCCTTGTTAACGCAGAGAATATCTCTGATGTTGAAGTTTTTCCATTCTTGCTCATTCCTGCGTTTTGCCTTGGCATAGCAAGTATTCGACAGGAGGATAGAGATATCGTGAAGGGTATATTTGACAAGGCTGAGCGGTTGGGGATATCGAGGAGGTTTAGAGAGACGGTGACTGAATGCTGGAAGAGATGGGATAGGGGTGTGAAAAGGAGCTGGGACTGGGGAGTTTGACTGGTTACTACGATCATACATGCCGATGGTGTTAATCGCGCAGCTCCAAAACAGCTAAGCTGTATAATGAAAAAGAATGCTGTAGACTCATGCCAGCTGAAGCATTAAGAAGATGAATGGTCATATGTATAGATAATATCCAACACCTCCCGCGGAAGGAAGCGAGCGACTAACAGCTTCACTATTAATATGTAAAACACGAAGTATAAAAGCTTCCAAAAGAATATACAGGGTAATTTAGGAAGAGCACGAAGCAAAAAAAGAGATTATGGATTGCCATAGAAGACGGGGACAACCAAGATACAGATAAATCAAAACGGGGTGGTATCAAATCCGAAAGGACGACAAAAATCACAGATCCGGTCTCGGAATGAAGGAAATATGTATGTGGGGGTGGATTGTCAGGATGCGGAACGAGTGGCAGGGTTCAGTGATTGGCTGGTTACAAAGAGTGAGAGAAGAGAGTCAGAGAGGGGAGTGGTGTAGTAATGGATGGTGGGACATGTGTGGTCTGGTACTCCGTCGAGGTAGGTACCAAGTGTGAGTAAATGAAGGCGCTGTAAGTAAAAAGCCACGCGAGTAAAAAGCAAAAGCAAAAGACAAATAGGAAGAAAAGAACAATAAGGCATAAAATCACAACGAAATGGAGATATTCTTGACCATTCAGATATCCGCGATCCACAAAAGGAAACGTTTTTGGTCCCTCGAAAACGAGTCTCGCGGAGACCTGTGGGACATGAAATTTCAGACTGTCTAATGAAATAGAACGAAACTATCAGGGCGGACACGATCACTCTTCGGCGATGGCTTCAGCGGAGATCGATGGGCCGAAGGGTCCCTCATCTGAGTCCTTAGGCGAAGCCGAGACCATGCCGTCGACGGTAGACTCAATATCATCCGAGGCAAAGTTTCCCTCTTCGTAGTTTGCCGGCTCGGCGTCGTGATCATAGCTCGAGCGGCGGAGGAGAGGAGGGGTCTTTGGGGGCTCGGCGATGGGGACTTCCTGACGAACTGATCCACGGCGAGGAGTCGAGTTGAAGCCTCTCAGCGGACGAGTCTCTGCGTAAGCGCGTCCAGGGCCACTCGGGTTGGGAGCGTTCTGGCGGGCATGGGAGCTCGGAGGCGTCAGAAGACCCGACAGGAATGCGCCGGCGTTGCTGGACTTGGACGGGGTCTGCTCGGATGGAGTTGAACCTCCGTTGGCACTCTCACGGGCCTTGCGCCAACTACCCCAGGCTGCAGCTGCAGCGAGGGGGAGTGAACGGGGCGAGGCAGCGAGCTCGGTGAGGGACTGAAGGGATGGTAGACCCGAGCCGGTCTGCACGCGTTCCCGTTCTTGCTGTTGCATCTGGAGATTGGCTTTTAGGCGAATAGCAGCGTCGCGGACGGCATGCTGGTTGAAGGAAGGCTGGGAGAGAGTTTTGATGATATCCTGGAGATCATCGATGCGAACACCGAGCAGCTCACGGAGCCAATTGATCTCGCTGTCCCTCTCCTTGATCTTGTTGGGGGCATCCTTGTCCATAGACCCAATCTCATGCTCAAGTTCCTCGATACGGGTCTCACGCTGTTGAAGCTGATCCTGCAAGACAAAGATTGACTCACGCAGGGCCTGCGGGGAGATTCTCTCCGGCTCGTGCGATCCCTTGCTAAAGGACATGGAAGGCGAAGTCGAGTGGGTAGGCGCTGTGGGAGTTGGAACGGTAATCGTGGTAGGAGCTGCCTTAGCAGTGTGCGCGGCTTCAGCGGCAGCACGGGCAGCGGACTGGGCAATCTCCAGCTTCTCCTCGAGATGTTGGACGCGTTCCTCGAGGTGCTTAGCCCGATCATCCGCTAGAGCCAAGCGGTCGATCATATGAGCCTCACCGCGCTGGCGATCCTCGGAAGAATTGTGCAAGGCACGGGCGTGGCGCTCGCGAAGATCGTTAAGCACCCGCTCATGAGTCTTACGCTGCTCTTCAAGGGCAACCTCTCGCGCCTCGTTCGCAGTGGCAAGGGCAGTAAGACGTGACTCCTTTGCCTCCTCGAGGAACATTTCATAGCGCTCACGAGAGGTATCAGCGTCAAGACGAACATTATCCAGCTGAGTCTCAAGACGAAGAATCTGAGCCTCGAGCTCAGCACGAACAATGTTGACCTGGCTATTTGAAGCCTCGAGATCTGCCTCCATCGATGTGCGCGTACGCTGAATCTCCATGCGACTGCTCTCACGAGCCTCGTTGAACTCGCGCTCGAAGCGAGCAGCAGTCAACTGAAGATTGTGATTCTCTGCCCGCAGAACGGCAATAGTCTCCTCCATCTTAACATTTTCTTGCTGCGACTGCTCATAGAGGAACTTGATCTTAGCAGCCTCCTTCTCCTGCTTCTCGAAGACGGCAACTTCCTCCTCCAACTTTTCACGAAGCTTGACCTCACGGTTGAACGAGGCCAGCAGCTCATTATACTTGGCAGCTTGTTCCTCGTCTTTACGGCGCCAGGAAGCCTGCTCGCGGGCAACGTCGGCCGTGACGTTCACCATATCAGTCTGTAACCGGTCAAACTTCTCAGTCAAGTTCTGACGAGCAGCCATGCTATCCTCGATACGAGTGCGCAAGGCGTCAACAGTCTCATGCAAGGACGAATTCTCAGCCTTGGTAGTCTCCAACTGACGACGGAAGCTATCAGCTGAAACGCGGTACTCGTCCAAGGTGCCCTCGAGCGCAATATTCTTGGTGGAGAGCTCTGCAATCGTAACCTTGAGAGTCTCACTCTCCTCAGCGAGGGACTCGGAACGGAATTGCATCTTCTCCAGGTGGGGGATCTTCTCTTCCTTGAACTGGAGAAGACGGGCCTCCGCATCCTCCGCAGCCGCGCTGTGACGGGCAGCATCCTCTTCGGCAACCTTCAGCAGTTGCTGAAGCTCACCAACAGAGTCGGTGGCCTCGCGACGCAACCGGTACTCAGTCTCAGCACGCTCATCAGCTAGACGTAACATGCTCTTCAGACCGTCAATCTGGAGCATAAGGCTGTCGGCACCAATCTCGTCAGCCTCCGACAATCGCGGGGTCTGCTGAGCCATGTGGCGGACGAGAGACTCCTCGAGAATCTCACGCATATCACCAACAGGGTCTTGAGCCAACTTTTTGATAGTCAAGGCCTGAAGCTCTGCAATGCTCTCCTTAAGCTGAGCCATCTCGCTGTGGCTCGAGTGTTGAATACCACGGTTGGGCATATCATGCGTAACCAGTGCCTCCATGACGACACTCTTCAACATCTCCAACTTGCGATCGCGCATGTGGTGCGGGGACCGCTCACGTACCGAGCTCTCGTGCTCCTCGCCATCATCTTCATCATCTGCATCGCTATCCTCCATTTCAGCGGAGGTGCTGCGGAAGACCCTCCGGCTGGCAGTACCAGAAGCAATCGTAGCAATGGACTGTTGGATGACCGCCAAAGCACGCTCCATGGGAGTCAAACGATCATCAATGGCAGAGCCAACGATGTCATTGATGCGGCGATCGAAGAAGCGGTTGCGGTTGAAGAACTTCTCATCCTCGCCCGAGGAGATCATGTCATCCCAATCGCTGACATGATCATTCTCCGTGATAAGCTGGCGCACAGGAGATTGAATACGCGAGATAAGACTTTTCTGAGGCGAGAAAGTAGCGTTGCTGGCGGCATCGATATCGGAGCCGAGTCTGGGAATGTTGAGCTTGTAGGTCTTTTGGCCACCACCAGGGCTGGGGCTAGGAGCCTCGCTTCGGGCTTCAGCTGAGCCAAAGCGGTGCTCCTTGGTGGGAGCGGACTCGGATACAAAGTGAGGTGGAAGGGGAGTGTGCTGGCGCTCGATGCCAACGTCAGAGTCATCATTAAGTTGCTCCATAATGGCGTTGAGCTCCTCGTCATCCGGTGACTCCTCAGCGGATTCCTGCCAGCGCGACAGATCATGCCTAGGCTGCGGCGTTTGCTCGGCATAGCTCCTCTCAATTGGTGCAGGCGCTGCCTTGGGTGGGCTGGCAGTAGCAAAGCGAGAAGCCATAAGTCCGCCCTTGGCAGGCTGCTTCTCGACAGGCTTGGGCTCGATCTCCACGATCTTAACAGGCTCGGGCTCAACCGCGCTTTGCTGAGTAAGATTTGAAGTAGAGACACTCGGTGGGACGAATGAAGAAACAGCGGGCTTGAACTCGAAAGGCTGTGCGGTGGGCGACAACATGGTGCTCTTTATGGAGCTCTGAGAATCCTGAAGACCATGTTTGACAGGCTTCTGCTCCTTGGCTGGAGCGGTTTCCTGACCAGTCTGTTCAGACTCAGCCTCAGCCTCAGCCTCAGCGACAGGCTCTTCCTTGACATCCTCGGTTTGTTCAGGGCGAGCGTCTGATCCAGCACGGGACCGGGCTTCGTCGCCTTCGTTCTTAACGTCAAACAAGGTCCAAGTAGTAGCCTCGCTCATCGGAGTACCCCGACGCTCGGCATGCTTGTCATCTACGGGCAAAGCATTCTCCTTACCCTCAGCAGGGTTGTGAAGAGAGCTTGAGGCCTGAGCTTGAGCGTTACCAGCGTCGCCCAAGGGCTGCGTGGAAATGCTATATCGAGCCTCACCCTGAGCATGGCCAATAGCACGACGAGCGCGCTTGTGACGGTCAGTAGGGACGGGTCGACCTTCGGCATCGTCCATGGTCGCCTGCTCATGTTCCTCCCTGGCATATTCAGCCTCATCAGGACGAACGATAGGGATAGCTTTATTTTCCTTGGGGGGCGGCTTAGCAATTTCAGCGAAATCGATATCCCCAAAGATCTTAGTTCGACTACCAGAGGGCTGCTCGGAGCTGGCATTCGAGTTGAGGCTAGCAGAAGGATTGAACACGGGTGCGTCCACGTTGAACGAGGCAGCAGAGAACCTGAATGAGCTGGGCTTCGGCTCGGGCTCGGGCTCGGGAACCGGGTTGCGATGAACAGATCCGTTCATCACGTTAACCGGCGCGAAAGATGGCGCAGGAGCAAAGCCGAATCCGGATTGGGCCATCCCATCCATGCCGCTAAACTGGATGGCGTTGTTACCGAACGCTCCCGGTTGGGGCGCGAATGAAGCGGTGGGATCAAACGGCCTGGCTTCCACATTGAGGGATGAGATAGAGAGCTTAGAGTGATGGCTGGCTTTGGACTCGTGCCAGGGTGCTTGGTTAGGCAAGACACCGCGAGTACGAGGGGTTCCAGTAATACTGGGATTCGTTTCCAGATCCGAGCCCTCGTGAGGATCAGGTTGACCAAAGTGGGGGTTATAAAAGTCGTGAGGTTGCTGGTTGAAGTGATGCGATGGCTGTCGTACGTTGTTCTGAATCTGGTGTTGGCCCTGTTCGTGCATCGCCCAGTGGTTCTGGAGGATGGCGGGGTTGAAGCCCTGGTGATGATCATCGTGATTCTCACTCATGTGATGCTCCATCTGGTCATCCCTACGGTATTCGGAGTGGTTCATTTGGTCGAGTCCGCGCTGGAGAGCGTCGCTCAAATTATGACCATGTCCACGGGGTGTCGGGTGAGCAATCTCAACATTCGATGTGTGGAAGTGGTCCGGGACATTGACGGGAGTCTGGGGAGTAGGGTAGGGCGGTCCGTCGTCTTGACCATCATGTCCATATTGGTTATCCCATACAGCCTTCTCGTTAAATCCATGGAAAGCACCCTGTTCATGAAGCGGAGAGACAGGAGACAGCATGGAGTTGAAGTTGTGAAGGCTGCCAGGAGCCCCCGATCCGCTGGCTTGTCGAAGATTGATCAGGTTCTGGGGGGTCATGGAGCCCTGCGCAGGGGGTGTAGGCTGGAATTGGAATGGGTAACCAGGCATCATGCTTTGCTCGATACCCATGAAAGGAGTTTGCACGCTGAATTGAGAAGCAGGTGACGCCAAAGATCCAAAACCACCACTTGTCGTTCCAGCTGGCTGGCCAAAGTGAGGTGAGAAGGGATGCAACGCACCCAGTGGATTGCTTCCAGCTGAGGCAGTGGGAATCGGCGGCGAGGCCACGAGGCCAGGGAAAGGTGTCTGAGCAGCCGATGCAGGGGAGATCGAAGGTTGAGGCTCGGGGTCGCCAAATGAAACACCGAGAGCCCGCAGCTTCTCCTCCTGTAGCTCTGCAACGTAGGCATCCCACACAGCCTTGTCGGGGAACTGAATGAACGGCCGCTGGCCCTTCGTCTCTTCGTAAACCTCATACGGATCGGGATACAATGGACGGCTCAAACCACCAAGCTCGGTGGTTGCCAAAGGATCAACTTCGTCGCCAATGGTGAATCCACGAACATCCCATCCTTCCTGCTCCCACTTTTTCAAGCGTTCCTCCACTTCTTCACGTCTCAACAGACGATAACCAGACTGTTCGGTACCACGCGGATCATCGATCGGCAGATCGATTATACATGCTTTCCGGCCCAACAGCACCTTCTTTTTTCGCCGCACAACCGGCGTAGATGATGTGTTAATATCAGAGGCCTGCCTCTTCAGGGCATCCGTTTGTGACGAGTCCTCTGTGCTTCCATTATTCGTGTTATCATCCGCGGTACTGGCTGGTGGTGGCGGCAACGGCTTTTCCACGGGGGACACAGCCTCGGCAGGTGGTTGGGTTTCTTGAGAATCGGCCATTATGTCGTTTGATGATTCCTTGTCGTACGCAAAACCCCAAAAATCCTCCTGGCGCAAAGTATCCGCGCGCTTATGCTGACTCTTCTTTCCTTTGGCGCGCGCTACAGCCCTTCGACCAACAAAGTCCGAAAGGGTTGGAGTCTTGAGCAGTTCGCTTTCGCGAGTATCGTCCTCGAGACCGAGCCAATCGTCAGAAAGATCGTCCGCGAGGTGATTCTTCGCAGTGAAGAAAGAGGGAGCCTCGCTTCCGGAATCGTCGCTTAACCAATTGCTTTTCTCCGTCCGTGGTTGTCCCGACAGATACTGATTGATCCAATCTTGAGTGAAATCCCGAATAGTTTTCTCTCCCTGCAGCGGTTGATCCGTGAATCCTTCGGCGACACTTGCTCGTCGGAGCTCCTGGTGATCGGCCGCAATGGATGGAGTAGGCGAGCTCTCACGCGAACCTTGGTCGATGCCGGCAAATTGGCTGAGGGTTAACGATAGTCGCCGAGTGCTGGGCGCAGCATACGGGGACCCCCAGGCCGTGGTGTAATAAACACTGCTATCCGCTCGGCGAGTCTCCGGGGACGAGACTAGAGATTCCTGGGGCCGACGGGAGGCGTGGTGGGCCGAAAGGAATGGCAGTCGCGGGGGCTCGAGAGTGATACTCCGCGGGGAATGCCGCTGGGAGGGCGAACCGGTAGTTGACGGGCTCGACTCTCCAGATGAAGGAGAGGAGAGGAACAAGGACGGGCCCAGATGCGATTCGTCACGTAAAAAGCGCGCGTCTTTGGATTGGAACGGAGAAGACGCCGCACTGGCGGAAGAGACGGCGTGATCTAGATCTGAACATTCATCAACGCGGGGAAGTTAGCGACGAGGATTTCTTGTATTTCCCTTTTGGGACAATTCTGGAATGAGGGGGACGTGTTTCGAAAAGTTCCGATGGAAGGGGTCTCTGTAGTGGAAGGGAGGGGAAATCGCGTGGCGGCGTGGGAGGAGAGAGGACGAGGTCCGCACAATTGTAATTCACACGATGGACTCGAAAAGCAGCGCGCGAGAACAAAAGTAGACGAAGACCATGAAAGAAAATTGGCAAAGCCCAAGTGAATCAAAACACCCACCTTCCGTGTCGACTCCTGCAGCAAGCACTTGCTTGCCGCTCCGCTTATCGTCCAGAATGTTGACGCATGGAAATCCCACGGGAAGAGTAGACCTGGTAGAACGGACTTGTAGGGGATAACGACTCGACTCGACCTAGATATGAATCCTCCGCGGGGACAAAGAAAGGGCGAGAGGGGAAAGTGTGGAAGAAAGTTCACAACGCGACGGAAGTATGGCCGGACAAGGACAGGGGAAAGGGGAGGGTTTGGAAAAAACGTTGGTTATGTCATGTCACGGCCGAACAGTCTTCGAAGGACAATGGAAGTACTCGGTACTTGGACGATGATTGGGCGTCAGGGGTAAAAGGTACCCCCTGAACGAGGGCCTAGCGAGCACCTATCGAGTACCTAGTACGGGGGGAGGGGACCCTCATCGTCGCGTGGACGAATAGGCTCATTGGCGAGGTAATATTCAGTCCATACTCACTCGTCATAGGGCATACAGGTTGTAAATTAATTACCTCTCCTAATGGGGACTAACGGAGGACGTTGCAGTTAGCTTGTCGACTGCACTAACTAGCTTTTTAGTTAGTCCAAGCACTTTTTACCCACCCACCTCCCCAGAGAGGTTAGCCCTTCCTTGACCACCGGACTCTGACGAGGTGCAAAGACACATGTAACTAGCGGGAGGCGCTGAATGGGTCCCGATGGCTGTTTCTCCCCCAACCCTTACCTGTGCAGGTACCCCGAACACTGAAGAGCCCCAACGCTTGGGAGGAGCGGTGACTAAAACCCTCGGCGAGATGGTTCCCCTTGCGGCAGTCCCAGATCGTGCAATAGATCTCGGGTGTTCATAACAACAAAGTCGCGTTCCAGAGGTAAACAAGGGCCGACGCGTAGTTTGCGGAGAAAAAAGCTGGAAATCTGGATGGATTCAATGCAAAATTTGGATGGATTCAGGGGTAGACGAACCGTGGTTCCTCGGTTCCCTCCGCGTCGGTATGAAAATGTGTGTATGGGTCAATACACATTTATTGATGTATCATTGATTATTCACGCACTGCTCAACAGCCCATTCCTGTATTACCAAAACTGTGATGACATAATCTCGATTTCGACCGCCCAGGCCTCCACAAAGAGAATTCGATACCTACACTACTCCGTGCTATGTAGTATGATCGATGGGTAGTGATACATCACTGCAAACAAAAAACAACGGCTACGTGGTCAATTGGTCCAGACGGACATGATTTGTAGATCACTCACCATCTGGCCCCCAGCCAGATCATCGTGCATGAGGTCATCCCCTCGCCCAGTGCCCACTGGCCAGTCATGTCCCCTCCAACCTTTCCCCAGCTGCAAGGACTGTCCCACTGCAGAAGCCACGGCCTACCTTACGTGTTGGAATAACACAAAACTACGCAAAAAAACACCAATTGCATCCGTATCATCTTTCAATTCGGATTCCAGTTCCCAGAAAACTAACAATTCGTCTATGCGCGATTCCCGAAACCCAACGAAAAAGGGTTAATAAAGTGATAGAAATTGTTAAACAACGAAAACGAAGCTTTGGGCTTTCAAAACATGATATAATCTTGGAAAAAAAAAAAGAAAAATCGAAAGTATCTACGAGTCTCTTGAGTTTCCTTCAGTTTTGAGGGAGAAAACGTTCAACAAGCAAAGAAACAACCCCCCAATCAAGCGCACATGAAGTAAATGAACGCTTTATTTGGGGCAGCTGGTGTCGAACTTGATCTTGCGGTCGGCAGTGAACAGACCCCAGTGCTTCTCGTCCATGGCCTTGCCGTTGTCACCAACGCTGGCGGGCTTCCAGGACTCATCGTAAGCCTCGAAGTAGAACAGGTCGACACCCCAGGCGAGCATGCCGCAGACACCGGTCTTCCAGAACTTCTCGGCGTTCTTAGTACCAGCCAAGGCAGCCTCGTAATCAGAGCCACCATCTAAAACGAAAGATCAGTCAAAGGAACGGACAATCAAGAATAGAACTAGTGATTGGGGGTCATCACTCACCAGTAGGCCAGCCAGTCTCGCCGTTGATCACACGGATCTTATCAGCATTGGAACCGGCAACCTTCTGGATGTGGGACATGGCACCGGACATGTCATCAAAGTAGGTCTGGTAGGCCTTGTCGGCGGCGGTTCCTTGCCAGTAGGCAAAGGCGTTGGCCAGAACGTAAGTGACCATAGGGTTGGCATCGGTGTTGGTGGTGAAGAGGTCATCGGCAGTGCCGTCGGCGAACTTGTTCCAGCTGTCAGCGGTACCGACGGTGACCTTGGGGAACTGCTTGGCGACGGCGGAGATGTAGTTGTGCAGCTGAGGGCCGGTCAGATCGCCACGGTAGAGGGTCTCGGAACCGACGGTGATGGCCTCGATGACGTCCTCGTTGCCGGGGACGGCCTTCTTGAGGGCGGCGAAATCCTTTTGGAAAGAGGCATCGTTGGTGCTCATATCGGTCTTGTCCTGAGCGCCGACCCTAAAAAGCAATCAAAACAAAGTGCAATTAGCCTGGGGAACGACGACAACACACCCATGCCGGTGGTAGAGGAGAGGGACAGCGCCGGACTTACCAGATACCCAAGACGACCTTAAAGCCCTTATTCTTAGCAGCCGGGATGATGTTCTGGGGAGTATCGCACTCGGTGCCGGAATAGGTGCGGACGAGGGTGGACAGGCTCTTCAAGTTGTCGAAGTCGGACTCATAGTCACTGGTGGACTTGCAAGTACCGTCGGCATTCTTGTCACCGAGCGAGAAACCCAGAGTACCGCGGGCTGAGACCACAGCCGGAGCAGCGGCCAGAATGATGGGGAGAAGGCCGGAAACACGCATTGTGATGGGCGAGCGAACGCGATGATCGAGAAGGGGGTTGCGGGAGAAAAGAAAAAGCCGGGGAAAGAATGTAGGGGAAGGAGAACGGGGAGAGAGTGACCAGGAAAAGGGATTGGACTTCCTTTATAAAAGAGAAAAAATAAAAGAAGGGAAGGACGTCAGAAGTGGACGTAGCAAGGTAGTTGGTAGAAAGAACGAAGTGAACGCTCCAGAGTTTGGGTTGGATAGACTGGTCGCCTCCTGGACTAATCCTAAAGAAGCTGCCAAACGGGGGGGGGAAGACGCGGGTGGCTCCAGGTGGGTTGATCGGCTCTGCAAAGGGTCCTGGAGAGAGGGTTTGGGCCCTGGCAGGGGACTGCAGGGTGGCCTCTTGGGGACTGGGACGCCTCCAAGGGGCAAGCCCAAGAGGCCAATGACGGTCCCTAGGGACCGTCAGGGGCCACACGAGGAACCAATGAGAGCCCCGACTGAGCCACCCGGAACCCCGGCCTGTGCAACGAGCCCCATCTTTTACCCTTTCGGGACCCGTGGATGTGAAACGACATCTCGCTCAGGGTCTGGACTCCACTTAGCTTGTGGCGTCCTCTTCTTCCAGAACACTACCCCAAAGCCTCCTCGACTTGTTGATGTCTTGGGATTGTTGACTCAATGCTTCTTACGGCTGTCTCTTTTCATTACCAGTTCTCGATATTTCAACTTCAATTCCCTTGTGGCACCCCAGAATCACCGATTGGCCCAGCGCCAAGCCTCGCATCGCCTTCCTAGATCGAGTGAACGAAGAGTCATGATGTCACTGCGCCCCATCGCCGATTGTCCAGATACTCACGTACCTTGGGAAATCCTCGACAATGAGCGGAGCAAGTGGAGTATGACCGGTCAACTCGACCAGATGGAAACAAGACGCTCCTAAGAAAAGCCATTGTCACACTTGCCTTTCAACGGTCTTCTCACGGCTATCCCGATCCGATGCTTCCCTGTGCATCCGCCAGGTGGGCTACGAAGCCACCAGGGGCCAGTTCCTTGAATTTCAATCTGATGGTTCATGGTGGTCTAGACAATTGCTCTAGGTGGATCATATCCGTCGCGGCCGAGAGGGGAGATTCTTCCTGGACCTCTCTCTATATGGCCTGGTTGAAGATCGCACGAGCCTTTACCGTTCGACAAGCCTTGTCGATCATGATGAGAGGATTATTATCTTCCCAGTAGTTGCTAAGGATGTCTGGTCATATTAATCCTCGAGAACTTTATCGGTAAGACAAGGTATCGTAGCTAGTCGTGGTCGGTAGGCTCATCATACAATAGCAAGCGGTTCTGGTTCAGTCGGATATATTCGGGCGGATACTGTCTCTACGCATAGGAGACGGTCACCCCAGAAGTAGATTCAAGGTACAAAGCCCGTGCAATTGAACGGTAACCGGCACGAAAAGTAATTCCACCTTGTGGAGGTGAACCAGACTTAAGCGATTCGGTATGCAGGAATCATTCATCGTAGTCGAATAGCTATATGAAATATTGCGCGAGTGGGACAAGAAATTGGATATCGCTGAACCGCTTATACAGATATCTTAACAACTAAACTGAAGTGTAGTCTACGACTAATTTCATAGAGATACATCGCAGCCACCAATAGGAATGTTCTTGCACCACGAAGTTGCAATATGTCGAGGTATATCAGTTAACGGAACGAGGTATTTCCATTCCGAACTCAAGCAATAATTCTACGAAGACGAAAGGCTACCTAAAGGAGCAAAAATAAATAGCAAGCAAATATGCTCGAGACATACCACTTCATCAAGTTTGAAAACTACATAGCGGAGAATGAATAGACTCTATTATACACGCCAAGAATGGCGTTCCTAATACAATCTCTCAGCCTCTTAACCCAAAACGCCAATCCAAATAAGAATAAAAGAAAAGCAAAAGAAACCAGTTGCATCCATACCTCCATTCAACACCCATTCCCATCCAGTCCATCTCCCTACTCGTGAGCATCACAATCCTCACCACCCCTCCACCAAGTCCAAATTGCCCTACACCAAAAATAAGTCTCAACACTCCCAAACACCCCCAAGATCACCAACAAAATCACTTTCATATTGCGACTGATGCCTAGACCCTCAAAGCTGACCGACGGGGTCTGGGCCTGGACCTCTCCATCCTCATCGGACTCGTGGGTCTTTGCCGATCCGGGCTTTACCGGGCCGTGAGGGGCGGAGGATTTGCTAGAGAGAGAGAGGAATGGTGTCCGTGTTAATAAGGAGGATGCGGTCGGTGGGAGCCTGGCTGGGCTGCGGAGGGGAACCGTGGTACGGAGGAGTGGAGGTTGGGGTTTGAATGGGAGGTGGGTTTTTGGGAAGATATGTGAAAGAGATCGTTTGTGGAGGTGGACGTTTGGTAGGGTGGGTTTCATTGTGGGGAGTTCTTAGGGGGTTAGAGGTTGTAGAAGGAGAGTTGAGGAGTGTGGTTTTCTTGTGCCTACATCTTAGGTTGCAGTCGCTGGGTTTGCATGTGGCTGTGATGCGGGTGGGGGCCATCTGGTCAAGGTGCTGTTTTCTAAAGGTCTTTTTGAACGACCTTTAAAGTGTCTTTCTTCATTCTCCCTTTGTCGAAAAAGAGGAATTTGCAATTTTCTTATATTTTGAGATTGAAGAGGAAACTTGCAAGATTTTAGTCTTGGCTATCAGTTCGTAATCGATCATCTATGCAGCTAGGATCAAAGATAGAGGAGTGGGCGTAACTTAAGCCACTTTCTAGTATCTCCACGATCTCGCAATTCTATCCACCTGCGGTGTAAGCAAAGGTGTGGACAAGTCCACAAATCTCAGATGCTTCTATCCGGCATCCAGTCATCCAAAGGGAAGCCGCTCTAGAGAACAAGACGCCTGTCGCGCTCATAGGTCTCCTTAAGGAGCTTCAATTGGTTCACGTTCATCGTCTGCCGCGGCAGAGCGGCCGGCAGATCGACGATGGCCCGTCGGAGAAGGGCCAAGCCAACGTGCCCGAAAAAGCCCAAGATACGCTCACTCGATGCTCTCAACATAGCATGAAGGAGCGCAACTTGGGTGTCCTGCATGTCCGCAGGCGGGATGGAAAGGATCTTCTGTAATGAATTCCAGAAAATGGTATTCGGGAAAGGATTGCGACGTTGAGTCTTGCCAAAGTTGCGCAGCGTCAAGGCAGAAAAGCCGGCGCCCAGGGCTGTCATGCGGTCCATGTGGGCTTGCTCGCTCACGAAGGGACCGCCAGCTTCCTCACGCCACCATCCGAGTGCACGGCGTCCAGATTCGGTCTTGTCATTACCGGTGGAGCCCCAGAGCGCCGGGCACACCACACGGTACTTGGCGAGCAGGATGTCGCCCATGGGCATGCCCTTGACCATGAAAGTGTCCATAGAGAAGATCTGGGCGGCGACAATACCGATAGGTTCAGCGTGGGCGGGGTTGATGGATGCCTCCGTGATCAAGGCTGAGATTAGGGCCTTGGCCAGCATGTTGAGCCCATAGATCAACATGGCAGGCACCTTGTGCTCAGTCTGAGCAAGCTCTGCCGGAGGGAACGCGATGAATTGGCGAACGTCGACAGAAGGCTCGGTCATTTGGCAGGCTTTTTCAAGCTCTACCCGGATCTGCTGGGTCTAGATTGAAAGTATCAAGTTAGTAATTGACAGTGCTAATCAGAGCGGAAACGAAATCAGGATATTGGAAACGCACCTGTGCCTTATTGACACCCTTCCCGTCGCGCAATTGACCAACGCACTTCTTAATCGACCGGCGCATGTCACCCATCGCCTGCTTCGCTGGAGGATTGTCCTTCACGCTCACCCTCAGCCACTCTCGCATCTCCTTGAGAGTTTTATGCAGCTCCACGAAGCGATCCTGAATGCGCGCCTCCTCAGTTGTGAGACCCGCGGCACCGACCTTGCGCAATTCTTGGGCCTTTGCCTGCTGCTCGGCCTCTAGTTGGGCATTCTTGGCATCTTCGGCTTGCTTGCGCTTGTCCGCCTCAGCCCGTTCACGCTGCTCACGTTCCTGGCGCTCCTTTTCTTCAAGGGCGGCCTTACGTGCCCGTTCTGCATCCTCTGCCGCCTTCTTAGCAGCCTCCTCTTTGGCCTTGCGTTCGGCCTCGGCGCGAGCAGCCTCTTCTTGCTGCCGACGTAACTTTTCTGCCTCCTCACGACGGATCCGCTCGATGCGCTCCTTTTCTTTGCGCGCGGCCTCCTCTTGTCGCAACCGCTCTTCCTCTTCTGCACGGATGTGTTCCCTTAGAGTAGCCTCGGCCTCCTCACGCACTTTGTCGTGGAAAGCGGCAGCCTCATCAAGGGCAGCCGTGTGAGCAGCCTCACGCTCCCGGTCGATCCGATCAAGGTTGTCGTAGAACGCCTTCCGTTCGTATGCTCGCACTTTTTTCAAGTCGGCATTAAAAAGGCTGACGTTTTCCAGATCACGGGCCAGCTCCAGCATCAGCTGTCGTGACGGGCTCTCTGAGCCCGGAAGGACCTTCCTGATCGTCATGGTAGCGGCTGTGTGGGTGTAATCGGGGGAGGTGCGGCAAGAGTGAGAATCGGATGAAAAGTGAAGCGCGTTTGAACAACACGCGAGAGAGATAGGGGGGCGAAGAAAGGCGAAGGCTGAGTGGTCTCCGGTCGGATAAGGTATGTCGTGAGAGCGTGAGAGGTTGCACAAGGTAAAAAAAATGTCGAAAGGGCAAAGAGGGAGAGAAATGAAGGGACGTGAAAATGTCGAAGATGTGAAGCGTTGGCCTTCACAGAGAGATTCAAAAAAAGGAGCGTTTTCGGATTGAATGGAAGCGAAGTACGAGAGACGAGGAAAGGTTGGAGGAAAGATGTCAAGGAGGAAAGATGCTAAGGACGATTGAGGACGTTGCGAATGAGTTCCTGACTACCGAGATTGAAATGCGGTGGTTGGAAGAGTCATGATTTGAATGGCAGGTGACTTGATCACTTGGATTGGACCCCAAGCGGCTATTTATGTCAAGTATCGACGCTGAGGGGAAAGCGTCGAAGTCGATTGCTCGAGGCAATCGCCAAGCTTGAACTTTGGCGCCTGGAATCTCCCAGATCGCGACCAGGATTTGGTACTCTGTAGGCAGAAAAGACAGATGGGGTTGTCAAAGGCAGAAGAATTGGAGGGATGGCGGCTTGTCGAGGTTGAGAGATTGACGTGCTGGCACTGGGAAGCTCCGTCTTAAGCTGTCGCGAGGTCAAGTGTTAGCAAGGCATAAATTCCAGACATTTCTGGAGCATCAGGTTGGCAGCCTTGCAGGGCAGCAGTGCCTGCCTTTCCGACCACAAGTCTTGGACTCTAGGCAAGCGACATACCTTGTCAACCTGACGAGTTTCCCCCAACGTAACCAAAGCAGCGATGTTTATCGCGAAGCCGACAGTCGAACTGCCTCAAAGCGGAAAATAAATTACCGGCTGAGTCAGCCGAGCCCGCGCGCTGGAACTGGCAGCGGTGGAACTGGAACTCCTCGAACTCTGGTTCGTTTGCATCATCGTGAGCATCATCCATTCTTAAAAAATGGAGATGCTCCAGAGCTTCGAAGAATTGCCGTAGCTTACTCACTCTGTGATTTTAGATTCGTATGCTACAATTTACTTGGTGCAACCATCAGCACGCTATCTCTAGATTAAGCCAGTCTCATCGGGGCACGTTTGTCTAAGCGCTAGTTCGAGACAGTTGCTCCAGTTTGATAGCCACTAAGGCTGCCAAATCAGTACCGACGCCTAGCATGTCAACTAACGGGGGGATAGCCGTAGATCGCGGATCCTAAGTGAGACCACCACTATTCACAAGAGCTGTCGCCACATTTGATCTCCAAGGATATTATTGGATTTCATCGTGTTTCCCAGAAGAATCGGTCAAGCATGGCTCTATGGCTGCATCAGGATGATGATGGAGGTCGTCCGTCGGGAGCCATGGAGATCATCCACGGCATCCGTCTTTGGGGGAAGCTCTGGTTTGCAAGTCGTATGTAATTGTATTTACAGACCGCTATAGCCCGATACGGACTCGATTTTCTTGGGTCAATCGTATTGTAATCTATCGTTATACCATGACCATACTGCTTCTCCTTTCCGTACTCAACCCTCTCCCCACACCCGCTTTGTATGGATCCATCATCACCTCTTTCTTCTCCTTTCCCCCCCCTCCTACTTCTTCTTCTTCTTCTTCTTCCCATTTCTCTCTTCTCCCCCCCTTCCTTCCATCGCTCCTTCAGGCCGAATCAGTCGATGCTTGCATCGTCTATTCTATCCTTCCCATAATTACTCTTGTTGTCATTCTCTTCGGGGGACGTGCAACTATCTGGGCGTGCCCGTTTTCTTGAACTCCCGGGATCGCCCACGAAACCGAGAAAGCTTTCTCTCAGTAGGTTGATACCTCGTGAATTCGATCCTCGGCCATCTCTTAGCGGTCGTTCAGGATCCAATCCACTTTATCCCACCCTTTTGTGCCTGTTGTTCGTTACTTGTGTGTCTTAAGCACTCGAAGCTGCAACCCGCCGACTCGGTCCTTCCCAATCTCCCCTCGTCGAATCGAGCGTCGTCCCTTTTTTCTCAGTCGATCTTTGGTTTGATCGATCTAACGCACACTGAGCGTGCAATTGACTTCGACTGCCCACTCTCCTCGATTCTGCGAACTGTTGGTGACTCTCTCCGTCACCGCTTCGCTGGCTACTCTAGCAAATTTCATCCCACGTTGGACAAGCGCAGACGTCATTTTTGGAATGCTAGGGTCTCGAGACACTTACTAGTCTCTCTTGCAGGTAAGTTTGCTTTACTGTTTCCCACCTGCAGAGCTTGTCCGGGTTGAAGACGAGCGACACGATTTGGGCGGAGTGGCTTGATCCTGGCTGCTTGTCCGCCGACTACTCCGTCCCTCCTTCTCTCGAATGGTGCTTTCGAGTCCCCGTCCTCCTCGCCTTCTCCGCCCGCGGTGACAACACGGTCTGCTTCTGCACTGACCACAAACCCGTCACCCACAATTTCCCCATCTTCCTGTCCCTCCTTCCTACCCCCGTTCGCTCCTTCATCATCGACTACTTGCCTTTTGTCGTTGTCTCTCCCGCTCGACTTGTTTCCCCCTCTCCCTTTGACCACATACCCTCCAACCCTTCTCGGTCATCATCCACTTTTGCTAATCCACTCTTTTTCATCATCTGCAGTATAGTTCATTCTCCCCGTCATCGTTTTGAGAACGATCGTTCGAACATAGCCCAAAACTATCTGCGGTCAGTTCGCGATCCGAATTCGCTCGGTTCGATTGCCTTTCGAGGGCTTCATCTGTCTCTCCTATCTCCGGATCTCCCTCTCCGTCTGTCCCACATTTTGCACTCTACCGTGCTAGCTGTCTTCCTACATCCGGAATCATGGATCAACAAGGCCAGTCTGGGGCACAAGGCCCTGGTGGGCGCAAGCTCCACATCGCTCACCGGAGAAGTCCATCTGAGTTGACCCCTTTGATGAGTACGAACGACCTCTTATACCCCCGTTATTCTTTTGATGGGCTCTGAACTAATCAATCGCAACTTGTCTTTTCTCAGTGGAACAACTGGCTATTCAGCAGCAAATTGAGCTGCTTCAGCAGCAGCAACAACAGATTGCCGCGACACACCAGCAGTATGTGAACATGGGTCTCCTGCAACCACAGCAGCTCGGCCAGGTTGGTGCCTTCTCTCCAGGTGGCTCCATGGGCGGTGTCTCTCCTCAGGTCAACGCCTTCCAGTTTCCCCAGCAGCAACAACAGCTCGGGGTGCCCACGAACGCACCGAACCAACATTCCCACCGCCGCAATCAATCTGCTCTCCCTGGCCTTCCAATGGGCCCTCCTCCGGCTCCATCGTCTGGTGCTTCCGGCTATGCCGATTACAACCAGCAAGGCCAATCCAATCACCAGAAGAATGAGAACACCAACCACGGCCGCGGTCGTGGTGGACCCCCTGGCGGTGGTGGTCACCAACGCCGCCACTCCCTTGCCCTTCCTGAGGCAAAGAAGGCTGCTGAACTGGCTCAGCAGAAGCGCACAGCCTCTGGATTCCAGTTCCCTGCCCCCGCCCCAGGATCGGAGAGCCAGTCTGCTCCGGATGACAAGCCCGGTTCCAGTACGTCTCCCGCTCCGCAGGGTCTCGGTCTCCAGCGCGCTGGAAACATTCGCGCCGGCGGCCACGGCCGCAGCCAGTCGATGGCTATTGGTGGTAACCGAGGCTCCTTGTCCGGACGCGGTGCTGGTGGCTTCCAGTTCCCCGCTCCTAGCGACGGCCAACCCGATAACCAGCGCCGTGGTAGTCAGGCTGGTGGCCATGCTCGCACCGGCTCTCGAAACTTTGATGGTAACTGGCGTCAGCCCAACAATCAGAACCAAGGACAAGACCAACAGAAGTCATTCGGCGGCCAGCAACAGCAGGGCGGCGGCTTTCAACCTGGTCACCGCTCGCGTGGCTCTATGAACCAGTCGATGGGCTCCATCGGCCAGTTCCAGTACCCCGGTCAGCCTCAGCTCATCCAGCTGCCTCAGGGACAGGTCATGATGGCCACCCCGCAAATGTTTGCGGGCGGTCAAGCGCAGCTAAACCCTCTTCAGCTTGCTCAGCTCCAGGCCCTCCAGCAGCAGCAGAACGGCCAGGGCATGGGAGGCCTTCAGGCGAGCCAGCACGCACCTCCCCAGCTGTCTGTTCAGCAGCAGCAACAGCAGCAACAGCAGCAGCGGAAGACTCTTTTCACTCCTTACCTGCCTCAGGCCAATTTGCCTGCGCTGATCAGCAACGGTCAGCTCGTTGCCGGTGTTCTGCGTGTCAACAAGAAGAACCGTTCTGATGCCTACGTGACTACACCCGACTTGGACGCCGATATCTTCATTTGCGGTAGTAAGGACCGTAACCGTGCTCTCGAGGGTGACTTTGTCGCCATCGAACTCCTCGACGTTGATGAAGTGTGGAACCAGAAGAAGGAGAAAGAGGAGAAGAAGAAGCGCAAGGATATTACCGACGCACGCTCCGGCAGCAACGCTGGAAATGACAAGTTGGGTCGGTCCGACTCCAATGGCGACCGACAAGAGATCGGCCCGGATGGAAGCATCCGTCGCCGTGGCAGTCTTCGCCAGCGTCCCACTCAGAAGAAGAACGACGATGTCGAAGTCGAGGGCCAGAGCCTTCTGCTTGTCGAGGAGGATGAGATTAGCGACGAGCAGAAGCCCCTCTACGCTGGCCACGTCGTTGCAGTTGTTGAGCGCATTGCCGGCCAGATGTTCTCCGGAACTCTGGGCCTTCTTCGCCCTAGCAGCCAGGCGACCAAGGAGAAGCAGGAGGCTGAACGCCAGGCCCGGGATGGTGCCCACGGCCGTCACCAGGATCGCCATCAGGAGAAGCCCAAGATTGTCTGGTTCAAGCCTACTGACAAGCGTGTGCCCCTGATCGCCATTCCCACCGAGCAGGCTCCTCGGGACTTTGTCGAGAAGCACCAAGACTATGCCAACCGCATCTTCGTTGCCTCCATCAAGCGTTGGCCCATCACCTCTCTGCACCCCTTCGGTACTCTGGTTGAGCAGCTGGGAGAGATGGGTGATCTGCGCGTTGAGACGGATGCCCTTCTTCGGGACAACAACTTTGGATCGGACGAGTTCTCCGATGCGGTCATTAAGAGCATTGGCTGGGAGGATTGGTCAATCGCCAAGGAGGGCGATGCCCTTGCCTCTCGCCGTGAATTCCGTGAGGAGACCACCTTCACCATCGACCCCGAAGACTCCAAGGCCCTCGAGGATGCGTTCCATGTCAAGAAGCTTGCCGATGGAAAAGTTGAAATTGGTGTGCACGTTGCCGACATTGCCCACTTTGTCAAGGGTAACTCTCTCGTTGATCGGGAAGCCAAGAAGCGCGGCACTGCCGTCTACTTGGTTGACCGTGTCATGAACATGCTGCCCCCTCGTGTCTCCACCGAACTTTGCTCCCTTGTTCCCAGTGAAGACCGCCTGACGGTCAGCGTTGTCTTCAAGGCCAACCCTGAGACTGGTGCAATTGATGACGACGTTTGGATCGGCAAGGGTGTCATCAAGAGTGCTGGCCGCCTTGGCTATGACGAGGTCAACTCCGTGCTCACTGGCAAGTCGACCTCGACCGGTGCCGGCATCAGTGCAGACAATCTGCAGTTGCTGAACGTAAGTCTACTGTGTTTTTTTCCGAGCTGCGGTCAATCTTGCCGTCATTTGTAACATCACTAACCAAGTTTCTTCATAGGTCATCGCGAACAAGTTCCGTGATTCCCGCTTCGGTAACCGTGCGGACAATGTCCCAAGCCTGCGTCTCCTTCAGCAGCTTGATGATGAGAATGTCCCAGTTGAGTACAACATCTTCGACTCTACCCCGGCCCACGAGCTTGTCGAGGAGCTCAGCCGCCAGGCCAACTTCTATGTGGCCCGTAAGCTGGTCAGCGTTATGCCTGAAAAGGCGTTCCTGCGCCGCCAGCCTTCCCCCAACCCTCGCCGTCTGACCCTGTTTGTAGAGCGGATGAACCGCCTCGGCTACAACATCGATTCCTCCAGCAGTGGCAGTCTTCAGAGTTCTCTCTGCAAGATTGAGGATGTCGATCTGCGCAAGGGTATGGAGACTCTGCTTTCCAAGGCTATGCAACGCGCCAAGTACTTTGTTGGCACTGGTGCCGCGGACGAGCAGCGCCAGCACTATACTTTCAACGTACCTGTCTACACCCACTTCACCAACCCTTCCCGCCGTTATGCCGACGTCATTGTGCACCGCCAGCTCGAGGCTATCCTCTCTGAGGGCGCCATTGAGTTTACCGATGATGCTGAATCCCTGAACAAGACCGCCGACCTTTGCAACAACAAGAAGGACTCGGCTCTCAATGCTCAGGAGCAGAGTGTGCACATCGAAGCTTGCCGCAAAATGGACCGAAAGGTTCACGAGATTGGTGGAGATCTCATCAGTGAGGGTATTGTCCTTTGCGTCTATGAGTCCGCCTTTGACGTTCTCATCCCCGAGTTCGGCTTTGAGAAGCGTGTCCACTGTGATCAGCTGCCGCTGAAGAAGGCTGAGTACCGCAAGGACAGCCGTGTCCTCGAGCTGTACTGGGAGAAGGGTGTTCCTTCCTCTGCCTATATTCCTGAGGATGAGCGCCCCAAGCCCGGTAGCTCTCGTGCTGCCCAGGCAGCTGCCGCTGCTCGTGAAGCTGAGGCCGCGAAGGAGCGTGCTCGCGAACGCGATGAGGCTATGCGCAAGCAGACCGAGACCGGTACCATGTCCGCTGACGACGTTGATGCCCTCTTTGATGATGATGAGGACGTTGACGAGGTGACCGAAATGGCCGCTGGTGTGTCTCTGAACTCGGCCGACCGGTCGACTCAGAGCATGCCTCCGTCTCCCACCCGCAACGGCCACCACCAGCAGGGTCCTCACCGCACTCGCTCTGACCCGAAGATTGCTTCAAGCACCAGCGATGCTCCTGAAAGCAAGTTGACCAACAAGGAGAAGTACTTGAAGCTGTTCAAGTTGCGAGAGGAAGATGGCGACTTCATCCAGGACGTTACTGAGATGACTCGTGTTCCTATCATCCTGAAGACCGACCTCAGCAAGAGCCCACCGTAAGTGCTGTCCCCTCTTCTTTCTGTGTCTATGCCTTTGGAGGCTGTTTCTTTGACTGGAGTGTCTATACTAACATCATCTCGCAGTTGCCTGACTGTTCGGTCCGTCAACCCCTATGCCCTATAAAGGTGCTTCGAGGCGGTTATCTTCTCCTTTCTTGGGAAATATAATTGCATCTCTATCTTGCAGATTCTTTGAGTGTTTTGGAGCATGGTTCTCATGTTCATCCTACACCCACGGACATAATTCTCCCCTAACATGCGGATCGAACATATATCATTATCAGAAAGTCTTCTGATAACACTGTTCTGCCCTTACCTCTCTACCCCAACAATATTTCCGGCGTGTCCATGGGGTCCCCGTATACTTATCTGTTTGTTGTATGTTGCGCAGCGGTTGTCTGTTTTTACCCTTTTTCGTATTTTCTTGCGAGCATCTGAGACTGTTCTTCCGGAGAAAGAAAGAAAGGGTGGCCCTACATTCCAGCTTGATCTTTTGGAACCCTTCCTGCTTCCATGTCTCCGCGCTTTCACAGGGCCTTTGCTATTATTTGCAGTCTTGCGCGATGCTTGGAGATGGT